GTATGACCCTCACGTAGCGCTTGAGAGGTACGCTGAAGTGATTTAATCGTGTTAAAGTGATAGTTGGAAGAATAGAATAATAAAATCTTTATCTAACTAAAGTAGCCTGACGCCCATATTTAAGTTTATTGAAGTAAACATTTTAAATTGAGACGTTATTCTGGTCATACCCAAGTAAATATTTTGTAACTCTTTAGATGTAAGTGTTCCTTGAGCAGTAGATGTCGTCCTACACAATTTCGAAAAACGTGATTTGCTTATCATAGCGGAACACATGTCTAAATCAACAGTTTGCTCACTAACCCCGCAGTGATCGATACTACAGACAATACACGTGTTGCCATAGTTGACAAACTATGTCCTAAATATGTTTTCATTTGTGAAAGGATAATTTATTAAAGTACGAGAGTGTTAATCAAGTATGGGAAGATGCTCACTTCACTTATTATGTAATTGTCACTATGCTGCTGATATATAGATGGAACTTTCCGATTGGCTTGGAAACTATACATAAGGCAGAATTAATTTTAGTAATGAACACATACTGTTTGGATTTAAAGAGAAGAATAACAATTCACTCAATGCAGTAATTATGGTAACAAAATCTATGCTGTACACATTTAATAGAAAAAAAGTTAATCCAATCTCTTTACTTTTTCAAAAAGAAATAATTCGATATTATGAAATTACGAAATGTATTGCATATTCGATATTGTAAATATGCATGTTCCATGCCTTCTGGTCTTCTCTACATGTATTATTTAGAAACTCTATAACTATGATGTCTGATCTGTCTATGCTACAAACATGCCAATAATGTCACAATAAATCCATGCACACTCAATGTATGATATTGAAATATAAAATATGATGGGAAAAAGGAATAAATAGATAAACAAAAAAATAAAGAAATGCTCTCTTTGGGTCACTTGTATGGTTGTTAAATTATAGGCGTCAAGCTTTCAATTCAGAATCCCTAGTCATATGTTAAAACTTTGCAAATACAATGCCGTCTGTGTGGGCCTTAATCGAGTTTGAGGAAACAACAGTCTAATGGTCTGGAGGTCATGTATTGTTTCTTCAGAAGCCTCGTTAAAACTTTGCACATGTAATATATATGTAAATTCTAATCAAGACCGGCAATACCTCAAATTCCAATACCAATACCAACTATATACATAGACAATAAAACGCAGTGAGGAAAGTAATTGATGATTTTATTTTTATATTGTGTAAACGACATATTTTCTTGTTTATGTACATCACAGCATAAAGCATTAGAATACGAATTAAGCGACTAAATTGCATTGTATAGTCTGGCTCGAAGACGTGGAAGATTGCATGTCGTCGTACCCCGACGGTGTAAGACGTCATTCAAACATGCTTATCATCAAAACAACGATATCTGGTTCATTATCTCAAACAAAACTGCTGACTGTGGCATTAAACAACAAACATACAAACAGTGTCTCAAAACATTTGTCTGTGAGATTTTGGAACATTGTTAGAGAACAATTGGTATTAAATTGGCACAATATGACAACATATTAATAAAATAAACGCAATATCCCTCGGTATTTGTGTGTATAAAGCAATGGAAATGGAGCTTTATTTCGAAATTGTGTTTTGAAGCAACGTCACATGTGAAACAATTGTGAAACATATGATCTTAAATATATCAGACAACTTACTTACTGTCTGGGGCAATGCCAAGTTTAAGTATCTCAAAAGCATGTGTGGACACGCCATCAAATTGTAAAAAAATCACCCCCCTACAAAGATATTCCCAGTCACTAGCTGTACAATTATGACCGCGCATGTCCAAAGTATCCATGGCACAAACGTGAAAAGGGTGGCACTAAAAGTTGAGCTCTGCTGTAAAGAATAAAACACTTTATTCTTACCAAGTGTTTGATTTGCCATGTGTCACAACTGTTCAGAACCATAAATTGTTCTGTATTCAGAAGACGTCCGTTCCCACTTTTTACACTTTGCCCCGCTCACACTAAGCGATGCAGTAAATTCTTAACTAAGTTACTTTTGAATCGAAGTAGTCACGACACGAACGGATTACTCAGTGTAACAGTAATCCATGGAAAGCAACCTGCGCATGGCGTCCTTCATGTCGCCTGTGCAACATACTATCTTTCCGACCATCTTGCATGGAGAGTGAATCTTTTCTTTCTCCCTGACGTGGTACTTGAAATCAACATTTAAATTCACCACACTTTCAATGGCACAAATGCTCCATAGCAAAATACACCCAATGTCAATATGCATGTTCGGGAATATATTTCACTTTTGATAATAATTGTCAATTTTAAAACTTTGACGTAACAAAAGTATAAACTCATATTTGTTCGTTCTTGTGAATGATATCTTATATCTGGTGTATACTTGACTTTGGTACGTTTCGACTGATTGGTAATTATGTGTATGCGGTAAACAAAGCTCCGTCAGTGGCATGACGCAAGTAATGTGCTGATTATTATAATGCTAAATACATGCTCTTCCCAAAATAAATTGCGTTATATACTTATGCAAGAAAAGCAAGACTTTTAAAAATAATAAGACATTCCAAACAAAAACCAAAGTCACAATATTACTAACTGAATACTGTTGGACATTTGGCTTGTGAATACGTTGATAAATACGATAAGCCTTCAAAAGCAAAATGGGACTTTTCATGCTGTATGCAAGTTTAAGGTTAGATAGCTACTTCACATAAGAATAACATCGATCTCAAATATCCTCTCTTGCTTAGTATCAAATACAAATATGTATGAATACAGTTTTTCACGACTTTTTACACAGACCAATTTCTTTGAGATATACCATCAGATAGGATCTTTCAGATGTACTGATTTATGCTAAGAATCCCTTGCAAGTCCACAGTCAGGTACGAGATGATTAGCGGTGAACCTGTTCACCAGAAGGGATATATTTAGGTGGTCAAGCCGTCCACCCGATTGACTTAAGTAAGTGTCGGATAGTAAGGAGGTATGAAAACTTTATGCGATGGTCATACTCTCGGATAGCTTTCACATCATGTTGACACGCGATTCAGTACGTTCATCTTAATTTCGCACCCGATAGATTAAAGTTGGTTCGTGAGGAGGTGTGAAAACTTTATGTGTAGGTGAGATGATGGATGTTACTAATAGAACAGAGATGGCGATGGCGGACTCTGAATATCAATCTGTGATGTCATGGACAGATATGGCTCTCAACCAAAAGGAAGTTTTCTAAAACATTAAGGAAGTTTATGTTCCATACTTGCACTTCATAAAGCACGAGTTCTCTAAAATCCTAAGGGTTGTCTTTAGATCAGTAGGGAAAGGATGGCATTAGAATAGAATTACAGATGTACTTTGCATCCGTTTTGAGGCTGTAGAAGGCATCCCGTCCAACAACAAATGATCAATGAATAAGCAATCCTGCTAGTAATCCAAACTATGTTAATTGCGAAAGAAATATGCTAAAACCATTCATCAGTTCAATCAACGTTTGACTTCGCTTCTAATCGTGAAGACATATTTATCCATTCATCCTTTGTACTGGATTCCAAAGCTCCATACAAAACCATACAAAGAAATATATATTGGTGAGTTCCAGCAAATCCCTGTCTCTGCCAACCATAATCCCTAATAGCATCAAGGAAGGACTTTCTTCATATTCACAGAAAGTATGTGAGAGAAGTCAAAGTCCAATTCTGTCAAAACTATTGATTTTTCCCCTTTGACACCACTATCCGGCACGACAAAATTAAGGGAAAACTTCATTGGTTACTAAACGTGGTGACCTTTCTTCAAAGGTTAAAAACATAAAAAATGCCATTATGCCATGGGAAGTTTCCTGAGAAAAAATATATGCAATGAAGGACTTTCTCATGGATGACAATGAGAATTTGGGGATAGGACATTTAGGAAAGAAGTAGGCATCCCATTGGGCACCAATTGCGCTCTTCTCCTTGCTGGTCTATTTCTTTATGCATATGCGTCTGCTCGATTCATGATTGGTAAAATTCAAAGAAGAGAATCTGATATCGTTCAGTAATGAAGGACATATACGAGTTTGACGCATGTGAGACCAACAGATGTTTGATGCAATACATTATTTTCACTATCTGTCGGCATGCTTTTTTCAGATTAACAACTGACGTTTGTTTGTGACGATAGCGGTATGAAAAAGTATAAGATGCACAATCTCACTATGATTTCTTTTATCACAAGCCGATGTTTTAAAGATTCTTGTCATGATAACTGAACCAAATCAAAGCGGCTGACACATCGCATGAATATTAGTAACGACAAAAAGATTCAAGTTTTCCTGATTGCTGTGAATGTTTGGTCGTATGTATTTTACTTCTTGCAGGAACTGTTCAAACCAGATGTGCTGTTTGAACCATAGATTCGCCCCCATTGTAGTCCATTGATATAAGCTCCATACTCATGGTCCTGGGTTTCACCAAAGCAGTAAATATTTGTAGGAAGGTGAAGTCGACAGTTCCTCCTTGCAGCAATAGTTTACAACAGGTATCATGTGGCCACGCTGCTTGTGAATAGTACAGATGACTACCCAACAAGAGCACCTGTCAGCAATAACTTACCATACACTGTGTGTTCGTGTGTGCGTGAATTTGCCTGAGTGCATGCTTGGGTATTTTCAACGAAGCGATAAAGGCTCTTTCAGTCATATTCGTGCGTTGTAGTGCATTTGATGACGTATGTGATCTTTTTCATAGGGGGCGGTCGGGTAGCCTAGTGGTTAAAGCGTTCGCTCGTCACACCGAAGACCCAGGTTCGATTCCCGATATGGGTACAATGTGTGGAGACCATTGCTGGTGTCCCCCGCCGTAATATTGCTGGAGCAGCGTAAAACCATACTCACTCACTCTTCCTCATAGATGCAGTGCTGATAACATAAAGCAATCTAAGCCAGTAGAGCAATTTATTCCAAAATATTTTCTGGTGAATTAGTACATTCGTGTAAGACGCTTATTTCATATTTCAAGGAAATCATCACTACACTAAGCCTTTATTCTGCTATCAAAGTGTCTAAGGGGTTGATGGCATTTTCTATGTGTCGGTGGCCTTTTTGGGGAGAACCACGTCATCAGAAAACGTCATCAGGTGGGCCTAATTAAGTTGAATACGAGTCGTTTTGCCCCCTTAGTCAGTTTGTAGCATCTTTAGTTCATTCAAATGAAAATGAAAATCTACACATCGTATAACACCGAACTTATCAATGTTAAGATTAATATTCATTCAGAATGTCCTTTACTGTGACGTTTTAATGCAGACCAGATACAAAAACTCAAATACAACTACATTTTAAAAGTATATATTGTGATTCGTTGTGAGTTAAGGAAGAAACACCATCAGGACGAAGGGGAGAACAACAGTGGTCGCAGTGTACATCCTCAGGGTGGAAACTGCAGCATCTGCACAACAGAGAATATTAAATATATTACACTCATTTGTATGTTGCCAAGAAGTTTAACTTAAGCTTTAGGTATATCGATGATCTGATACAGTTCAACATTGGTCAAATAGCCCATTACCTTCCATTGATTTAACCACTGGAACTAGAAACTATAGATACTAGTGAAAGCGACTCAAACTTATGTCCCCAGTTGACTTTTACCATGTGTCCCGTGTTTGTTCCGGTTAACAATTTACCTGCCTTTGCATGTGTTTGTGACAGGAACCACCGGTGAGGTAGGCCATGCTAAGTACAATTTGACAGTGATTCACCAACATATGCATATGGATAGTCTAATAAGCATATGAATTGTATATGCACTATCACAAATCTACTGATATTTATTTGATTTCAAAGGTAGGAAAATAAATCGTCATATCATATGACAATATTTGCATGTTACTTCACGGATATCTTTTGTCATTGATACATGAATATGAACAGGTAACAACTTAATTAGTACATTTCTTATATAAAAAATAATCAAAGCCATGTATAATATCGAATACATGTATCCTGTTTGGACGAACAACCTTCATTCCCCAAATCTTAAACTGACTATCGTGACAGCAAGACCATTAACTCCGTCTTAATCTCTAATTGTCCATCTACTGCTCTGCACCTTGATAATAAGTGTATTCAAATTTTCTTGTGAGTTTAATTCATTGATTAGACTTGTTTTGTGTCCTAGCAGTGTGTCGAGTACTGCATTATGGGTTTTATGGGAATTGCACTTTGTGAAGTCTATTCAAGACTTATAAAGAACGCGCAATCTTTCCTTCGCTTTTAATGACTACAGGCCTCTAAGTACGGGCATATAAAGTCAGTAGAGGGTGTAAATGTCAATTAAAGACTTCCGTGAAGGAACATATCAAAACCATATCAGATTACACAGATGTTCGAATGTTCATGATAAATGCTGACATATATAATTCACTACTCTTAGTAGGAATTGTAGGTTTTATTCATATATACGATGATCAAGAAAAAAATATTCGTTTAGCAAAAAAAGTCTATATGCCACTGGCACACACGTATAGAGGGAAATTTGACTTCGGTGTTGATCAAACTGTAAAAACATCAAAATGTGATCTCTCTTAGAATGCCAACATGAATGTTTCGTCTTGTTGGTGAAGAGATCAAGCGAACAGAGGCTCAACCGAAACAAAGTATCTTTCAATACTAATGTTATATTGATTTAAATAAGAAAATAATTGTCAGTATTTTTGCTGCTTGTCGTATAGCATTTTATTAACTGCAAATATAATTGTGTGAATATAATTGAATTAAATGTACCAGATGGACATTCGACATTATCCAACAGCCTGATACTTACTACATGTAAGAGCTGCAAGTCTCCCCTTGGGCTTGTCTACGATAGCAGAGGCTTTGGTTCCAGCCTTGCATGTTTCTTTCTCTCCTGCGTCAGTGAGACATTGGATGTAGGTCCCAAGCGGCCTAAAACACATAATGTCAGCGTGCTTTATTATTAATAACGCGGCCGGGCATCGAATCCCGGACCTTCCGCTCTCCGGGCAGACGCTTTACCACTAGACCACGGAGGCGGTCCGCTGACATGAGGTGTGAATGTATGGAGACGATAATGTTTCTATATGCAAACATATGTCACTACATGTATTATGTTAATCTTACATTGTTGAGGAGTATAAGAAAACTTTGAAATTTACCCGCATGCGTTGTTCCCGGATAGATCGCTTGCCCAGAATGTCTGTTGGCATGTACAAGGCGACTGCAAAGCTGGGTCTAAAATCAGAACAGGGACATTTACGGAATCCTTCTGTTTCATTCATGTCCAAAATGGCCGAACTGAATTTTTGTCATAAAATTAAGATACAACACGACACAGTTAGAGTACATTCATACAGATATGATTCAGATCTGATATACTGGAGGTAATTTAAACTTAAAAAGGCACAGACGTTCTCCTGTGCAGAATATAAACTGAATTTCGAGTTGTGCGAGATGAAAAACATTGAAGGAAACAGGTATCGGATATTTCTGTTAGATACTGAAACTAAACCAGAAAACAAGAGCGAGTTTCTCGTTCGCATTTAATCACAGTGATTCCTATTCATACAACAAAAGCAAAACAGAGGGATGTTGTACAACGTATATTATTGACAGATGGACGAGACAAGTAGTCATATTCAAATAGGGAATGCGCATTTGAAGGAGAGCATATCCACAGATACTTTAAAACCAATGTAATAATGTCTGCTTCATATTCGCGATTTTTGATTATTATATTGAGCAAATCAAGACGTTTATAAACCAAATTACGACGAACGCTACTACACAAGTGCTTACCACAAACAGCGTCACTGATTTTCGTGGCTTGAGTTGTTGCCAAGTCACATCCAGCAGATGTTCCTGCTGCAGTCTCGAGACAATCCAAGTACACTTTCAGGTGTCTGAAACATACGCTTTTCATAAAACATTTGTCCTATTTCGACAACCTTAAAATGTTTGGAATTTTTAAAGCTGTCACATATTTGTATGTAGCGTTACTTTAACCTGTAACATCCATGGATACAACATACATGTATGTTGGCAGTAGAGAGAAGTGATAATATATGACTCATTGTATTCATGGTATCCAATAATGACAATACGAAAGTTGATTATACTACTTACGCACAGTTCTCATCTGAATCTGCGGATGACGTAGCAGAGTTGTAGGTTTCGGTACATGTACCACAAGCTTCAGCAGCTACATGACCTCCCGTGAAGACGCCTGAGAAAAAAACCAAATCTGTCTAGAAACATTAGGGTCCATCCATATTAGTAGTGGTTGGTTTCTTAAAATGATTTAGTTTTGATATTCATTCAAATAATGAATATACGAGGAGGAAGTCCCATATTAACCTGGTTTCATGTTAGGCCTGGTGTAGATGATAATTTTAACAAATATACAGTACCACATAAATGTAAATTAATGAAAATTATACAAAATGGAAATTTCATACAAAACTCTTCGCGAATTGAATAAATATAATATGAGTCTCACTTTCCTACTGTGTATTATTTTGGTGCCTGGGTAGTTAACTGGCATTCGTGTATATTAAAACAACGACTGATAAATGCAACTTACACAGTAGCAGAGAAAAGACCGCCAACGTCCACATCCTGTATGCACCTGGTTGTTGCCTGGCCAGACTCCGCCGTGATACACGCTGTCAACATGGGGGACGTGGACCTTTATAGCGTGTGTTGCCACGGTGTAGTCTGTTGCCGGGGACATGTTTGAAGCATACTCCCATACTCTTATGGCTTGTTCCTACTTTAAACTTTACCACACACGGTGATTTCAGATCTTAATGGGTTTTCGTGTTCTTACCACTTATCACAAAGGCTCAGACAAAAACGTAAATGATCTGCAAGTTACTTATCTTTGTTATATTTACGAAAACGGACAAACACACAAATAAGCACGGTTATGTTATCACGAACAAAAACCTTTTTTCAGAAAACAATAAACTAATTCTGAAACGTGTTTCTCAAGTTTTGAAACTGACCTCAACTGACGGTCACTGCTGGAAAAGAACGAATATTCGGAACATGAGCGATCGCTAAACAGAGGACAAACAAATGAATCACTTGTTCAATCAAATCAGGCACGATTGCACAACTTTGTTATCATTGCTGTAATGAATTGTGTCCAATGGGAATCCACTTTCATCATCACAACGTGTCTCCAAGTATATACTTGGCTCAGGATTTGGTGTCTACATCTCAGTTAGATATGTGTTGAGCAGAAGTGTAAGGGAGTAAGCAAATAATTAAGAAAATATTCCTTAAAATGGCTGAGGAGATTTCAGATACAACATATCCATGTCACTCTGTACGGATAATGTATTAAGAGTTTTATATTTTACAATCTGTGTCGTTGAATAGGATTCTGCTTAGTTGAACCTAATTGTGTTGCCGTCCAAAGACACATGTCTAGTATATTTAAATTGTTAAACGTCATACAAGAAACTTAAAGACTAATTCAAAGGCCCTATATATCCACGAAACATTATCACCTCAATGTGTCTGGTTTCAGAAAGCAAACTGCTTCTTCGGTACAGTAGGTTTTCTTTAAGAAAGCTGTAACTCATGATACACTGTTGAAATGGTTCTCGAACACCTCGCAACAAACATGTAACCCCTGCACTACCACACGTACTTTTCCTTTCCCACCAACAACCAAGTTAAATGCTGTGTTGCGTTGTTGACAGGAACGCACATCTGACACCTACATAAGGGTTTTCTTTAGGTTTATTACATGCTGTTACGTGATCACATATACACTGCTTTCGGTGTATAAAAACCTGAATTGCGTCAAAAGGTAAATGTTTAAGTATTCTGGACTGTGTGCACCTATGTTGGGTACCCAGGTATGCAGTGATGGGATTAAGTGGCTGATATGAATTACAGATAAGGAGCGTACAAGGTACCAGACATGTTACTATGTTAACATCACTTGAAAATATAATAAGAAAACTGACTTTGACATAACATAGGAATGTCTAGTTTTTTTAGGGTGAATATGTTTAAAACAGAATATACCTGGGATCGATAATAATATGGATTATGTTGATGTCATTATGTTGTATTAGAAATCCCTGCTCATTTAGTCATTTGAATAGCCATTAAAAGAAACTGTTTTACCAACAGTTTCTGTATGACTGGTGATCAATAGTGGGATCTACAAGAACGCCACGCTATTTTTATCATTACATTTTGACAATTAGCAACGTTTCCGGTAGAGAAAATTCCATTCTTGTGCTGTGCTTCTGTAAGATTTCATAACATACTGTGAATTCTTGACAAACTAGTTGATTTTGGAAAAAGGAACTATGTACGATACTGGCGTTCCCCTGCAGCTTTTCGTAAAAACGTTTGTTTTTCTGGTTATTATCAGTGTCCGCCTACTTGAAACAATCCCCTGCGGCTTATCGCCTCGATGGCTATTACATTTACCTATGTAATCATCTTCATAGTTTCCGAAAGAGTATCTTGAGCACTCATTCAATATTCGAGTTCAATTGTACAGGATCTTATTTTTCGCAGCAAACACTTATATGTAGCGAGTGTTGTTGCTTGGCAGACAAAGTGTAAACCAGATCCAAGGACAGATAAATCAGATCCATCACGTCCACTATTGCTCCGAGGCAGTAGGGGCGGTCGGGTCGCCTAGAGGTTAAAGCTTTCGCTCGTCACGCCGAAGACCCAGGTTCGATTCCCGACGTGGGTATAATGTGTGAAGCTCATTTCTGGTGTCCCCCGTCGTGATATTGCTGGAATATTGTTAAAAGCGGCGTAAAACCATACCCACTCACTCTAACTCTAATCAATCACTGGTTGGAGTCTATCTATCCGTTAGGTACGAATACACTGTCTTAAGAGACGTGGTAATAACACCGACACTGTTATCTAGGCAGTCCATAGTATACTGTACGTAACCAAAGGGGGCAATGATGTTCTAAGAGTGAGGAGTACAGCAAAGTCACTTTCGGTTGAGAGCAGTCGTTGCTGTGATATAACCTGTGATGAAATGCTTATGAACAGGAGGCATCCTTCACGCGATCTCTTCCCACCAAGGATAATATTCCTATAACCATGCATTGACATATGTATGGTTCAAAGACAATAATGTGCAATAAACGTTTTTATTAGCTTTGATGAATTTATAAACAACACAATTATGTTACATACATAGTATAAGGTGAGGTGAAATGGAGTTTAACGTTGCGTTCAAAATTATTGCACATATATAGCGACGGGCATGCATTTGTGTGTGTGTGTGTGTTGTGTTGTGTTGTGTATGCTTGTACTAGTCCGAACTAATTCCGAGTTTATATGCTAGCCCACGAATAAACAATGCCACAGTTTAAAATGAACAACCCACTCAGACACAGTATACCGACTCCGAGCTGAACAGTCCTTGTTTGAGCCCCTTAATGCGGAGCTCCAGTCAGGGTAACAGCAAGTACCATCCTTTAACGGGTTTTGGTATAACGCGGCCGGAGATCGAATCCACGACCTTCCGCTCTTCGGGCAGACCTACACAGTATAACAAAATGTGTCGTTTTTTATTGTGTTTAGGCAAATACAGGCAAACACTACTGATGGACAACAACATTTACAAACGGAGGATATGTTGATAACACACATAAGCATGTACATGTGTATTTCACATTGTAGTTGCCTGCATATATAAGCTATTCATGTAATTGCAATATACCTACACATGATCAGCACTGCGTGCCCTGAAGAAACAAAACATTTCAAAAAGTAAATAATAAAATTTCATTAACGATAAATTCATACAAATGATAGACGTATCCTATAAACATTATGTATGAACACACTTTAGAATTTTGTAATCAATGTGATAATATAATGAAAGGCAAAAGAAAATCGCCATGTTCAATAGTTGACATAAACGAACGAAATGTGATTAATCTACAGAAAAGGGTAGCCAGTCATAGTAACAGGTTACGCAAATTCAAATATCCTAGATTCGGAAAATAACTGAGGGTGGTGGTTGAGGATGCACTTTTCAAATATTCTTTCCTCAGTTCCAACGCGAAAAACACGGAGTATTTCTACTTTGCACAAACCCGTGAAGATTCCAGGGTAGAATAGGTCTTCAGCAACCCATGCTTGCCGTAAAAAGTGACTATGCTTGTCGTAAAAGGCGACTAACGGGATCGGGTTGTCAGGCTCGCTGACTTGGTTGATGCATGTCATCGATCCCAACTACGTGGATCGATGCTCATGATATTAATCACTGGTTTATCTCGTCCAGACTCGATTATTTACAGACCGCCGTCATATAGCTGAAATATTGCGGAGTGCGGCGTTAAACAACAAGCCAAACAACCAACTTTGCACAAGAAATACCCTGATAGTCACAACACTTTATCAAGCTCACGCTAATGACCAAATGATATGTAAAGTAACAGGTATGTTTGAATGTATTTGCATAAGTAAAATGTGGTATGCAATATCTGCTAAATGTTTTGTTTTCCTAACAGATGAAATAGAATGGTAATCTAGTGTAAATACTGACAAAAAGTAGAATTAAAAAAACATATTTGTCTCGTCACAAAAAACTCGTGAAGGAGTCGTCAACCTCAATCAGTTCGAAGATTGCAACTCAGAGAGGTCAACGACAGCCAGCTCGTCATTGTGTAATTAAATATATTTCAGCTTAAACGTAACTATGGTAAATAAATGTATAGAACTGTCTTGTTTGTATTTTGAAAGTTTTCTAGTTAGTGAGTGAATTTTCAAATATAAGAGTTTTCCATCAGATTGTCCGGAATTTCCCGAATCTTTTTGGAGAACTTCTCACGACACCAGTGTTAAATCAACAAAGGTTTTAAATATCGGAAATGAACTTTGACACTGAACACGCGGGGGTGAAAGCAGCACTGATCAGGGAATGGCCACTTCTTCACCAAGCCTTCTGTTGGCGAGTAGAGGGCACTTGGTGAGACGACTCACGCCGTACTGATCGTCTCCCCGAGCGGACTTGTGTTCTGCAACTTTAGTATTGGGTGCACTTCACCCTCATTTTACCGATTTTCTATACTTCCTGGCCCTATAATTTAACAAACGAAATGTGTTCACACATCTTTCATTTCCAATGGCAATAAATAGGTTTTCTGCGCACAATAATGTCAAATGTGACATTTCCACAATCAGATGGCGACTTTCGTTTCCTTTTATGTATATTATTTTCGGTATTATTTCTCACCTTAGAGAATTTGCATCGAACAGGGATGCAATTTTTCCACAATAGACTGCACATAGATGGGTATGATAATACCCATACACACGTTTACATGTAATGAACACAAGCATTTCTTTACAAGCGAAGGATCTCTCAAATTTCATAAAGCACACTGTACATGTACTTACAACGACATCTACGCAACTTTTACGCATATTTTATAATAAGTTTATACGTCATTTCAAAACAGTATCAAACAAATATATCCAACAAAAAACAATTCCATAATCATAAGAGTCCATTGTGCGATACCAACTAAACCATTACCATGTGTTTATAATGTCTGATGTTAATCCTTATTTTGTCTTTATGTTCCTGTATTTTTGTGGAAAACAATTGACGTGTCTTTGCCTGTTTTTGTGGCGGGTGCCACAGGGTGATACCTGATATCATCACTATGTGATAGCGATTCGTGAACACATGCTCACCCCGAGAATACTCGTGTTCTGCAACTTAAGTGTTGGGTACCCATCACCCTCATTTCACTGACTTGTATCTTTGTATTGTTCTTTGCCATATATAACAAATAAAATGTGTTGTTTTTTATGTCATAGAGTAATAAATAGAGTTACTCCGCACAATAGCGTCAAATGTAACATTTCCAGAATAAGGTGGCGATTTTCGTTTCCTTTTAAGCACATTGTGTCGGATATTATTTCTTTCCATAAAGCAATTGTGTAAAAGAATACCTATTACCTACAACCATCAAACGGGAATGTACTATTTCCACAATAGATTGCACATAGATGGGTATGATAAGAGGCACCAATACACACGTTTACATGTCATGAACACAAGCATTTCTTTACAAGCGAAGGCCAACCTCTCACATTTTATAAAATACACTGTACATTGTACTTACACTGACCTCTACGCAACTTGTACGAATATTTTATAATAAGTATATACGTCTTTACAAAACAGAATCTAATAAATACATGCAACAAAATATTTTCATAATCATAAGAGTCCATTGTGCGATAACGACTAAACCATAACCATCTGTTTATAATGTCCGATAGAATTCCTTTTTTTGACTTGTTCCCGTGTTGTTTTTTCCGGGTGAAGAATTGACTTCACCCTGCATGTGTTTGTTAAGGGTGCCTTCGGCGGGGCAGGATACGCCCACCATTTCGCGAACACCTTGCATCAACACTATTTGATATTGATTCACAAACACATCCTCATTTACACTCGAAATCGTACAATCGACTGGCAGAGATTTCCTGCAGCTGTGGAATAGGTTTTGCCGCTTTTATTATTATTATGAATCACGACCAAATGATACCAGGTGTGAAACAATATCCTGCCCCACCGGTGTCACCATCACAAAAACATGCAAAGACAAGACAATTGTTCACAATCCAATAAGTTATAAAGTATATATGTATGTTGTTAGTTTTGTTTTAACTTTTACTTATTACACGAATTTGTGTTCGAGATATTCGAATATCATGTTCGAATGATATGAATGAATTTCTACCAGTAACATTTACTACACATACCTGTGTATAAACTTAACCTTATAGAAATGGTTTGCTAAAAGGACATTAATAGTTTACCTGTTATATACTTTTCGTGTAACGTATTATAGCATCAATAACATCCTATTTGTAAGTTTTCTTTTCGTTTCTTGTCGTGAATGTTGACGCAACAAGAAATATGAGTTGAAACAATTCTGTGGCATCATACGAAAATACGTATTATGTGTCTAAAATATCTGACAACATTCCTTTATAAAGTTCATGATTAAAATAGCCACAGTGTAAGAAATAATTCATCAAATATACACCTGTACTAAAGACGATTCCTTGTCTGATGAGAAACATCAGCATGTCTCCATTGAAAACGAAATAAAACATGACTCTTCCCTCCGAAATACGCAGGTGATAATTGACCTCCGCTTAACACTGTTTTTATGCCACTATTCACATTTGGAAAAAACCCATCCATATTATAAATTATGGTGATACACGGGACATTGACCCATATACAAATTCTTCATGAGGTAAAGACAGGAACCTGTTTGGGAAGTTGATCCAAATATTTTGACATTGTTTCTTGCAGGGTATCAATAATCCTTGTCGAGAACAGTTTCACATATTTTATGGTTTACGCTAATTTTATTACTGAAGGCTAACATCTTGCTGACATATTCTTGTAATACACCACCCAGAAGAAATGGTATTTGTTTCAGGTACCAAGGCAGAGTTAGAAGCGCAATTCTTCTGAGATCGCAAGTATGCCAGCTACTGTGCACCAACGGAACTTGCATCAAGACTGCCTTTATATTCCTTTCAAGAACAGCCCCTAAAAGCAAGCAGGTCCTAACCCAAATTCAGCCCTGTGCAATACTGGCAATCATGATCGTGTGTTTCTATCCATCCATGTCGATTGTCAGAGCATGTTCGTCAGTGTCATCATCAGACAGAAACTCGTACAAGTTAGGGTCGTATGCTCCAAACGACAGTTGTCCAGACGTTACAGATGGCACGATGTCTTCCATCGGGATGCTTGAATCACCAAATGAGAGATCTGAAGCTATACCACAATGGCCAGTGGATACACTATGGCCCCTTGTTTGATTGTCACCCATGTTTCCTTGTGTAGTTTGACTTTCGAGACCTTTATTTCCATCATCTTCAGAACTACACTTATCTCTTCCACATGTAATCTCATCAGCCTCTGTTGGCACCTTACCACCAGTTGAAGTAATTTTGCAATAACAGCTTCTGTCTGCATTAGTTCCCGGTTGAGAAGTTGGATCAACTGTTTCTACATCTCTGCACCAAACTGTATCAACAACTGGACGAGCAGATTCACCTCGGTAAGCGACGCCATCAAAACTTAAACTTCTGGTCAAGGAGACTCGTTCACTGACCTTTGAGACATAAACCCGAGTCTCAGTTGCATCACCTTCTTGTGTTACAAAAGGTGCGTTTCCTACCTCGGATAATTTCTTTGCCTCTGCAATTTGGGTGTTGTCAGATCGTGGCGCACGTATTTGCAGAGTTGGAATCATGGTCTCTAAATCAACAGCTTCAAACTGCGGCACCGTGGATAAGTGACTGACCTGTGCCACATTGTCCGACGTATTTTTTGGCTCAGAAGTTGGCGATGCCACGTGTGGTTCGGGCGATTCAACGCCTGTTGTTATAACTGGTGCTTCTTTCAACATGTGGACATACATATCGTCTTCATCTGTTGGTTCTTTTTGTTTGTATTGAGAAATCAAGGCTGTGCTGGCAGATGACAACTCAGTTGTCATCGTGTGACTCTTCTGAAAGAACCCTGCTTTTCCTCCATTGTCAGAATCTTTCGATGATGTGGCATCTGTAAAAACATTCCTTTCTGTTGACAATGGTTCTATTTTCAAAATCTGTTTGCTAACATCAGTGTCTGTGTCATGAAGTTTTTGGTTCAAAAGGGAAACCAGTTTCTGCTTTTTCTTAACTGGTTGTTCACATGAGACACTTTTCACAGGTTTCTGGACATCCTCTTCGAACACTGATGGAATTAACGGATTTTGAATTTCCTCTGATTCTCCGAATAGCAAACTCTTTATGCATGTATTACTCAAGAACATGCTTGAATCACTGGATGTTCCCTGGATGCCTCTAGGGGTCTCCAAAGTCTTTGGGTAAATGTCCTTTTCAGTAGCTGTATCAACTTTCCCAGGAGTAGCATTTAGATTTAATTGCTTTACACCTGTTACAGTTGCAGATTTAGGATTTAACAGTCGAGGGCTTGCTAAAAGTGCCGTTTTCAGTTTCATTTTCATACCATCAGCAATAGTTTTCAAATTCATAGACGATGCTATTGGTGGCTTTGAAGTGGCTGAGGGTACTGGTTTCCTTGGTCTAGTCAAGTTCACTGGCTCTCGGTTAGCACGTCCTTGATCAGATATGTTATAGTGGAAACCCAGGTTATGATCCAGAGGAGTGTCCTGGTTTACTAGAGGTCCAGCTGTATGTAGGAATGAGGGTATGTTGTAGGGTCGGTGGAACAGTGGATGGATGATGTCCTGCATTGTAGGCGATGGACTCGGAGGATAGGGATACCTGTAGGGATCAACACAACCTCCGCTGAACATGCCGAGTGGAGGAAGGCAGGTCTCCACGGCCAACAGCTTGGACTGAAGTCAAGAATTTGAATAAGCTTTTAAAATTAAGCTATTTTAAAACATAACTGTGTCGACAAGTAACAGTCATGCTGGTTCATCATGTATACAATGAAATAGCACTTTAAACTGATGAAGAACTAGGGGAAACAGATTGACAATAGTAACAATATGTCTGTTTACAATGTAGCAGCACCTCGTATACTACACTTTCTAGTCTGTCGTTATTGTGATGCAACCAGATCATCACAACACATCACTATCTTCTGGTACATTGCTGCACAATCCCTTTCTTTTGCCATGTGTATTATCATTTACAACAAAACAGATGTACTACACTTAGTGTAGGGACCAAATATATAAAAGTATTGTCTAAACATCAACAACCCTACAATCTCAATCTTACCATCACCAACTTCCAAAATTGTGTCACATGTAGGTAATCTGGCTTCTGGCACCTCAATTCACCTGTCTCTCAGTTATATTGAGGCATCAGCATAATGTCCCATGATCAACATGTATCCACACAACCAGTGTGAACTGATCTGAGTGAGTATGGTTTAACGCCGCTTTTAGCAATATTCCAGCAATATCACAGCAGGGGACACCAGAAATGGGCTTCACACATTGTACCCATGTCGGGAATCGAACCCGGGTCTTCGGCGTGACGAGCGAACGCTTTAACCACTAGGCTACCCGACCGCCCCGTGAACTGATCTGAAGGAAGGGGAATCACACTGAGCAACTATACATAAAGTAGTAATTTCATCCAGTCAATTCAATCTATGTTTTGAGATGCAATGGTGCGATAATACATTCTAAAACAAGCTCACATCCAAAATACAAAAGCTTACATAACTCCAATTATAAGCATAAAAAGTGTAGCACCATGGACATTTTGTGCAGTGGCCTCGGTAAATCCTGTCATCCCAGCGACTCATTTCTTCTTCATCTTACACAACACAGTTCTGCCAGATGACATAGAGAGAGGAGACAACACAGCATACAGTTTGGAAGGATTTAATCATGATTTTCTTCCATACATTTGCGACTTCTTCAACAAGAGACACCAAATCAATAACAGATTTCCTGTAACTTCTTGAGTTTTTCTTTTATTCCTCAGTATTCATTTACATCTTTTTCAATATGAAAAATAATATTCTGAAAACTGGACTTCAATTTCAATTTTGTTTTGCAAATATGTTTTGAGATCATTGGTTTGGTGCTAAGTAACAAGTGAACTACAGATACACAGAACAGGGATGTAGTTGATAAAGAACATTAAGATGGAACCTCACATATCAAGCATCTGGGATCAAATGTTCCAACTACTACACTGAGCATTTTACTTCAGATGACCTTGTCTAATCTCAGACACAACTAGAACAAATACATATTGTAGTTAATGAGTAAAAGTCGATATCTGTTTATTCCTTATACTGTTACCTGCACGCACACAAAAAATTAATATACTCCGTAATCAGCAATATTCCAGCTATAACATTGCGGTGTGCAAATAATCAAGTCTTTAGGAGACATCCTGTGATTGAAATTGTGAGAAACGATCGGGGTATGAGGACACACAATCAAGCAAGTGTTCGAGCCTGATCACCCAATCTATTCGCCTCCTATAACTACTACTATACTAATTCAACTGCATACATGAAACTATCACATGATCGTCTTGTATTTTGTGCATGAATGAACCTGTGACGCTGATTATTTTTAAGATATTGTTTATCAAATACATCCCTGTTGCATACTTGCTAACAATCAATAGTAAGCACAGTCAAAAAGCATAGGAGCACACATTACCAAGTCATGTGTACACAGGAGCGTGATGAAAAAGAGGGAGTGAATGAGTATGGTTTTACAAGGTTTTTAGCAATATATCACCAAAATCCCACTGAGCGACACCAGGAACGGGCTTCAAACATTATTCCCATGTGAACCAAGACCTTTGGCATACCCCAACGCCCCTGTGTTTCTTTCCTCTTGTTTGTAGTTGGAAGCACATATCATGTTTACTTCATGTTATAACATTGAAACTAAGGCAATTTGAAAAGTTTTGTGGCAGAGAAAAGGTGGCCGACTTTTGGCTACCTCACTTATGAGCTAACCTAATTTTGATATTGTGTATGAGAGAAAACGTAATAACTACAAACAATTTTGCAGGTAAGCCATCCTTGGGACGTAACAGGAATGCTCAGCATCATTCTCATCTGTTGTGTAGAGTAACACACTAACTCAATGCACATGCCTCATAAAGCAGCCATGTTAAATACATTACAGTTAGCAGCACAAGTAAAAGATTTTAAATAACGAGCTACGAATTGTCAAATAAATCTACTGCATGTACATGGTAGTCAGTCAGCATTCAAATGCGTAACGAATGAACAGAGATGAAAATAAACAAAGACAACAATGCTCTGCACAAAAAGCGCCTTCCAAAAATATTTATTTGTCATCAGAAAGTGCAACAACTTGCTTGCTAAGCTGTGGACAAAATCAGTACAGAAATATGCACCATGCCTCCACACAGAGATATATACACCATCACTAATAGTGACCATGCGGAAGGTGTACCTGTACCGCTGAAGTCAGTTTCCCTGGCGACGGAAACACCAGTGCATCATCTCCTTCTGATTGGCTAGTAGTTCCAGTCGAACTGGCATCTGATTGGCTTGTAGATACCTTGCTGCCATCTGATTGGCTGGTTTGAATTTTGGTTAAATCTGATTGGATGGGCAGCTTAGATGGACCAGTGGGTGATGAGAAGGGAGACTGAATGTTCTTTTTAGGTGAAGGTGAGAAAGGTCCTGTATGTTTTGGGGAGAGGAAGGCTGGATCCCCGGGTGAGCTGTGGTCAGACGTCTGAGAAGGGGCCTTATTTGTGGGAGGTGAGAGGAATCCTGCTGTGCTCAGGTTTGCCGACTTGTTCGCATCCGATGACTGAAAGAGTGAGTGAGTTGGGTTTATCACAACTTTGAACAGTATTTCATCAATATTACATTGTATCAGCCCAGGTCGTGAATTGTACCCCTCTTGGCCAACACATATGCAGGGGTATGGCGCTGACAAACTAAAGATCTGTTGATCCTGGCACATCCAGGGGAAACAACTCTGCACAGAGTCTTGTGATTTGTCTGAGATCTTTGTGACTTTACTATAAAGTTCCAAATTGAAATATACAATATTTTTAAATAGAGACAGAAAAGACTTACCAAAGTCAACTTACATTCTTCATTCTAGATAAGTCTTTCACTGGTACATACCCATAAGCACTAATGTAGAGACATCACAAGCAAATGTGAGTAATCTGTTTGACCCACTGATCAAAGCTCCCCAATGTGCCATGGAATCTAGAGCAACTCTATCACCTAATCAACTGTTAACTACCTGAGATGAGGGTCTGTTCATGGCTGATCTTTGCTGACAGAATTTGGTTGCTTGTTCCAGGATGGGCTGGCTGCTGTCAATCTGCAAGTAGAGATGTTGCATGTTTCCTCTTACTAAGACTTCAGACTATCCTCAAAAATAAACAATTTGAGCAACTACATATTCATTTGATCATTTTCACATGTAACCATAAAAAAGAGTGCTTAATACATGTGCATATTGCTGAGCTTGCATTCTATTTGATTACCCAAATCAAGCATATGTAGTGATCAAAGATGAATACACAGTGCCAGTCCCGAGAATGACCAACACACACCTCCAATGGCAGACTGGAACCTTATCAATTAACCCACCACACCAACCTAAGGCACAATCCTGCTACACTCACATAATCCTTTTGTACAAGTTTGTACACCTTGACAAACAGGTCTGTACAGCCATCCACAAAAGCATTCAGCTTGTGGGATGAGTGATGCCACACTCTGTACACAGTCATCAGGTAGTCCAGCTGCTTGTCTCGGGGCTTCTTCCGGTCCCAATGCTTCAGTTCCTCTGTGACGGCCTCTTGGATTGCCTTGAAGGACGACTTGGCAAAGCAGTTCCTCTCCTGATCTCGGAGATATTTCCTAAAACATGCATGGCACTGACTAAAGCATCAACCAAGTCAGCGAGTATGACAAACTGATCCCGTTAATCGCCTCTTATAATAAACATGGTTTGCTGAAGGCCAATCCTACCCAGATTTTCATGGGAGTTTTTAGTGCTGACCAGATACACACATGGGTCAACATATAATACCTATAAGACATAACTACTGAAAATCTAAAATTCTTCTCGCTTATTTAAAAAAACTAGTTGTATGTGAGCAAGAGCTTGTGAAATTTCATTTTCCCTTATCCAATTGAAAACTTGAATACAGATTGTCAAGAGCTTAAGTTAATTTCAACTGCAATAAACAAAAAACATTGTCCACTCACTTGCCAGTGTCCAGAGATCGGTTCAGCTGGATGTGGATGTGGTACAGCATCATGATGTCCTTTTGTTCTGTGAGGATGTCCAGCAACAGACGCACACTACGGTGGATGTGAGATGCGAAGCTCCCTGATCTATCTATCTCTTCAATGGGGATCTTCCATATACCCTGGAGCAAGATACAGTGTTAATCAGTGGCAGTCCTAAAGCAACAGGAGGTAACAATGGTAAAACTTACCGGAGTAACTCCTGCCTTGAAATAATTAAAAACTCATAACCCACAGAAGTATAAAAAAATCATGTATGTTTGGTTAGGGTTAGGGCAAGAAGTATAAAAAGTTCATGTGTGTAGGGTGAGGGTTAGTGCTAGAAGTATAAAAAGTTCATGTGTGTAGAGTGAGGGTTTGGGTTTGGGTTAGGGCTAGAAGTATAAAAAGTTCATGTGTGTAGGGTGAGGGTTAGGGTGAGGGTTAGTGCTAGAAGTATAAAAAGTTCATGTGTGTAGGGTGAGGGTGAGTGCTAGAAGTATAAAAAGTTCATGTGTGTAGAGTGAGGGTTTGGGTTTGGGTTTGGGTTAGGGCTAGAAGTATAAAAAGTTCATGTATGTAGGGTGAGGGTTAGTGCTAGAAGTATAAAAAGTTCATGTGTGTAGGGTGAGGGTTAGGGTGAGGGTTAGGGTGAGGGTTAGTGCTAGAAGTATAAAAAGTTCATGTATGTAGGGTGAGGGTTAGTGCTAGAAGTATAAAAAGTTCATGTGTGTAGGGTGAGGGTTAGTGCTAGAAGTATAAAAAGTTCATGTATGTAGGGTGAGGGTTAGTGCTAGAAGTATAAAAAGTTCATGTATGTAGGGTGAGGGTTAGGGTTAGGGTTAGTGCTAGAAGTATAAAAAGTTCATGTATGTAGGGTGAGGGATAGGGTGATGGTTAGTGCTAGAAGTATAAAAAGTTCATGTATGTAGGGTGAGGGTTAGTGCTAGAAGTATAAAAAGTTCATGTATGTAGGGTGAGGGTTAGGGTGAGGGTTAGTGCTAGAAGTATAAAAAGTTCATGTATGTAGGGTGAGGGTTAGTGCTAGAAGTATAAAAAGTTCATGTGTGTAGAGTGAGGGTTCGGGTGAGGGTTAGTGCTAGAAGTATAAAAAGTTCATGTATGTAGGGTGACAGTTAGTGCTAGAAGTATAAAAAGTTCATGTATGTAGGGTGAGGGTTAGTGCTAGAAGTATAAAAAGTTCATGTATGTAGGGTGAGGGTTAGTGCTAGAAGAATAAAAAGTTCATGTATGTAGGGTGAGGGTTAGTGCTAGAAGAATAAAAAGTTCATGTATGTAGGGTGAGGGTTAGTGCTAGAAGTATAAAAAGTTCATGTATGTAGGGTGAGGGTTAGTGCTAGAAGTATAAAAAGTTCATGTGTGTAGAGTGAGGGTGAGTGCTAGAAGTATAAAAAGTTCATGTGTGTAGAGTGAGGGTTTGGGTTTGGGTTAGGGCTAGAAGTATAAAAAGTTCATGTATGTAGGGTGAGGGTTAGTGCTAGAAGTATAAAAAGTTCATGTGTGTAGGGTGAGGGTTAGGGTGAGGGTTAGTGCTAGAAGTATAAAAAGTTCATGTATGTAGGGTGAGGGTTAGTGCTAGAAGTATAAAAAGTTCATGTGTGTAGGGTGAGGGTTAGTGCTAGAAGTATAAAAAGTTCATGTATGTAGGGTGAGGGTTAGTGCTAGAAGTATAAAAAGTTCATGTATGTAGGGTGAGGGTTAGGGTTAGGGTTAGTGCTAGAAGTATAAAAAGTTCATGTATGTAGGGTGAGGGATAGGGTGATGGTTAGTGCTAGAAGTATAAAAAGTTCATGTATGTAGGGTGAGGGTTAGTGCTAGAAGTATAAAAAGTTCATGTATGTAGGGTGAGGGTTAGGGTGAGGGTTAGTGCTAGAAGTATAAAAAGTTCATGTATGTAGGGTGAGGGTTAGTGCTAGAAGTATAAAAAGTTCATGTGTGTAGAGTGAGGGTTCGGGTGAGGGTTAGTGCTAGAAGTATAAAAAGTTCATGTATGTAGGGTGACAGTTAGTGCTAGAAGTATAAAAAGTTCATGTATGTAGGGTGAGGGTTAGTGCTAGAAGTATAAAAAGTTCATGTATGTAGGGTGAGGGTTAGTGCTAGAAGAATAAAAAGTTCATGTATGTAGGGTGAGGGTTAGTGCTAGAAGAATAAAAAGTTCATGTATGTAGGGTGAGGGTTAGTGCTAGAAGTATAAAAAGTTCATGTATGTAGGGTGAGGGTTAGTGCTAGAAGTATAAAAAGTTCATGTGTGTAGAGTGAGGGTTAGTGCTAGAAGAATAAAAAGTTCATGTATGTAGGGTGAGGGTTAGGGTGAGGGTTAGTGCTAGAAGTATAAAAAGTTCATGTATGTAGGGTGAGGGTTAGTGCTAGAAGTATAAAAAGTTCATGTATGTAGGGTGAGGGATAGGGTGAGGGTTAGTGCTAGAAGTATAAAAAGTTCATGTATGTAGGGTGAGGGTTAGTGCTAGAAGTATAAAAAGTTCATGTATGTAGGGTGAGGGTTAGTGCTAGAAGTATAAAAAGTTCATGTATGTAGGGTGAGGGTTAGCGTGAGGGTTAGGTCTAGAAGTATAAAAAAGTCATGTATGCAGGCTTAGGGTTGCCCTGACCCAAGGAAAAATTGATGCAGGTGTATGGATGGAAATCTTTCCTGAAAAAATGTTATTACTTCTGTGTTGTTATGTAATGACCTCTTCTTTCAAAACATCCATCACTATATTACATGGGTGCCCAGCTGTGTAAAGCAATGGTTCCACAATCAACCCGGTCTTGGGTTTGAATGACAGATGCATGCTTATAAAGATTCTTGAGTCTTGTAGTACCATGACATGTGTTTCAACAGGAAAAGGGCTTTCCTCTGACTTGTTGATACACCATGGTATTACTGAAAGACTGTACCTGGAAGAAGTTGGCTGTCCGTCTCTCTGCAAACAGACCTGGCCCGGGCATGTGAGACAGGTTCTGCCAGTTGTTGTTGCCTAGCAACAAGTCCCTGGCATACTCCAGGTTCTGGAACAATGATGGATACATATTTCATGTTTCAAGAAGAATGTGAGTACCTGTCTTGGTGTTCCTTACAATTACATAGCAAAGAGGATGAATGAACATCCTCAAAACCCTATCCCCCTTGTTGACAAGATGACTAAATAGATCATCAAAGATAAAGATAAAGATTTTCACATTTCAAAATTTCACACTCTCTTGTCTGAGGGAATTTGCACTACACAAAGTCATTTTCAAAATGTTTTCTGCCCTAAGGACAAAGTTTGATTATTACAGGATCAACAACTAAGTGTGTGAGGTATTACCGGTATATTGTGATGCAAATCTTCAGCAATACGTATTGCGATACCTTTGTAAATGTAGCAATATATCGAGGCAAATATTATATTTATGTGTTCCTAATCGAGATGGAAAATAGTATCTTTCTCCTACAACTAGCCTCTGACGATCTTTTTATCAATTAGTATGTACACATGTCAATCTCCTCACAGCGATAGCCTGTCTGCAAAGCTCTTTATACTGAGAGCATAACAAAGGTGTCACACGCTTGGAAGAAGCTTGATGGTATCTGACATTAATACAGTGTATAACTCTGATTAACTCATGAAAATGAAAATTGGCAATATATTGCAATATGCATCACAATACAGGTTAAAGTATGGCAATATATTGCAATACAAAATCTAGGTCAATACACAGCCCTATCAACAACTAAATATTTTGTAACATACATATGCTACAATCAGTATCTGACACTGCCTACTGAAGAACATCACAACACTTGCAATCATGGTAATCTCAAAATGTTAAAATCACCGTCTGACCCAAGAACTCAGAAGAACTCATTGTCTATGGTCGGTCTCAATGTGGCAGAAAGAGACATGGTTCAACACATTCCATTCAGTACTTTAAACCTCATAAAATCAAGGTCTGTTGTGCAAAAGTGCTGATCTTTGACAATGTCATCAATAAGGGTGCTGTCAAGAAACGATATAATAGTGTGTGAGTTTTAAAGATTTCACTGTATTTACGGTAGTTTGAAAAGTTCAAAGGCATCAATCTTTTGCTTTTTCAAGATGAACCAATTAAATCAAAATATTTTCAAACCTTTACAAACCCTATCTAACAGATACCATGGCAAATGAAATTCAGAACCAAATATATTGTTATGAAACTCTTTGCAGACAGAATTCTTTTCGGGTACAACTATATATACTAATAACTAATTAGCAACAAGCAAACATAAATGTTCTGTTATATTGTCTGTTTGTTGTTTAACGCTGCACTCAGCAATATGACAGCTATATAACAACGGTCTGTAAATATTGGAGTGGACCAGATAACCCAGTGATTGACATCATGAACATCAATCTACGTCATTGTGATACGAATACATGCATCAACCAAGTCAGCAAGACTGACCACTCAATTCTGTTTTTACTTGACAAGCACAAGCGTGAAGACCAATTCTTACTCGTATCTGCATGCAGGTGTTCTGTTATAATGATGGCATAAGTTTTCTGTCTTACCTTGTGGTATGGCGATGTCATGTACACGTGAGCCAGTCTGTACAGAGACTTGTAGTGAGTGGGGAAGCGCTGCACACACAGATGAAGTGCATCTACACACTTGTCAATCAGCTCCGTGTGGAGGATCTCTGTGTCCAGGGAGTCCTGCTGATATGAGTCCGACTCATCCGAGTTATCAGACAACCGTGATGATTCATCATGAAGCGATTCATCATCTGGTTTAGACTTCTCAGTCTTTGTGGTTTCACGTTTCGGAGAGTCCTTAGAACTAGTGCTATTCTCCTTAACCTTTCCAAAAAGCTCTTTTTTGGCTTCAGGTCCAACTTTAGTTTCAGAATCTTTACAAGAGTCAGATGGCTTCTTAAGGGACAAGGATACTGTAGATTTAGCAGGATTTGAAGATTCATCATCACTAATCTCAATAACATCTATGTCATGGACAGGAGGGGCTTTCCCTAAGACTGGAGTACTTGCAGCAGGTTTGGGGTCCTTCACAAGATCCTCCACAGTCTTGGCTTTACTCTTGTCACTGACTACAGATCCTAGCACGTCATCAACCTCCATGTCATCCTCTAGCATAGGCACCATCAGGCCAGTGGCGGGATCTAACACCAACACACTATCATTCAACTCGTCCTTGTCTTTCTGTTTCGTTTCACTTGGGTCAGAAGCATCCTTGCCTTTGTCAGCTGTCACTTTATCATCACCAGATGTCACTTTATCATCACCAGATGTCACTTTATCATCACCAGGCATCACTTTATCATCACCAGGCATCACTTTATCATCACCAGGCATCACTTTATCATCACCAGGCATCACTTTATCACCATCTGGCATCACTTTATCACTTTCAGACTTAGCACTATCGGCTTTGATGTCCTGTGAATCACTTTTCTGTCGTTTTTCTTCGGGAATTGATTTCAATTCCTTACCCACACTCTTCTGTTCAGCACCTCCTGCTGTAACATCCCCATCTTTGGGCACAAAACCTGTACTCACGTGTCTCTGGATCTTTAGCAAATCTCCATCTTTCGACACCTCCATGGCTTCAGGTTTGCTTTCAGCTTCTTTTTCCGATTTTCCAGATTTATCCTCCGACTTCTGCCCCTCCTTAGCAGCCACGGCTGCAGGTTTGGAGTGGGAGCTGTCGCTGCCCTGACCTTCCTTGACCACATCACATGACGTGTCCGACCCGTCCACTGAGCTCTTCTGCTTGGAGTAGGTGTGGTCCTGGGGGGTCATGTGATACACAGGGCGGGCCTTCAGCTGGCTGTAGGCTGGGGGGGTGAGGTTGGAGGAGGAGCTCTCGTCCATGGAGTTAGAGTGGGACTCTCGTCTGCATTAAACATGTACCTCATTACACAGAGTTATTAACACTGATTGAATGAATGATATACCCAAGTGAGCAACATTTCAGCTATAATCACATCTGGTTGGAAACCCCAGGTGATGCAGGCGTTTACCACTTTGGTTAAAGTCACAAGCATGGGTATCGTGCTGACAAACCCGAAACATAATCAGGGAAATCTGGGACAGGAACATTGCAAAAATTCCAATCTTCAGAACCTGACAAACCGTTGAGACAGGCACAAAGCTCACCTTTCATGCCTCTTCTCCTTGCCCTTTGCAAATGGACTCTCGGCAGCCTCAGTGAGGTAGTGCTGGAACAGCTCGTAGTCCACCATCCCGTCCTTCTTCAGCAGCTGCTTCAGGATGGCCACGTGCAGGCGGTAGAACACCTGAAACATCATCTTGACATTACGTATGCTCTATAGGTAGAAGACCTGTAGCATAATCTCGACATTACGTATGCTCTATAGATAGAACACCTGAAACATAATCTTGACATTACGTATGCTCTATAGGTAGAAGACCTGAAACATCATCTCGACATTATGTATGCTCTATAGGTAGAACACTTGAAACATCATCTTGACATTACGTATGCTCTATAGGTAGAACACCTGAAACATCATCTTGACATTACGTATGCTCTATAGATAGAACACCTGAAACATAATCTTGACATTACGTATGCTCTATAGGTAGAGCACCTGAATCATCATCTTGACATTACGTATGCTCTATAGGTAGAGCACCTAAAACATCATCTTGACATTATGTATGCTCTATAGGTAGAGCACCTGAAACATAATCTTAACATTACGTATGCTCTATAGGTAGAACACCTGAAACATCATCATGACATTACGTATGCTCCATAGGTAGAACACCTGAAACATCATCATGACATTACGTATGCTCTATAGGTAGAGCACCTGAAACATAATATTAACATTACGTATGCTCTATAGGTAGAACACCTGAAACATCATCTTGACATTACGTATGCTCTAAAGGTAGAGCTCCTGAAACATCATCTTGACATTACGTATGCTCTATAGGAAGAGCTCCTGAAACATCATCTTGACATTACGTATGCTCTATAGGTAGAACACCTAAAACATCATCATGACATTATGTATGCTCCATAGGTAAAACACCTGAAACATCATCTTGACATTACATATGCTCCATAGGTAGAACACCTAAAACATCATCATGACATTACGTATGCTCCATAGGTAGAACACCTGAAACATCATCATGACATTACGTATGCTCTATAGGTAGAACTCCTGAAACATCATCTTAACAATAATTTATGCTCTGTAGGTAGAACTGAAAACACCCATTTAACATCATCAATGTTCTTTAGGTGGAACACTGTAACATCATCATAACATCCATTTTAACATCAGCAATGTTTTATAGGTAGAACACCTGAAAACACCATCTTAACATCAACTGTTCTCTGCCGACCTTTTGTATTAACACATCATTTAAAACATCATCTACGCTCCATTAGTATGTGTTTGTTTGTCATTTTAATGTTTAAGCCACACTCCAGCTAAATGACAGCGGTCTGTAAATAATCGAGTCTGGACCAGACAATCCAGTTATTGATATCATGAACACTGATCCACGCAATTGGGACATGATGCCATGCATCAACCAAGTCAGCGAGCCTGACAACCCAATCGCGACTTACGACAAGCATAATCTCTTCTTACGGCAAGCAAGGGTTGCCGAAGTCCTATTCCAACCCAGATCTTCACAAGTGGCTAGGATGTAATATATTGAAGTCTACTGTTGATAATCAATGGAACATACACCCCTTATAAATGTTTCAGTAATTAGAGTAATTAGCAGCAAACAAGAATGATCATATTCACATTCAGACCCTAACAAAAACAAATCAACTTTGAACTTATAATCCAGTTATTGATATCATGAGCATCGATCCACGCAATTGGGAAACGATGACATGCATCAACCAAGTCAGCGAGCCTGAAAACCTGATCCCACTTGTCGCCTTTTACGACAAGCATAGTCGCCTTTTACGGCAAGCATAGTCGCCTTTTACGACAAGCATAGTCGCCTTTTACGACAAGCATAGTCGCCTTTTACGGCAAGCATAGTCGCCTTTTACGACAAGCATAGTCACCTTTTACGACAAGCATAGTCGCCTTTTATGACAAGCATAGTCGCCTTTTACGGCAAGCATGGGTTGCTGAAGACCTATTCCCCAGATCTTCATGGGTCTGCTCCACTTGTAGAAGAATTGGAAATACACAATCTACATGTGTAGTTGTACAAGTTACATGTGAAACGTGACTCCTCTAGTTCAAGAGGCAACATGTCTGTGCTATAGACGTTGCCAACCAATTGATAGCACAAGTATCTGTGAATGTTGTTGTGAAACTATGACACCTTATCAGCCAGGTCACACACTGTAAACACAGTTGGCTCCTAATACAACAATGGAGTATGTGGGAGTTGAGAATCTGTTACCTCGAGTGCTTCCAGAGCCAGTTTGGGTGGGCTGTTGGCGTATGTGATCTTCTTGGGATAGAAGGCCTCATCTTCGTGGAGGTAGATTGCTGCCTGGAATAGGGAGAGGTCCCAGTGAATGTTTTAATACCCTGAATACACTGCTACACATGTGTAACACCTACCCAATACATTCACTGTATGAACAGTAAACAAAACACTGGAAATTATCATCTGCAGTGACTGAAAGGTCATAACAAGTTAACTCGGTTCCAAGTATAGCTGTAGTGCTCCAAGTACAACTCACCTGTCTGTAGTGCTCCAGGTATTCTTTAGGGTGACACCTCTTCTTCTCCTTCACCTTGCCTATCATGTAGTGGTGCAGCCACTCCTCCTCGCTGCCATCAGCCTCACACTCGCTGGCTTTCCAGTAACAGTTCTGGGCGATCTGCAGCATCTCCTGCTTTGTGTCCGTCACAATCCCCAGCAGCTCCTCGTACAGGGGGAACCAGTCTCTCTGTGGGGATACAGAGATATAAGACAGAGTCATCCATATTCCCTGCCATCCTACAGGGGGAACCAGTCTCTCTGTGGGGATACAGAGATATGTCAGAGTCATCCATATTCCCCTCCATCCTACAGGGGGAACCAGTCTCTCTGTGGGGATACAGAGATATGTCAGAGTCATCCATATTCCCCTCCATCCTACAGGGGGAACCAGTCTCTCTGTGGGGATACAGAGATATGTCAGAGTCATCCATATTCCCCTCCATCCTACAGGGGGAACCAGTCTCTCTGTGGGGATACAGAGATATAAGACAGAGTCATCCATATTCCCCGCCATCCTACAGGGGGAACCAGTCTCTCTGTGGGGATACAGAGATATAAGTCAGAGTCATCCCTATTCCCCGCCATCCTATAGGGGGAACCAGTCTCTCTGTGGGGATACAGAGATATAAGTCAGAGTCATCCATATTCCCCGCCATCCTACAGGTGAACCAGTCTCTCTGTGGGGATACAGAGATATAAGTCAGAGTCATCCATATTCCCCACCATCCTACAGGTGAACCAGTCTCTCTGTGGGGATACAGAGATATAACACAGAGTCATCCATATTCCCCGCCATCCTACAGGTGAACCAGTCTCTCTGTGGGGATACAGATATATTAGTCAGAATTCCCCACCATCCTACAGGTGAACCAGTCTCTCTGTGGGGATACAGAGATAGAAGACAAAATTCCCCACCATCCTACAGGGGGAACAAGTCACTCTTGTGACATCAGAACCAGACAGCATGGGACATTACATTGTGGCCAATCACTGATATTGTCTGATCCAGACTTGACAACATGCAGGATGTCACATAGCTTGAGTGTAGAAGCAACAAACAAACAAATCTTTGAGAAATCCCCTAAGAGGACCTGGATCACCTACCATCTTGAGTTGCCTGGAAGCATGTGAGTGGAGCTGGTAGGCCAGGGAGCCGTACTCTATCCACAGGTTCCTCTGTGTCTCGTCAATCTCCACCGCGCGGCGGAAACACCGCAGAGCTGCTATAGACTTCTTGTGTATAGAGATGTCCATGCGCAGCTCCATCTGAAATGAGTTGCTAGATTACATGGGCCATCAAGTACAGGTGTACCAAAACCTTGACAAAAATTTAAAGTTCCTGTAATTAAAGTAATTATTAAATCTTACAATACGGTACACGAGGCCATTTCATTACTTTACAGGAACCTCGTATTTACTGGAAGGACCCTTGAAATTAGTAACCCGGGGGTCCTCATGGTCCTCTGGACCCATGGTTTTGTAGGTCAATGTAAAACCCTGCCTTTCAACCTTGTTTTTTAATGGATTTCCATTGTTTGTGGGTAAAAATTGACATTCTCGGTGAAGAATTTTTGAAAGAATTAATTCCTCTGACGAAGAGTGTAATGACCACATCAATAATGAGTTTGTGTTTCAATTTTAGGACTCCAAAATTGTGTTTGTAGTTTAATGCCACACTCAGCAATATTCCAGCTATATGACAGCAGGCTTTAGATAATCGGGTCTGGACCAAACAATCCAGTGATCGATATTGAGAGTAAGTGAGTGAGTTGGGTTTAATGCAGCTTTGAATACTATTCCAGTTGTATTACCACAATCGATATTGAATGCAGCGAGACACTCCAAAAGTAAAGTGACCCAACTTCAAAACAAGGCTTGATCCTGGTTAAAGTTTACAGTGAAAATAGTTATCATTAGGATTTATGACAAGAAATCTTCCCTTACCGAGCTGAGCTTCTGTTCCAGCTGGCTCATCCGCGCCAGTGCCAACCCTGCCCACGAGTCTAGTCTGGTGGGGTTGCTGCCGAGATCGTACATGTAGAACTTGATAGCCTTCCTGAAACAAAATGGCAACATGTCATACTTGGAGAGCTTGATGGCCTTCTGAAACAAGATGATGACATATCCTACATGTAGAACTTGATGGCCTTCCTGAAACAAGATGGAGACATGTCATACATGTAGAATATAAAGACCTTCCTGAAACAAGATGGCGACATGTCATACATGTAGAACTTGATAGCCTTCCTGAAACAAGATGGTGACATGTCATACTTGGAGAACTTGATGGCCTGCTTGAAACAAGATGGCGACATGTCATACATGTAGAACATAAAGGCCTTCCTGAAACAAGATGGCGACATGTCGTACTGTAAATTCCCCTCGACAGGTTGAGTAAGAACTAAAAAGACAGGGGTTCAGCAAACAATCACTTGATTAGCTTTTTGTATGCAGTTGTAACAAAACGGTTGTCATGTGAGGTGTTGAGAACTGATGCTGAGTGTCTACTTACGGTGTTTCCTTATTCTTGAAGTAGTAGTCGCCCAGGAGGTAATACAGACCCTTCAAGATGGAGCTGGAGAACAGGGAACACATTACCATTAGGCTGTCAACACAGAGTATCTTTATTGTAAGCTGTCACAACATTTTCATCATCATTTTCAGTTTCACCAGAATGTTAAATCGCGACAGAATGGAATTTCCATTTCTGCCATGCAAAGATATGAAATACCGTTGAAAGCAGTGTCAAACACATCTCACTTAGGCTTGGATTTCTTTTCGCGAAATTTTTTAGAAAATGTAAAATGAAAAACGGCAATAATTTATAAATGGAAATTACAAAATTGCAAGTAAAATGATTTTATCACTGAATTTGGAAAGTCTCGCCCAACTGAGAATAATTAGAGCCTGTATGACTCACCTGTCTGTCTGTGAGGATGGGGCGGTGTTGGTGTTCCCTTCGATGTAGTTCTGAACTGTCTCGTGATGTTTGGCTGTATAAAAGTTTAATATTTGTACAACGTGTATCTGAATAGAAAGTCCAGAAGAATCAATTCTTCATCCATCACAGCATCATTGTCTAGGCATGAAAAGATGCTGCCACACAGTGCCATGGTACTGTAGTTCACCTCATCATATGCTATTAATTATATTTCATCCCCTGTGAAGATCCAGGTCAAAAATGGTCTTCAGCAACCCATGACTTGTCGTAAGAGGCAACAAATTGGATCGGGTGCTTAGCTTAGCTGACCTGGTAAATGCATGTTATCATATATAACAGTATAGATCGCTGCTCATGGTGACAATCACGAGATTGTCTGATCTAGATTGTCTGATTGGTTATTTACAGACTGCAGTCATATATCTGGAATATTGCTGAGGGGGGCATTAAACAACAAACAAACAAACTTTTACTTCAGCAACTGAAATGGGTCAACAAACATAACCACTGCTTTTGTCAACATCAATATTTTGACTTCCTGTATTCACTGTGTTACATGTTAAAGACCCACCTTTTATATATCTAAATGTGCAAACATAATAACCAGAGATTATTAGCCAAAAGTGTTGATGAACTGAAAATATCACAGTTCGGAACCAAAATTGTCTTTAGCAAGCCTTGCTCAAGGACAACACATATTTATTGTCCCTAACATATGTACAATGGGGTGACCTTTCACAGCTATGATGACCCGAGACTGACCAGGTCATGTGATGTCATCCAGGATGTGGTGACGTACCTAACTTCAAGGGTGAAATGTAATTATCTTTTGTCTTATCATGCTTTTGCCATAATTGACAAAAAACGTAAAAACTATGTGGAAGCATTTTCAGGGCCTGGACCAGGTCCACAACAGTGTGGTCCAGAACCCCCCTTGTACTTACTACTATGCAGGAACACACAAAAGTAGTAATCTCTTCATCATAATATATCATACCTCCATGTCAGAATGATGAGATCTGATTGGTTTGAGTGATCTTGATAAAAAAACTATGAATCCCGCCTTGGAGGGAAATAAATTTATAAGAGGGTGAATAAATCCCTTATACCCCGCCATGACAAAATCTGGCTGCACGTGGATTTTCGAGAGGCAGAATAAATCCCTTACACCCCGCTTCGATGCAAAAAGCCGCACTTTTTCCCCCCGAGTCTATAAAAAGTCATGTGACAGCACAAGTTAACCTCAGCTCAATCAAAAAGCTGTTTTCTATCAACTTTGAATTTTAAATTTGCATAATTTGCATTATGCAAAAATATTTAATAGTTAATTTCACACCATACCTTCATGTGCCACTGTAGCTGAGGTTGACAATTACACGCTCCCAAATCAAACCATGCAGGTTTGAACACCCCTGGCGACACATGTTTTCAGGAAAAAAATGAAATTATTCACTTGTCAATAAATGTAAAAAAATAGTTCCGTCTGTTCCAAGTGGAAATTAATTCAACTGTTGGTTCAAGATAACGTATGGTTGACAAACAACTCTCCATACCTGAAAAATAATGGAGCATTCAAACAATAGAATGACGTCACAGATGTGTTTTAATATGTTTTCTCACCTGCACCGACATCACTTGGAACCAGAGCAAACAGCCGGCGGAGGAGATTCTCAAACTGAAATACAGAACATTGGTTAGCCCCTTGGCACATCCGAGTCCTGCAGGTATGACGGATCACCTTCATGAGTTGTTATGGCACTATATATTGGGAGCTAAAGTGTTTAACATTGATTAACATTGATCGTACATGCAGATATTATTTTCTACATACAAGAATAAATATGGTCAGTCGCCCTGTGCTTTTGTACCCAAGAACAAGGCTATTCGTTTTATATACCTTCCATGTTTCCATGTCCCAGGATAGCGACCATGCCAAACTTCAATATTAATCAGAGTGCAACCAGTGGGATGCAGAAAATGTGTCTGCATGTCTAGGAAGGAATGCTATTTCATTATTTGGTACCACTTATTTATGTACATTGAAAAATACAACAGAGATTCTTTCCTTTCAACTGACCAACTCCAGATCTTTTTTTTTACTAGCAGCCTCTGAACATAGGCAATTTTATGTCATTTCTTGTAGAGTGCTGTATCAAATTTTTAACATTTCTCTGGGACCCTCATTTTGTTGCATGGGACCCCCTATTTCAAACTGGGACCAAGACAATTCAAAGCTTTGAGTCCCAGGACTCCTAAAATACCTAAGTCCCTGTTGTTCCTATCAGAAGAGGGCAATAACATTGTGACTGAAGTGATTACCTCAGCTGACACTGTGTTGGCTTTGTAGCTGTCGTACTCAGGGAAGGTGGAGGGTTTGAAGTAGTCAAACACTATCCCGGCCTTTTCCCAGACAAAAGATATCTGAAAGACAAGCAACATTCATTGGGTAATTAAATAGTTCTTGGTGTATTTAATAAAATGTTTTTCTTCAACAAGAATGAACAAACAAACGACAAATATTTTTGGTATATGTGGCACAAAACATAATATCATAAGACATTGACATGGCATTAAGAGGCTGGAGTACGAGGAAGACGGAGTAGACTTATTCATAGAGCTGACTGTACCAAAACATTGAAAGACACAACAAAGCTGAAATCAAAAAGTCAGTTCCAATGCTTAAAGCCTTTGTTAATAGATATTTTTTCTGGAAACCAGGACCCACTTGCACAAAGCGATCTTAGCGCTAAGATGATCGTAACTCCCATACTTACACAGGCTTACAATAGTCGTAGAGCTAAGATCGCTTTGTGCAAGTGGGCCCAGGTCACGTCTTAGGCATACTCCCCTTCCCTTCTGATCTACTTATGTTATTTCATTACTGAAGTAAGTTAGCAAACTTGGAAGAAAAAAGACAACTCAAAATCCTTATATTCTAAATCTGAGTCAATGTATCTGTAAACCAGGAAGACATGAATACAGGAACACTTATACATGGGTTTTGTTCCTTGAGTTTGATTGTGAGGCAGGGTGACTGACCGGTGGAGCGTTATGGTCCTGCAGGTGCTTGGCCTTGCCCCGCTTGTGTGGGTGTCCGTACAGACAGAAGATGCACTGCTCCAGGGCCATGTCCAGCCCCTCCCTGATGAAGTGGGGCTTCTTCATCTCCTGCTCCAGCTCATTGAGGAAGTACAGCAGCAGAGCACCATCCGACTTGGTGCACCACGAGTGTCTGAAGTAGCACAGCAGTGTTTTCATCCTATGCTAACCCTCAAAATTTTCATTTATTTTTTTATTTTTTTTATTTTTGACTGGTTTCTTCCTTAAGAGAATATACAAGTGAGTGAGTTCAGTTAAATTTTGCTTTGAATTGTTTGTTAGTTTGTTGTTTAATGCCACACTCAGCAATATTCCGGCTATGTGACGGCGGTCTGTAAACAGTCGAGTAGGGACCAAACAAACCAGTGATTGACACCATGAGCATCGATCCATGAACAATACGATGACATGCATCAACCAAGTCACAGAGCCTGACCACCCGATCCCGTTAGTCGCCTCCTACGACAAGTTTAGTCGCCTTTTACGGCAAGCATGTGTTGCTGAAGACCTATACTTCCCTGGATCTTCACGGGTGTTGCTTTGAACAATATTTCAGTTACACGACTTTTTGTGAGGTTAATGTGTCAGGAAAGACTGAAGTAAGACCCTTGTCTGTAGTTAAGGATTAACCACATTTGAAACAATCAAGCAAACTATATCTATGGACCCAACACATTTATCTGCATATCAATTGTCCAAACTGTAAACCATAATAATTTCCAGTACATTAATTGTCACAATGACTCACTGCATTTCAACAGCAGAATTATTCTGAGAAATATTGACAAGACAAAAAGCAAATCTATGAGCATAATTATGAAATAGTGAGTGAGTGAATGAGGTTTTACGCCGCTTTTAGCAATATTCCAGCAATATCACGGCGGGGGACACCAGAAAACAGCTTCACACATTGTACCCATGTCGGGAATCGAACCCGGGTCCTCGGCGTGATGAGCGAACGCTTTAACCAGTAGGCTACCCGACCGACCCAATTATGTAATAAAAAAGAGTGGATTATAACATTATTCACTAGAAAGTGGCACAGGTCAATAGCCAAATATAAATCAGTATCTGTCTATATCCTAAATTGTTGACTTACCTCCCAAGATACTCGTGTGCGACGTTGAGCAGCATGAGGGAGCTGCTGATGGCGCCGTCCATGTTGGTCCCCTCCTCCCCTGGCGCCAGCATGGACCTCAACTTGGCCTCCTCACTGCAGACATACATACAGACAGGTTGGTCAAGCTCTAGCTACATCTGAGCAGTGACTGACTGGCACATAAATCAATGTTGTAGTAAGGAAGAAGTGACCTTGGTTACTGGGGTGACAATGCAGGAAGCAGTGGGGATGCTGGACACTTGACATGATAGTGTTGCTGCAGCCAGGGATGTACAAACTGTACATATATAATTATACATATAAACTGTACATTATAATTATACACACACACGACATGTATAATTGTATATACAAACTGTACATGTTTAATTATATTACAAACTGTACATGTATAATAGTACAGAAACTTGACATGTATAATTATACAGAAACTTTACATGTATAGTTACATAACAAACTGTACATGTATCATTATACAGAAACTTTACATGTATAAATATATACCAAACTGTACATGTATAATTATACAGAAACTGTACATGTATAATATATATGAAACTGTACATGTATAATTATACAGAAACTGTACATGTACGATTATATACCAAACTGTACATGTGTAATTATACAGAAACTGTACATGTATAATTATACAGAAACTGTACATGTATAATTATACAGAAACTTTACATGTATAATTACATAACAAACTGTACATGTATCATTATACAGAAACTGTACATGTATAATTATACAGAAACTGTACATGTATAATTATACAGAAACTGCACATGTATAATTATACAGAAACTGTACATGTATAATTATACGGAAACTTTACATGTATAATTACATAACAAACTGTACATGTATCATTATACAGAAACTGTACATGTATAAATATATACCAAACTGTAAATGTATAATTATACAGAAACTGTACATGTTTGATTATATACCAAACTGTACATGTATAATTATACACACAAACTGTACATGTATAATTATACACACAAACTGTACATGTATAATTATATACCAAACTGTAAATGTATAATTATACAGAAACTGTACATGTTTGATTATATACCAAACTGTACATGTATAATTATACACACAAACTGTACATGTATAATTATACAGAAATTGTACATGTATAATTATATACCAAACTGTACATGTATAATTATACACACAAACTGTACATGTATAATTATACAGAAACTGTACATGTATAATTATACAGAACCTGTACATGTATAATTATAAACCAAACTGTACATGTATCATTATACAGAAACTGTACATGTATAATTATACAGAAACTGTACATGTATAATTATACAGAAACTGTACATGTATAATTATATACCAAACTGTACATGTATAATTATACAGAAACTGTACATGTATAATTATATACCAAACTGTACATGTATAATCATACACACAAACTTTACATGTATAATTATACACACAAACTGTACATGTATAATTATACACACAAACTGTACATGTATAATTATACACACAACTATAGAATGTCAATGTTATAATAAGTGCACGAAGAGACTGTAAAATACTTGAAATATGAAGCGCACATAAAAGAGCAACTGCCGTTGCCTGCTCTCCAGGCGCATGTGTCTGATGAACAAATGTTGTTGGTATCTTGCCGGAAGCCTGCATCAGTGAACTTGATTGATTGAACTTAACGAAGTCTCAATGTCATAAGGGTCTTTATTGCCATACAGGGTTTTACTTGGGGCCATACAGGGTTTTACTCGGGGCCATACAGGGTTTTACTCGGGGCCACACAGGGTTTTACTTGGGGCCACACAGGGTTTTACTTGGGGCCATACATTACAGTCATCACAGTTTGGAATCCAGGCATGAACATAGAGGCCCCAGCTGGCCACCCAAAGCAAGCTTCACGTATAGATGATAGATTGAAGCAAATGAACCACCGACACCCTGAACCTTAAGCGTATTTCTTATGAGAACAGAACTTACTTTTACCTGTACCACACAATCGATTTTGATCATTGTTTATGCTTTAAACAGACCTTTTTGCATTCCACGGGACTTACAATGTAAACTACTTGTGCCCAATATCAAATTGTACAAGTCCAGGATGAGATACCTGGCGCCTGGTAAAACCTTGGCCACAGTTTGTCTATGTAAAATGTTTGAATGTTTACTTACGCTGCACATTTTTTAAGCCTAGGTTTGCAAGAAACTGTTCTGATTTAAATGACTTCATATTCGTGAATTCCTACCTTTTGATGAGTCTTGATAACAGTATCCATGACAACACGACCGTGTTTGGCACCTCGGGGGAAGTGTCCGAAGAGTCCATCGTCAGCTCGATCATGCGGATGAGGTTCTGAGTGTGGCGGACGGTGTTGCTGGATGGGAGGCTCTTTAGTATGCTCTCATCCATGTCCAGGACTCTGTGTGTTAAGAGGAGGAGCAAGTGAGTCAGTGACAGACAACTGATGCCACTCCCCACAGAATTTCAGTTATTTCACCATGTTCACAGCAGCTCTTACCGAGTTATGGCGGCAAGCTAAAACGACAATTCCTTCATCTAAATTCTATTCAAGGATATGTCACAAAGTATGACAAACATTTAGTTGAACATTACAAACACTTCAAGAACATGTCTTCAGACAGCAAATATTTCCATTCTTGGAAACTGAAAATGATTAAAATATGTGGCTTCTCACTTGTTGATGTGGTCAAAGATCTGTCTGATGGTAGTGAGCCATTCATCCCTTGACTGCCCCGACGCCCTGCGGTAACACTGGAGAGCTTCATTGAAGGACACTTCACCCCACAGCAGACATTTCTGGAAAGATTTACATATATAAAGTCCCTTACACATGGTCCCTATATGAAGTCCCCTACACGTGGTCCCTATATATAGTCCCCTACACGTGGTCCCTATATAAAATCCCCTTCACATGGTCCCTTTATAAAGTCCCCTACACGTGGTCCCTATATAAAGTCCCCTACACATGGTCCCTTTATAAAGTCCCCTACACGTGGTCCCTATATAAAGTCCCCTACACGTGGTCCCTATATAAAGTCCCCTACACATGGTCTCTATATGAAGTCCCCTACACGTGGTCCCTACATAAAGTCCCCTACACATGGTCCCTATATGAAGTCCCCTACACGTGGTCCCTATATAAAGTCCCCTACACGTGGTCCCTATATAAAGTCCCCTACACATGGTCCCTATATAAAGTCCCCTACACATGGTCCCTACACATGGTTCCTATATAAAGTCCCCTACACATGGTCCCTATATAAAGTCCCCTACACATGGTCCCTTTATAAAGTCCCCTACACATGGTGCCTATATAAAGTCCCCTTCACATGGTGCCTATATAAAGTCCCCCACACGTGGTCCCTATATAAAGTTTCCTACATGTGGTCCCTATATAAAGTCCCCTACATGGGGTCCCTATATAAAGTCCCCTACATGGGGTCCCTATATAAAGTCCCCTACACATGGTCCCTATATAAAGTCCCTTACACATTGTCCCTATATAAAGTCCCCTACACATGGTCCCTATATAAAGTCCCCTACACATGGTCCCTATATAAAGTCCCCTTCACGTGGTCCCTATATAAAGTCCCTTACACATGGTCCCTATATAAAGCCCCATTACAAATGGTACCTATATAAAGTCCCCTACACGTTGTCCCTATATAAAGTCCCCTACACATGGTCCCTATATAAAGTCCCCCACACATGGTCCCTATATGAAGTCCCCTACACGTGGTCCCTATATAAAGTCCCCTACACTTGGTCCCTATATAAAGTCCCCTACACATGGTCCCTATATAAAGTCCCCTACAAAAGGTCCCTATATAAAGTCCCCTACAAAAGGTCCCTATAAAAAGTCCCTAATAATGTCTCTGTATTAGGTCCACAATACAAATTGCCACTAATTCCCCATATGAGGTCCCTTGTACCACATAAAACAAGGTCCACCTATATGGGCCACCATACAAAATGACACAAGGTCCCTGTGTGAGGTCCCTTTACAACATGACACAAGGTCCCTGTGTGAGGTCCCTTTACAACATGACACAAGGTCCATGTGTGAGGTCCCTTTACAACATAACACAAGGTCCCTATATGATGTCCCCTTCACAACATGACACAAGCTCCCTGTGTGAGATCTGCTTTACAACATAACACAAGGTCCCTAAATGAGATCAGCTTTACAACATCACACAAGGTCCTATATGATGTCCCCTTCACAACATGACACAATCTCCAAATAGGAGGTCCCCTTCAAAAACAACAACATAAGGTCCCTGTGTGAGGTCCCCTTTAGAACATAACAGAAGGTCCCTATGTGAGGACCCCTCCACAACATGACACAAGGTCCCTTTATGAGGTCCCCTTTAGAACATAACAGAAGGTCCCTATGTGAGGTCCCCTCCACAACATGACACAAGGTCCCTGTGTGAGGTCCCCTTCACAACATAACACAAGGGCCCTATGTGAGGTCCCCTCCACAACATGACACAAGGTCCCTGTGTGAGGTCCCCTCCACAACATGACACAAGGTCCCTGTGTGAGGTCCCCTCCACAACATAACACAAGGTCCCTTTATGAGGTCCCCTTTAGAACATAACACAAGGTCCCTGTGTGAGGTCCCCTCCACAACATGACACAAGGTCCCTGTGTGAGGTCCCCTCCACAACATAACACAAGGTCCCTTTATGAGGTCCCCTTTAGAACATAACACAAGGTCCCTGTGTGAGGTCCCCTTCACAACATAACACAAGGTCCCTTTATGAGGTCAACAAACAGCTACTCATTTCCAGGGACCAATACAAGGTACCTACACAAAGGGACCCTAAAAGATGTCTAAGCTAGGTTAAGCTAGATCTCCTATGCCAGGTACCCTTGAATACCCTACTGCAAGAGGCATTTCTGAAAACTTCAGTGCACACTGATCCATCGGCTGGGCAATTAATGCAGCTGGTGTGAGCATGCTTTAGGATGTGAATTAGGAGTATAAGACCCTTGACATTCAATACCAACCTTGTAGTCCTTGAGCTTGAAGAGCGAGTCCTGGAGCAGCATCAGCTGACGGTGCCGCTCGGGGAGAGAGCTGCCTGCCTCCGATATCTGCAACAGTCATCATCAACATCAGGGTCAGAGATACAGGTTTCATGCTGCCGATATTCCAACACTTTCAATGCAGGGGACATCAAGTCCACTGGGTTTTATAAAAAAAATTTGGGTTGAGAAGGTGGCAATATAGCTCACCTTGTTGGCTGTGTGGGGTTGAGAGAAGGTTGCGATATAGCTCGCCTTGTTGGCTGTGTGGAGTTGAGAGAAGATGGCGATATAGCTCACTTTCTTGGCTGTGTGGGGTTGAGAGAATGTGGGGATATAGCTCACCTTGCTGGCTGTGTGGGGTTGAGAGAACGTGGGGATATAGCTCAAATTGTTGGCTGTGCAGGGTTAAGAGAAGGTAGAGACATAGCTCACCTTGTTGGCTGTGCAGGGTTGAGAGAAGGTGTGATATAGCTCACCTTGTTGGCTGTGCAGGGTTAAGAGAAGGTAGAGACATAGCTCACCTTGTTGGCTGTGCAGGGTTGAGAGAAGGTGTGATATAGCTCACCTTGTTGGCTGTGCAGGTTAAGAGAAGGTAGAGACATAGCTCACCTTGTTGGCTGTGCAGGGTTGAGAGAAGGTGGTGATATAGCTAACATTTGACTGTGTGGGGTTGAGAGAAGGTGGAGGTATATCTCACCTTCTTGGCTGTGCGGGGTTGAGAGAAGGTCTGGAGCAGGAACTCAACCACCTTATCGTAGCTCCCTGCCTCGTACAGCTTCTGGGTCTCCTCCAGGGACTGGCTGCGCTGGAGGGACTCCTGCTGTTTGTCTACCTGGTCTACAGAAGGGGGACAGATTAGTCTACCTGGTCTACAGAAGGGGGACAGATAAGTCAGTCTGGTCTACAGAAGGGGGACAGATTAGTCAGTCTGGTCTACAGAAGGGGGACAGATTAGTCAGTCTGGTCTACAGAAGGGGGACAGATTAGTCAGTCTGGTCTACAGAAGGGGGACAGATTAGTCAGTCTGGTCTACAGAAGGGGGACAGATTAGTCTACCTGGTCTACAGAAGGGGGACAGATTAGTCAGTCTGGTCTACAGAAGGGGGACAGATTAGTCAGTCTGGTCTACAGAAGGGGGACAGATTAGTCTACCTGGTCTACAGAAGGGGGACAGATTAGTCTACCTGGTCTACAGAAGGGGGACAGATTAGTCCGTCTGGTCTACAGAAGGGGGACAGATTAGTCTACCTGGTCTACAGAAGGGGGACAGATTAGTCTACCTGGTCTACAGAAGGGGGACAGATTAGTCCGCCTGGTCTACAGAAGGGGGACAGATTAGTCAGTCTGGTCTACAGAAGGGGGACAGATTAGTCTGCCTGGTCTACAGAAGGGGGACAGATTAGTCAGTCTGGTCTACAGAAGGGGGACAGATTAGTCAGTCTGGTCTACAGAAGGGGGACAGATTAGTCAGTCTGGTCTACAGAAGGGGGACAGATTAGTCAGTCTGGTCTACAGAAGGGGGACAGATTAGTCAGTCTGGTCTACAGAAGGGGGACGGATTAGTCAGTCTGGTCTACAGAAGGGGGACAGATTAGTCAGTCTGGTCTACAGAAGGGGGACAGATTAGTCAGTCTGGTCTACAGAAGGGGGACAGATTAGTCAGTCTGGTCTACAGAAGGGGGACAGATTAGTCAGTCTGGTCTACAGAAGGGGGACAGATTAGTCAGTCTGGTCTACAGAAGGGGGACAGATTAGTCAGTCTGGTCTACAGAAGGGGGACAGATTAGTCAGTCTGGTCTACAGAAGGGGGACAGATTAGTCAGTCTGGTCTACAGAAGGGGGACAGATTAGTCAGTCTGGTCTACAGAAGGGGGACAGATTAGTCAGTCTGGTCTACAGAAGGGGGACAGATTAGTCAGTCTGGTCTACAGAAGGGGGACAGATTAGTCAGTCTGGTCTACAGAAGGGGGACAGATTAGTCTACCTGGTCTACAGAAGGGGGAAAGATTAGTCAGTCTGGTCTACAGAAGGGGGACAGATTAGTCTACCTGGTCTACAGAAGGGGGACAGATTAGTCAGTCTGGTCTACAGAAGGGGGACAGATTAGTCAGTCTGGTCTACAGAAGGGGGACAGATTAGTCTACCTGGTCTACAGAAGGGGGACAGATTAGTCTACCTGGTCTACAGAAGGGGGACAGATTAGTCCGTCTGGTCTACAGAAGGGGGACAGATTAGTCTACCTGGTCTACAGAAGGGGGACAGATTAGTCTACCTGGTCTACAGAAGGGGGACAGATTAGTCCGCCTGGTCTACAGAAGGGGGACAGATTAGTCAGTCTGGTCTACAGAAGGGGGACAGATTAGTCTGCCTGGTCTACAGAAGGGGGACAGATTAGTCAGTCTGGTCTACAGAAGGGGGACAGATTAGTCAGTCTGGTCTACAGAAGGGGGACAGATTAGTCAGTCTGGTCTACAGAAGGGGGACAGATTAGTCAGTCTGGTCTACAGAAGGGGGACAGATTAGTCAGTCTGGTCTACAGAAGGGGGACGGATTAGTCAGTCTGGTCTACAGAAGGGGGACGGATTAGTCAGTCTGGTCTACAGAAGGGGGACAGATTAGTCAGTCTGGTCTACAGAAGGGGGACAGATTAGTCAGTCTGGTCTACAGAAGGGGGACAGATTAGTCAGTCTGGTCTACAGAAGGGGGACAGATTAGTCAGTCTGGTCTACAGAAGGGGGACAGATTAGTCAGTCTGGTCTACAGAAGGGGGACAGATTAGTCAGTCTGGTCTACAGAAGGGGGACAGATTAGTCAGTCTGGTCTACAGAAGGGGGACAGATTAGTCAGTCTGGTCTACAGAAGGGGGACAGATTAGTCAGTCTGGTCTACAGAAGGGGGACAGATTAGTCAGTCTGGTCTACAGAAGGGGGACAGATTAGTCAGTCTGGTCTACAGAAGGGGGACAGATTAGTCAGTCTGGTCTACAGAAGGGGGACAGATTAGTCAGTCTGGTCTACAGAAGGGGGACAGATTAGTCTACCTGGTCTACAGAAGGGGGAAAGATTAGTCAGTCTGGTCTACAGAAGGGGGACAGATTAGTCTACCTGGTCTACAGAAGGGGGACAGATTAGTCAGTCTGGTCTACAGAAGGGGGACAGATTAGTCTACCTGGTCTACAGAAGGGGGAAAGATTAGTCAGTCTGGTCTACAGAAGGGGGACAGATTAGTCAGTCTGGTCTACAGAAGGGGGACAGATTAGTCAGTCTGGTCTACAGAAGGGGGACAGATTAGTCTACCTGGTCTACAGAAGGGGGACAGATTAGTCAGTCTGGTCTACAGAAGGGGGACAGATTAGTCAGTCTGGTCTACAGAAGGGGGACAGATTAGTCAGTCTGGTCTACAGAAGGGGGACAGATTAGTCAGTCTGGTCTACAGAAGGGGGACAGATTAGTCTACCTGGTCTACAGAAGGGGGAAAGATTAGTCAGTCTGGTCTACAGAAGGGGGACAGATTAGTCAGTCTGGTCTACAGAAGGGGGACAGATTAGTCAGTCTGGTCTACAGAAGGGGGACAGATTAGTCAGTCTGGTCTACAGAAGGGGGACAGATTAGTCAGTCTGGTCTACAGAAGGGGGACAGATTAGTCTACCTGGTCTACAGAAGGGGGACAGATTAGTCAGTCTGGTCTACAGAAGGGGGACAGATTAGTCAGTCTGGTCTACAGAAGGGGGACAGATTAGTCAGTCTGGTCTACAGAAGGGGGACAGATAAGTCAGTCTCGTCTACAGAAGGGGGACAGATTAGTCAGTCTGGTCTACAGAAGGGGGACAGATTAGTCAGTCTGGTCTACAGAAGGGGGACAGATTAGTCAGTCTGGTCTACAGAAGGGGGACAGATTAGTCAGTCTGGTCTACAGAAGGGGGACAGATCAGTCAGTCTGGTCTACAGAAGGGGGACAGATCAGTCAGTCTGATCTACAGAAGGGGGACAGATTAGTCAGTCTGGTCTACAGAAGGGGGACAGATCAGTCAGTCTGGTCTACAGAAGGGGGACAGATTAGTCAGTCTGGTCTACAGAAGGGGGACAGATTAGTCAGTCTGGTCTACAGAAGGGGGACAGATTAGTCAGTCTGGTCTACAGAAGGGGGACAGATTAGTCAGTCTGGTCTACAGAAGGGGGACAGATTAGTCAGTCTGGTCTACAGAAGGGGGACAGATTAGTCAGTCTGGTCTACAGAAGGGGGACAGATTAGTCAGTCTGGTCTACAGAAGGGGCACAGATTAGTCAGTCTGGTCTACAGAAGGGGGACAGATTAGTCAGTCTGGTCTACAGAAGGGGGACAGATTAGTCAGTCTGGTCTACAGAAGGGGGACAGATTAGTCAGTCTGGTCTACAGAAGGGGGACAGATTAGTCAGTCTGGTCTACAGAAGGGGGACAGATTAGTCTACCTGGCCATTTCTCGGGTTCTTTTACAACATCCTATTGAATCATGCTGTAAACCTGCTGGCAGTATTTTGATATAATCAGTGTGTTTATAACCAAAGAAAAAAATACCTTTTGATATTATGTCATCCACCTTACAGTTCTGTAGCTTGAAGGATGTGATGTCCTTCTCCTCCTTGGCACAGTCCATCACATAGGAGAGCTGAATCAGATCATACACCATCACATAGGAGAGCTGAATCAGATCATACATCATGACAGAGGAGAGCTGAATCAGATCGTACATCATACATCATGACAGAGGAGAGCTGAATCAGATCATACATCATGACAGAGGAGAGTTGAATCAGATCATACATCGTGAGAGAGAAGAACTGAATCAGATCATACATCGTGAGAGAGAACTGAATCAGATCATACATCGTGAGAGAGAAGAACTGAATCAGATCATACATCGTGAGAGAGAAGAACTGAATCAGATCGTACATCATGACAGAGGAGAACTGAATCAGATCATACATCGTGAGAGAGAAGAACTGAATCAGATCATACATCGTGAGAGAGAACTGAATCAGATCGTACATCATGACACAGGACCGCTGAATCAGATCACACATCAGGACAGAGGAGAGCTGAATCAGATCATACATCGTGAGAGAGAAGAACTGAATCAGATCATACATCGTGAGAGAGAACTGAATCAGATCGTACATCATGACACAGGAGAGCTGAATCAGATCATACATCATGACAGAGGAGAGCTGAATCAGATCACACATCATGACAGAGGAGAGCTGAATCAGATCATACATCGTGACAGAGGAGAGCTGAATCAGATCTTACATTATACATCATGACACAGGAGAGCTGAATCAGATCATACATCATGACAGAGGACAACTGAATCAGATCATACATCGTGACAGAGGAGAGCTGAATCAGATCGTACATCATGACAGAGGAGAGCTGAATCAGATCATACATCATGACACAGGAGAGCTGAATCAGATCATACATTATGATAGAGGAGAGCTGAATCAGATCATACATCATGACACAGGAGAGCTGAATCAGATCATACATCATGACAGAGGAGAGCTGAATCAGATCACACATCATGAAAGAGGAGAGCTGAATCAGATCACACATTATGACAGAGGAGAGATGAATCAGATCATACACCATGACAGAGAAGAACTGAATCAGATCTTACATTATGACAGCGGAGAACTGAATCAGATCTTACATCATGACAGAGAAGAACTGAATCAGATCTTATATTATGACAGAGGAGAGCTGAATCAGATCATACATCATGACAGAGGAGAACTGAATCAGATCTTACATCATGACAGAGGAGAGCTGAATCAGATCATACATCATGACAGAGGAGAGCTGAATCAGATCATACATCATGACAGAGGAGAGCTGAATCAGATCACAAATCATGACAGAGGAGAGCTGAATCAGATCTTATATTATGACAGAGGAGAGCTGAATCAGATCATACATCATGACAGAGGAGAGCTGAATCAGATCTTACATCATGACAGAGGAGAGCTGAATCAGATCATACATCAGGACAGAGGAGAGCTGAATCAGATCGTACATCATGACAGAGGAGAGCTGAATCAGATCTTACATCATGACAGAGGAGAGCTGAATCAGATCATACATCATGACAGAGGAGAGCTGAATCAGATCACAAATCATGACAGAGAAGAGCTGAATCAGATCGTACATCATGACAGAGGAGAGCTGAATCAGATCTTACATCATGACAGAGGAGAGCTGAATCAGATCTTACAGCATGACAGAGAAGAACTGAATCAGATCTTACATTATGACAGAGGAGAGCTGAATCAGATCTTACATTATGACAGAGAAGAACTGAATCAGATCTAACATTTTGACAGAGGAGAACTGAATCAGATCTTACATTATGACAGAGAAGAACTGAATCAGATCACACATTATGACAGAGGAGAGCTGAATCGGATCTTACAGCATGACAGAGGAGAGCTGAATCAGATCTTACATCAGGACAGAGGAGAGCTGAATCAGATCTTACAGCATGACAGAGGAGAGCTGAATCGGATCATACATCATGACAGAGGAGAGCTGAATCGGATAATACATCATGACAGAGGAGAGCTGAATTGGATCTTACAGCATGACAGAGGAGAGCTGAATCAGATCTTACATCAGGACAGAGGAGAGCTGAATCAGATCTTACATCAGAACAGAGGAGAGCTGAATCAGATCTTACATCATGACAGAGGAGAGCTGAATCGGATCTTACATTATGATAGAGGAGAGCTGAATCAGATCATACATCAAGACAGAGGAGAACTGAATCAGATCATACATCATGACAGAGAAGAACTGAATCAGATCTTACATCATGACAGAGGAGAGCTGAATCAGATCATACATCATGACAGAGGACAGCTGAATCAGATCATACATTATGACAGAGGAGAGCTGAATCAGATCTTACATTATGACAGAGGAGAGCTGAATCAGATCTTACATTATGACAGAGAAGAACTGAATCAGATCTTACATTATGACAGCGGAGAACTGAATCAGATCTTACATAATGACAGAGAAGAACTGAATCAGATCATACATTATGACAGAGGAGAACTGAATCAGATCTTACATTATGACAGCGGAGAACTGAATCAGATCTTACATAATGACAGAGAAGAACTGATCAGATCACACATCATGACAGAGGAGAGCTGAATCAGATCATACATCATGACAGAGGACAGCTGAATCAGATCATACATCAAGACAGAGGAGAGCTGAATCAGATCATACACCATGACAGAGGAGAGCTGAATCAGATCATACACCATGACAGAGGAGAGCTGAATCAGATCATACACCATGATAGAGGAGAACTGAATCAGATCATACATCAAGACAGAGGAGAGCTGAATCAGATCATACACCATGATAGAGGAGAACTGAATCAGATCATACACCATGACACTGGAGAGCTGAATCAGATCATACATCATGATAGAGGAAAACTGAATCAGATCATACATTATGACAGAGGAGAGCTGAATCAGATCATACACCATGATAGAGGAGAACTGAATCAGATCATACACCATGATAGAGGAAAACTGAATCAGATCATACATTATGACAGAGAAGAACTGAATCAGATCACACATTATGACAGAGGAGAGCTGAATCAGATCATACATTATGACAGAGGAGAGCTGAATCAGATCTTACATCATGACAGAGAAGAACTGAATCAGATCACACATTATGACAGAGGAGAGCTGAATCAGATCATACACCATGACAGAGGAGAGCTGAATCAGATCATACATCATGACAGAGGACCGCTGAATCAGATCATACATCATGACAGAGGAGAGCTGAATCAGATCATACACCATGACAGAGGAGAGCTGAATCAGATCATACATCATGACAGAGGAGAGCTGAATCAGATCATACATCATGACAGAGGAGAGCTGAATCAGATCATACACCATGACAGAGGAGAGCTGAATCAGATCATACATCATGACAGAGGAGAACTGAATCAGATCATACATCATGACAGTGAAGAGCTGAATCAGATCATACATCATGACAGAGAAGAACTGAATCAGATCTTACATCATGACAGAGAAGAACTGAATCAGATCTTACATCATGACACAGGAGAGCTGAATCAGATCATACATCATGACAGAGGAGAGTCAAATCAGATCATACATCATGACAGAGGAGAGCTGAATTAGATCATACATCATGATAGAGGAGAGCTGAATCAGATCTTACATCATGACAGAGGAGAGCTGAATCAGATCTTACATCATGACAGAGGAGAACTGAATCAGATCTTACAGCACTGTCCCTTACTTCTCCATGTGTGCAGGTGAGTACTATTTAGTATGACAAGAGTGAGTGAGAAAAAGAGTCAGGGAGTGGTTGAGTCAGACAGTCGGATAATTGAGAATCCAAATTATATTAAGCTCAACTAAACATACAGTGTTTTGCTATAATTTACCTTGTCAAAGCAGAAGTCAGCTTCGTCTTTGTCATTCTGAATCATGGAGAACCTGGCCTTCAGCCAGTACACTGAAAAGCAACATGGTGACCACTGAGACACAATATCCAATATTCCCAAATAAAAGAATCACAAGTTTAAAATTTTATCAAAATCAACTCTAAATTTCATCAGCAGCAGATTTTTGGCTTAACACTGGCATAGGTTCCTCCAAACACTCACCTCTAGCAGCGTACTCCATCCACACCTCCCCCATCCTACACCTGCTGCCTGCCAGGGTGGTGATATACCACAAGTCTTCTCGGTAGAATTCCTCCATAGTTGCTGGTTCCCCTAATATTGACTGTATCCCCCTATGAGATGGTAATTAATAATTCATATATTTGATTATTAGAATTTATTAACACCACAGGGCAAAATAAAAGCTGCTGTTGACACAAACAAGTGATCAAATTTCAGCTAAAACCTCACTCTACTGAGGATATATAAATAATGAGTGAGTGAGTGAGTTGGATTTAACACCGCTTTTAACATTATTCCAGTTATATCGTGGCGTATCAGCTTAATGTGGGAGGAAAGCCCGAAGTGATGCAGGTCTCAGACGTTTACCACTTCGGTGAAACCCACGAGCACGGGTATGGTGCTGACAAACCTAGAAACATAATCGTTTCTGGCGCGCCCAAGGGACGCAACTCTGCACAGCGAATCGCAGCGCCTTAGATGACTGGGCCACCCATGCCCCCGGATATATAAATATAACTTATTAATATTTCTTCTCAATATTAGTCTGCCTTTGTTTGTTAATTATTCACAGAATAATATGTTGCTGCAGTTATTTAGCATATCGAAGATGCGTTGTCAAGAGAACAAATGTCCTATATCTTGAAGTAAATGATTTGATACATGACAGATAATGAATTCTGATGTGGGATGCTTCATGACAGAGCACTTCAAAGTAACACAATATGAGGCTGTATCGGGTACCCACCCTCTTGGAGAGGTGCCAGAAGGCTTGGAGTGTATCGACAGCCAGTGGTCCAACTTCAGCTCAGCCCACAGCAGACAAATCTACAAACATCAGTTGTCAGTCCTGTCACACCATATAGACAAGGAGTATGTACACAGTTTCATGCAGCATGATACGGGAGATGGAGAACTATGTCCCTGTAACACTACATCACAGTGACAGTAAATACTGACAGCAAATAATCCATGTTTACTGCTGAAAACATAAAACCCATACAAAATAATGTTTTTGATAGAATTGCCTTGTGCTGTACTTCTGTACAAGAAATAGATTACAGATCAGACTACTGTGAAATAACATTACCATTTCTTAATTAATTAACTTCACTTAATTAAAAGAATTGTCAGGTAAAACACAAATATTACATGAAAGTAAATAATGGGGATGACACTTGCCTATTGGCCAGCCTCCGTATCTCCAGGTCAGCATTGCAGTAAACCTACACTAACCCATGGGTCCATTCCCGTGGTGGGTTTTTTATTGTGTGTCAGTCCTTTTTTCAATGTTGAATTTCTCATAAGCTCTTTCATAATTGACAGGATGGGTCGCCATGTTGTTGATATCGATAACCAAACAATGAGGATGGTTAGTAACTCGCATTCTGATTGGTCCATTTGATAGAGTAGCATAACAAATCAAATAGACAAATGAAAGTCAAAGGTGGGTAATTTGAGATCGCGAGAACCATGGGATGGACCCAGGGGGAGTGTAAATTTACATAAATTCAAGCCATGGAGATATGGAGGATCAGAGCTCCAGATAAGCTTTTGGAGTTGTGGGTATTTTACCCATGCATTTTAAAATCATTGGGTATCAGTAATTCTATCTGGGTATTCAAATTTCTGTTACCCACTAGTTTTTACACTTGTGGGTATTAAAGTTTAATATTTAAAAACACTATTCATCTAGTCCCTGCAAACTGGTGTCGTGTGGGTTCCAGAGCTTTATAGGACTCAAAAATACCACGATACTTCCACAAGAAAGTGTGATGGCAAATGATCATAATGTAACTGTCATCGTGAAGTTTGGCAAGGTTGACGGAATGCCGGTTTATAATTTCAAAATAAGTTGCTGATTTGCTAATCAATACGCAGGGTTACTTCACAATATTTTGATGATACGCATTAGTTTTATTTTTGTAGCGTATCTGTAATGTTGGTTGCGTATTTGATACGCTTGGATTTTATTTTACTGCGTATTTCTGCATTTCTGATGCGTATTTTATGCAGATACGCAGCTTATCTGGAGCTCAGAAGATGCCTATTGGACTACTCTGAATTTCTCTCACAAGTTAAATTACTAAATAGACTCATCAGAAACAAAACAAGATCTCAAATTATAATATTTTATGTTCGTTTCACTTTTCACTATCAGTCCTTTGGCACTAGAACATAAAACTTCCAAAGTGAACTGATTACTTCTCCTGGGATAACATCATGTTACTCACTCGTCCGTACTCACAGATGTCCTCATTATCCACATCTTCCGCACTCCTGGAAACACAAGCAGAGGCTCGCCTCAATCATCTCAATACTCATTGATATCACAAATAGTTTCATCCAATTTATGCATGTTCATGGGGTAGGGTGGGAATAGGGTGGGGGTGGGGGTAGGGTGGGGGTGGGGGTAGGTTGGGGGTGGGGGTAGGGTGGGGGCGTGGATAGGGGTGGTGGTGATGAGGCAGTAATTGTTGAGAGTGCACAGTTGTCTCCCCTTGTGTACCAGTACATTACCTATGCTTCTGGGTTTAAAAACATCTTTGGATCAGATAATCCAGTGATTCATATCATACTCATTGATCCACTCAATTGGGATGGATGACATGCATCAACCATGTCAGCGAGCCTGACCACCCGATCCCGTTAGTCGCCTCTTACGACAAGCATAGTCACCTCTTAAAGCATGCATGGGTTGCTGAAGACCTATTCTACCCCAGATCTTCACGGGTCTCCTCCCTAACAATGCCATCTGAAGAGTGGACTCACCCAAACACACAAGGAAACGTAAGATGTTGGCGGAGCTTGTCGTACACCTGCACAAAGACCTCCCCTAAACCCTCAGGCCTGCAACACAGAGTGAACCAACAGTAAAACACAGCACCAGAGACACACATAAGGAGTGCTTCACAACCTGACATCTTCCCTAGGCACCAGAGACAGACATAAGGAGTGCTTCACAACCTGACATCTTCCCTAGGCACCAGAGACAGACATAAGGAGTGCTTCACAACCTGACATCTTCCCTAGGCACCAGAGACAGACATAAGGAGTGCTTCACAACCTGACATCTTCCCTTGGCACCAGAGACAGACATAAGGAGTGCTTCACAACCTGATATCTTCCCGAGGCACCAGAGACAGACATAAGGAGTGCTTCAAAACCTGACATCTTCTCTAGGCACCAGAGACAGACATAAGGAGTGCTTCACAACCTGACATCTTCCCTAGGCACCAGAGACAGACATAAGGAGTGCTTCAAAACCTGACATCTTCCCTAGGCACCAGAGACAGACTTAAGGAGTGCTTCAAAACCTGACATCTTCCCTAGGCACCAGAGACAGACATAAGGAGTGCTTCACAACCTGACATCTTCCCTAGGCAAGGGAGTTACTGACTATAAAAGTCCAGTTTCCTAGGCTGAAGTTACTGGGCTAGATTGTAGTGCCACCAGTGTCCCTTCTATGTCACTCCGCTGTGCAGAGTTGCATCTCTTGGGCACTCCAGACACCTATGATTGTGGGTTTGAATCCTAGTTCGCCCTGATTATGTTTATGCTTTACAACCTGAATGCATACAGAATCTTATCTGAAACAAATGCTTGTATCACAAGTATTCTGACCCAAGTTTCATAAAATACATAGGATGCACATACAATTGTCATAATCTCTGCTTCTTCATCAACACTTTAAGATTATCTGCAATGAAGAAATAGTAGCTACTATGTTGAAAAACATGTTGATAAGTTACCAGTGTCCACACTCATACAGCGTGACCTCTTTCCTAAAAGTCGGGGATCAGGCTAAAAGTGATAATAGTCTTGGTTCTCAGGCACCGCCCGCATCATCATAAAGTCTGCCGCACGTTTTGTTTTTATTTCCATTTTTAAAAAAATCCTAATACTTTAAAACAATGCGATCCAATATAACACACAGTTACTTCCCTTATATGCACACTGCTTTACTGCGCATATTGTGTTATGGTCATGGTGGCAATAGGAGTTTGTGTGCTTGTTTATGTAGGGAGGCCCTTTCCCATGTTGTTTCCCAGGTTGATGGTACACAACTGTTTACTTGGTTACATACTAGTCTGATATTTGTGGTATATTTATAGTGTCTCTAAATGTGTACAGCATATAACTTGTTTTGTTCAGTGTAGCTGTGTTCACCAAAGTTGTAAACATCACAGACTTTCCTTCAAGTTAACATGCTGTAATAGACCTGACCCCATGAAGTGCATTAAATCACTTGAGCACCTTGATTAAAAACAGGAAAGATTTGCAAAATATCTGTCGACGCCCAGTTCGTGGTGCACATCCTTTGCAAACCCGGCAGTCGACTGAAATCTGCATGCTGAAATCAATGTTGTTTACAAACAGGATGTCTAGTTTGTTACACGATATTGACTGGACTATGCATAGGCTCATAAGTCTAACCAAAATGTAACTCCGGAATTCCAGCCTAGTTCGGCATGGTGGAAACTGGACATTTATAGTCAGTTAACACCCTTGCCTCGGGAAGATGCACAGTATAAAGAAGGTGAGGTGAGGTGAAACTGGGTTTAACGTCGCGTCCAAGATTATTGCACTTATATAGCGACGTGCATGCACATGTGTGTGTGTGTGTTTGTTGTTGCTTGTACTAGTCCGGACTGATGCCAATTTATAGTGCTAGCTCACTGAGATACCATGCCGCAGTTTAACATGGATACCCCACTCAGACACAGTATACTGACTCCGAGCCGACCAGTCCTTGTTTTAGCCCCTTAATGCCGATGCCAGACAGGGTAACAACAAGTGCCATCTTTTAACGTCTTTTGGTATGACGCGGCCGGGAACACAGTATAGAGAAACCCTTAATGGAATTGTCACTGCACCTACCACTTCATGGTGTGTTTGTCAGTGAGGGTAGTGAGGTAGCGGAACAGGAGGTCGATGATGCCGTAGTTGCTGATGCCTCTCTGGATGAACGCCTTCACCTCCCTCTCCTCCGTCGACTCCAGCGGCGCACCCTCGGAGGGGCGTCTCGCTGCTCCTGCATCAAAGCATCATTCTGACATGAATTTGGGAAATACACCATTGGGATTGGTAAATCTGAGGTATAAAATCACAATCACCACCTCTAATTGAAACAGCTGATTTGACTACCACGGAAGATAATGTTAATAGAAAAGTATGTCATCAGACATTGTAGGTAGGCATTTTAAAATAATTATATGTACAATCATATTACATGAAATGCAGATTTGTACTAACTACAACATTCAAAAGTGTATGTGGCAATACATTTTATGCAGAAAACAGGATGGAAATAGATAGAGAGCTTGAAATTTGCTCTTTTCTAAAGCTGACTCTGACATCATATCTTTTGCCTCACATTGAAGATCTGGGATAGAATAGGTCTTCAGCAACCCATGCTTGCCTTAAAAGGCGACTATGCTTGTCGCAAGAGTCGACTAACAGGCTTGGTAGGTCAGGCTCGCTGACTTGGTTGATGCATGGCATCATATCCCAATAGTGTGGATCGATGCTCATTATGTCAATGGATTGTCTGGTCCAGACTCGATTATTTACAGACCGCCGTCATATAGCTGGAATATTGCTGAGTGCGGCGTTAAACAACAAACAAACAAACACATTGAGCGATAAGAGGTCCTTATAGTGACATGATAATTAAACATTTAAACCTCACTTACGCTCTGTGTTCAGTCCAAAATATAATCTAGCATAGCTAAATTTACAAGTAGCCCAGCTCTAAATGGAAAACACAGGATGTCTATCTCCTTGATGATCTGGACCCGGTTGTATCAAACTTTAATGATGCATTAACATGTCATTAAACCTTCATTAACTAATGTATCATTAAATCCAGTTGTACTAACGTTTTAATGACGTCGTGGTGTCATTAACGCGTCATTAACTTAATGAAGGTTCTGGGGCATCATTAGCGTGTCATTAAAAACAAACATGGCCGCGAACATATTGTTTGAACGCTTAGGACGCACAAGGAAAGACCGTGTTTGACAGACGACCGGAAGTAACGCGTACGTGTTTACGTCAAGGAATTGTGGGAAATATTTAGGGGAAACACCGAATTTAATGACAGGTTAATGAAGACACTTACATTAAGGCATCATTAGATAATGATATGCTAATAAACGTTTGATACAACCGATTTTAATGATGCCATTAACTAATGGTGCATTAAGCATTTAATGTATCATTAGGGTTTAATGTAGCCATTAGTTAATGAGGCTTTGATACAACCGGGTCCTGACCATGCTAAAAAGCTCTGAGACAGATAAATTGAAAACCAACATTCACCATTTCAAATACAATTAATTTTGATCATATTTTTCATTTTTATTCTTCATATCTGAATAAAACAAATGACCATATAATTCTGGCCATATGCTCTTAGCTCATCTGAAACCTGGCTCATCATTTTCACTGGGTATCCGTGTATACAGGAATTATCAAGCCCGATATTTGTCCCCAAATGTCAACAAAAATCCCTAAATTGAACATTTCGTGTTATGCTCCTTTAAGAGGAGGCTTGTATTTCAGTGATACAGGACCAGTATAGAGGAAGAGGCTTTAGAGCATTCGGGAGAGCTGTTTTTTCTGTTCTCCGGGAACACAGTTCAGGAAGTTTCTACTAGCTTTTGGAAATAAGTTGAGATAAGCAACAGTATGAGTCAGGATAAGGATAATTCCAAATTTTGAAATTTTAAAAAAAAATTCTCAATTTGCCTGCCATAGGCACTTAGTTTGAAATCCTAGATAACCCTGATCTATTTACGAGACTTCTAAGGGCATCTGTATATGTGAATACCTCTACTGCTTGGACTGTCCATGGCGGTGACACTGCAGTCAGTTTCCTCCATCGTCAAGTCATCCTCGTCATCACTGACCTGCCTGGAAACATCAACATATCTCATCAGAGTAGGATCTCTTAGGTCCTTGGGGCGTAGAACAGGTCACAAGCAGCTACAAGCATGTTTCTACTGCCAGTGATCTCAAGGCAGAATAGTTCTTTCATTATGAATGCTTCAGTATTCCCCAATTCCGGAATATTTTGCAGAAAATCACATTTTGTCCACAATTTTGCATTTATCTGCAGCAGAATCCATCAAAATTTTAACATGTGAGTCTAAAGCTAGTTTTAAATGTGTAAATGGATATTTATTTCGTTTTAAAGTGAATTTGACTTTTGTATTATTGCTTACTGTCTGTATGCTTACAAAGGAAATTTCCAGATTCACTTCAAAAAGCAGTTCTAGCCATGGATCAGTTTATCACAAAAATGCATGTCGCAAGTCAAACAGATGCAAAACTACTAAATTCACGAAAACTAAGTTTTAAAGTTTGCAGAATTGTGTGCAGAATTATCCGAATTTGGTTGCAGAATTTACTAATATTCACCGCAGAATCTTGATTTTATTATGGCCGAGGAATACAGTGGTGACTGATGCTTACAGGCAACGGTTTTTAAAGTACTTTGTTCACTGGAGGTTCATTACCTGTTAACCACTATAATCAGTTGTTGTCAGACCGTATCCTTGTAACAAGCTACCTGGAGTGATCTCCCCTTGTCAACATGGCCTCCATGCCAAGCACATGCACTCTCCTACCCAGAGTTCCATGCGGCCGGCAGCCAGCTAGCATAGTACCTCTGCCACAGGCCAGCGCCATGTGACGATTCGTCACATCTTTCACAGTCCATTCAAGATATTGCATATGCTTTTCATCCGTTTCATGTTTGACAAGTCTACACATTTTCATAAACAAATGTCAAAGAATGGTTAACTTTCATTGAGAAAGTATGCAAATACGTAAAAATCTACTTGTTTTTGCGTAGTTATCCTATGTTTACATTGGTTGTACGGCTCCACGTGCTGTCATCGAAGCCCAACGGAGAGCTAGCGACACGGTCACTTTGATGCATAAATATATATTGTCATGCAACTCACTGTTGCAGTTGTAGTAGCATATCTATATAGTTATGCAAAACAATATGTAAAGCGCCCCCAAATGCTTGCATTAGTCCGTTCTATACTGATTTCTGAAAAAGCGCGTTTGTTTACAAACAAGAGAAAAGTCCGGTCACGTGATATGCAAATTAGCCTGTGGCAGTGGTGTTATGCTGAGTCACCACTGCGACGGAGTGTGAAGCACATGGTGTATTATAAAGGAACTTTTTAACCTGAAATTCCTTTCCTCTGCCTATCAAAGAGTATCAGTATGGTTCTACCTCAAAACCAATCTAGGGTCCTCCTGGCATGGCACGAAAATGATAGGACATGAAGGACACACCACTGACAGGTTAACGATGGACAACATGAAAGTTCATGTGTGAATACATATGAGATGCAATTTATGAATTATTAATTAAAAGGGAGCAATGCGAGTAAACATAAATCCACATTCTTATCAAAACCAGATCTAAGGGCCTGCTACCCCTACACACAGAAGTCTGAGGACATCCCATTACAGGTGAGTGAGTGAGTGAGTTGGGTTTTACGCCGCTTTTAACAGTATTTCAGTTATATCACGGCGTGTCAGCTTAATGTGGGAGGAAAGCCCGAAGTGATGCAGGTCTCGGACGTTTGCCACTTCGGTGAAACCCACGAGCACGGGTATGGTGCTGACAAACCTAGAAACATAATCGGGGCGAACCGGGATTCGAACCCACAATCATAGGTTTCTGGCTTGCCCAAGGGACGCAACTCTGCACAGCGAATCGCGGTGCCTTAGACGACTGGGCCACCCGTGCCCCCCCATTACAGGTGAGACGGGACTCACAGGAGGGAGGATGGCAGGAACTTGTACAGCAGCTCCTGCATGTTGATGCTGTCCTCCTGCTTCTTCCGCGACGTGTTGCGAACCTGGGGGAAAGTGAGAGGGTGAGTGAGTTGGGTTTAACGCCGCTTTGAACAGTACCATATTTTCTTGAGTAAAGTGCACACTATTTTTCCAAAAAACACAACACGTAATTCTTGCGATCACGCGATCACGTGCACGGGAGCCTTGAAGGTGACTGGTCAGACTGGTTCCATGTAAAAAATAATACCCGGCAATATAGCGATCAGCTGCTTCACTTAGGGTTATTATTATTTTAAATATGTTTAGTAAAAGCTGCATCTAAATTAAAAAGATATTGGAATATATTATTCCTGATAAAAAAATAGTTTCAGATACAACTTTTGCCGATACTTGCATTAAAATACTGTAAAGTTATATCATTGGGTGTGTCTTGACCGAATCACCGGTAGATTCCAAGAAAATGTGTGTACAGCTGATTGCTGTGTCCGGCTTAGTTTACGAGAAAATACACAAGGTAATCTTAATCCCTGTATATATAAAACAATGCCTAGCTGAACAAAAAATACATGTCTGGTGATTTTTTATCTCAAATTTCGAATTTGTACTGAAAGAGTTTCTCATCACCTGTTCGTTTGCCGGACTTCACTGAAGGGGTACGGTGTAATTTTTTACTGCACATAATATTCAAATTTCTTTTTTTTCCAAAATATTGAATCCCCTAGAGGGGGGTGCACATTTTACATGGGTGCACACTATTCTCAAGAAAATACGGTATTCCAGTTATATCACGGCATGTCAGCTTAATGTAGGAGGAAAGCCCGAAGTGATGCAGGTCTCAGATGCTACCACTTCGGTGAAACCCACGAGCACGGGTATGGTGCTGACAAACCTAGAAACATAATCGGGGCGAACCGGGGTTCGAACCCACAATCATAGGTTTCTGGCGTGCCGAAAGGATGCAACTTTGCACATCGAATTGCGGCGTTTAGATGACTTGGCCACCCAAAAATAGATTCTGCTGAAATGTTTTAGCATTAATCGTAATGAGGAAAATTTTCTAGAGGCATGGACAGAAGAAAACTAGTCTCTTTTGATTTTGTGGATTGTTCGCTTGAGACGGACAGTGCATTCATTATAAACAAACGTTAGGATTCCAAGACACACATGACTAAGGTATTTCAGCAAATAATAATAAACAATCAGATACACATGTCATACATTAGAGTGCTCCAAAATTCTCAGGGGTTAAGCTGACAAATTCGGCCACTCATCCAACTACTCTCTACGACCAACATTGCTTACTTCACCTGACTAGTGCCCTGTAGACTGGACCACATACCACCTTGTGACCCGAATCTAGTCACTTGTTAATTCCTCATAACAAGAATCTCGATTCATTCTCTCACCCTTGCAGATCGTCTCTTCATCCCGGCATCCTCAATCGGTATGCTGACTCTCTTCCTCTTCGTGCCCCGCCGTCCCCCTGGCTGACTCCGCCCCAAGTCCCGGGACACAGGGTTGGGGTGGTCCTGTAGAGCTACTGGGGAACAGAGTGGAGTGTTGAAGGAGTGGAACCAGTCAGGCATGTCAAGCAATAATCCAACAGTTCGCTTATTAGGAAAATATTACGGTCACAAACACCACAGCCACAGACACTGCATCGTCCCGAGACAAGGAGATAACTGCCTAAAAAAATCCAGTTTCCACTTTGCCGAAAAAGGCTGGAATTTTCAGACTCAATCGTAACGCCACAAGGGGCTATTAAGGGTTGTGTCCCTCCGATTGACCTATCAGATTCCATCTCTCATATCACTTGCATTTGCTTCAAACTAAATGGCTGTGCACAGTCAAGACGATCTGATCGCTAATCAAGATCTATATTGTGATAAAATTGGTCTACCCCGAGAAGTGCATCAAATCACTAGAGCATCTTGATTAAAAAGATGAAAAGATTTGCAAAATATCTGTTGATGCCCATTTGACGATACACATGCTTTGCAAATCATGCAGTCAACCAGCATCTGCACTTTGAAATCCATCTTTTTTTGTTTACGAACCGAATGTCTAGTTCATTCCGCGATTTTGATCGGACTATGCATAGACTCATAAGCCCAGCCAAAACGTAACTCCAGATTTCCGGCCTAGTTCGGCAACGGTGGAAACTGGACTTTTATTGTCAGTAACGCCCATGTTTCGGGAAGGTGCAAACACTGTGGCTCAACTGGTTATACAGTTCATTGCCAAAATGTCAACAAATGCAGTCACTCTACATGCTCAAGAAACGTTCCTTACAAAAATTCCAGTCTTTAATCCAGAACATACAAATACTGATGATATTAAAGATTTCATGGCTAACACGTTTTTCACTATTGTAACAACGTTTTAGGGCTGCTGCTTTCCCATTTATTAGGGGAATGAATGATAGAGAAGATGTCACTGATAGTTTGATGACTTCATCTTCTTCCAACTTCTAAATGGCTATGACCTGACTGATACAGGGACCATGACGAATATAGTCTATGCACAAGTCATAGCATTCAAGTAGAGATTACCACAGTCTAAGGGAGGGTCATTGTGTCATGTCAGCTTATAATGATGAGTTTGATTTTATGCAGCTTTGAGCAATATTCCAGCAATATCACAGCGGGGGACACCAGAAATGGGTTTCACACATTGTACCCATGTCGGGAATCGAACCCGGGTCTTCGGCATGACGAGCAAACGCTTTAACCACTAGGCTACCCGACCACCCCTGACAGCCTACCCTCTGCAGGTCGAGGAAACGAGTGGGGTGACACAGAGTACCTACCTTCAGCAGGTAGAGGAAACGAGTGGAGAGACACAGAGTACCTACCTTCAGCAGGTAGAGGAAACGGCGGGGTTGACACAACCGACTCCGATGACTGCTTCATCAATCCTCCTGCCATGAAGCTGGCCAGTGTGTTTGTGGCAAGGTTCCCACCTGCAGCAGTCAGCCTCTGGGGAGACAGCTGAGTGGGCATCTGGGCCAGGGCGATGAGGGTGTGGGCCGCGGCCTGCTGGGCTATCATCTGGTTGTCCTCCGGGCTGAGTGTGGAGTGGGCCCCAGAGGACGCTGCCTGGAGAGGGATGGCTTGGACTGTGGACAGATGCCTTGAGATTGTACTCTGTAGTGGAACGGTTTGGATGGGAGATGTCTGTTTCATCTTTGAAGCGTATGTTGAGGTTTGTAATGGGTACGACACATGGACAGGCGACAAGAGGGTTTTGGATGTCGGGGAAATCTGAACAGGTATCTCAGTTGGAGGAGCATCACCACCTGCTAGCATCAGTGGGTAATTATACGCATGAGGTGCTGCTGGGGGCTGGGTCAAGGCTAGTGTAAGCAGAGACTGAGATTTAGATGCGGTGGCTTCCAGGGGTCTGGATGGTGGAGACCTTGGGAAGGGGTTGCGTGTCAGGATGTCTGGAGTCACAGGAGCGGAGTGGGATCTCGGGGAGGCCACCAACTGCACAGGACTGAGAAGTCCAGACGTCAGAGGAGGTGACCTCATCATGGGATTAGGAACATGAATTCCAAGTTCAGAAGGAATGGCGGTGGTGAGCAGGAGGCTGCTCTTGGGGGTGCTGAACAACTGAGCTGCTGATGCTGGATGTGGCTTGGTGGGGTGACTGTGGGGGTCATCCGTGTGGGGTGCAACATGAGGATGCCCCAGCATACCTCGCATTATCGGGGTCTTAGCAGCATCTGATGCAGATATAGGCGACTTGGAACCTGGAACTATTGATCCTGACATTGTGGAAATAGGTGATTTTGACATTGGGACGGCTGATCCTGAAACTGTAGAAATAGGAGACTTGGAACCTTGAACTATTGATCCTGGAACTGTGGAAACAGGTGACTTTGACACTGGAACAGTTGATGCTGTTACCATGGATGTTGGAGACTTCAAAACTGGAACTATTGATCCTGGAACTGTGGAAATAGGCGACTTTGACGCTTGAACTGTTGATGCTGTTACCATGGATGTTGGAGACTTCAAAACTGGAACTATTGATCCTGGAACTGTGGAAATAGGCGACTTTGACACTGGAACAGTTGATGCTGTTACCATGGATGTTGGAGACTTCAAAACTGGAACTATTGATCCTGGAACTGTGGAAACAGGCGACTTTGACGCTTGAACTGTTGATGCTGTTACCATGGATGTTGGAGACTTCAAAACAGAAACTATTGATCCTGGAACTGTGGAAATAGGCGACTTTGACGCTTGAACTGTTGAACTTGAAACTGAAGACACTGGTGAACTGGACAAAGTTGCTGTTGTAGCTCTAAGAGGGGATGTTACTAAAAGTGACTGAGACCCCGGCACTGACCTCAGACTCTGGTTCGTCACAGTTACAACAATAGCCTCCGAAACTGGCACAGCACAACGTACCACAGTGTCTGTTCTCTCTGACACTTCACCAGCCTGTTGGCTGTGAGGCTGACTTGGTGAAGCATCAAGACCAGTCGAAATGGCATACACATCACCAGCATCATCATCCATGGCCTCTGCCAACACCGCCTTCACCTCCTCCTTTACCTCCTCCTTCATCTCAACCTTCATCTCAACCTCTACAGATGGAACCTTAACAGGTGGAACTTTAACAGGTGTGTCCACAGTTTCCATAGCCAGGGCTGCCAACTCGGTAGTATCCATGGCTGATAGTTCAACTTTAACATCATCGGAAAGAACTTCAGTTGGAGCTTGTGTATCTGGTTTAACATCTGGTTCTTTCTCATGGTCATCCTTCTTTTTGTCTGGAGGAGGCCTAATGTCACCATCAACCACATCAAAAGGTCCATCAACATCCATGCTTGCTACTGTCTCTTTGTCATTAGCTGTTTCTGGCATCTGAACAGTGTCCTTGTTAACAGATCTACTCTCAGTGCTGGTGTCCTTCTCTTGATCTCCCCCAGCTTGCTCCTTGTACTCCGACATGTCGACCGGCATAGAGAGGCTCTGGAAACGAAAGGATGATCAGAGTTACCTCCCCTGTTGCTTGGAAGACAGATCGAATGTCAAGCTGAAAATGCCGAGTGAGTGTTGACTAATTTGGACATGTTTCACAGTGATAGAAAAGATGGCTTTTGATTGGTTAATAAACTTAACATCTGCAGGAAAATGGGTTCCGGTCTAAATTTTGACCTCTAGTAACTGTTTAATCATAAACAAAACAATAAGAAACCCTGTTACTCAGCTAAAATCAGCTTTATCTGACACTAATGATGGTAAACCGAATAAATCTATGCTACTTAGACTTCGTTAATCCAACAGCCTTGCACTCGGGCTTCCACACACCTGATTGCTGAAATGACTCATAAATCAATCATGTTAATCTGACAATATTCAGCTGACTCTGTGGTCATCTGACTGTGTACACAGCCCCCTGTTTTGATGTGAGACGAGTCAGCCAATGGCTGCAATTTGCTACCAGATAGATTAGATGGGCCACAAAGAGAGTGTAATAATCTAATCTACTTTCATAAAATGTGCAATATTATCTGTACATTTGCAGTGTTATTGTCAATGAATGAAATGAAAGAAGGAATAAACAACGTAGCAAAATGGCGACTTCGTTCTTAATGATCTTATTACAATGTACTTCATCGTCATCTATCTCAGTAGTTCAATTGATAATGAACATGATAATGCTTAATTTCGTTTATCCAACATACTCATTAATCTGACAAAATCATGTGCAACACTGTTGGATTAACGGGACTTATTTTGATGATTAATTGGTATATAAGCTGTAATAAACAAGGGGCCTTGCTACTCACCATGGGAGGGTCAGCTCGGGTGGCGTGGTTATAGAGCGCAATCAGTGCCTCCCCCACTGACTTCCATCTGTCATACAGGCAAACACAACATCACCACCCATACACGCTAACTGACAGTTTCTTCCTTTAGTAAATTACAGCATCTCTTGGCTAGGATGTTTGTTTGTTTGTTTGTTTGTTTGTTTGTTTGTTTGTTGTTTAACACCGCACTAAGCAAGATTCCAGCTATATGACGGTGGTCTGTAATTAATCGAGTCTGGACCAGACAATCCAGTGATTGACATCACGCAACTAGTACACAATAGCATGCATCAACCAAGTCAGCATGTCTGACCACCCAATCCCGTTAGTCGCATCTTACAACAAGCATAGTCTCTTATGGCAGCCATGGGTTGCCGAAGACCTATTCTAACCCGGATTTTCACGGGTGGCTAGGTAGTAAAATACTGAAATCGACTGTTAATAATCAAAATCTAACTGCAACATATTCCCCTTTTAATGTTTTAGTAATAAGAGATATCTGACAGCAAATAAAACATATGAATACATATTACTTCAGCAGCAACACCTCTCAATTGTTATCAGCAAACAGCATCAAACAAGAATGATCATATACATGTATATAAGAATGACCACATTCACATTCAGACCCTAACAGAAACAAATCAACTTTGGACTAATAAGTGTCCGGATCTCTTAGTATGTATTCAACTCAGTCTTAAGAACTGTGTATGTTGTTAATATCATTACGTGTTGGATTCAATCTTCTCAGGAAACTTGATGACAGGGGGCGGAGGTTTCTTGGCAAGTTCTCGGTTCTTTCTTCGCATGGCCAGAGCTTCTTCCACGTACTGAAAGTGACCGTGAGTAGAAGATGTAGAAGCTGGGCACTCATCTCAAGATCAAAAAGATGACCCTTTACTTTTGATGTACATCTTCATCAAGAGGATGTAGGATAGATTCAATTGAAACAGCATCACATCACTCATTACCAAAGCTGTTTCCTAGTTTGAGGGTGAGTGACTGGGTGAATATTGTTTTATGCCACAGTCATCTCTATTCCACTTACATGAAATACTTTTTTGAATAATTGAACATTTTACTTTAAGTTGCATATTTATATACTTATCCTATCTCACACAATCACCTGCATCACAGTTACCCTTGCCTGTCTGCTCTAAGAGTGTGAGTGGGTGAGTATGTTTTTACCCCGCTTATAGCAATATTCCAGCAATATCACAACGGGTGACACCAGAAATGGGCTTCACACATTGTACCCATGTCAGGAATCGAACCCAGGTAATCAGCGTGACGAGCGAACGCTGTAACCACTAGGCTACTGGACCACCTCCTCTAAGAAAGAGAATGATATGTCAGGTGATCACCTTGCACTGTGTAAGGTCGATTACAGTGCGTGACTCATTTGTTTGGGTAGTGACCATGGTGATGTTGGGATGTGTTTGGGTGTAATGTTTTCTGAAGCTGGAAACTTTGTTCTAGGGCGTTTCCACACAGGATCGAAAGAAGAAATGCTTGGTGTGAGAAAGGATAAGTGTAAAATATAATTGAGATTACACCAGGCAAACCAGTGACTGATAGCATGAACAATGACTACACCTGTCAGGGCTTGACTAAAAACAATCAGCCAAGTGACACATCGAAACCACACGAGCCTAGTCAGTCATGGTATTGAGGACATGGTATTGAAATGACAAAGGAGCACGAGTTTCCCAGTCTTCTAAGACACCGCAATTCGCTGTGCAGAGTTGTGTCCCTTAGGCATAGCAGAAACCTGTTATTGTGGGTTTGAATCCCTGCTAACCCCAATTATGGTTCTAGGTCTGTCAACACACCTGTTAAGTTTCACCAAAGTGGTAAAAGTCTGAGACCAGAACTTTCCTCCAACACTAAGCTGTCATGCCGCTATACAACTGGAATACTGTTCAAAGCGGCGTGAAATCCAACTCACTCACTCAATAATAACAAATGTGTTCTCTGTACCTCCTCAGCATCTGCCTTGTCCAGCTTCATGGTGAAGATGATGGGATCACTGTGGGGAAAATCACACAACTATATATAATACTCAAAAGAGTTCAAGAACATTGTATCTTTTCCTATGACAATTGTTAATCCATCATGGCTGGTGGGTTATGCAACACACTGCCTTCCCGCCTGCCTGTGGCTGGTAACTTTTCTGTCGGGCTGCATGAAATTATCCTCCACCTGCCCGACTATCTGGCAGATAATTTTAAGACTACTGCATTCAGGCATAATGATTATTGAAAAATAGCAAAAGCTAAGAAACAAATCATGTCTTGATTCAGTTGAAATAATGCAAACAATTACTTGAGAATCTACAAGAGGTAAAAACAAACTTTGAAGATGGGCAGGCAACTCTTATGGGTCACCTGCCTGACTGTCTTGTTGGGTTTTAAAATTATTTCGAACACTGCCTGACCTGTTAACTCATTTCAGAAATGAAAAAAAAGTAAAAACAAGTTGGTCACCATGGGAAGAGAAGTAAGATAATTATTCGATTGGACTTGTCCTATGTTGTGAATCTGAGAGCTCACCAGTAGACAAACATGTCCTTGGAGTCCTGCCTGAGGGATGGCTGCTCTCGGAACATCTCCTCTCTCAAGGCTATCCCCTTCTCATAGTGGCAGTCCTTCTCTAGAGCCTTGGCAATGTAGTACAGGCACCCTGAAACGTCACCAACATCATCATCATCATGGAAACAGTTCAAGTCCAAATAACGACCATCATCATCATCATCATCATCATCATCAAGGAAACATTTCAAGTCCAAATAACGACCTACTTGCTTGCATCATCATCATCATGGAAACAGTTCAAGTCCAAATAATGACCAACTTGCTTGCATCATCATCATCATCATCATCTACATCATCATCATCATCATCATCATCACCATCATGGAAACAGTTCAAGTCAAAATAACGTCCAACTTGCCATCCATGAATAATAACTTAAGAAATATTTTACGTGTAAATTCACTCGTACTTGAGGATTGACTGTGTAGTTTTTTCAGTTCATTGAGGTAAGAATAAAAAAAACGATGTGCAAACAGTATTAATCCACGTAGCGGATTCTTACAAAAGTTTGCACATTGGTTTTTCATATCATTTCAATGAACACAAGGAAAATTCAATTCTTTTACAATGAACAGAAATAGAAGACCATTGGAAGTGTTTATAATTATCCTGTGACTGTCATCGGTCGTTGTGTCACATGAACCTTGGTTTGCTGGTCTCCAAATTAATGAATGGGAGAGTCAGCCATGGATTTCCAGTCTCAAGATTCACCATCTTTTTCAAACTTTGAAAGTCAACTGCATCTGAAAACACTTGCCACAACCATGTTGTTTATTTTCCAACATGCGTAAGCCAATCATAACAAAGCTCCTTACAGTGTTATTTCATTCCCTGTGCTATAATATGAGTGTGGAATGACATTATGACAGCAATTTCTTTGTAACGTTGCAACACTGCCACTCGAAGCATGTCAAAGAATGTCATAAAATACCCCACAGAGTGCAGAGGTATTTATATGAGATGCTTTCCAATTGAAAACCATGCTTCTCTCAGGGAATAATTCTTGTATCATCAGATCATTATATAATCCGATGTGTCAATTCCACACGATAGAATGGACACTACAGTAGGTACAGATGGTACGAGGTGAACACTTACGCCAGTAATCATTCAAGGCATAGGACACTGGGATGACGTGATCTAAACAAGGCCAGTGGTTGGGATTGCACTGCAGGCCCTGAAATAGACACAACAAATATTTTACTTTACGACTACATGTCACTCTTAAAAAATCTGTTTTCATTTAAAGACATCACAAATGGTAATGGTCACGTCAACAAAGATGTGGTTTCCATGCCAACATGCATGAACTGAAGTTTTATTGCTTTATTCTACACTCAGCAATATTCCAGCTATACAATGGCGGATGGTAAAAAAATCGAGTCTGGGCCAGACAATCCAGTGACTGATATTGTGATCTATGACGTCCGGGTACAATGGCACCAAACCAAATAAGTCTCTCCGAGACGGACGCTTTACAACGAGACCCAAATGCAGTCGTTGGGAGTCTCTATGATGACTGGGCGACCCGTGCCCCCCATTTTGATTTTGAATCCTGGGTTTACCCTGTAGTATATTTTATTAATGTACCTGTTCAAAAGCAAGCCTAGAGAGCGAATAGTCATGTATCTTCAGGCCGATAGTGCCGATCTTGTACCACACTGTCACCTCACTGGAGTCGATCTTGACTGCCTGAAAACACAACCTTGAAATGTATACTGCGTGTACTTGATTAGTATTTGAAACTAGGCATTAAAAGTCCAAGGCCCCGTTCTACAAAGCGATCTTAGCGCTACAACCTTACAATCATCTTAGCACTAAGATCACATTGTAGAACGGGGCCCAGTGTCCAACATGTTATTTCAGTTGAGTTTTGTATAAAAAACTCAGATAAATACACAATTCATTAACAAATACATAATAAGTTTTATCCCTTGTGAAGATTGACTTTGCAGGCATAGATGTATGGTTGGTTGGTTGGTTTGTTGTTTAGCGCCGCACTCAGCAATATTCCAGCGGTCTGTAAATAATCGAGTCTGGACCAGACAATCCAGTGATTAATATCATGAGCATCGACCCACGCAATTGGGATCGATGACATGCATCAACCAAGTCAGCAAGCCTGACCACCCGATCCCGTTAGTCGCCTTTTACGACAAGCATAGTCACCTTTTACGACAAGCATGGGTTGCTGAAGACCTATTCTACCCCCATAGATGTATGAGTGAGTGAGTATGGTTTTACTTCCCTTTTCAGCAATAATATTCCAGCAATATCATGGTGGTGAAGGACACCAAAGTGTGCCTCACACACTGTAGCCATGTGAGGAATCAAACCTGGGACTTTGGTGAGTGCCTTGTTAACCACTAGGCTACCCCACCCCAACAACTCATCAACACAGTATGTGTCTACGAATAGCAGTATGGATCAAATGTTGTGTGGTACCACTGATGAAAAGAAATTGCAAACAATTCGGTGGCAATGAAAAGATCTAATCTTTTCAAGAACATAATGAAACAAGCATGAAATACATACCCGGTTGTGTACTACCGCCATTTTCAGTCTTAGTCAAAGTCATTGCCATGGAAACTCGAAAAATATTTTTTTCAAAATTCCCAAACTATCAAAAGGCACCAGTCACCACTAGACATACCTGTGTGCCAAGTTTGGTTAAGATATCTCTAACTGTTTTTGAGTAACAGAAACTAAACGAGATGGATGGATGGATGGACGGACAGACAGCACCCATTCCTATATCCCCCTTCCACTTCGTTGCAGGGCATAACAAAATGTATTTTACCTCAAGGTAAGACTTCATGGCAGCTTTGAGGTCTCTCCGAGACGGGGCATAATAAAATGTATTTTACCTCAAGGTAAGACTTCATGGCAGTTTGGAGGTCTCCCCTGTCTGCAGCGATGGCGGCCAGGTTCTTGTGTATGGAGTACAGCAGCTGGAGGCCGGGGTGAACCACGTTGTCCTGCTCCTCCTCCACGATGCGGGCAGCCTGGGCACAGCATCCATGCATGGGTCAGTCAGTCAGTCAGGATTTACACCACTTGGAGCAGTATTTCAGTTATATCACAGCATGTTGTCTTATATAGGGAGGAAAGCCCAAAGTGAGGCAGGTCATAGACGTTATCACTTTAGAGAACAACAAAAGCATTGGATTTGACAGACAAACTAGGGATCATGATCCCTGAGTAATCTGGGGTTCAGCTAGGATTCAACCAGGTGTTCAAGTAGAGATTCAACCAGGTGTTCATCCTGTGGTGCAACTACGCATGTTAGGTGTTCATCCTGTGGTGCAACTAGGTGTTCAACTTGTGGGGCAACAATGTGTTCATCCAGGTGTTCAACTAGAGAGCAACAAGGTGTTCAATTAGAGATTCAACTAGGTGTTCAACAAGTGGTGCAACTAGGTGTTCAACTTGTGGTGCAACAAGGTGTTCAATTAGAGATTCAACTAGGTGTTCAACTTGTGGTGCAACAATGTGTTCATCCAGGTGTTCAACTAGAGAGCAACAAGGTGTTCACTTAGAGATTCAACTAGGTGTTCAACTAGTGGTGCAACAAAGTGTTCATCCAGGTGTTCAACTAGAGAGCAACAAGGTGTTCAATTAGAGATTCAACTAGGTGTTCAACTAGTGGTGCAACTAGGTGTTCAACTTGTGGTGCAACTAGGTGTTCAACTTGTGGTGCAACAAAGTGTTCATCCAGGTGTTCAACTAGAGAGCAACAAGGTGTTCAACTAGTGGTGCAACTAGGTGTTCAACTTGTGGTGCAACAATGTGTTCATCCAGGTGTTCAACTAGAGAGCAACAAGGTGTTCATCTAGTGGTGCAACTAGGTGTTCAACTTGTGGTGCAACAAAGTGTTCATCCAGGTGTTCAACTAGAGAGCAACAAGGTGTTCAACTAGTGGTGCAACTAGGTGTTCAACTTGTGGTGCAACTAGGTGTTCAACTTGTGGTGCAACAAAGTGTTCATCCAGGTGTTCAACTAGGGAGCAACAAGGTGTTCAACTAGTGGTGCAACTAGGTGTTCAACTTGTGGTGCAACAAAGTGTTCATCCAGGTGTTCAACTAGGGAGCAACAAGGTGTTCAACTAGTGGTGCAACTAGGTGTTCAACTTGTGGTGCAACAATGTGTTCATCCAGGTGTTCAACTAGAGAGCAACTAGGTGTTCATCTAGTGGTGCAACTAGGTGTTCAACTTGTGGTGCAACAAAGTGTTCATCCAGGTGTTCAACTAGAGAGCAACAAGGTTTTCAACTAGTGGTGCAACTAGGTGTTCAACTTGTGGTGCAACTAGGTGTTCAACTTGTGGTGCAACAAAGTGTTCATCCAGGTGTTCAACTAGGGAGCAACAAGGTGTTCAACTAGTGGTGCAACAATGTGTTCATCCAGGTGTTCAACTAGAGAGCATCTAGGTGTTCATCTAGTGGTGCAACTAGGTGTTCAACTTGTGGTGCAACAAAGTGTTCATCTAGGTGTTCAACTAGGGAGCAACAAGGTGTTCAACTAGGGAGCAACAAGGTGTTCAACTGGGGGTGTAACTAGCTGTTCAACTTGGGGTGAAAACCTGGTGTTGAACTAGGTGTTCAACCAGGTGTTCAACAAGGGGAGCAACTAGAGTTCAATTAGAGGTTCGTCTGAGACTGATTTACAGGCTACCATCATACTTGACCTACCTCAATCAGGAAATCATGAGAGACAAGATCCTGAAATGTCTGTTTGGCCCCAGTGACGTCTCCCTCCCGCTGCAGACTGAGGGCCCGGCTGTACAGGCTGAAGGCTTCAGCTTCCTGCAGTCACACAGATAGAACAGTGAATGTTGACCAGGGCTCCAGACAATGTTTTGAGGCTATGAGTATTTACCAACAAGCTATCATTCACATTGGGTATTGACTGCTTTGTCTGGGTATTGATTATATTTCTTCCTCCTCTTGGACCCAGTATATTGGTTTTACACTATGCAGAAACATTTTTAAAAATAATTCTGCTTGAAATGCTGTTTCAAATGACTTTTTATTTGTATCTGTTTGTGCCTGAGGATGTAAAATGTTGCATAGGTAGATATATTTTCAAGATATATATATGTCAAATTAACAAAAAGGCATCTTCCCGAGGCAAGGGAGTTAACTGACTGTAAAAGTCCAGTTTCCACCCTTGCCAAACTAGGCTGCAATTATGGAGTTACATTTTGTCTGGACTAATGAGTCTATACATAGTCCAATCAAACTCGGGTGACGAACTAGACATCCAGTTCGTAAACAACATGGATTTCAACGTGCAGATTTCGGTCGACTGCAGGATTTGCAAAGCATGTGTACCACCAGCTGGGTTTAGACAGATATTTTTCAAATTCTTTTATGTTTTTAATCAAGTTGCGCACATAATTTAACACAATTCACGGGTAAGACACGTTTTATTACAATACAGATCATCCTGACTGGGCGCGCCATTTTGGTTGAAGCAAATGCAAGTTATACGAGAGATGGAATCTGATTGGTCAATAGGAGGAACATACAAGGGACATAACTCATAACAGCCATTAGTGGCGCTACGATCAGCCTGGAAATTTCAGCCTAGTTCAGCAAGGGTGGAAACTGGACTATATAGTCACTTAAAACCCTTGCCTCCAAAAGATGCAATAAGTGACACATATCACCTTTTGTATGCATTATTCACTTCAGTAGAGTTCATGTATGTGTGATGCCTGAATTCAATAAGTAAATAAAGATCTATAAAGACATACAGGTACACAGGATGCAAGGATATATTGGGTAATTATACTATTGGGTACTTTAAATTCTTCATGCATATTTGTACGTAAGCAAAAATATATAACTGGGTAATTTATTTTGCATATTTTATGTAAGTTCACATCTTATCTGGACCCCTGTAGCATTAATGCTGAAATCAAACCTGTGTACATCACGTTCAGCCTTCATACAAAAGTTCTGAAACAATCAGTCTTGGACTTTAGTCACAAATCTGAAGTCTAGTAAGCTGAGCTAATAATAGCCCATTTGATAACACGAAACTCGACTGATAATTATGCTTAGCGCCACGTTCGAACTGGCTGACTCAGATGTCTTCAGCACAGACAGCACAAGACTCACCCATTTCCTAAATTGTAACTTTTCAGCTTCAAAATAACTCATTACCTCATCATGAGATATGGAATTTAAACACTGTCATTTAAAAGTTAACATACAGTGTTTTCAATATAGAGCCAAGATAGGTTACTTCCAGATTTAACCATGCGAAATTGAATTTTGAACCAAACATGCAGAAGCTGCATGGGTTGAGTGCAACTTTGTAAGATAACATGAGGTGGGCACCCCTTAAGAAAACTAAGCATGCTATCCAAAGCTTTTCGTTCTACACTGCAAATCACCATTAGTTTGTTTGTTTGTTGTTAAATGCCACACTCAGCAATATTCCAGCTATATAACCGCGGCCTGTAAATAATCGAATCTAGACAAGACAATCCAGTGATTGACATCATGAGCATTGATTCAGAGGGGGATCAAGAACCTCTGACTGACCAAGCAGTGTAGAGTAATTTCCAAATTCATAGTAGAATTCTCCGTTTATCAAAGAAACATGATATACTTCCATGTACAGACCTTGGCCTCTCTCGTGGTGGCCGCATGTTGGGAGAGTGTGGTGTTCTCATCTCCACTGTCACTCTCATTCAAGGCAGCGATACGGAACTGGAAGAAAAGATAGAATAGATGAAAAAGATGTTGAAGGTAAGTCAATACTCGTTAGGGTGTGTGTTTGCCTTCAATACTAAATATTACTGAAAAATGAAGAAAAAGATAAATAACTATTGTATTTGTGTAAAAATGTGTAAGAATGAATATAGGGGTTAATTAACAGCTCATTTTATACAGTCAGCTATATTTCAGAAACATTTGGTTGATTTTGTCACGTACAAATATTAAACACGAGTTGTAAAATGATATAGAATTATTTTGTTTGTGTTTGTCTTATGCACAGATTTAATACTGCAATGCATCAGTGTTTCGTTTCAGCCCTAGTACCCAGGTAACCAACAACGGGTAATCTAGCTTGGGGTAGTTTACTGTGGGATGGATCATGATGAGTTTGCAAAATAAGACTGTAGGGAAAAAAAATATTATTTGACAGGATCCATGTGTTATTCAAGTGTTTCTTGACTTAATTAAAATTCCTGTTACAGATTTCACAGACCCATTAACTGTTGCCATATAAGGAAGAGAATTTATGGATGTCAACTTCTTTATTATGAGGAAGACAACTTTTCGGAGTAAATACTTACTCCTTCATCAGGTAAGGTGCAAACTCAACATGTACTAGGGACCTACTCTAATTCTTGGAAATATGAACTGTGTACTATGTAGGTAATGAAACAAAACGTATTGAATGCAAAATCGATTAAACAACTTCGAGAGCTTATTAGCCTTCTACGGCGACATGTAGAATTAAAAACTCCTGTTTGAATACACACAGCATAAGCAGCAACAAATAGATATCCTTAAGAAGACACTGAAAGCTAATAAACGTGAACGGTGAACTTTAGGTTGTCAACTGTGACATTCTGCCTTAGCATGCCGCCAGTACTTTAACGGTACATACACCTTTCTCGACTGACAGTCGGTTTACGACTTGAGTTGAAATGACATCGATAAAATTATCGAAAATAGTTGCTAACCATGATTTATTTCGTTGACATTTGGTCCTTGGGGCAAGCCATGGACACAAAGAGATGTCACTTTATGATGTGTTTCATAAAAATGAGAAATTGCATTCATAACACCACAAAACTAGTCCTTTGTTGCGTCTGTGTTCATCACTCCCGCGGAGACCGCCATATTGAAAACGGTGTACACTGAAAGTGTAACTTCCTGTTAACGGTGTCGGGTATAAATGCTCCCTGTGGACGAAAGACTGGGCAGACTCGGCTGGTGTTCCGTTTTTCGATATGAGTGAACGATCATTCGCCTAACCAATGATGTTTATGTGAGATTCATATTATTGACCTAATACCGCTCATGTCATGCACTAATTTAACAAACACAAAAAGAAAAAGGTTTTGTTTCAAAATGTCTATGATTGTGTTTCAAAATGTCCATATGTAACTATTGTTTATGTTTCAAAATAGCGTTTCTCAAAATGGGCCTCTGGGATATTTTCTATACCGAAGGTAAATTTTCTCACGCGATATGCCCTGGTGAACAGCAATTCGTTCGTGATTTTGCAAATAAAATAGTGATTGTGAAATCGAAATAATATGAAAAAGGCCAAATTTAAAGAACGCGATCAGTATTCAGTATTCTAAGGTAGGGCCTACATGTTGTATGACGCGTGTACAACAATTAACAGTAGACAAATGTAAACCTAAATACATAGGCACATTCAATATTTACGAAATAGCCATTGTACCCTCAATTTCACGTGTTGAAAGTTATTGTTTTTTCCTCAGATCGTTACTATCAGAAAGGTGAAGATTAAGGCCATCATACCCAGTGGTCTTCTGATTACGGTTCAGGTTGGTTTGGTTGGTTGGTCTGTTGTTTAACGCAGCACTCAGCAATATACCAGCTATATGACGGCGGTCTGTAAATATTCGAGTCTGGACCAGACAATCCAGTGATTAATATCATGAGCATCAATCCGCGCAAGTGGGATCGATGACATGCATCAACCAAGTCAGCGAGGCTGACCACCCGATCCCGTTAGTCTCCTTTTACGACAAGCATATATAGTCGCCTTTTACGGCAAGCATGGGTTGCTCAAGACCTATTCTACCCCGGAATCTTCACGGGTCTCCACGCAATTGGGATCGATGACATGCATCAACCAAGTCAGCGAGTCTGACCACCCGATCCCGTTAGTCGCCTTTTACGACAAGCATAGTCCCCTTTTACGGCAAGCATGGGTTGCTGAAGACCTATTCTACCACGGAATCTTCACGGGTCGATTAGGTTCAGTGTCGCCCCTTGTCAAGTTGTTGTTTGGACGTTCATACATTGGGCATGACATCAATCTAATTAAAATCAGATCTAAGTTTTCGCTGCCGCTAAACAAATCTGATTTTAATGAGATTGGGCATGAAATAGGCTGACAGATCTTCACGTGAAATTGATGGGTGTAGTTTTTCAAGCTGATCTCAAGTTCACACATTGGAAGCAGAACTACGTTTCCAGTATGTATAGGCATGATACATAATTTTACTTTCAACAATGTATTCATTTAGAATATTTTCATGCCAAAGTTGAGAGGAAGATTCACATAACCATATTGGCTTTCTTGTTGTATAACGCCACACTTAGCAATAGTCCAGCTACTGACACATGGTTGATGGCGACTTGGACCAGACAAACCAGTGATTGATATAACGAGCAATGCCCCACGCCATTGAGGCGTGATGACACGCAATCATCCTTGAAACGCCACAGACCCAGTGCTATAAGAACAATCTCATCATGATGATAAGCTCACCTACCAAAAGCACAATCCCAACATGTTGTCCTGATTATAGGTGAAGCATGTGTATTGTTGTGACGAGTACATAATATGGATGTTTTTGACACATCAAACATTTACAGTGCATGACATGTAGCATTTGATGTGTCATCAAATCTTTGTTTCCGACTTTCATTCAAAGATACTACAGGCTTTTATTCGCATGCACAATCAATTTTTCAGCTATATCCCAGCAAACCTAAAAACGACAACTCTCACTTGATTTTATCACATGTTTGATTTGCAATTGAAAATATCTTAAGTTAGCGATACGCCCAAAACATTAACTGTATTGGCACTTAGTAGCATTCAAAGAATACTTCTGCATCGTTTTCTTTTGTTAAATATAATTTGGTTTTAAAGTTTGAAAATGCAAAAATCGCATTATACACAACTGCTGATGGGTATCTTAGACATCTTATCTTTGAAAATCAATAAATTTGGTCAAAATCCACACAAAATCACCCAGCCACAGATAACCTTTTACAAACTGTTACAGGAATGGGTGATGGTTAAATAAACATAACCAAATTCAACAGTTCTTTCAATTTTCAATTACATAAAAAACATTTCTTGTTTCACACAGTTTATGTTCAGTGTTGAACGAAGAAATACTAGTCTATTTAATTATTCAAATATATGAAAATGTTCTACCAGTTAGGAAGCATATTTCACAATGAACCCACTTAACAAAATAATAACTGATATTTATGATTGGAATATTAATATGTATGGTATGTAGGCTATTAATTTCTAAAGAAAACGCGATAAATTCTAATGAAAGGAACAAATAGACTTTGTTGATGCATGTCATCGTATCCAAATTGCATAAATCGATGTGCATGATATCAATCACTGGATTGTCTGGTCCAGACTCGATTATGTACAGACCGCCGTCATTTAGCTGGAATATTGCTGAGTGCGGCATTAAACAACAAAGAAAGAAACAAACAAACAAAACACACACAAAATATAAAACCGTCAAACATACAACCCCACAGTACCTTGTTTAAATATACAAAAATCGTAATTTCACTTTCTATTTTGACACCAAAGAACAAATTATCAAATTAAGATATAGAAATGATTTATATGGCGTTGTCGCACAAGGACACTTGTGACGAACATCGCACGTGTGTTGGCAAGTGAAGCCCGGGCGGAAACAGGCAGAGGTATTTTACGTGCGCATCTGAAGTGAATCCAGAGGATATTCTATTAACAAAAGATTCATATTTTGATCCGGAAAGTTGTAAACTTAATTCTCTCCAAACACGTTGATCGGAAGTGAATCCAGAGGATATTCTATTAACAAAAGATTCATATTTTGATCCGGAAAGTTGTAAACTTAGTTCTATCCAAACACGTTGATCGGAAGTGAATCCAGAGGATATTCTATTAACAAAAGATTCATATTTTGATCCGGAAAGTTGTAAACTTAGTTCTATCCAAACACGTTGATCGGAAGTGAATCCAGAGGATATTCTATTAACAAAAGATTCATATTTTGATTCGGAAAGTTGGAAACTTAATTCTATCCAAACACGTTGAGGGTCTAAACATATGAAAGAGCTATCGTCTCACAGCGCTACAACATTCCTATAATCTTAACGTGTGTAGATAGAAGATCGTTTAGGATTTAAACACATTCCTAAACATGTTTAGATCTAAATATGTCCTGCATGCGTTTTCACTCTAAACACATTGTTTTACAATGTATGAAGCTTACCATGAAGTACCCCATTAACGAGAAAATGAATTATATCGTAGCATGGTTTATTTCTACATTTTCATGTTAATATTGTAGCATACCCGTGAAGAACCGGGTGGAAATAGGTCATCAGCAACCCATGCTTGTCGTTAGAGGCGACTTACAGGATCGGGTGGTCAGAATCGCTGACTTGGTCGATGCATGTCATTTATCCCAATTGCGTGGATCGGTGCTCATGATATTACTCACCGGATTGTCTGGTCCGGACTCGAGTATTTACAGACCGCCGTCATATAGCTGGAATAATGCTGAGTGCTGCTTTAAAAAACAGTCAAGTACACAAGCAAAATATTGCACTAAATTCATTGTACCTCCTGGTCGTATGTGTGATGCAAGTGGAAATTTGACGACATAACTGCATTTTGGGGCGTTAAGTACCCTACATCAGTGACCTAAGCGTATTGGCGTTCCGTGTCGTCATGGGCAATGTCATCCATGACTCTACAACTGGCCTTGTCCAGAGGGGGTCTCTAAAGCCCCATTCACATGGACAAAATTTACTCATGTAAGCAAATTTACTCATGGAGTATAGTTACTTATGTAAGCAAAAGTATACTTACATTGCGTTCACATGAAGTTTATGCAATGCAGAAGTAAACATCATTTCATAAATAAATTGTGGACTTTTATCATTTGAGGCCATGTCACTGTCGAAGATAGTCAACCAGAGGCGAAAGAGAGACTTTCCATACTTTCTTAGTATGGGATTAGTCTTAGGATTATGCCAGGAAAGAGAACTGTGGAAGAGAGAACGTTCTCAACACTGGTGGAACGATGTCGTCAAACGATCATTTGATGATAAACTGTGGATCGATAACTTTCGCATGACCGTATTTTCCTGCACAGGAAATGTTTGTGTCATAATGGAACATTATGGAACCTACGTGACAGGTTATGCATCTCTATTGATTAAATGGCGAAGACAGCATCGAAGCAATCAAACAGAAATAGAAATGTCATTTCTCTATCGATTCCCTCTATCGAATCCAAGAATTTCTGTAGCTGTATCTTTAAAGCGATCTCGACGGTGACCATCATTTTAAAGGTTGAATTTGTTACACTGTTTACCTTATAACAGTATTCACTGTGTCTGTTATTTATCATTCAGACATGTCGACCAGGGGGATGTCCATGCATAACTCGGAGTAAGGCACTGATACATCAATCAGTTGTTGCTTTGATTCCAATGAATAAATCTTCCCGCGGGGACTCAGGGTTAGGATGGACCACAGCAACCTTCGCTGGTGACCCGTGAAGATTCCGGGGTAGAATAGGTCTTCAGCAACCCATGCTTGCCGTAAAAGGTGACTATGCTTGTCGTAAAAGGCGACTAACGGGATCGGGTGGTCAGGCTCGCTGACTTGGTTGATGCATGTCATCGATCCCAATTGCGTGGATCGATGCTCATGATATTAATCACTAGATTGTCTGGTCCAGACTCGATTATTTACAGACCGCTGGCATATAGCTGGAATGTTGGTGAGTGCGGCGTTAAACAACAAACCAACCAACCAACCTTCGCTGGTAGTAAGGTGATCGGGCGGTCAGGTCGTAGTGAAGCAGTGACGTTTGTTGGCACCATGACGGCGGCGATCCTTGCTGATGACATCAATCACTGGATTATATGGTCCAGGCTCGTATATTTACAGGCCGCCGCCATAAGGTGTAACGTTGCCGATGACAATAATAAACACACCCACACACGCACACGCACACGCACACGCACGCACATGCAGAATAAATCGTCATCAGAAAACAAACTTCTGTTTTGTAAAGATTGGTGATAGGTATATGGGTTGAAATAAAAAACCAAGCAGTATGTACACACATGTTCTTTATTAAAAGAGTATGAAACAATGATACACAACAGAGTAAGGGGGGCCAGGAAACAAACGTCCTCATCAGTAGAGAAGGAGCGACAATCAGAATACTGATGACTTGATAGTATATATGTATCTATTCATATGAAGCATATGCTGCGGGTAATGAAAGAAATGAATATTGAAAATATCGATATATAATCAAGAGTATTATGGCACGATCCATGTGTATATAATCAGCAAAATAGTTTATTCACACATTGATATTGATACAAATATGTATATGTTCTTTCACACATCCCCGCACGCACGCACCCACGAACGCACGCACTCACGCACGCACGCACGCACACACACACACACACACACACACACACAAAAGCACCAGGTAGATAAATATTGATTTAGTGTACCGACGAAGTATTATAAAAAGTAAATGCTACTACATATACGTACATATATAAGCTTTCAGCATTTTCTGCTACTGCCTCATACTAACTAACTATTGCTGCAGCTATTCTAATGTTGTCATACCCTTAGGGAGCCCGCTGGTTTTTGTCGTCTAAGGCTGTGCAAGGTTGGTAAACGACTGAGACCAGTATCACGTTGGGCTTTGCTCCCACTTTAAGCTCACCAGCCGTGATATAACTAGAATACTGTTAAAATTGGCTTTGCACCAAACTCACTCACTCACTCACTCACTCATACCTTGATGGAGTATTAGTATGCAGTGATATAAAATATAATGACCACATTCACAAGAGTGAAAATGTCTTGTGAATGAACTAATGCTATGTTTATCGCAATAGCGTCAAATTTCCCTATTGTGAAAATTAATATTGTCTCTTAAGAATATACTGGAACCTCTTTCGCCATATTTCCGAGGTCTAATGCCATGGTGATAAAGCATAAAGGCTCGTCATTTTAATAAGTTTGATGTTTTATTTAAAAAAGCGTGAGATAACGTCTTATGTTTCAAATGACCGCCATGTTACTGGCAGTAAACGGCGGAATAATCCCTATTTCATGAGGTAAGTTTGTTTGTTTTTGTTTAACGTCACTCTCAGTAATATTCCAGCAACATGGCGGCATTCTGTAAATATTCGAGTCTGGACCAAACAATCCATGTGATTGACGTCATGAACATCGATCTCCGCAATTGGGATCGACGACATGCATCAATCACGTCAGCGAGCCTGACCACCCGGTCTCGTTTGTGGCCTCTTACGACAAGCATAGTTGCGGAAGACCTATTCTAACGCTGACCTTCAAGGGTGTGTATAAACATTGTAGACTTTCGTATCATTCATGAATATAACGGAATGGGGCGAGTGGTGCAGTACCGCTTGCATGTTAATTCTTCCCGGGAATACCAGTCCATGATCACCCCACAGGGAAACTAACTTCAGGCAGCTCGCTGGCGTCACTTACACTTTGGTGAAAAGAGGGACGATGGTGTTTGTCACGTCACGAAAATTGGAAGCAAACGTTGATGTTTACACCTCTTGCATATTTGAAGTAACACAAAGGTTATTTGATGGATAATAGCTACTTCGAAATGAACAGTTGAAGTTGATAAAGATGAATTGATATGGACCATACCCATCTTTTAAAGCTGACACTGGTTACACGACATGTCTGCTAAAACCTATGGTCTCATGTACGTCAATCCTGCTGCCAACGTCTCCCTAACATACACAGAGCGGGTCGCAAAGTCACCCCCAACACTGATCAACACGTCTAGACGGAGACCGATCACCGGATCCTGGTCTCCGGATCCTGGACGAGACCTGATGGCGTGAGCAGGCTAGTGAACGTCACGACCTTATAAAAAGTTGTTGTAGAATAACATATTGTCTGAATTTAAACACTTAAAACTTCTCGCGATGAATATACATCAGATGTGACACGGCATGGACGAGCCTCTGTTATATGTACAATGAATGTTTATATAAAGCTGCAGTTAAAATGTACAGATTCTGTTAACTAAAGTATCACTATTTTTCCGTGCAGGTTGTCCATTTATTGTTCATGCGTTATATGTGTTAATGTTTGTGGAACGTCTTTAATGGTTGGAAGGATACACCAAGGTGTAATGCGCAGCCCATGACGCCCCCAACCCTTATCTTCACCCGAATATCAAATGTTTGGCACTATATTCGAGCCACGATGCAAAGGTACCTACACTTTGTGAACAAAGTCGATACGGTAAATAATATCATTGAGATCAACATGCTGATTAGGAACTCGTTCTGTTGTTATTATTTGAAGGATCAGAGGGGCACGTGTCCCCTTTGTCTTGTTCCTCTTGTTCATTTGCCACAACTTGACGCAGATGTTACATCAGACACAGGCTGACCACAGTCCCGACCAGCGCCAGTAGAATCGTTCCAGTCTGAGTAGCTGCACCTGAAGAGGAACATTTGTTTTAGTACTGTCTGAATTGAACTAAAATGAACTTTATTCCACCCAGGCCGCTATCAGCGGGATTAGAGGTACAGCATTGATACATCAACATATACATCACTATATACCGAGCAGTGGCTTCAATAAATAAAGATACTGTAAAGGGTTCAGTTATGCTGGTTGGTTGGTTGTTGTTTAACGCCTCACTCAGCAATATCCCAGCTATATGACGGCGGTCTGTAAATAATCGAGTCTGGACCAGACAATCCAGTGATTGACACCATGAGAATCGATCCACGCAATTGGGATCGATGACATGCATCAACCAAGTCAGCGAGCCTGACCACCCGATCCCGTTAGTCGCCTTTTACGACAAGCATAGTCGCCTTTTATGGCAAGCATGGGTTGTTGAAGACCTATTCTACCCCGGATCTTCAGTTATGAGACATTGATAGGGTTAAATAGCAGCATTGTGATTTTACAAAATTTGGATAATGTTCCAAGTGTTCCTAATCTTTTACTATTAAAAAGCAAACTAAATTCATTTTGTACATATGTGCAATATTGCGCTTGTTAAATGCAATGAAATGCTTAATCAATTTTGTTTTAAGAACACAGCATTGAATTTAAGACATACTCATAATAAAAAATGAACAACATATAATTATTTCTTCTTGTGTAACAGTGCCATAGAAATTAGTCTACTTTCCGTTTCTGATAATGATACAATTATTTCTGATAGAAAGGAAGCTACTGATACTAATTCCTTCCGCTAGAACTCGGGCGAAGTATACATTGAGTGAAGTACATTCTTAGTACCCCATGTGGCTTAAGGATGTGATATCCGCTCTAGCAGTAGAGTCCGGGCAGCCATAGTGACCCGTTGGTAAACCATGATGCATATATGCAACCATCAACCATCCGTTATCTGCCCACGAGTGACATTGTTAGCGAGTTCCAGGCGATCTATTCCGTTGGGGTCGGTGGGGTGGCCTAGTGGTTAAAGCGTTCGGTCGTCACGCCGAAGACGCGGTTTCGATTCCCCACATGGGTACAATATGTGAAGCCCATTTCTGGTGTGCCCCGCCGTGATTATGCTGGAATCTTGCTAAAAGCGGCGTAAAACCATACTCACTCACTCACTCACTCTTACCTGTTGTGGGGCACTCGTTTCCGCAGGATCTGTTCTCAGATTGTCTCCCTTCCCCAGGGCAGTCCGTACCTTCTGTACAGAACCTGGTTCTGATGACGGTGTGTCTGGCTGCAGGGCCGCACGAGGCAGAACAAAGGGGGCTACTCCACTGTGTCCACTCACCCCAGTAGCTGTAGATTACACCTGGAATCAAAGACACAACTGCGGAACACAAGTTGTCATTTATCTTATTCCTGCGCAAAGATGTTGTCTCTAGAACATATGTCTTTACCCTGACCTCCGAAGATACTCATACATCAATAAGCATCTGTTGTCAATGTCTCGGAGGATTGTTTCTACGAAGATTTCAAAGAGCGTCTTTCGACTCTTGCTCAAAAGTTGTTTGATCAAGGTAACAACATTCAGTGCCGCTGTTAAGCTTTCAAAAGTTTTATGCTAGACACGTTGAAGACATTTCCAAATCAGTGACAAAAATTATGTCCGAAGCAAATCCTTATTTTGACTTGTACCATAATAGTGATTCATAACTCGGTAACTCACTCACTCACTCACCCAAACACCCACCCGCTCACACATTTACTCATATCTAACGCTTACGTTTACCAGAAAACTATGGCGTAATACTGACCTTGACAAACAGGAAGGTCACAGGCCTTCACTTCACTCTGAGTGTTGTTTCCAGGGCAGGTAGGTTGACCTGGCTTCTGGTCGCAGGTCCTGGTTCTAGCGGACGTCCGCTTGACCCCTACACCGCACGTGACACCACACCCTGGATCGACCCATTGCCCCCAGTCGCTCCAAGAAACGGCTGTTTCTGAAATGGAAGCAGATTGTTGAGGAGAATAAAACACATGTTTGAGAGTAGGTACAATGTAAACATACTTGCTGTACGAAAAGAAACTAATGTACCACAGAGTGACTTCACCAAGCTGACATCAACTATTGTCTGCTAAATGTATATTTGTCTGCAAATAAACTTCACATTCACATCTGACACCAACAAACCAAACCATTATTTTATTTCAATGTCATATTGATTAATTACTTTAAATATCATATTACTACTACTACTACTAATACTACTACTACTACTACTACTACTACTGTTGCTGCTGCTACTACTACTACTACTACTGCTGCTGCTGCTACTTCTACTACTAATACTGTTGCTGCTGCTTCTACTACTACTACTACTGCTGCTGCTACTACTATTACTACTACCACTGTTGCTGCTACTACCACTACTTCTACTACGACTGCTACTTCTACTGCTACGACTAGTACTACTACCACCGCTACTGATACTACTGATACTTCTACCACTACTACTACCATTACCATTACAATTACCACTACTGCTACTGCTACTACTACCACTACAGCTACTACAACTACTACTGTCACTACTGCTACTGCTACTGCTACTGCTACTACTACCACTACAGCTACTACAACTACTACTGTCACTACTGCTACTGCTACTGCTACTACTTCTCCTCCTACTACTACTACCACCATAACAGCTACTACGGCTGTTCGTAATACCGCTACAACAACAACAACAACTACTACTACTACTACAACTACTACTACTGTTATTACTGCTACTGCTACTTTAACTGTTAACATACCACACAAAGACGCTGCCCCACAGTCTCGGATTTGCATCTCACTGTTGTCACCAGGACAAGTGGCGCCAGCACTACTGGGAGGTGGATTATTACAGGACCTGGCTCTGGTGACGGTGTGTCTGGCTGTAGGGCCACACGTTGCAGGACAGGAGGGTCCACCCCACGATGTCCACGCACCCCAGTTCCCGTTCACAGCCGACCCTGTATAAAAAATGCAAATGTCGTTTGACATTGTGGCAGTCTCTAGGACATAATTACACTGATGAAGACCTACTGGATATTGATTGCCTTGATTATCATGTTCACAAAATATATTTGGAAGGATTTTAGAATGCAAAAAATATATTATATAAGTATAATATATATTTATTTAAATTAAATAAACCCATTTCTAAATTTCAAGAAACGAAAAGGTTCATTAAACTGTATTATTACTGGCAGCCATATCTAGCTCTGTGATTGGTCAGTCACATTCCGATACAAGTCGTCTGGCCAGGCTGAATGGATATGACGGGATGGTGGTTGATGTGACGTTATTTTCTAGTCACCTCACAATTGACCCATATCCCTATTGAGTGACCGTACTGTGAGTTCGACGGCGGAACCTATGTATATCTTTAGTCGCGTATGCATATTTCACTGAACATTCGTTTATTCTTGTGCTCTTGTAGTGACACATCGCTACATGTGACAGCTGAGGGTTGAAGGGTAGTTTACGCGCTGCAAGGTCGAAGAGCAAAAGGTCATTCAGGTCATAACATACCCCCACTCGCTGTGCAGAGTTGCGTCCCATGGGCACGCCAGAAACCTATGATTGTGGGTTCGAATCCCGATTCGCCCCGATTATGTTTCTAGGTTTGTCAGCACCATACCCGTGCTCGTGGGTTTCACCGAAGTTGTAAACGTCTGAGACCTGCATCACTTCGGGCTTTCCTCCCACATTAAGCTGACAGGCTGTGATATAACTAGAATACTGTTAAAAGCGGCTTTCAACCCAACTCACTCACTCATTCACTTTCAAATGTAACTGATACTTCACATTGGGAATGGCGAACCTCTCCTGTACATGTTTTTATAATGGTAACGGGGAACGGGTGGCCCAGTCGTCTGAGGCACCGCACTTCGCTGTGCAGAGTTGCATCCCTTGGATACGTAAGATCGTGTTAGAATCCCAGTTCGGCTTAAGTAGATTTTTAGGTTTATCAGCACCTGTGCTCGTGGGATTTCCTCCCACATTAAGCTGACACACCGTGATATAACTGGAATACTGTTCAAAGCGACGTTATACCTAACTCACTCACTCATAATCACTCGCTCCACTTAATTGTCTTTAGAATAAATATCAGAATAAAGTAAGAAAGAAGTGAGTTGAGGTGAAATGGGGTTTAACGTCGCGTTCAAAATTATTGCACCAATAGCGGTGTACGTGCACATGTGTGTGGCTGCTTGTTCTAAGCAGTTGGTTGTATAGTGCTAGCACACTGAGAATACCCCACTCAGACACAGTAAACTGACTCTGAGGCGACCAGTCCTTGTTTTACCCCCTTAATGCCGAGCGCCAGGCAGGGAAACAACAAGAACCATCTTTTTACGTCTTTGGTCAGTCGCCGCCGGGTATGGAACCGCCGACCTTCTGCTGGCCGGACACAACCACTAGACCACGAAAGCGGTCAAAGAGTGAGTGAGTGAGTATGTTTTTACGCCGCTTTTAGCAATATTCCGGCAATATCACGGCGGGGGACACCAGAAATGGGCTTCACGCATTGTACCCATGTCGGGAATCGAACCCGGGTCTTCGGCTTGACGAGCGAACGCTTTAACCACAAGGCTACCCTACCGCCCCGGTCAAAGAAAGAATTAATATAACAGTAAGCATTTCTTACGAACTTGAAAACAAAATATTCGTGGTGCATATGGACAACAAAAATTATGAACATAATGGGTTCCTACCTGTACAATTAACAGGCACAACACAAAAGTCCTGCTTTTGCTCGAGAGTGTCGCCCTGGCAGATCCTCCCGTTGAAGGCGGGGGTCGGGTTGTTGCAGCTACGGGTCCGGATGAGTGTCTGCAGCTCACGTTCACACGTTCCCGTGCAGACGTTGTACGTCACCCACACGCCCCACGGAGAAAAGCCGCCATCAACTGTTGATCAGGTATATGATGAAAACACTTAAGATGAATACACTAATGATGAATACAATTATGATGAATACACTTATGATGAATACAATTATGATGAATACACATGTGATGAATGCAATTGCGACGAATACACATGTGATGAATGCAATTACGATGAATACACTAATGATGAATGCAATTACGATGAATACACATGTGATGAATGCAATTACGACGAATACACTTATGATGAATGCAATTACGATGAATACACTTATGATGAATGCAATTACGATGAATACAATTAAGATGAATGCAATTACGTTGAATACAATTAAGATAAATACAATTACGATGAATACACTTTAGATGAATACAATTACGATGAATACTTTTATGATGAAAGCAATTACGATGAATAAACTTATGATGAATGCAATTACGATGAATACACATGTGATGAATGCAATTACGATGAATACACTTTAGATGAATACAATTACGATGAATACTTTTATGATGAAAGCAATTACGATGAATAAACTTATGATGAATGCAATTACGATGAATACACATGTGATGAATGCAATTACGATGAATACACTTATGATGAATGCAATTACGATGAATACACATGTGATGAATGCAATTACGATGAATACACTTATGATGAATGCAATTACGATGAATACAGTTAAGATGAATGCAATTTCGATGAATACACTTGTGATGAATGCAATTACGATGAATACAATTAAGATGAATACAATTACGTTGAATACACTTAAGATAAATACAATTACGATGAATACACTTTAGATGAATACAATTACGATGAATACTTTTATGATGAAAGCAATTACGATGAATTAACTTATGATGAATGCAATTACGATGAATACACATGTGATGAATGCAATTACGATGAATACACTTATGATGAATGCAATTACGATGAATACAGTTAAGATGAATGCAATTTCGATGAATACACTTATGATGAATGCAATTACGATGAATACACTTTAGATGAATGCAATTACGATGAATACACTTAAGATGAATACAATTACGATGAATACACTTATGATGAATGCAATTACGATGAATACACATGTGATGAATGCAATTACGATGAATACACTTATGATGAATGCAATTACGATGAATACAGTTAAGATGAATGCAATTTCGATGAATACACTTATGATGAATGCAATTACGATGAATACACTTATGATGAATGCAATTACGATGAATACACTTAAGATGAATACGATTAAGATGTGGATGCCGAAAAAGAAAGCAGATCGTTGCGGCAGAGTGGTTTGCTTTGTTTTGTTGTTGTTGTTTAACACTGCACACTACAAGACAGACACATGACGGTCTGTAAATAATCGAGTTTGGACCTGACAATCCATCGATTAACATCATAAGCCTCGATCTACGCAATTAGGATACGGTGACATGCATCAACCAGGTCATCTTGTCTGACCATCTGATCCCGTTAGTCGCCTCTTACGACAAGTATTGGTTGCTGAAGATCAATTCTAACCCGGTTGATGATGCGAAAGTGGAATGGATGGATTTCGATGCTGATGTGGGAAAGGAATGCCTTGAGATGTGTATTGGATGAGGAAGGGGACATAAATGAATGTGGATGATGTGAGCGCGGATGGAGTGATTGTTTTACGCCGCTTTTAGCAATATTCCAGCAATATCACGGCGGGGGACACCAGAAATAGGCTTCCCACAATGTACCCATGAGGGGAATCGAACCCGGATCTTCGGCGTGACGACCGAACACTTTAACCACTAGGCTACCCCGCCGCCCCAGCACGGAGGGTTGAAGCTGACAAAGTGAATATGGATGGATGAAAATGACGTGTATATGAATGTCGGTATGGATAGTGAAGGATTGCTGAATGCGTAGAAATAACAATCAATCAATACGAAATGATTACCTGGGCATAAAATGTCGACACAGGTAAAGTTCCGTGTCTCTCGGAGCGAGACTCCGCATGTGCTATCGCTGCCACTCGGGTTGAGCACCCTGCATGTTCTGGAACGTTCCTGGGTGATGGTCACGTGACGGCCACAAGTAGACGGGCAGCTGGGGCCGATCCAGGTGCTCCACGCAGATTCTGAGAACAACATTCAGTCACGTGGGGTTCACAACACAGAGTGACAGTTAACCCTTAATCCTTTAACTGGACATCTTTGTGTGTGTATATATATATATATAGCAAAAACAGAGTCCAGATATTCGTGCTTGTCAAAACTCTTATATATATATACACACACACACACAGATGAGGTAAATGTTCACTCGGTGTACATGTAATATATAATAAAATAATAACTGAAACTGATACAAAGAAGATATTGGACTAACCTGGTCTTTATTATTTTATTTGTTCCTATACCAAAGATTCGTTTACATTCCAGTTATCATTCTCAACTCCCTTGGGAGTATGCGCTGAAGACGTAACTTTAACGTTAAAGACCGTTATCGATAATAAGGTCGAACATAGACATTCACTTTATCTCAAACTACAGAAGATTCTTTGTATCATTGACTGGCCTTAGGGATTTCAGTTAAGGAAACTTCTCTGTAGATGTACATTGGGAATTGACGTAGCCTTTCTAATAATTTACGTACGAACCGACATTACAGCCCAATGCCCCTTTTTCAAGAAATATTATTTATAATAAATTACCATACCCGTCTATTTACCTATGTTTACATATCACTGTCCCCGTCTATTTACCGGCCTGTGATGTCACAATACCCGTCTATTTACCTACCAATACACGTCACTATACCCGTCTATTTACCTACCTGTGCCTATCACTATACCCGTCTATTTACCTACCAATACACGTCACTATACCCGTCTATTTACCTAGATATACGCGTCACTATACCCGTCTATTTACCTACCTGTACCTGCCACTATACCCGTCTATTTACCTACCAATACACGTCACTATACCCGTCTATTTACCTAGATATACACGTCACTATACCCGTCTATTTACCTACCTGTACCTGCCACTATACCCGTCTATTTACCTACCAATACACGTCACTATACCCGTCTATTTACCTAGATATACACGTCACTATACCCGTCTATTTACCTACCTGTACCTGTCACTATACCCGTCTATTTACCCACCTATACACGTCACTATACCCGACTATTTACCTAGCTTTACTCACCTTCACAGGTCACTGTGCATGGTGCTGTTCGAATCTCTGTAGCTGGTCCTGCACATGGCAGACCTCCGTTCTGTGGAGTAGGTTCAGTGCACGAGCGCGTCCGTGTGTCTGTCTTCAGCCCATCTCCACAACGCACTGAACACTGACCAGCGCTCCACATAGTCCACTGACTGTAGCCGCCATCGATTGTTATATTTGCTGAAACATAAACACAACATGAGTGGAAATCGACAAAAACACATGCCAGCAAGCAGTATCCGCAAGCAGCTGAACTCATTGTACGATTCCGACAAAATCATAAACATGTGTTTCTAAATCATTAATTTATCAAAAAGTGATGTTACCAGGTCATGAAAAGGTATGCGTACCCTACCTGACTGTATGCACTTGTAACAAACACACGCTCAGGCAAGTCAATTATTCGCCTAAATTGACCTCACACCCCATACTCATCGACTTCATATACTAGCATATTTTCAGAAAAGGAAATCCAGTCGGGAATACATTTGGTTAACCTTTGAATGGAATGAATACATGTACATAGAGATCATCCACGAGTGCCAGTCTTGGAATGGAAGCAGTGATGATCTATGACAGGATCAGCTATGATTTAATATGTACATGCATATATAAGTTCCACCTGCTAATAACCACTAGTAATACTGTCTCAACATATTTACAAATATTCTGTTGTTAGCCTCGAATTTCAGCCTTTATATGCAGACCTAATGGAACAAGCAAGAACGAATTCGGACAAGTGATGTTGTACAATTTACGACTGATGAAGTTTATGCTAAGATCTACACCAACATGTCCATGTATACTTTTGCGAGACACTGTAAATGTGAATAGTATTTCATCAGCAACACAAGTTATACTGTCAATGAAACCTGTTTGCCTTCTCAATTAATTCCATCTGATTTTCAAAAATGTTCAAACAAAATTCAAGATTCAACGTCTTAGTAAAGCGTAAAAAAATAAATATTGACGCTTCAGTAACACATACGATGGCCGATGAAATTCTTTAAATTGGCTTTTTTTCAGGTTATCACTTGACCTGCATTTGCATGTGTTTATGACGGGTGTCACCGTGTGTCAGGATACGATCACCGTTCGCCAAACCTGGTATCATCACTATTTGATAGTGATTCATGAACACATGCTTACGATACAGTCGGAATCGTACAATGGGCTCTGCTTTTAGCAGAGATTTCTTGTTGTCATGGAAAAGTTTTTTCGACTTTTTAAAGTAAAGATGTCACTACATAATCAGAATGATTAATTATAACAGATCGCATTCATGTTAAACTATAAACATTAGCGTATGTGCCACAAGCGTCACCAACAGTGCCGTGTAAATAGGAACATAAAACCCCAGAACACAAAACAGTTTACATACCACAAACTGACGGTCCACACGATAAGTCTTGTGTTTCTCTGGCTAGACCAGCACAGAATACTCCACCATTGCTGGGAGCTGGGTTGTTACAGGACCTGGTTCTGGAGATGGTGCGTCTGGCTGAAGGTCCACACGTAGCAGGACAGGAGGGATCACTCCACTGTGACCACTGACCCCAGTTCCCGTTAACTGAAACCAATAATAAAACCACAGGTAAGCCAAGATGAACATGTTGCTGTATTAAGTATACATATCAATTGTACATATAATGTTATTACTGAAGTGCCCTTCCCCACATACGATTCAAATAGGTTGTTGTTGGTTCAGTAAAGGTTGTACTTACACAATGAAAGTTATGTTACTGGTGTTAATACTGATGTCATAACACATACACACACCCCACCCCACCCTCACCCCCTAAGGCGCCGCAATTGGCTGTGCAGAGTTGCGTCCCTTGGGGACGGCAGAAACCTATGATTGTGGGGTCGAATCCCGGTTCGCCCCGATTATGTTTCTAGGTTTGTCAGCACTATTCCCGTGATCGTGGGTTTCACCGAAGCATCACTTCAGGCTTTCTTCCCACATTAAGCTGACACGCCGCGATATAACTGGAATACTTTTAAAAGGAGCGTTAAACCAAACTTGCTCACTCACTCACTCACTATGCCCCCTTATTGATTATCATATTGCCAAAAAAGCAAACCTTTCATGATAATTGTTCGTATACTTCACTTTTGAATCTATTCACATAAAGGCACATCATTTAGATTCTATATTGTTTGTTATGTACATTATATACGATTTTTGTATTCTTCTAGGTTATCTATTCTGTTATTTAATAGAGTTGTTCCTGGTGTTGCAGGAACAAGCAAGATTTAATTCCGAATCCCCTCAATGAGTATATTATTTTCATAAATGTAAACCTTTCCTCATATTACTTCTTTGAGTGGCATTTAGAAGTTGGAGTGATAAAGTAAGACGAGTTCTATGGATGAACAACTTCTTTATTACAATTGGTGCGACGTTTCGGTGTAGATCCTAACACCTTTATCAAGCAAGTGATGATATCACTTGCTTGATAAAGGTCTTAGGATCTACACCGAAACGTCGCACCAATTGTAATAAAGAAGTTGTTCATCCATAGAACTCGTCTTACTTTACTTTCCTGATATGTCTTTGTTCGCTTAACTTTTGACTTCAGTGAATACATTGTGTGACATATGTGGTATGTGTGAAAACGTCAGGGAACATATCATTACTCATGTCAGTAGTGATGAATCTCTGTATGGATTTCAAATGTGTATGTGCCAGCATTGACATAAATTCAGTTGCATTCGATGATTGACATTCTTGATTCTGACGAGATTCTCGTCATTCATAAACTTGCAATGAAGTTGCAATGAAATGTATAATTCAGCATAGCTTTCTACCGAACGACAGATGGTTTGCCTTCTTATGTGTTTGTTAAGTTAAATGTCCCTGTCTAAGTTTTATTCTAAAGCAAGGTTATATATTTTGTCATACAGTAGACATACAGCGCATGTTCCTCACCTGGGCAGAGAGGCAGGCTGCACACCCTAACCTCGGAGTCTGTGCTAGAACCAGAACAGAAGGGTTGACCTGCCTGCTGGTTGCAGGTCCTACTTCGACTGGCAGTTCGTGTCAAATCAGCACCGCATGATGCAGAACAACCGGGATCGATCCATTGGCCCCAGTTATTCCACGTGGAAGTCACGGTTTCTGTTACACAATACAATTGTACGTTGTCATGGTCCTTATAGGGCAAAACGCTTTCCTTACAAGCCGTTTGGATATTATTGTCAAAACACATGCTTTTCTTATGAAGACAAAGTTAGGTTTGTAGTAGAAATTCCTTATCTATACTAAACAAATCTCTCAAAAAATGTGTTTATTCATTATCAAAATGTGTTTATTCATGATTAAATCGTTTGAGTTTCCAATCTTTATACCAGACCCAATACACAACCCGATTCATTTTACTGTCTTGTAAATTCATATCTAATGATTTCAACCAGGAAACTAATTATTGATAGAGTTTGTTTATTATAGTATGAAGAAAATACAACCCTTCTACAAGACCCAAACCAAACCTGAGAGAACACAGGGATGCACATTTTGGAATACACACCACAAGTTGACGGTCCACACGATATGGCATCAGTTACTTCGGCTTGACCTGGACAGGTAGCTCCACCATTGCTGGGAGGTGGATCACTACAGAACCTGCTTCTAGTGATGGTACGTCTGGCTGTGGGACCGCACGTGACAGAACAGGAGGGACCACTCCACTGTGACCACTGAGCCCAGTTCCCGTTTACTGAAACCAATAATAAAACAACAGGTAAACCAAGGTTTACATGTTGCTGCATTGAAGATTCATGTCAATTGTACGTGTACCTTTACAGTTCTCGTTTACTGTAGCCAATCATTAAACCATAGATAGGCAAAGGTTCACATGTTGTTGCAATAAGATGCATCAACAGCATATATATTTTTTCAGCGAACACTTTTTCTTTTGTGTTCTATTCAAACAACGTGTCGTCGTAAACAATTCATTGATATTGAAGCTGTAGCTTTGCAGTTGTTATTGGTGTTTCAAACATCATTGTACATTCCGAAACATTTTATTTATTTATATTCAATTATTGAAAAAAATAACTGTCCCTGATTTTTCACTATTGACTTCCCTTTTGAGATCCGACGAATCCATATGATGATATGCTATTATCTAAGACGTGTTCCTTACCTGGGCACAGGGACAGGCTGCACGCCCTAACCTCGGAGTCTGTGCTAGAACCAGAACAGAACGGTTGACCTGCCTGCTGGTTGCAGGTCCTGCTTCGAGTGGCAGTCTGTGTCACACCAACACCACATGTTGCGGGGCAATCAGAATCGATCCACTGGCCCCAGTTATTCCATGTTGATTGTACTGTTTTAAAAATGACATGGTTGAGTGAATGTATATGCAGGCTTTATATAGTTTTAGGCCTAGAATGGGCAACAGGATTTACACTATCTCGTGTTATGGGTTTTCGGATGCTTAAGAAACATTCATAGTTTTTGCTCGCTAATCACAAGGACAACCGTAAAACATAACTTTAAAAAGACTGCTTTATTTGAAATCAAGCCATTATCTGAGTATTTACAATGTCTGTGTGACACCGCAACCCTCGCTATTGCAGGAGTACTCGCGATAAGCATGGCCGCCCTAAAATAAATGATGTCCGAAAACATATGATCCGATGATAATACTGTCAGGCTGCTATTATGTAAACAAATGATGATCACATCGCGTGACTAGACAGATATCATATTTGAAATATAACAGTTTACATACCACAAACTGACGGTCCACACGATAAGTCTTGTGTTTCTCTGGCTAGACCAGCACAGAATACTCCACCATTGCTGGGAGCTGGGTTGTTACAGGACCTGGTTCTGGAGATGGTGCGTCTGGCTGAAGGTCCACACGTAGCAGGACAGGAGGGATCAGTCCACTGTGACCATTGACCCCAGTTCCCGTTAACTGAAACCAATAAGAAAACCACAGGTAAGCCAACATTTACGTGTTGCTGTATCAAATATACATATAAATAGCATGTGTACTTTCTCTGAAGTGCCTTTACCCTTTCTATAAGATTCTAATAGGGTGTAGTAGATGTAAAATTTTAGTTTGTTTGCCAGCTACAGTCCGTCTACATGACAACGGTCTGTAAATAATCGAGTCTCGACCAGACAATCCAGTGATTGACATCACGCAATTGGGATACGATGACATGCCTCAACCAAGTCAGCTAGCTTGACCACCCTTTCCTGTTAGTCTCCTATTAAGACAAGCATAGTTGCCTTTTACGTCAAGGATAGGTTTTTCTACCCGGTCAGGATCTTCACGGGTGAGATGTTAAAGAAACAAAACTTGAAGTTACACAGTTGACAAAAAAAGTTAATTCCAAACCTCTCATTGACTAAAATATTGCACAAAAAGTAACCTTTCCCGATAAGTGTTGATTTAATTTTATTTCTGAATCCAATGAATACATTATGTGACATATGTGGTCTGTGCAATACCACCTCCCTGAGGCATCAGAAGAACATATTTTTAATCTGGAAGGTAGTGATAATTCTTTGAATAAATTCTCATGTATTTGGGCAGGGTATGACATACACAGATGCACTTTATGATGACTTCCATGTTTCTGTCTCTGTGTTAAACTTACCAATTACACTAACACTCGCTATTAATGGATATTTCAGTACCTCTATCGATATAATGACAAATCATATATATTCTATTAATATGTTTGTTGTGTTTTGATTTATTGTATGTCCAATTGAGTAGATATACATCGCATGTTCCTCACCTGGGCACAGGGGAAGGCTGCACACCCTAACCTCAGAGTCTGTGCTGGAACCAGAACAGAAGGGTTGACCTGCCTGCTGGTTGCAGGTCCTGCTTCGAGTGGCAGTCCGTGTCACACCAACACCACATGTTGCAGAACAGCCGGGATCGAACCATTGGCCCCAGTTATTCCATGTGGAAGTCACAGTTTCTGTTACATGATAAGATTGTCAATGAAAACTTTGTATATTCTCGTCATCATCTCAGCGAAACATGATTTCGATAAAGGCTACATTGATAGTATTGTCAAACCCATGATTATCTCATCGTTTGACTTTATAGAGTTCATACTGGAAATAAAGAATGACAATTTGGTCAGTTTAAGATATATTACAGAAATGTAATTCACAAAAGAAACTCCAATGATCTTATATTGTCCTCATCCCCTGATCTTAGCCTGAGAGGATATGGTCACACACACTTTAACAACAGAAGATAAGAAAGCAGGGAGATGTGACACTTTCAGCAACAGAAAAAGAGGCGCTCCCATGCCGTCTTATCAAAAGCAATGAAACAGAAAGGCTATTTGTAAATATTGCCCTTCATTAACAGGCCCCTCGACAATCATTTAGCTATAATCATGTCATTGGAATAGAAACAAGAAAGAAGTGAGCAAAGCTCACATACCCCCGTTATCCCCGCTGGTCAACAACAAATACTAAATAGTTTGTTAATTAATGAAATATACCTGTTGCTTTAAGTCAGAGGAACTGCCCTTTTTCCTTTGTAACCCCGTGAGGATGCATTATGTTTGAAATGAACACATGTTTTTGCAAATATATTTCAATCTAGTGTGGGATAATCAATGCTTAGCACAACATAAAATGTTTCTTAATGTGTCCATGGAAACGGCAAAAATTAAAAAATTCAGAATCTTCAAACTAGCAAAAGACACAAGTACTCATTGTGGTAAATGGGTGTAGCACGTTTGGTGAAGCTAGGGTGCATGGTTAGAAAGATATTGGCCGTACAAAACACCCACCCTAAAAGTTTAAGTTTCTAATGTTTCCATGAAAACGGCAAAAATGATAAAATTCAGAATCTTCAAACTAGCAAAAGGCACAAGTACTCATTGTGGTAAATGTGTGTAGCAAGTTTGGTTAAGCTAGGGTGCATGGTTAAAAAGTTATGGGCCGTACAAAAGCTCGGACGGAAGGACGGACAGACGGAACGCTATATACCCCCGATTTACTTCGTAAACGGGGGTATAATACCAGTCTTTATACATTACCCTTTATACAACCGCATCCTCATACAGTAACTTTATATTCATATTCTAATGATTGAAAACAGAAAACGTATGCGATACATAATTTATAAGGAATTTGGAAAATAGAGCCATGCTACAAGAACAAAATATAATGTAAGAGTATACAATGATATCATTGATTTTAGGAGTACACACCACAAGTTGACGGTCCACACGATATGGCATCAGTTACTTCGGCTTGACCTGGACAGCTAGCTCCACCATTGCTGGGAGGTGGGTTACTACAGGACCTGCTTCTGGTGATGGTGCGTCTGGCTGTGGGACCGCACGTGACAGAACAGGAGGGACCACTCCACTGTGACCACTGAGCCCAGTTCCCGTTTACTGAAAGCGTTCATTAAACTGTAGGTAAGCTACGGTTTACACGTTGCTGTTCAAATATATAGAGTGAGTGAGTGAGTATGGTTTTACGCCGCTTTTAGCAATATTCCAGCAATATCACGGCAGGGGACACCAGAAATGGGCTTCACACATTGTACCCATTTCGGGAATCGAACCCGGATCTTCGGCGTGACGAGCGAACGCTTAAACCACCAGGCTACCCGACCGCCCCTCACATATATAGAATAACAGGAGATGCAATTTCACCTAAGCATATTTCTCTTATAGTCTGTTAAAATGAGACGTATGAGTATGCTATTTAGACGGACATTGAAGCTGTAGCTTCACAGTTGGCAATGAAAGAGATGTGACCAGTGATGAAACATCTGTAACGTTTAATTCGCAATCCTCCAAGTTGATTATAGCACTGAAACAAGTAAACTGGCTCCGATTTTATACTATATATTATTGAGTAGATATACATGGCACATGTTCCTCACCTGGACACAGAGACAGGCTGCACGCCCTGACCTCAGAGTCTGTGCTAGAACCAGAACAGAACGGTTGACCTGCCTGCTGGTTGCAGGTCCTGCTTCGAGTGGCAGTCTGTGTCACACCAACACCACATGTTGCGGGACAAGCGGAATCGATCCATTGGCTCCAGTTATTCCATGTTGATTGTACTGTTTTAATAATATGATTGTGAATATAGATGCAGTATTTACACATACTTTGAGTCTGATTATATGATTTACATACAGGACATTTGGTTACTATCTTGAAAACAACAGGTGATTTCATTGCGTGACGAGACAGAGCTGATATTTGAATTGTAAAAATGTCAGTTCTCCAGATACGATACAAAATGCAATTGACAAAAACAAGCAGGGTTTTCTACATTTAATGTGTTGTTCGCCTGATCTTAGCCCGAGGCTATATAGTTACAGAGACTTTCTTACCAAAAGAAGAGAGTAGGCAAAGGAAGATGACCCTTTCACAAAGAGGGTAAAGATGAGTTCCTGGAAGGCATGTTATCTGACTCAATTGAAATATAGTTTATTCATTTGAGATGAATATAAAATAGTTTGTTTTTCTTGTCCAATAACATGTTTATCTCATCGACTGACCTGCCACATAAATATTTTCATCAGAGTGAAAAGAGTTTATGGAAATGAGTTTTCATTTAAACTCAGTTTTGAAGTACATACCACAAATTGACGGTCCACACGATAAGTCATTAGTCTCAGTGGCTTGACCTGGACACGTAGCTCCACCATTGCTGGGAGCTGGGTTATTACAAAACCTGGTTCTGCTGAGGGTACGTCTGGCTGTAGGACCGCATGTAGCAGAACAAGGGGGACCACTCCACTGTGACCACACGCCCCAGTTCCCGTTTACTGAAAGCGTTAATAAGACAGTTTTCCATGTGGCTGTATTAAAGTAACATGTCAATATTACTTGTACTTTTCACCGAAACGCACCCTTTTTATGAGAGTGTAACAGTCAGATATTAGAAATTCAAGTTTCAGTTTCACAGTTGACTATGAAAGAAGTGTTATTCACATATACATCGCATGTTCCTCACCTGGGCACAGGGACAGGCTGCACGTCCTAACCTCGGAGTCTGTGCTAGAACCAGAACAGAAAGGTTGACCTGACGGCTGGTTGCAGGTCCTGCTTCGAGTGGCAGTCTGTGTCACACCAACACCACATGTTGCAGGACAACTGGAATCGATCCACTGGCCCCAGTTATTCCAAGTGGAAGTCACAGTTTCTGTTACACAATAGGATTGTCGAGTCATGAAAGCTTTGTATATAACAGGATTTCGATAGAGGCTATGAGGGTAGTATTGTAAAAACATATGCTTTTCTCATCGCGTGGCCAGGTAGAGCTGATATTTGAAAAAGAAAAATGACAACCTTCATGATATATGACAGAAATAATATTCTCAAAATAAAGTCTTCTTAAATTGTATTCACCACCTGATCACAGCCTGCAAAAGATAGAGTTACCGACACAATAATAAGAACAGATGTCTTATCCAACTCAAGTTCAATAAAAACGTTTATTTATTTCAATTAAATATAGCCCGTTATAAAGACATCACTAAGCATTTTGTTTGCATGAACATTTCATTTGAACGGAGATTACAATCATTATATATTACTGTATACACAACTGGAATCTCACAAAGTGTCTTGTAAATTCATGTTCGAATGATTTGAAAGAGAAAATCAATCATTAATACAGTTTTTATTTATTTGAGATGAATAAACGATAGTTTGCTAATATCATGTTTATCTCATCGACTGACCTGACAAAATCAATATGTTCATCAATGGCGCAGACACGAGTGAAAATGTATCATTTGTATTTATTTAGATCAAAACATGATCATCACAATAAACAATAAATTAGCCCATCATCATTAAATCTCTTAAAATGTTTGTATATTTCATCGGGGCACTCAAAGCATAGAGAACCTGTTTTATGGAAAAGAGTTTTCATTGAAACAACTCAATTTTGAAGTACATACCACAAATTGACGGTCCACACGATAAGTCATTAGTCTCAGTGGCTTGTCCTAGACAGTTAGCTCCACCATTGCTGGGAGCTGGGTTATTACAAAACCTGGTTCTGCTGAGTGTACGTCTGGCTGTAGGACCACATGTAGAAGAACAAGGGGGACCACTCCACTGTGACCATCCACCCCAGTTCCCGTTTACTGAAAGCGTTAATTTAACTGTAGGTAAGCTACTGTTTTCATGTGGCTGTATTTAAAGAGCTGGTATTGCATGCGTCAGCACGTTCTTAATTACAAAGTCCCCACAGATTAAATTATTGCCAAAAAAAGTACACAATTCGAATCCATTGTAAACATTGTGTGGCATATGTGATACCATCAACGACATCAGTGAACATTACTCGTAATCATGTAAATAGTCATAAATCTTTGAAAGGATTTCAAATGTGTCACATATACAAGAACTATTCTTGTGATTATTCTGGAGCAAGGTTATACATTCCGTCATTGAGTAGATATACATCGCATGTTCCTCACCTGGGCATAGGGGAAGGCTGCACACCCTAACCTCAGAGTCTGTGCTTGAACCAGAACAGAACGGTTGACCTGCCTGTTGGTTGCAGGTCCTGCTTCGAGTGGCAGTCTGTGTCACACCAACACCACATGTTGCAGGACAAGCGGAATCGATCCACTGGCCCCAGTTGTTCCATGTGGAAACTACATAATAAGAAGTGCTGAGTGAATGTTGATGCGTACCTTGCACATGATATGTACAAAGGGGATACTATGCGATAACATATGCCTGATTGTGTTGACATTTGACATGTACAAATGTATGATAACTAAATTCAGGAGATAAGACAATAAAACGCTTCTGGTCTTTACATGGCATTTAGAAGTGAACCACAATAGGGAGAGTGAGTGAGTGAGTGAGTGAGTTGGTTTAACGCCGCTTTTAACAGTATTCAAGTTAGACCACGTCGTGTCAGCTTAATGTGGGAAGAAAGCCCAAAGTGATGCAGGTCTCGGACGTTTACCACTTCGGTGAAACCCACGAGCACGGGTATGGTGCTGACAAACCTAGAAACATAATCGGGGCGAACCGGGATTCGAACCCACAATCATAGGTTTCTGGCGTGCCCAAGGGACGCAACTCTGCACAGCAAATCGCGGCGCCTTAGGCGTCTGGGCCACCCGTGGAAGAGAACACAACGTTTCGAAGCATATACTTACTCATTCGCTGATAAAAGGAGTACATACTCCGAAACGTTGTGTTTCTCATAAAGAGGTTGACGTCTATAACTTCTCTTCCGTAATAAAACGCTTTTGTTTTATTCATTATGTATTATCTACCTGAACTGCCACATTAACATCAAAAGACGCGCGTGCAACGGGAGGTAACCCGTTAAGGTTCATGTACATGTTCGGTTGCAAAGGATTTTCATTAAGTATATTACAGCTGAATATAGATCTGTAGGAAATTAATTTTATTTTATTATGAGAAGATAGTTACCGTTATATAAGTATATTTGCCTGCTTTATTAATTCTATGTAAACAAAGAATAGGCACAATATGTGATAAAGCAGGATTAACCATTGTCCTTGTCCAGTTCCAAATTGGCTTCAATAAAATGAAGGACTTTCCATCCACCAATTACAATTCTTCATTAACAACCAAGGAGAAAAATAACACTCAGATATCAAACCTGAAATATTTTTAATGATTGCTTTGAATGAATTACAGGAGACTTTTGATAATGTTTATTGTGATATTACCATTGATTAAGCTGTCAGTATTCATGCAGGACATATGTGAATAGCAATGCTGACTGTAAGTAGTTGTCTTTGTCTTCAACTGTTGACTTTATATTTATGTGTCAACTTCTGGCACTACTAATAACAATGATACCACCACCGCGTTGTATCCCTTAAGAATGCCATAATGTTGTGGTCGTTGGTTCCAATTAAATAATGAATCCTGGTTTCTTAGCATCATACCCGCGCTGGCTGTTTTCTCAAAATAGTAATATCTACAATTAGCATCAATAATATGCTGTAAAGCGGTGATAACCTCCACCACTGTCAAATCTATCTCGCATATTGTTAAGGAAAGTCAACGAACAAAAAACACAAACTTTTTGTGTACATACCACAGACAGCTGGCCCACATTGTTGCTCTCCACTTTGACTGCTATCACCTGAGCAGGTAGCTCCACCATTGCTGGGAGCTGGGTTATTACAGGATCTGATTCTGCTGGCGGTGTGCCTGGCTGTAGGACCACACGTGGCAGGACAGGGGGGACCACTCCACTGTCCCCATGCACCCCAGTTGCCGTTAATAGGGCCTGGAAACACACGTGTTCATGTTTTTGTTATAATAAATGCATAGAGTACTTGGAGATATATCGTCACTGATCCCTAAATAATATATACAGTGCTCGAAAACTGCCCACAAGCTGAGGGTAGTTATCTCTCAATTGCATCCATCAAACCGACGAGGGTTGACACTGATGTTGTTAAACCATCACTGTTCTGAATTATTGATGTGCAACTGTCATCCCTTCCCAGAATAATGGCGTAGTTAGTATGTATGTAAATATATATATATATGTTATTATAATTTTATATAACTTTGTAAAAACGTGGCATTTAGTATAGCGACATGAATTTTTCATCTATTTTGTATCGGGTGTAATTAACATGTTTTGTCAGGAAAAGAATTGAAATATGTTTCGCTGCACTGGACTCAGTGGACACACCACGTTAGCCATTGAACCATGAGTTCATTAGAATTTCGGCATCACATATGTCTCACAACTGTTTCGGGAAACGTAGAAAGTGCCTGGGAGAATTACCGACTACCGATTCCATTGCTTCAAACATGTGTTTCCATATGTGTAACCCTCAGCATAAAACTTCGTTCAGATGAAATACACATGCATATATGAGACGACACATTTAGAAGATAAATACTATGTGTGTGTCTATTTCCGGGATTTTATCGAGTACTTGCATCTTGGAAATTCATCTCGAGACCCGAAACCGTTAGCTTGAGGGGGTCGAATGAAAATTTCCAAAATCCCGGAAATAGACACACACTTAGTATTTATCGATATTGTAAACCTATTGTTTAATTAGTATGTTAATACCATGTTAATTAGTATGCAAAAGATGCTGAGTTATTATGTATTCCTACACAGTGATTAGGTCGCTTGCTTCAGGGAATACAAATCATATTTTCACCCTTTGACATTTGGTCATGTGACCCAAATTAGCCAATCATAACACAGAACACACTTTCTATAGGTTTACAGTACAGTGTGAACACTCTCTCATGATATCTAAGAAACTTAACGAGTTCGAACATCAGCGCTGTCTTCTCAGGACTCACGTGTAGGTATATAAACGAGTATATCATGGTACAAAACTGTTCCGAGTACAGAGAAGACCATACTGGATCCAATATGCTGTCATAGCTCCAATCAAAGCACTTTCCATCCTCTGCCAGGACAGCACTGCATTTCAAACCTAACGTTTGTGCATTCAATTTAGCGCCATCAAAGCTACAGGTGACACTGTTCTACATTATCTGCAAATTGATGAAATCAGTCTCTTTTTTTAAATTCATGACTCACATAATTTAACCGACAAGGTTTTGACATGGTTTTGACTCAAACTGCAAACTTCCTCCAGACAAATGACGGCTAGTCCCTGTATGTCGATAGGCGACCAACGGAATCGGGTGGTCAGGCTCGCTGACTTGGTTGATGCATGTCATCGATCCCAATTGCGCGGATCGATGCTCATGATATTAATCACTGGATTGTCTGGTCCAGACTCGATTATTTACAGACCACCGCCACATAGCTGGAATATTGCTGAGTTCGGCGTTAAACAACAAACCAAACAAGCAAACCTATAGATGGATGGTCATCATGCTGTAATCAAAGCAATCAGTTCTGTGCTTCACTGGACATACCTGAGCCAACTGTCAACTGGGCTGCGGTCGTCTCTCCATCATACGTGTAGGAATACCGCCCAGAGTCCGAGACTTGTAGATTTGTTATATACAGGTACTGACTACTGCCAGCGGACGCGATGATATAGTTGCCACCATTTACAATGACCACATCATTCTTTCTCCATGTGCCTATAACACTTGTAGCAGTTGACTGAATAAACTCCACCTGGAATAGCACCTGCTCACCAACAGCTCGACTCTCGCCTGAGAGACCCACCCTGAAGATGCTTGGCGCTGTAAAAAAGGTTTAATTTAGAATGCATGTGATTCATTTACACCTGTACTGATAATAAATATGTTTTATGATTTTTACTCATTGATTCAGGGGCAAATCTTCATACTACTACTACTACTACTACTACTTCTACTACTACTACTGACCCGTGGAGATCCGAGTTAGAATTGGTCTTCAGCAACCCATGCTTGTCATGAGATGCGACTATTCTTGTCGTGAGAGGCAACTAACGGGATCTAGTGGTCAGGCTCGCTGACTTGGTTGATGCAGGTCAGCGTATCAAAATTGCGTGGATCTATGCGCATTATATCAATCACTGGATTGTCTGGTCCAGACTCGATTATTTACAGACCGCTGTCATATAGCTGGAATATTGCTGATGATGGTGTTAGGCAACAAGCAAACAGAACTACTACTACTGCTGCTACTACTACCACTGCTACTGCTACTACTACTATTGCATCAACAACTACAACTACTACAAGTTCTACATCTGCTTCTATTCCTACTGCTGCTCTAGCTACTACTACGACTACAACTTCTACTACCACTCCTTCTGCAACTATTACTACTACTACTACTACTACTACTACTACTACTACTACACCAGGAATTATGTGTACATACCACACGTAGCCGGCCCACACTCTAAGTTTTGACTTTGAGTAGTTTCTCCAGAACAGGGGGCGCCGCCATCCCTTGGAGCTGGGTTATTGCAGGTCCTGGATCTGGAGAGGGTGCGTCTGGCTGTAGGCCCACACGTAGCAGAACAGGAGGGACCACTCCACTGTGTCCACTCACCCCAGTTCCCGTTTACTGCACCTAAAATATGCGTAGGCTTGAATGTATACATGCTCCAGTATTCTAGACACACAACGGTTGTAATGAATGTATACATGCTCCAGTATTCTAGATACACAGCGGTTGTAATGAATGTATACATGCTCCAGTATTCTAGATACACAGCGGTTGTAATGAATGTATACATGCTCCAGTATTCTAGATACACAGCGGTTGTAATGAATGTATACATGCTCCAGTATTCTAGACACACAGCGGTTGTAATGAATGTTTACATGCTCCAGTATTCTAGATACACAGCGGTTGTAATGAATGTATGCATGCTCCAGTATTCTAGACACACAGCGGTTGTAATGAATGTATACATGCTCCAGTATTCTAGATACACAGCGGTTGTAATGAATGTATACATGCTCCAGTATTCTAGATACACAGCGGTTGTAATGAATGTATACATGCTTCAGTATTCTAGATACACAGCGGTTGTAATGAATGTATACATGCTCCAGTATTCTAGATACACAGCGGTTGTAATGAATGTATACATGCTCCAGTATTCTAGATACACAGCGGTTGTAATGAATGTATACATGCTCCAGTATTCTAGATACACAGCGGTTGTAATGAATGTATACATGCTCCAGTATTCTAGACACAGCGGTTGTAATGAATGTTTACATGCTCCAGTATTCTAGATACACGGCGGTTGTAATGAATGTATACATGCTCCAGTATTCTAGACACACAGCGGTTGTAATGAATGTATACATGCTCCAGTATTCTAGATACACAGCGGTTGTAATGAATGTATACATGCTCCAGTATTCTAGATACACAGCGGTTGTAATGAATGTATACATGCTCCAGTATTCTAGATACACAGCGGTTGTAATGAATGTATACATGCTTCAGTATTCTAGATACACAGCGGTTGTAATGAATGTATACATGCTCCAGTATTCTAGATACACAGCGGTTGTAATGAATGTATACATGCTCCAGTATTCTAGACACACAGCGGTTGTAATGAATGTATACATGCTCCAGTATTCTAGATACACAGCGGTTGTAATGAATGTATACATGCTCCAGTATTCTAGATACACAGCGGTTGTAATGAATGTATACATGCTCCAGTATTCTAGACACACAGCGGTTGTAATGAATGTATACATGCTCCAGTATTCTAGACACACAGCGGTTGTAATGAATGTATACATGCTCCAGTATTCTAGATACACAGCGGTTGTAATGAATGTATACATGCTCCAGTATTCTAGATACACAGCGGTTGTAATGAATGTATACATGCTCCAGTATTCTAGATACACAGCGGTTGTAATGAATGTATACATGCTCTAGTATTCTAGATACACAGCGGTTGTAATGAATGTATACATGCTCCAGTATTCTAGATACACAGCGGTTGTAATGAATGTATACATGCTCCAGTATTCTAGATACACAGCGGTTGTAATGAATGTATACATGCTCCAGTATTCTAGACACACAGCGGTTGTAATGAATGTATACATGCTCCAGTATTCTAGATACACAGCGGTTGTAATGAATGTATACATGCTCCAGTATTCTAGATACACAGCGGTTGTAATGAATGTATACATGCTCCAGTATTCTAGATACACAGCGGTTGTAATGAATGTATACATGCTCCAGTATTCTAGATACACAGCGGTTGTAACGAATGTATACATGCTCCAGTATTCTAGATACACAGCGGTTGGGTGCCAAGGGCGTAACAAACGTTTCGCTCCTGTTATTTTAATTGCCAATTTTAATGAACGCCTTTGAAAACATAGTTGGATACATTACATATATATTTCCAAAAATATAAAAATGGTATTTCCACTTCACTGCTTGTTTAGCTCTGTCTGAACAGGTAGACTTAAGACTTTCATTGACACAATGCTACCAACTACCGACTGATGCCGATTTATGGTGCTAGTTCACTGAGATACCATGCCGCAGTTTAACATGAATACCCCACTCAGACACAGTATACTGACTCCGAGCCGACCAGTCCTTGTTTTAGCCCCTTAATGCCGAGCGTCAGACAGGGTAACAACAAGTACCCCGATCGAACCCCGGACCTTCCGCTCTCCGGGCGGACGCTCTACCACTAGACCAGGGAGGCGGTCTATATGTTAAATGTAAAATGTGAAAATATGTCTAACCATGGACTTATACACGCATTTCCATATAAGCCACTAGGAAAATCACAAAATGTAATATTGGAAAGACTATTTCTGTGATTGATAAGCTGTTGCCCTTAAACGAACGGTTGTCACTCATCTCAGTGTTGGAGTTGCATGCACATTGTACTTCACTTCAATGTCAAGTGTGAGTGCAAATGTAAAATTGAAATAGAGATATTGATTGTCTGTCTTTGTTCTGCTGACAAACGTAACACGTGATCAGTTCGTGCATTCTGTTTTGGTGAGGTGAGGTGAGGTGAAATGGGGTTTAACGTAGCGTCCAAGATTATTGCACTTATATAGCGACGTGCATGCACGTGTGTGTGTGTGTCTGCTTGTACTAGACCGGACTGATGCCGATTTATAGTGCTATCCCACTGAGATACCATGCCGCAGTTTTAACGTGCCCCACTCAGACACATTATACTGTCTCAGAGCCGACCAGTCCTTGTTTAGCCCCTTAATGCCGAGCGCCAGACAGGGCAACAACAAGTACCATCTTTTAACGTCTTTTGGTATGACGCGGTCGGGGATCGAACCCCGGACCCTCCGCTCTCCGGACGGAGGCTCTACCACTATGTTATATGTAAAATGTGAAAATATGTCTAACCATGGACTTATACACACATTTCCATTACAAGCCACCAGGAAAATCACAAAATCTAATTGGAAAGACTATGTCTGTGATTGATAAGCTATTGCCTTTAAACGAACGGCTGTCACTCATCTCAAGGTTTGAGTTCAATGCACATTGTACTTCATTACAATGTCAAGTATGAGTGCAAATGTAAAATTGGAATAGAGATATTTATTGTCTGTCTTTGTTCTGCTGACAAATTTAACACGTGATCAGTGCATTCAGTCGTGGACCAAACATTTTTTTACTTTTTAAAAAAAAAATTGTTTTCATTCATAAATTGTTTTGACTTGATGCAATGAATGAATATTGGAGAGACGATTGACTATTTCTGTAATGTCGTCTTCCCTTGCTTTATTGTTTGACCTTGCCGATGTGAACTTGACCTATTTTCTTCTAAACTATAATTACTTCCGTCATCATGTTATTTCATTTTGATGAAAGCTAGTTACTTTTTTGTCATATTCATATTTTGTGCAAAGACAGTCATGAAGACATATTTTCAAGATGTTGATTTGGTTTTGTTTTGACGTGTAGGGTGAGGCTATATGTCATCCTCCCCAGTCCAGTTTCCACTCTTGCCGAACAAGGCTGGAATTATGTGTTGGCTGGACTAACGAGTCTATGCGTAGTCCAATCAAAATCGCGTAACGAAATCGACGCCCGGTTGTAAACTGCCGTGCAGATGTGGGTCGATTGCAGGATTTGGAAAGCATTTGTATCGTCACCTGGGCATCTACACATATTTTCCAAATCTGTTCATGTGTGTAATCAAGTCGCTCATGTAATGTGTGGTATTTCGCGAGGTAAGACCCGTTTTATTACAACATAGATCCTTGTTCTCGATCAGATAGCCTTGACGAGGCGCCGCCATTTTTTTTAAGCAAATGCAAGTTATATGATAGGTGGAATATGATTGGTCAATAGGAGGGACGTAGAAGGGACATAATTGCCACAGGTGGCGCTGCGATCGAACCACGGAATTCTAGCCTAGTTTGGGTAGGGTTGAAACTTGACTTTTATTGACACTTAATTCCCTTGCCTCGTGAAGATGGGTATATGTTAACATTGTAGTTTAGCACAAAATTTGTTATCCAGAACGTCCAAGTAATTCACATTGTTTACTGTCATATACTCCATGCAGTATTATTTCCAACTTAATATTTAGCTGAAGATTGCGTCAAGACTCGATTATTTACAGACAGTCGCCATATAGCTGGAATATTGCCGAGAACGGCGTTGAACAACAAACAAACATAATATAGCACAAACCACTTCAGTTCTTCTATGGTTTGGAAAGCTACCAATACAGAATAAAATTATACAGATGTGTATTCGTAGACAATGCTTCATATCTTATGGTTCCCCGGCCGTGTCATCGGCTCGGAGTCAGTACACTGTGTCTGAGTGGGGTATTCATGTTAAACTGCGGCATGGTATCTCAGTGAACTAGCACTATAAATCGGCATCAGTCCTGACTAGTACAAGCAGCCACACACACGTGCATGCACGTCGCTATAAAAATGCAATAATCTTGGACGCGACGTTAAACCCAATTTCACCTCACCTCACCTCATATCTTATGGCAACATTATTTTCAGTGATATATAACTTCCTACTCTATTTCAGTATTTTTCGACCGCCTCCGTGGTCTAGTGGAAGAGCGTTCGCCCGGAGAGCGGAAGGTCCCAGCTTCGATCCCCGACCGCGTCATACCAAAAGACGTTAAATGATGTTATTTGTTTTACCCTGTCTGGCGCTCGGCATTGAGGGGCTAAAACAAGGACTGGTCGGCTCGGAGTCAGTATACTGTGTCTGAGTGGCGTATTCATGTTAAACTGCGGCATGGTATCTCAGTGGGTACAAGCAGTCACACCATCTCTCTCTCTCTCTCTCTCTCTCTCTCTCTCTCTCTCTCTCTCACACACACACACACACACACACACACACACGCACACGCACACACACATATTATGTACGCGACGTTAATCCCCTTTTCACCTCATCTCAGTATCCCGTGTTTCATCTTTAAACTGAGTGAATAGTAATATTGTATATTTTCACGCACTAGGTATATGCATGTAGCCATACACCTTCGGTGAGAAAGTTTAATTAAATTGAATTAATAAATTGTTTAAAAAATCGGTCTCAATGTAGCTAACGGGGAGTTTATATAACATACAAAAAACAACAATTCATACCACATGCTGGTGCACACGATCTCATTCCGCTCTGACTCCCTTCTCCAGCACAGGAATTTGCAAATGAGCAGGATCTGCTTCTGCTTGCGGCGTGCGTGGCTGTAGGACCACACGTGGCAGGGCAGGGGGGACCACTCCACTGTGTCCACTCCCCCCACACTCCGGCTACAACATCTGAAATCAGTCAAACGTTATTGCTTCACACGATATCGATGAGGAACATCATAATGCTATTAATATATGCTTCTTCCCGAATAACATAGTAAATCCACGTCTATTTAAGCAGAGCAAGCCCGCGCACACATGGCGCTCAAAATATCCAAAGTATCAAATACATCACCATCGAATAACCATTTCTTGTTTGTTTCATTGTCAGCAACGATCAAGCATGGACGTCTACCTTCTTCAGCCCTATAGTTTATATGTTCTGACCAATTGGTTCTTCAAGAAAATCTTTAAAACGTTTTGTTCTGAAAATTCGAATTTCGAAATCAAGCTTTTTAATAATGATAGTAATATTTCTTTGGAATAGGTCCGCATACAGCCTCAGACAAACCAGATCTTGTCCTTTTTGATAAATATAATGCAATCATTTATGTTATTGAATTTTCTGTCCCTTTTGACACTAATGCGATTGACAGGAAACAGACAAAACATGGCAAATATGCAGGCCTCGCTTTCGAAATGTCCGACTACCCATTGTTTGGTTTGGTACCTCCCAATCATTGCGAGAGTACCCGGGTTCGCTGCAAGGAATACAGCCCTTCTGACAATCTGGGTATTGTAGAAGGCTGCAGTGTTTGGGTGTCTGCACATTCTCCGAAAGGTTCTGGGTGGGTTTGACTAGGCAGCGCTACCTGGGAGAAGTCCCATTCGCTGTCTGGGCTGCGTGTAGAGGGGGAAAGGGTCCTGAGCTGATGATGAGCCTAACCAGCCTGACTGTGCCAGGATCACCCAAACCCTCTTGCTACATTTTTCATTTTAATTTGCACATAATAATACTTATAATACTAATAAAAATAATTTAAACAGGCACAGTGTTTACATGCTGCACAAGGCACGCATTCAAAATGTAGATTTAAAAACACACAGTACCGGGACGCATAGAGCACGCCTCCTCATCACGACAGATCAACATCCATCTAATCATCATATAATGGAAGTGTTATCGATAAACTAATGTGAAAAACTTTCAGATTCGATATATATGCAAATGAGATCACCTTGCATTAAATACTTTCAAGTTCAATAAATAAAATGTCAATGTGCTAAAATTACCTTACAATTACCAATTGTTCAATAAGGTGACTTTTAAGTTTAGAAAGCTTTTGTCCAATGTGTATACGATTATGTAGACACATGTGGATACAGTCCCCTCAAATATTGCATTCAAACGCGGATTATAAATTTACTTCATTGAACATTGACTATTTTTAGTATGACATTATACGATAAAGAGGGGGCACGGGTGGCCCAGTCGTCTAAGGCGCCGCGACTCGCTGTGCAGAGTTGCGTCCCTTGACTACACTAGAAACCTATGATTGTGGGTTCGAATCCCGGTTCGCCCCGATTATGTTTCTAGGTTTGTCAGCACCATACCCGTGCTCGTGGGTTTCACCGAAGTGGTTAATGTCTGAGACCTGCATCACTTCTGGCTTTCCTCCCACATTAAGCTGACACGCCGCGATACAACTGGAATACTGTTAAAAGCGGCGTTAAACCAAACTCACTCACTCACTATACGGTAAAAAGATTATAACTCTAGTTTGTTTCCCTGTCGCAAATATCTTGTATATTTAATAAGAAAAACCATAATGCTTTATTTTGGTGTTTTTATGCAGAAATCAATTCGACTTATTGTATCTATGTAGCATTGCTACATCACCTACCTCCCACTGTTAAGAAGGCTGAAGTGGTCTGCCCCCGAAGGCTGAAGCTGTATCGCCCAGTATCAGACACACGAATGCTAAAGATGACCAGTTGACGTAATTGACCAGAAACCGCAATTTGCAGTTTGCCGGGTATATCAAACAGTTCTACTCCGTCCTTAAACCATTGTCCCGCATCTGTTATCTCGGGGCTGACTCGAAGTACAAGGTTACCGAAACTTCCTGGCTCAACGTTGGTATCTGTCAAGGATTGCTGAAACACTGAGATACACAATTTGATGAAGAACGTTTCAGGACGTTTGAATAATATACATAATTCACTCATAGTTTATTCGTATATTTATTTAATAAAAGTAAGTAACCTGTAAAGGGAAAACTTGAAGGCGTTCGAGGTGACGTTGGTTTGTTCCGGTATCGTGTGGCATTTGGGAATTTGTGTTGAAGGGAATTGTTACACAAAGCTACGACTATTTGTTCATTTAGGATGAAGATTCTATTGTAGCCTTTAATGTACGGCTGGATATATCATGTTTTTGGTTACGTTGATTTTCTGTGAGTGAGTGAATGGGAGGGTAGGTGAGTGAGTGAGTGAGTGAATGGGAGGGTAGGTGAGTGAGTGAGTTAGTGAGTGAGTGAGTGAGTGAGTTGGTGGATGGGTGAGTGAGTGAGTGTAAGGGTAGGGGATGAGTGAGTGAGTGAGTGTAAGGGTAGGGGATGAGTGAGTGAGTGAGTAGGTAGGTGAGTGAGTGAGTGAGTGAGTGTAAGGGTAGGGGATGAGTGAGTGAGTGGGTAGGTAGGTGAGTGAGAGAGGTACAAAAAGGAGTTATATCCATCCTTCTGTTAAACGTATAATTATTGCATGAATATTAACTGCCGCTTAACAGAAAGCATACACTTTAAAATCCACACTTTACTCTGCCCACTACAGTGTCCTGCGAACATGTTACTTCCTGACGTCATGCATGCGCACGTCACCTGTTGTGCGATACTCATTGAGATGACGCATGTAATATTGCATATGATACCCGCATGAATTTACATCACCATCATCAATAACCATGTCTTGTTTCTTTCATGTTCAGCCTCCATCAAACATCGGTGAACACTTTCTTATTCCCGGTATTTATAGACAAGTAATCTGCATAACCTCGTTATAACGCCCCGCTTGTGACGATAGATAGCGATATGGCATTTTTAGAAAAAAGGCGCAATGCTGACATACGAATATTGACTGTCAATGCAAGAGAATAGCCAGCCTAGTCTTTCTGCCGACACTGATTCCTCTTGGCGTAAAGGGCAAATAGCTGTGAAAATTATATGAATGACCACTGAAACACAGTGATGACACAAGGCGTTCGCGAAAAGGGTAAGCATGTCCTGCTCTACAGGTAGCACCCGCCATTCATACAATTTGTATAAAAACGTATTCATGCCTAACGCAGCATAGCAGTACCCCTGCCATGCGACGTCAGCATGTAAACCAGACAATCAAGTGATAGATGAACGAGAAAATCCAGTGACATGAGATAACCATTTCTAATTTTGTTAAAACAAATAAAAACGGTCTGTAAATTTTGAATTACGTCTTCTGTGTACAACAAGTGCAGAGATTCTGCCGCTAATAAGTACCGAAAAACACTAAGAAATATCTTCGTTTTGCAACTCAGTAGGGCGAAGTTTTAAAGTCACGCTTCAAACACATCTTTGTCGTTGACTCAGCATAGATAGCACACATCTTCAATTCCCACAATAAATAATGTTTCAGACATCTTCAATTCCGACAATAAATAATGTTTCAGACAGGTGAGTATTATCATCAGGTATAGCCGTCTAGAAATCTTGATAGCTATGTTTATAGCACAGGCTCAGTTAAAGTTCATTCATGCAAGGGAGGACTAAACCTGTTTATTTCAAAGACGTTATTGTAAGTAACTTCTTCCGCGTCCTATACTTACAAGAATCAGTTCTGTATTAAAGCGAAGGGCGTTTCGACATTATGTAAACATAAAAGGCTGTGCGCGGAATGTCATTAAATTATTATCAGTTAAAAGATAACTCCTTTAGGCTCTAAGGCACAGTAAACCTGTTCCTAATATTTCCCACATGACTCATATTATGGAATACTTAAGTGCAGCCTATGCGTAACGTTAATGCGTCAACAATCGGCACAGCGGGAAGCACGAGGTGAATGCAACCGTCAGTGTCTCCTTGAGGCTGTCAATCGGGTCTGTTCGCTGTCATTTCCGACGGGGAACAATACCCACACCCGTTTGGGAAGGGGGCCGTTGTCAACACCGACCCGGGATTGTCGGTTGTCAATGACATTCCGTACCATTTTCCCGTCAAAGGGATATATGCGTGAATACCCCTTTGAAGTGTTACGTTTTATTGTCAATGTCCCAAGTTGTTCGGCGGGTATAGGGCGCGTTCAGATTCAATGTTATTTACAGCTGACCTACAGAGGATTGCGGAGGAACAACGGGGTATTGTCAGATTCCAGAACATTCACCTGATCACTATGCCTTCTCATAATCGTGCTAGAAACGTGTAAGATTGAGTGGAATCAATGTTTTCCCAGTTGTAATAGTTTGTCAGCACCATACCTGTGCTAGTCGGTTTCACGTTGGTTGTAAACGCCTCTCTAGGCTTTCCTCCTATATCAATATGTCACGCCGTGATATAATAGAACTAATTTTCATAGGGGCGTGAAACACAACTCGCACACTCACTATTACTCATTCATGTTTTTTCGAACAAAAACCTACAAAATATGTATGTAAATTGTCATTGTAAAGTGTACATTTTAAAATAAATATTACCATTTTGTTGATAAGTGACTTGTAGGCTGATAAGTAGACAAAATCCTGCCACAATTAGGTATTGCTGTGGGGACGTCATCTGTAACGAAACGAGTGCTACTCAAACATCTGACATATTTATCAACGTAATTCATGTTTTATCTTATAAAATTACTAATAAACCTTGAACCAGTCAACAAGAGTGGGTGACAAGAAACATGTCTGTTGAAACAGATTTGTCAAAAACGAACATCCGTAATATTTAAGACATAGAAATAGTATTACCGCATTACGTTGACGACAAAAGTCTTACCTCTGATGTTGAAGGTGAAGCCTCTAAGCATGGATTGTATACGTATCACCTGTGCCTTCCAAGGCGTTGTTTCAGTAGCGGTTAGGTCTCAACAAGCCGGCATTCCGTCACACCCAGTCCACTATGCAGTGCGTCACGAAATACGTAGTCAGCTACCGTTAAACTGAATAGCGTTGTATAACCGCACTGGGTATTGTATGCGTTTCCCGACTCTCTTGTATGCCTATGTATATTTTCCACAATCAAAACAGCAATAGAATCAATATACCGGGTGGTTAAACGGGTATGTGGGACAGAGCCTCGCTTCAATCATCATGCAGTGTGGCAGGCCGACATGTTCAACTGGTTTCATTTTCTCGCTGCGCAGCTCGAGTCGTGTCAGGGTTCGCGAACTCCATCACGAAATGACAACAATTCCAAGATCATTAAACCCCGGGGGACATCGGGGAAGAATGGGTACCTAGCACGCAATGTTTATGGTAAAATAAGGGGGTTAAAGCATGTAGCCAGTGGTATAATCTCTTCTGTCGCATAAGCCCTATGTGACTGGGCGTTACTTTTATACTTGTATACTATCGCCAATTGTATATAACCCACCTAATGTTTTAATGTTTTAAACGTAAATAGCGTGACAATATATAGGGTCAATAAGCTATCTCTATCTCGCTCTCATCTCATTATCATCAGATATATATATATATATATAAACAAACACTCACATATATATATATATATATATATATATATATATATATATATATATATATATATTTATATATGTGTACATCTATACATAGAGAGAGTGATGAATGAATGAATGAATGGATGGACAGCCAGATATATATATATATATATAAACAAATACACATTCTCTCTCTCTCTCTCTCTCTCTATATATATATATATATATATGTGTGTGTGTGTGTGTGTGTGTGTGTGTGTGTGTGTGTGTGTACCATACCCGTATATATATACCAACATTAAATGTGTATCACCCTTTCGCGAACGCCTGGTATCATCACTATTTGATAAGGTTTCAGAAACACATTCCCATGATGCACTCGGAAGATTTCTTGTGGCTGTGGAAAGGGTTTTGTCGCTTGTATTTGTCTCCTTACATCCCACTGCCTTCACCTCATCCTGACCTGCACCCCTGGGGTGGAAATCTGCCCCTTTAACACAGGCTTTGTGCTGCAGGCAGTTGTGTTCGCCCTGAGTGTTGAATGAACGTCCTGATATCTGTGGGTTGGCTGTTGTTTCACGACAGTGTTCTGGTGTGTAGTGAAGATCATGCAGAGACCTTGGACAAGATAGATGACTACCTTTGGTTCAAGTTGTGGCAGATCTAGTTTCTAAATTCAATAGACATTAAACGCCCTATGAACTATATGGATAGAATTGGGTTGTTTACAATCTTACTTTATGTTCAAAACAGGGAATCTGAACGAAACGGATTCGGTTGCATTTTCGATTCAACATATAATCTGACGACCCTTCTTCCAACTCGGCAGCCATTACCAGGACATTGCATGGACTGTTCATGCATATTCAAGTCTGTATTCCCCTGTGTGAGTTTAATCGATATTCATGTAAGGCGGCCAAGGTGATTAATCATTTACACAGCCATTGAGGAGAATATCAATCACAGGTGATGTGAGGAGAAGAAATGTATTTCAGTCGATAGCCTGACACAGGTCATAAAACACGTGGTAGCTCTTTTCGCAAGAGGCGTTTTTTGTTTGAATTCGGTCTCTGAGTAGTGATTTGGTACCCGTGAAGATGAGATGGTATTGTGACCACAAACATACGCCTGCATATATATTTGAATACCCACTGGTGCGTTAACTGGGTATCGTTCCATGAACATCTACCAGTGCGTGGCCATTGTTCATTATAAATACGCATGATGAGTACATTGTAATCAATAATGATGTATGTTTATTTACGATCTTGTCGTTACTCGTTGTCATGAAAGTTAAGGCCTTGATGCGTTACTAGTCGTGGCTCTGTCACCGGTAAACAAATTAAAGAAGAGAATATGTTGACAACTTCTTTATTTTGAGGAACACAACGTTTCGGGGTATATGTTTATTCCTTCATCATATTCCTCATAATAAAGAAGTTGACATCCATTTATTCTTTTCCTTATGTGAATCACTTCTAAATGCCTTTCAAAGACCTGGTAAACAAATTGCATGTACACGTGGTATAAATAGTCACACTCGTCAGGTGATATTTTGCTTATTTGTGTCTGCAAATGTGGCGCATGTAGATCGTTAGAGTGGTCACTTTTACATGTGTACAATGCCTAAAGCCAATCGTGGTCCCGGCTAGATGTTGCTAGAATGTTGCTAGATGTTGCTGGAATGTTGCTAAAAGGGGGGTCAAATCTAAACAGAGACCACATTATTTTTTATTCATGTTATTATTTTTGTTTAACGCCGCACTCAGGTATATTGCAGACGGCGGCCTGTAAATAGTCGGGTCTGGCCAGACAATCCAGTGATTGACATCATTCGGATCGTTCTGCGCAATCGGCGTATGATGACATGCATGACCCAATTCAACGAGCCTGATCATGACCGCCTCTTCAGTCACCTTTTGCCTCAAACATGGGTTGCTTAAGACCGATTCTATAACTGAATTGTCAAATTGTTTCTCGAAAGGATATCTAGCAATAACAATTAGAAATTGAGAATTTCAATATTAGCAATATGAGGAAGTATGATACAAAGAATTATGAAATATTTGCGATCAGGTTATCTACATCATGCTTTATTCTTTACTCAATGTACATAATATACAGATATTCTCAGTACAGCTACAGTGCAGATGAGGTAATCACAAAAAATGCATGGTACAAAGGTAAGTATTTACCAAATGTAAATTCACTCGGAATTATAGTGTAAACAAAATATGTGACATAATATATCATGTACGTGTTATTGGAACATAAAAATACATATTTAAAAAAGAATTATGGACATAGTGAAAACGATATATTAAAAAAATATACACCGATATTAAAGTGACTGATTCGTCACCCATAACGGGTTGACGTCGGGGTCCATTTCATCCCGCTGTAGAAAGATGATGAGACGGACGCTGATCCCAGAAACTGGCAAGGAGTGTGGTGTCATGGAATTTGCACCGTCACGGTTCGTGTTGCTATGTTGCGTTATTTTCATACAAATGGAAGGACAGGAGGATACCATTGCTTTCATCAAAATATATTAACTTCCTATAGACATAGCAAGGATGTGAAGGAATAAATCATCTTAATGCCATCTCCCAGCAATCTGCAGCAAAGGTTAGGGTTCCTCTTCCCTCTGACTGTGGTTGTTTCAGTAGAAGGACCCAGGGTTACTGCGGAACACGTGTAACTGAAACGCAAAGCAAAGGAGCTGGTTAACTCAACTTTTTTTTTTTAGACACTTAGTTTTGTCGAAATTGTGAGTAGTGGGTGCTACCAGTAGAGGAGGACATGCACTTGCACACGACAGACGTTATTCCAAATTTACATATCTTGTTTAAAAAACAGTAAAGGCACTGTCAAAGGAGGTTTTGGGTCCATTACGTCATTGGTTTGTTTCCAGGATGCCATGGCACGGCAGAACTACTTTTGTGTGGCACCAGGCAACAGACAAACTCATACCTTTGGACGCAAATATTGTGGCGGTGCTGCACGCTTACCCTTTACACCTCTTGTGTCATTATTGTTTTTTTGTGATCGATTGATGTAAATTGGATCCTTATCTTGCCGTAACAGCCTTATGGAATCTGCTCGTCAGATAATTGTTGATTCTCCGGGATGACGTTGTGTAGAGTTGCGTCCCTTAGCAATATCAGGATTCGCTGGTCATTCCCAAATTCGGCCCGATTATTATCCTGGGTCAGTCAGCACCATACACGTCATCTTTGGTTTCGGCAAAATAATAAACGTCTACGGCTTGCGTTCCATGTTCCCTGTGAGAAGGCGTTAATATACACGCACTCCCTCCCACTCATTGTGTGTGTGTGTGTGTGTGTGTGTGTGTGTGTGTGTGTGTGTGTGTGTGTGTGAGTGAAACTAAAGCAATCACAATAAGACATTTTTTTTTAGTCGTCAAGACTTGAAGCCCTTAAAGTCTCAATAATAGAAAATCAAATTAATTTGTCATTGACAGTATACTTTTTACGTGCATTGACCGCTTAATGAACAAACACTATGCACATGTACGTTCGGCTAAACTTCCTGATCCCGTGATCAAAACGTCTCCGAAACACAACGTAATGTCCAAAGCCCAACCATGATATCCACGAACACTCATCACCAGCGAATAGCCATGTCTTGTTGCTTTCCTTTTTAGCCACAATCAAACTCGGGTATGTAATTTCTGTTCCCATTTACGTTTATTCTTCCGGCAGTTCGTCTACATCAGGGAGTGTGTTTGGTCTAACGCTGCTTGTAACAGTATTTCCCGGCGTGTCAGCTTAATGTGGCAGGAAAACCTAAATTGATGCAAGTCTCAGACGTTTTATACTTCGGCGAAACCCACGAGCACGGATATGGTGCTGACAAACCAAAAAACATGCAAATTGCGAACCTGCATTCTTTACCACGACCATAGGTTGCTGGCATGTCCAAGGGGCGCAACTCTGCACAGCAAATTGGGATGCCTCAGACGACTGGGCCCCCATGCCCAAGTGACCCCTGTATATAGCAGCTGTGAAGGTAATTCTCACAACCATACTCAAAGTAAACTTACATAATCTAAGGAACCGATAAACGCCGATGCTGTTGTTGACGACTCGTCTGTACCAAAATGCAGGCCACACTCAAGGATGTAAGCGTCAGAAGCTTTGGGGAATAAAATAATATTTGCATCATGACCATATGTTTACATGTCGATGATTGTGTACCGACGACTATAGTGGAAGAGTTTTGAGCATTGCAAGATAAAATAGAGACTATCTGGATATTAAAATTATATTAAAAGCAAATCTTGGAATTGCAAGGGGCCATATGCTCCACACTACGGATGCCGTGCGAGACGTCTTACGTTTGGTTAATTTGTTTTGTTGATAAACACCGCACTCAGTATTATTCCAGCTTTATGACGGCGGTCTGTAAATAATCGAATCTGAACCAGACAATGCAGTGAATGACATCATGGGCATAGATTGGGATACGATGACCACCCGATCCCGTTAGTCGCCTTTTACGGCAATCATGGATTGGTGAAGACCTTTTGTCTACCCGGATCAAACAAAACAAACATGATACTTTTCTAAGTAACCCCCATCCTCTCACTTCTTGTCTTACCAAATATCTTGGATATATAGACATTGGCGCCAGAGGCAACCGCACCCATCAGCTCTCGCCCATCGTACATGATGCTGACAGTCGTCCACTCCGACCGTGACATGCCCTGGAGAAGAAACACAAAGATGGCAGAAACACAGCCTCAAGAATACAAACTCACCGCGCGATTCCACACGCTTTGTTCTGCTACCTACCCAGAGCTGGAGACCGCCTCCGTGGCCTAGTGGTAGAGCGTCCGCCCGGAGGGTGGAAGGTCCGAGAGTCGATCCCCGACCGCGTCATACCAAAAGACGTTAAAAGATGGTACTTGTTGTTACCCTGTCTGGCGCTCGGCAATAAGGGGCTAAAACAAGGACTGGTCGGCTCGGAGTCAGTATACTGTGTCTGAGTGGGGTATTCATGATCATGTTAAACTGCGGCATGGTATCTCAGTGAGCTAGCACTATAAATCGGCATCAGTCCGGACTAGTACAAGCAGCCACACAAACACACACACGTACATGCACGTCGCTATATAAGTGCAATAATCTTGGACGCGACGTTAAACCCCATTTTACCTCACCTCACCTAGGCGGGAGCAATATTGGGGTAGTGATATCACACGATATTACAAAATTCCATCAGCTTTCCAATAGTTAGGCATCATATCAGCAACTGCAGCCTTTGGTGTCTAAATTTCACAACTTCTTCACGTAGAATCGAGGATGCTATTTCAATGAAGTTTTCCAAGAGCGTGGAACGACTTTTTACAAAGGCCTTAGAAAGGCTTTCAAAGACCTTTTGTTGTAGACATGAGTACATTTCCAAATTTGACGCATCAGTGACAAAAATGATGTCCGATGCCATTCCCTATTTTAAATTGTGCCATATGTTCCCGTGTTCTGTAGGGTAAACAATTGACTTGCCTTTGCATGTGTTTGCTTACACTTTCGCGACCAGTATGACTAATTGATAGCGGTTCATGAAACACATGCTTCTGGTATTGTAGGAATCGGACTCTGCCTAAATATTTATGATATTTATTTATGATTTTGGAAAGTGTTCTTGACGATTCAAGCCATACAGCGTGACAGATGCTTTTGAAAAAAACTTCTTTTTTCAAACGTAATAAAAATTAGGCGTAAATAGTTTGGGGGAAAAGACATCAGATAATTGGTCACGACAACCACAAGGTTGTATCGTGTATTCGTGTTTTCATTGTGTGCGTGACAATTTCAAACATTGATTCTTCCAAATGTTTGCCGAGATGACTTACGGGAGCGAAATTTGTTACGTTACGATTTGTTACGTTATCCATACAAAAAATGTAGATGTTTACAATTGGTAGTATATCGTCTCTTATAACACAATACGAATTATACACAAGATGTTTTTTTTGCGGTAAAGTAAATTGGACAGCAATAAGGCCAATCGAGGTATTCGGACAAAATCCTCCTACATGTACGGAACGCCAGTGGTGCCAACTGATTGAATCGGTCACGGACAACGTGAGGTGAGGTGAGGTGAGGTGAGGTGAGGTGAGGTGAGATAGGGTTTCACGTCGCGTCCAAGTTTATTGCACCGACGTGCATGTACGTGTGTGTGTGGCTGTTTGTACTAGTCCGGACTGATGTCGATTTTATACTGCTAGTCCCCTGAGATACCATGCCGCAGTTTAACATGAATACCCCACTCAGACACAGTATACTGACTCCGAGCCGACCAGTCCTTGTTTTAGCCCCTTAATGCCGAGCGCCAGACAGGGTAACATCAAGTACCATCTTTTAACGTTTTTTGGTATGACGCAGACGGGGATCGTACCCCGGACCTTCCACTCTCCGGGCGGACGCTCTACAACTAGACCACGGAGGTGGTCCACGGACAACATACCCTTGTATATACGTACACGCCATAAGGTGAAAAAGTAAAATGATCAGCATACCTGAGTAAAAATGGTCATCCTGGTAATGTCCCCATACCACGACCATATGTTAAAATGTACACCATCGTCGTCGACGGTAAGGAGCAAACTGTTGCCTCGTCTGCAGTTGCTGCTTCGGATCAGTACCCTACTCCCTGACGGGGCAGCGGCTTCCCTGAAGCGGAACCGGACTGTGACTGGCGTGGAGGTTGTCATCTTCAAGTCGAGGTAGACGCTGCTGCTTGCGTCGAGGTTGGCCATGCCGGTGTTGATGCTGACGTTGGTGGCGGTCAGCCAGGTTGGGGAGGTATCAGAGGCAAAGTCAAGCGCATGACTAGGACTACTGGTTTCTGCAAGATGATTTGAAAATGAAATTATGAGGTGTTTCTTTGCGTGACTTTCTAGTCAGTCATGGAAAGTCACTCAACCACACTCACACTCACAATCCCATCGCATCCTGTTCCCGATCCCAACTAGACCGTGCTGCTTGATCGCCCACTCCCCGTTGCCAACTTTATTCTTCTCTTCTTACTACTCCCGATCTGTTCCAAGTTCCCCGCCCCTACCGGCTCCATGTTGCCCGCTCCCCCACCCGCTCCCATGTCCACTACCCTGCCCCACCCGCTCCCATGTCCACTACCCTGCCCCACCCGCTCCCATGTCCACTACCCTGCCCCACCCGCTCCCAGTTTCCCACTACCCTCCCCCACCCGCTCCCATGTCCACTACCCTGCCCCACCCGCTCCCATGTCCACTACCCTGCCCCACCCGCTCCCATGTCCACTACCCTGCCCCACCCGCTCCCAGTTTCCCACTACCCTCCCCCACCCGCTCCCATGTCCACTACCCTGCCCCACCCGCTCCCATGTCCACTACCCTGCCCCACCCGCTCCCAGTTTCCCACTACCCTCCCCCACCCGCTCCCATGTCCACTACCCTGCCCCACCCGCTCCCATGTCCACTACCCTGCCCCACCCGCTCCCAGTTTCCCACTACCCTCCCCCACCCGCTCCCATGTCCACTACCCTCCCCCACCCGCTCCCAGTTTCCCACTACCCTCCCCCACCCGCTCCCATGTCCACTACCCTCCCCCACCCGCTCCCAGTTTCCCACTACCCTCCCCCACCCGCTCCCATGTCCACTACCCTCCCCCACCCGCTTCCAGTTTCCCACTACCCTCCCCACCCGCTCTAATGTCCACTACCCTGCCCCACCCGCTTCCAGTTTCCCACTACGCTCCCCCACCCGCTCCCATGTCCACTACCCTGCCCCACCCGCTCCAATGTCCACTACCCTCCCCCACCCGCTCCCAGTTTCCCACTACCCTCCCCCACCCGCTCCCAGTTTCCCACTACCCTCCCCCACCCGCTCCCATGTCCACTACCCTGCCCCACCCACTTCCAGTTTCCAAATACCCTCCCCCCCCCGCTCCGTGTTCCCCACTACTCGACCCCACCCGCTTCCAGTTCCCCACTACTCTGCCCCACCCGATCTTAGTTTCCCACTTCCCTCCCCCACCCGCCCCGTGTTCCCCACTACCCTCCCCAACCCGCTCCATGTTCACCACTACCCTTCCCCCACCCCCTCACAGTTCCCGCTGCCTTCTAGTACCCAGCTCCCCATCACCATCCACTGACCACCCAACCCACTCACCTTCCCCACCCGCGACCTGTACCCCGCTGACAACCCGAACTTTTCCAAACAAACTCCAACTGTTACTCATCCCTACCCGCTCCGAGTTTTCTCCTCCCCACCCGAACCCCAATTCCCCACCTGCCTCCAGTTCCCCGCTCACCACCCCCACCTGCACAAGTTCCCCGCTCCCAGTACCCGCTCACGACCTCCGACCGTTTTCAAACACCCCCGCTTTCCACCAATCCGTTTTAAAATAAATTCACAAGTCCCCATTCCGTATCACCGATGTGTTACTGTGTATACAGCCCGTGATAATCCAGGTCAGAATAGGTCTTAAGCAACCCATGAATGCCATAACAGGCGGCTATACTTGTCGTAAGGGGCAACTAACGGGATCGGGTAGTCAGGCTCGCTGATTAGGGCTGGGACGAGTCCAAATTTACTACCCGGGTACCCATCCCCCTATTACCCGACCCTACCCGGGTACCCACTGTAGGTCTCAGGAGAGAGAGAGTATTTAGATACATGTATGAAACAATCGGGTCATTCATACACTGAAGCTGAATTAAGTCAACCACATGAAAAATCAGAAGGAATGGGTGCATAGTCAGAAAGCGAACATTAGTGACTTGTAGTGTAACCATAGAGTTCCAGATAATTTTTGTCATTAAACAATATATCACGTGACTAACCACAGGTCCGGGTAGTTTTGAGGGTACCCGGGTCCTACTCAGTACCCACCCGACCCGGGTACCCGAGTTACCCGTTCCAGCTCTTTCGCTGATGCATGTCATCGTATCCCAATTGTGTGGATCGATGCTCATGATGTCAATCACTGGATTGTCTGGTCCATACTCGAGTATTTACATACCGCCGTCATATTTAAGCAGGAATATTGCTGAGTGCGGAGTTAAACACAAACAAACAAACATTTGGTTTGATGTTTAACGCCGCACTCAGCAATATTCCGCTATATGACGGCGGTCTGTAAATAATAGAGTCTGGACCAGACAATACAGTGATTAATATCATGAGCATCGATCCACGCAATTGGGAACGATGACATGCTTCAACCAAGTCAGCGAGTCTGACCACCCGATCCCGTTAGTCGCCTGTTACGACAAGCATGGGTTGCTGAATGCCTATTCTACCCCGGAATCTTCACGGGTGTAAACAAACAAACAAAACTGTGCAAACAAACAAACAAAACTGTGTATACCATTTGATTGGTCATTGCAACCACAGTCGAGGAGGTCGAAGTCAGTTCCCGTTGCACACGACGTTGCCTGCCAGCCGAATGACCCAGCGTGGAAGTGGTATGCCGTGGAAACACCGCTCCAGTCGGGTCGCTTGTCACAATTATCTGCAACAGAAAATAGCGTTGGAGGATTCTATTATATTTATTACTGAGTGTATTCGTCTCGCATGTATACACGTAGGCACCGCCTATTCGTTATATTCTGGTATTCTGTTCATTAACCTCCAGTAACCTCATCCCTTGTCATTTGGTCATTGTATATCTTCGTAGAACCTGCTGTGGCGGACCGCCTCCGTGGTCTAATGGTAGAGCGTCCGCCCAGAGAGCGGAGGTTCCGGGGTTCGATCCCCAGCCGCGTCATACCTAAAGACGTTAAAAGATGGTACTTGTTGTCACCCTGGCGTTGTCTGGCGCTCGGCATTAAGGGGCTAAAAGAAGGACTGGCCGGCTCGGAGTCAGTATACTGTGTCAGAGTGGGGTATTCATGTTAAACTGCAGCATGGTATCTCAGTGGGCTAGCACTATAAATCGGCATCAGTCCGAACTAGTACAAGCAGCCACACACACACACGTGCATGCACGTCGCTATATAAGTGCAATAATCATAGACGCGACGTTAAACCCAATTTCACCTCACCTCACCTCTTCATTTTATGTACGTCAACAAGGGATATTTTACGTCCGTTTCCTAAGGTCCACGGTAAGTGTGTTGGAATCTATTGACAAATGTTGATTCACTTTTCGTTCGGCTTATAACCCACAGAAAACACTGTCTCTGGGGTTTGCAATAAAATGTAAACACCAAGGCTAAGTGATGAAAGGGTGTTAAATCTTACACGTGACTGCCCTCAGTTGTCTGCATGCTGCACGTGGACTTTTTCTCGCCCACTGAATCAAATTCGTTTTATACCGCGACAGCGCTATTGTTTCACTATAAGATATACTGATGTCTTTTTAATTCTTTCTGTTAGTTTTTTGCATCTAGACAGTTCATAAGTTGGATAAAACACTTTTCCTCGGTTTGGGTTGAAAATGTAAACACACTCGTGGTCGGAAACAGCATTTGAGGCTTGGGTCCGCGGGCTGTTCCTTCACCCTCGTGTTTACTTTTGCAACGAAAACCTCGGAGGCGTGTTTTATCTTGCACGTGCAGTCTGGGAATATGTGCACGTGACATTGATATCAAAGTTGAAGATAAAGAGATTCTCACCCCATGTTTGCTTATATCAAATATATCAACCCGACCGTATAAAAGTTAACCGAGGCTACCGAGGAGATTTAAATTTGAATTTGAATATCAAAAGACACGGGGTGAAATTCTATTTAACAACCAATTCATTCTTGAAGTTCCATATTTTTCAGTTTGTAAACAGTAATAAACAGTATCTTGAGTGTAAATAATACAATAACTAGCTTCAGATGCAGAGAGTGTCAGCCCACTGAGATACCATGCCGCAGTTTAACATAAATACCCCACTTACACACAATATACTGACTCCGAGCCGACCAGTCCTTGTTTTAGCCCCTTAATGCCGAGGGACAGACAGGGTAACAACTACCATCGTCTAACGTCTTTTGGTCAGACGCGGCCGGGGATCGAACCCAGGACCGGGCGGACGCTCTACCACTAGACCACAGAGGCGGTCTGATGCATATCATCGCACCCCAATTGCGTAGATCGATGCTCATGCTGTCAATCTCTCTTGTCCAGTTTCGACTATTTACAGACTTCCGCGACACCTGGAATATTGCTGAGTGCGACATTAAACAACGAAAAGAAAAAAAACCAAATCTATTGATCTCACCTCTAGGTATATAGGGGGTGGGGCATATGTCATCGCAGTAGAAGTTGGGGCGACACCCGTGGCCTGGGGAGAAACCGAATCCGTCGGGGCAGCAGCGGGGCTCTGACGTATTGCCATCACACACCCAGTAGGACCTGCAGCTTCCCTCCATCTTGTAGCTGGCCACACACGGGCTGCTGCACTTCTCTTGGAAATGGATAGTAAGATAAGATGACCATACCGCCGATAGCCTTATGGTGCCACGTCGATGGCAATAATTTATTTTTAAATAGACAAATATTATATAGCATTTCAAATAATTTCTTGAAATTTCGATTTTTTTCACGTTGCTTCGATTATTTGCTCGTCACTTCAAATATTTTCTCGAAATAACGATTTTATTATTGTTGCTTTGCTTTTTTATTTTCTCGTTATTTCGGTCATTTTCTCATTATATCGATTATTTTCTCGTTGCTTCGAGTTTTTTTCTCGTTATTTCGATTATTTTCTTATTATGTCGATTATTTTCTCGTTGCATAGAGTTTTTTCTCGTTACTTCGATTATTTTGTCGTTATTTGAAATAACGAGAAAATAATCGAAATTACGAGAAATAAACAAATAATTGAAATAACAAGACATTAGGCATTAGGCTTTCATATAACTGACTTCAAATCATGTCAATGCATGTTACAATTTAGGTGTCGGGCAATAAAATGAAAATTGGATTTGACCAAAAAGTCAAAACACTAATAGGCTGAAACAAACTGCCGAAACACTGTCAACTTAAGGTCAAAAACTCATCTATGATACCTGTGTCAACTACATCACCATCGAATAACCATTTTTGTTTGTTTCCTTTTTAGCCATCATCAAAATGGGCGTATATATTCTTTTGCCCAGCAGTCTGTTTATGGGTGAGGTGAGGTGAAATTGGGTTTAACGTCGCGTCCAAAATTATTGCACTTATATAGCGACGTGCATGTACGAGTATGTGTTTGTGTGGCTGCTTGTACTAGTCCGGACTGATGCCGATTTATAGTGCTAGCACACTGAGATACCATGCCGCAGTTTAACATGAATACCCCACTCAGACACAGTATACTGACTCCGAGCCGACCAGTCCTTGTTTTAGCCCGTTAATGCCGAGCGCCAGACAGGGTAACAACAAGTACCATCTTTTAACGTCTTTTGGTATGACGCGGTCGGGCATCGAACCCCGGACCTTCCGCTCTCCGGGCGGACGCTCTACCACAGGACCACGGAGGCGGTCCAGTCTGTTTATGACATTGATATTATCGATGGTTTGCAGATTTAGACATCAAAGCTCTGACACCATCGACTGCACATCCTGTCTGCACCATAAAGTTTGCTCAAATAACAAGTCGAGTTAAGGATGTCAAATTAATACATTTTCGCTGTATCAGGATGTATGTTGGTTGGTTGGTTGGTTTGTTGTTAAACGCCACACTCAGCAATATTCCAGCTATATGACGACTGTCTGTATAAATAATCAAGTCTGGACCAGACAATCCAGTGATTGATATCATGAACATCCATCCACGCAATTGGGATCGATGACATGCATCAACCAAGTCAGCGAGCCTTACCACCCGATCCCGTTAGTCGCCTTTTACGACAAGCATAGTCACCTTTTACGGCAAGCATGAGTTGCTAGAGACCTATTCTACCCTGGAATAGGATGTATGTAATCATCACGTGATACAGGTCGTAGTATGACACTCTGAAATATTCTGTGTGCCATGTTCTACTGTGAGTGAGTGAGTGACTGAATTCGGTTTTAACGCCGCTTTTAACAGTATTCCAGTTATATCACGGCGTGTCAGCTTAATGTGGGAGGAAAGCCCGAAGTGATGCAGGTCTCAGACGTTTACCACTTCAGTGAAACCCACGAGCACGGGTATGGTGCTGACAAACCTAGAAACATGATCGGAGAGAATCGAGATTCGAACCCACGATCATAGGTATCTTGCTTCTGGTTTGTTCAAGGGACGCAACTCTGCACAGCTAATTGCGGCGCCTTAGACGACTAATGAAAGAACATTTCATAGAGTGTGTGGGTGAATAGCTTAACGCCGAAACGGAACATTTACAATGAGCACTGGCATATACAGTTAACTACGGTTATAACGACAACGCTTATAACGACCTGACGGATATAACGAATCTATTTTTTGGTTCCTTATTTGTTGTATATATGCTTATAACGAACTACGGTTAAAAGGAACTAAAATTGGCCGTCCCTTTGAGTTCGTTTTAACCGTAGTTTACTGTATATAACGTTGGTATTGTGCGGGTGCTGACAAACCTAGAAATTTTAGCGGGGCGAACTGGGATTCGAACCCACGACCAAAGTTTACAAACGTTCGCTGCACATATAGAGATGGGCGGGGAGAACATTGTATAGTGAGGGTGCACGGCAGGAGTTAGATATATTTAGTCATACCGATTGGACAGGTGACCTTCCATGACTCGGCACATCGGAATGTGACTTGGTTCCAGTAGAAACCAAAGGGGCATCTTCTGAAGACGGCGATGACGCTGCCATTAGGGTTGTAGAAACACTGGATGAATTTGTCACAGTCAGTGGGATGGTAGCGGTATCCCACGTCGTTCCTTCTCTGCACACTGTCACACAAGCCGGTTGCTGGGAGAAAAGGCAGGTGTCAGAACTACGTGTGTATTCCGTATACACGTGCATGTATATTTGTATATTTGATAATAATTTCACACCCGCACACCCGCACACCCGCACACCCGCGCACACACACAGAAAGTGAGAGTTATTTACGTGTTACACGTTACATGTGCAATAGTTTTAAAACATTAAAACATGTATGATGATTATATACAATAGGCGATATAATACTTGCATAAAGTTAACCTCCACTCATTACTTTGGAACCGACCATTTGATATTGTGGATTTTATCGAAAAAACAATTTTTTTCCGAAATATCTTGAAGAATATAATCATGCTTCAAAGCTGTTGACAAAAAAAAAGAAATCGAATACCACAAAACTTACATTGTTACAAGTTGGTTTTCTTCTTTTTTAAATCAGGCTCATAGTTCTAAATATAATAAAAAAAATCTGGTTTGGTAGCTTTAGCTAAATAATATCTAATCCTGGTACAAAATCCCTGCCACAAAACATACATTGTTGCATGTTTTTTCTTGAAAAAAATCAGGCTCATACTTTTAAACAATAAAAAAAATCTGGTCCAGACGCTGCAGCAATACCAGAATATCAAAGGGTCGGTCCCCTGTGACACACGAGAGAAGACACGAGTTTGCGTTAAATACTGATTTTACGAAACTTGTATCAATACGCTTCTATTTTCCGGGCGCAACCAAAGTAAAACAAACATCTGGTACAAGTTTCATAAAATCCCTATGATGCAGACACAAATGTAATCTTGCATAAGCTTTAAGGTAAGCGAGTGAGTTTAGCAATATTCCAGCAATATCACGGCGGGGGACAGCAGAAATGGGCTTCACACATTGTACCCATGTCGGGAATCGAACCCGGGTCTTCGGCGTGACGAGCGAACGCTTTAACCACTAGGCTACCTGACTGCCCCTTTAAGGTAAGCAATGGCGAGATCGTAGTATGGTGTTGTATACAACTGAGACGTCCAAAATGACGTCAATGATGAAGGATTGCTTAACACAATTTTAACCTTCCAAAGCCTTTAACGAAACTTCTGGTTGGAATAACAGCATTATTCAAATTCAGTGATTTAAGTGTTAAGTACCCATCCAGTGGCAAGACACTATACAAGTATGACTGGTGGTTCGTTTAATGTTCTTCTGAACAATCAGGTTCGTCGGCACAGAATATCCCACGGTGGTACACGCAACTTCAATGTGCAAACGTGTGTACTGATTGGTCATGACCACAAATTACAAACTTTTATCAAAAGGTTACAAGGCTGAAAAGAGTCACCGAAACGCTGAAAACTTAAGGTCTTAACTATGAAAATAATATCAAATACAGCACCATCGTAGGACCATTTCTTGAATTTCTTTGATAGGCATTAGAAGTTGGGAGAACATAAATACACAATACTTTTTTATGGAAAACAATTTCTTTTATTCTTTGTACGTTTCATTCACCCGTTGAAGGAGCAAGAGGTAGCTTTGAAACGTACAAAGAATGAAAAAAAGTTTCTATCCACAAAAAAGTGTCTTGTATTTTTTTCTCGATTGTTTCATTCCAGCCACCATCAAACATGGGTGTATATTTTCTTTTGCCCGGTAGTTTAGATGCCTTTTTAATGTGTATTTAAGGGTCCAACTTACTTGAGCAAGGTTGTAATCCACAGCTTTCAGTCCTTGTGTCGGTCAGCGACCCGTTACACACTGACCCTCCATTCGCTGGCGGCGGGTTTGTGCATGTCCTGGTCCTTGTCGCAACCTTCTCGGCAGACACGCCACATGTCCGAGAGCACGAAGGGGCAGCCCAGGCACTCCACGACGAGAAGCCACCATGAACTGGAAATAATCGTAAAAACACCACGGGTTATAAATTCTAAAATATCAACGCCACAGAATAACCAGCCTCGATTATCCGACACAGATTCCACTGGCGTTAAAGGTGAAACTTATATGTATGGATCATTGAAAACCAGTGATGATACCAGATGTTCGCGAAAAGGGTAAGCATGTCCTGCCCTACCGCTTGTAGGGAGGGACTGTCAAGAGATTTTGGTTTCACGGAGATCACGTGCAGAAATATGAGACGTGAGAAGAGAAGAGAGATTGGGACGACAGGTTTGTTTGTTTGTTGTTTCACGCCACACTCAGCAATATTCCAGCTATATGACGGCGGTCTGTAAAAAATCGAGTCTGGACCAGACAATCCAATGATTCACATCATGAGCATCGATCCACGCAATTGGGATCGATGCCATGCATCAACCAAGTCAGCGAGCCTGACCACCCGATCCCGTTAGTCGCCTCTTACGACAAGCATAGTCGCCTTTTACGACAAGCATGGGTTGCTGAAGACCTATTCTACCCCGGATCGTCACGGGTCGGGCATGACTGGTACCATGTAGACATCTATGGGGTAGACAAAGCAGTTTGACGTTTCTTTGATGGGCAGTGAGTTGCGTTGTCAGGTGTGACATCAGGACCATCTTCTGATGATGCATGCTGCTGAATTTGAAATGTTGTGAGAGATCTTGACTGATATCAGAAAGAAGACAATACAATAATGAAGCCGAGACATCAAGCGTGAAGGGCAAGACTTGGGACATCAGAACTTAAACCCACGTAACAAGTACCCCCATTACCTCTCGACAATATGATCGGCAGGCTGGCCTTTAGGTTGTGAGCGGTGGCTCGTCACGCCCGGGTTTGATTTTAAACATTGTAAATGTTAGAAGCCAATTTCTGGCTCCGGTGGTCACATTGCTTCAATACTGATTAAATGTCATAACTCCCTACTTAATCATTATAAAAATGTAACCAATTGCAAAACTGAATTTTAACTAAGTTAAACATGAGAGCACAATTTCCTAACGCAAACAATGAGGGTACCAGGAGATCCCCAGAAGTGAGTGAGTACGGTTTTACGCCGCCTTTACCAATATTCCAGTAATATAATGGAGGGGACACCGAAAATGTGTATCATGCATTGCACTCCTGAAGAGAATCGAACCAAGGTCTTCAGCGCGACGAGCGAACGCTTTACCCACTAGCTAGGCTACCCCACCGCCCCTCCCCAGGAGCGATCAGCTATTTGTCTACCAAATAATTCCTTCTTACCAACAGTTGCCAGAACTTTAAGATATCCTACTGAATTCCCTCTTCCGTGGACATAGATGTACATCCCCTCGTCCGCTGTGTTAGCACCGGTGATGGTGAGTCTGTGACGAAGGCCCGACACGGAGTACCTGGTTCTATCACTGTCTGGCACGAGGACGCTCTGTTTGTACCACTTCCCCTGCTGCTGGGCCCCCGAGAACGTCACCTCCAGGGTTACCGTAGATCCCACAGTAGTCGTGACGTTGTTTTGCAGTTGTTGAAAACCACCTGTAATGACCAATGTAACTTCATTAAATGACGTGCTGGTGAAATGTGTCTTTCCTTATCAAGAACACGTCAATTTGCGTTTAAGATATTCAGTGTATGAATATCGCTTTGTGGTGATCTGTTTTTGAATATTTGAAGTAGAAGTGGCATATTCTCTGTTATGCGATGCACACGCCATAACACATCGCGCAATCTATCATCTATATATGTTACAGTCAATGTGTAAAATGACTTAGGCAATTACAAAAAGCCTAAACATTTCAGTCATTTTACAATTATTGTTTTATTTACATTATTATATTTTATTATTAACAAATTCGACATATTTTGATGCTAAATTTCATCACCCAACTGAAAATGATGGGATTATAAGAAAACGAATGTTAATGTGTGTGTATATTTGTTTTGACTTCTAATCCTTGCATTATCAGTCTATTGTGATATTTTAAGCCCTTATGATTACCAACTTCTTAATGTACCATATCCAAATGACCATTCGATCTATCCAAGTATAGTATACACGGGGCGGTGGGGGTAGCCTAGTGGTTAAAGCGTTCGTTCATCAAGCCGAAGCCCCGGATCCGATTCCCCACAAGGGTACAATGTGTGAAGCCCATGTCTGGTGTCCCCCACCGTGATATTGCTGGAATATTGCTAAAAGCGGCGTAAAATCATACTCACTTACTCACGCACTTTAATATACACTGCAGGACATAAACAACTACCTTCACACGCCGGGATGTTGCACAGCTCTGATTGTTCCTGTAGGCTGAAGCCGCTGCAGGGTGCACCGCCGAACTGCGGGACGGGACTGTCACACTGCCGGGTTTTCTGCAGCGTCCTGGTCACGTTAGTTCCGCACGTGACGGCGCAGTCCACAGCAGTCCATTCGCTCCATTCTCCATATCCACCGTCCACTGCACGTGACAACGTGATTAGTATACACGGAACAACCCATATACACGCACCAACCCATATACATTGCTACCTTGATATAAATACTAAACAAACCCGTGACGATCCGGGATAGAATAGGTCTTCAAAAACCATGCTTGCTGTAAAAGGCGATTATGCTTGTCGTGAGAGGCGATTAACGGGATCGGGTGGTCAGGCTCGCTGACTTGGTTGATGCATGTCATCGTATCCCAATTGCGCGGATCGATGCTCATGATATCAATCACTGGATTGTCTGCTCCAGCCTCGATTATTTATAGACCGCCGGCATATAGCTTTGAATATTGGTGAGTTCGGCGTTAAACAACAAACAAACAAACAAACAACATCCGAACTATGTCATAATGGACGCGGGGGCACTTGTGACCCAGTCGTTTTTGGCGCCGCAATTCGCTGTGTAAAATGGCACGCCTTAGTACGCCACAAACCTATCACTGTGGGCTCGAATCCCGGCTCACCCTAATAATGTTTTTAGGTTTGGCAACACCCTACCCATGCTCGTGGGTTTCCCCGAAGTGGTGAAGGTCACTCCGGACTTTCCTCCCACTTTAGGCTGACACTGTGATAAAACTGGAATACTGTTCACAGCGGTGTTAAACCAACTCACTCACTTACACTGTGAGCTCTCCCACAACATTATGTTGACATACCGCGATGTAGGAGAACTTCTGTTTGAAGAGGCGTTAAATAACCCAGCTCTACATTCTACAAACATGGCACACGCAGATTGAATAACAAATCCCTGTATTTTCACGTTGGACTCGATTGGGCGATGGTCGCCTTGTTATGAAGGTAAACTGACGGGCAAAAGAAAGGATACACCTATGTATGATGGCGGCTAAAAATGAAACAATCAAAAAATGGTTCTTCGATGGTGATGTATTTTATACGGGCCTCATCGTTGTTTCGCATCTGAAGTTTGCATTGTCTTTCGACGAGTGTTTTCAAGTTAGGAACGTTTAGATAACGTTTGTAATTTATTGGTCAAATCCAACTGTTAAGCTTATACTTGCTTTTGCCCGGCAGTGTATTTTAGACCACTTATAAAAGTAAGGTAACTGGAAACAGAAACTGCTATTAATTAAATGGAACTAAAGCCGCCACGTATGTTGGTTGTTTACCTGGACAATTAGGCAAACTACATCTCCCTGTTGAAAATTCTTCATACGTCCCTGCACAGACTCGTCCACCAAACTGTGGGGATGGTCTTGTACAAGTCCGGTTCCGTCTCGTCACCCCGTCCACAAGTGCCCCGCAGGTTTCCGTGCACACTGCAGCTGACCACTGGCCCCACTCGGAGAAGCCCCCGTCGACTGGAAGCAGAGACAGTACAAATTACCTTTCTGAAACACTTTGCAAGAATCTGGCGTCAAAACTCCGGTGGAAAGTTATATTATGAGGTTTGGTTTGTTTGTTGTTTAACGCCGCACTCAGCAATATTCTAGCTATATGAAGGCGGTCGGTAAATAATCGAGTCTGGACAAGACAATCCAATGGTCGACATCATGAGCATCGATCTACACAATTGGGATACGATGACATGCATCAACCAAGTCAGCGAGCATGACCACCCGATCCCGTTACTCGCCTCTTAACCAACGCCCAAGTCTTGGGAATCAAAGAGACACAACATGTCATAGGCCTTTTTTGGGAAGACATAATTTGGTATATGAATAAGTGACAAACAATATTTAATTCATCCAGAAAGACGTTATAATGTACCCGATGATATCTATATTTCCCTTACTTGGGCATCTGGATAGTGTGCAGGTCCTAGATTCTGTCTCCTCCGAGGCTCCATCACAGGCACGGCCATTGTTCTGAGGTGTGGGTGACGTACATGCCCGCCTTCTGGAAGCAACTCTCACGACATTCAAGCCACATGTTTCCTGGCAGGCACCAAGGGTCCAGGACATCCATGGCGACCAACCACCATCCACTGCAACAGACATTGTATTACACTTCCTGTGTGGCATGGAAGTCGGTCTTTTGCCTTCGGCCAAACTCGCCCCATATCGTCCTTTCCGTTGTCATAAATAGCCGTGAAGACGTTGCCGCCAACGAATATCTTTGGCTACACTGTAAAAATGTTTGTACATTACCCAAAACACGTTTAACTGTTAAAAATCATCATTAACATGTTAGGACCTAAACTTGCCAAACTATTGGACAATAGTTTTTGTTTAGGATCTAAACACATCTCACTCTGTACGTGATTTAAAAAAGGGAGCTTTAATTTCTATGTCTTTATAAATGTTACATGGGGATACATAGGTGTGTCTCTTTGTATATCTGTGTGGCATAAAAGCTATTTTAGCTGTTTAAATAGACTTGTGCCAGGAGGGGAGAAGTAAACAAAATTATGGGTCTAACATAGTAATCAGATATACTTTCATTATCAGCTTCTTGAATGAGAGAAATACTATTCGTCACAAAGCAAGAACACATTTACGAACATATAGATTTTCAAACCTGGGCGCAATACGAACCAGGGAACTATTGATCTTAGTCCTTCATGTTTCTACCCGTGCGCTACGGAGACTGTTGTCGTCATAAGTGGCCATTTCCTAGTCCCTATAAATCGAGTGTGGTTAAGGTGTACGTTTTTATGTTAATATTGTACCAAGTTCGTTGTAAGTCCTGGTGGCATACGTGTTATGCAAGTGCCCGTGAATCTGATTTGCACATCCAATTACAATATATATTATACATCTTATATTATATTAATAAATATTTATCCACATTTATCAGAATGCATAATGATATACATTTTATTTAAACGTATTTGAATTCTGAACATGTTAAAATTCTAAATATGTGTTCACTTTAAACATGTGTAAACGTGTTAAAGTTCTAAATATGTTCAAACATGAATAACTTCTAAACATGTTTAAACGTAAGGAAGAGAATTTATGGATGTCAACTTGTTTATTATGAGGAACTCAACGTTTCTGAGTGTATACTTACTCCTTCATCAGGAGTATCACTTCTAAATGCCTTTCAAAAACTTGATGCTTAAACGTGTTAGATTATAATTATTAGGATGTTGCTTTTGGGTGGTGTAATAGGCTGTAAGACGTCAGCTCATTTGATGTGTAGACCCTGACCAAGTTCGTTGTAAGACCCGGTTGCATACATGTTATGCTATTGCCTTTGAATCTGATTTGCACATCTAATGTCAATCAATATTATGCATTCTATGCATATTTGACTTAATGTCAAATGACATGTAATGTATGTAAACCTGTTTAACTACTAAACCTGTTCAAACATGTTTAAACGTGTTTGTTCTGTTAATCTTTCAATATATTGGCATCAAAGGTTCTGATCCTTATTAGGCTGTTGCTTCAGCATGGATGATATATGGCGCTCTATTAAAATAAAGTAGATTCAGTGATTTACATTTGGAACTACGCATTTGGATACGATGACATGCATAAACGAAGTCAGCGAGCCTGACCACCGATTCCGTTCGCCGCCTCTCACGACATACATGGGTTGCTGAAGACCAATCTTAACCCTGGCCTTGACGGGTACCGAGTATCGTAATGTTTTACTTGTTCGTTGTTAAACACCGCACTCAGCAATTTTCCAGCTATGTGACGGCGGTTTGTAAATATTCGAGTATGGACCAGGCTATCAAGTGATTGACATCGTCAGTATCAATCCACGCAACTGGGATGCGATGATTCAACCGAGTCAGAGAGCCTGACCACCCGATCCCGTTAATCGCCTCTTACGACAAGCATAGTCGCCTTTTACGGCAAGCATTGGCTGGTGAAGACCAATTCTACCCCGGGTGTTCACGGGTGGAGTATCGTAATGCAAAGTAAGTAATGCAAATGTGAAGTTTTACGTCAAGGACCAAGCAAATATTCTTACCTGTAATGTTACATATTCCATTCATAAGGTCGAAGCCATTACTAAACGCAATCATGTCGTCGTATTCAACCACACTGGATGCATCGGTGGCGACGGCACCAAGATCAGCTTTAAATCTGCTGTAGAGGAAGGACACTGTCTTATAGAACCCAATGATGCCAAGGGCTTTCACCTTGATTCCTGCTTGACGCGCTGCCTCTCCGGCTGACACTGTCTCTGAGGGAGAGCTTGTCGTAGATCCCAGGATGGCCACAATGTGTTTAGGAACTGACAACCGATCTACCGTTAGAAGAGTGCGCGCCTGATCCAGGCCTAGATTGACATACGTGGCGCCTCCTGGTTGAGGAATGGAATCCATTTGTACCCGTAAAGAAGCATAGTTTGAGCTGAGAGGAATGACGGCTGAAACGTTGGTCCCATACACAACCATTCCGAATCTAACCGTTCCCAGCTGTTGCAAGGCAGCGCTAATTTGTTGTTTCAGCAATTCTTTGATTGTGTTGAAGTTAGCTTGCGTTATAACAAATCGTGATCCATCAAGCAGAACCACGACGTCCGCCGGGCATGCTGCAAAAATAAAATAAATTAAGTTGTAAAATCTGACATCACAATAATGTTCCAGCAATATCACAGTACTGTTCCGGCAATATCACAAATACTGTTCCGGCAATATCACAATAATGTTCCGGCAATGTCACAAATACGGTTGCAGCAATTTCACAATAATGTTGCGGCAAAATTACAATAATGTTTCGTCAATTTCACAATAACGTTCCGGCTTTATCACAAATAGTGTTTCGTCAATTTCACAAATAACTGTCCGGCAACATCATACTGTTCTGGCAATATTATAATAATGTTGCGGCAATATCACAACAATGTTGCGGCACCATCAAATAGCAAGAATGGATTTTAAACGCTTTAACCACTATGCTATTACGAGCTGCCGAAAGAAAAAGTGCAAAACAGTCTGGGCAACTTATTATATATTTTTTTAATATTACTAATATAATATCATTATATTTTCCAATACAATTTTCTAATGAGTTTGGATAAGGTGAGGTGAAATGAGGTTTAACTTCGCATTCAAGATTTTTTCGCGGATATAGCGACGTAGATTCACAAGCATGTGTGGCTGCTTGTACTTGTCCAGACTTTTGCAGATTTAATGGTGCTAACCCACTGAGATACCATGCCGCGGTTTAACATGGATATCTCACAGGCACAGAATACCGACATCGAGCCAGCATTTTTTTTGCTTTAACCCCTAATGCAGAGCGCCAGGCAGGGTAACAAGTACCATCTATTAACGCGGCCTGGGGATTGAACCACCGACTTTCCGGGGTTTGGATAAAGTTTTGTTTGTTGTTTAACGCCGCACGAAGCAAATTCCAGCCATATGACGGCGGTCTGAAAATAATCGAGTCTGGACCACACAATCCAGTGATTAAGATCATGAACATAGATCTACGCAACTGGGATACGATGACATGCATCAACCAAGTCAGCGAGCCTGACCACCCGATCCCGTTAGTTGCCTCTAACCATGCTTACGACAAGCATAGTCGCCTCTTGCGGCAAGCATGGTTGCTGAAGACCCACTTTCTATCGGGGTCTTCACGGGTCAAATTTGCTAAAGAAGAAGCACACATTTTCTGAAAGATACAATCTCACCTATAGGTAAAACTGTGAGATAGGCTTCAGTGGTCATCCCGTCCATTCTGTAGCTGTACAGGCCAGAGTCCACCAGCTGACCATTCACAACGACCAACGTCTGGACAGTGTCCCTTGTTGTGATCTGGATCTTCTCCGAGTTGGCTAGCGGGACATTATCTTTGTACCACGTGCCCCTTGTTATACCAGCTTCAGAAAGATTTACTTGGAAGGTTCCCAAATATCCAGTTTCTATCGTCTGGTTGATTAAGTCGTTCATGAACTGGAGACCTGGAGAAGCACAATGAGAAATCTGTATTGGTTTGCATAACGTCCTTGGTACGAGGTTCTAAGACGGCACTTATGACATGGTAGTTTATATTCATATTAATAAGTAAAAGTTACATTAATAGTCAGTCACAGTTTTCGAGACGGAACATTTATTTTGATCACCCAATCAAAAAAAAATATTTCCTTCTTTTTTTAAAATGAGTACCAGAACGTTTGGCGCTCTTTTTTAAGTTATCAAATGAATTATTTTGTGTGTGTGTGTATGTTGGTTTAATTATCTGCTCTGTGAACTGTCTATGACCATCCGACAGCATGTACATGTCTGGACTAATGCCATTTATAATAAAGAAGTCAGCCTTTCACTTTGGATACACAATGCCATTTAGAAAGTGGTCAAATGTAACAAATATATTTGGGATAACACTTTCTAAGTAAAGTGCAGATTCTAATCCGGGATTCTAACCCATAGAGTTAGGTACCTAATCCCCAGCACACAAAGTCGGCGATCTGACCCACACAGCCACTGAAGCTTCCATAAAATGAGGGTACACAAAGAACGTGATCTGGATTACCAGCATTTCATTTTTGTGGAAGCCTCGGCGACTGAGTGGGTCAGATCGCTGACTTTGTTAGCCTTTTATTTTGACAAATGTCTTGTTTTGGTTTGGTAAACATGGTCTGAGTAGTCTCGGAAGTGATATGGGATGACCATTAGAGTGAGTGAGTGAGTGAGTGAGTTGGGTTTAACGCCGCTTTTAACATTATTCCAGTTATATCACGGCGTGTCAGCTTAATGTGGGAGGAAAGCCCGAAGTGATGCAGGTCTCGGACGTTTACCACTTCGGTGAAATCCACGAGCACGGGTATGGTGCTGACAAACCTAGAAACATTATCGGGGTGAACCGGGATTCGAACCCACAATCATAGGTTTCTGGCGTGTCCAGGGGCGCAACTCTGCACAGCGAATCGCGGCGCCTTAGACGACTGAGCCACCCGTGCCCCCGATGACCATTAGAAGGACACATTAAAAACATCAGAGCATCACAGACATATGGAAATGGGAACACAAACGGTGATTTCTCAGAACGATGGAATCAGATACTAGTACCTTGTTATATGGATAAATGCGAATGCTTACGTTGACTGTTATGATTGTAACGTTTCAGGCATAAATCAGATTGATAGTTTGTAGATAAGTTAATTGCATAATATTATCAAGATAGTTAATAGTTCATTTGGAAAAAATTGAAAAATCTGCGGATATACATCTTTGAATCAATAACATTATTTCACAATTTCATACCATGCAACATGTTCAGTGTTTCTATATAGCGACTATGCTTGTCGTAAAAGGCGACTAACGGGATCGGGTGGTGAGGCTCGCTGCCTTGGTTGATGCATGTCATCGATCCCAATTGCGTGGCTCGATGCTCATGATATTAATCACTGGATTGTCTGGTCCAGACTCGATTATTTACGGACCGCCGTAATATAGCTGGAATATTGCTGAGTGCGGCGTTAAACAACAAACAAACCAACCAACCATATAGCCATAGGCATGGTGACTTATGTTTCTTCAGATCCCGTTTACCATCATGTCAGTGAGTGAGTGAGTGAGTGTGGTTATACGTCGTTTTTAGAATTTTCCAGCAATATCTCGGGAGAGGACACCGGAAATGGGTTTGACAAATTGTACTCAAGTGAGGAATCGAACTCAGGCCATCGGCGTGACGAGCGAACGCTTTAGCAACTAGGCTACCCCGCCCCACCCGTTTATCATTAGAGTGAGTGAGGGCGTGAGTGAGTTTGGTTTGAACCTGGCGATGAACAGTATCTCAGGTGTGTCGAGGTATGTCAGCTTAATGACGGGGAAGGGGGTCGTGTGGACGGTCTAGGGGATCCAAAATGATGCACGTCTTTACCACATTGGTGAAATAAAAGCGACAAAACCCTTTTCATGTTTTTAAGAAATCTCTGCTAAAAGCAGAATCAATTGTACAGACGATTCCTACTATACCATGAACATGTGTTTATGAATCACCAATAGTGATGAAACCAGGTGAGCGTATCCTGCCCCGCCGGTGGCACCATCACAAACACATGCAAAGGCAAGACAAGTGTTCCTGTGTATGGTGGCGCTGACAAACCTTGAACCATAACCCCGCTCACCAGAAGCATAACCATGGCTGTCGAACCTACCATCATATGTTTCTAAGGGACGCAACTCTGCTCGGTTTAGCGGCGCTTCGTTCTCCAGACCATTAACGAGCTATAGTAATAATACTTCATGTGGCAGATTTCCCGTAATTTATATTAGAAGAAGGACTGTTAAAGTGTTGGAAGATGAAACCCACTTTCTCATTTTCTGTGATGTTTATTCTATCAGCGTTTTAAGCGTTGTATCCACTAGTTTGCTCTACCCGTGTTCGTTATGTCCTTGTTCTACTGTACTAGAAAAAGCAAAGGAATTTAACCATGCATTTTGTATTTATTCAAATAGCCACAAGTTAACTTACATTATGCAGCAAGACCATTTACTGACGTTTCTATCAGTTACTCTCGCTGATAATACCTTTACTGGTGCTTGAGGCATCCACCTTAGTACTTTAAAATACCAAGTACGTATCTTATGAATGTAGAAAATGCATGTACTTTACTATACAGCTACATTCAAATGTTTGCTTGGTTTTAATATTATTTATAGGTTTTAATCAAGTTTTAAAAACTGTCTCCTAATCCTTTAACGAGTGGATATTGTACATTTTGTTGCTTAAATAACAGGTTATATTTTTGTTTGTACAATATGTGACACTATAATTAAATATATCTGATCTGATCTGATCTGATCTGATCTGATCTGATCTGATCTGATCTGATCTGATCTGATCTGATCTGATCTGATCTGATCTGATCTGATCTCACCTCACCTCACCTCACCTCACCTCACCTCACCTCACCTCACCTCACCTCACCTCACCTCACCTCACCTCACCTCACCTCACCTCACCTCACCTCACCTCACCTCATCTGTCATGTCATGTCATGTCATCCATAATACATACCCGAGCACAGCGGCACGGAACAGGCTATTTCCTCCACTTCCGTCAGAGTGTCACTACATTGCTTCCCGCCGTTTTGAGGTGGTGGCAAGTTACATTGCCTGGATCTCGTCCTTCGCCTTGTGATGGAGCGTCCACACGTACTTGAGCATTCTGAGGTCACCCATTGTCCCCATGGACCGATCCCCCCGTCCACTGAAAGCATCACCGAATTAACCAATAGTGACAGACTTGGCCCTCAGCGTCATGGTTTGTCTGAATCAATACCCAACAAAACAACACTCAGCAAGCAGCTGTTGTTGACACAAACAACAGTGATGAGTGTGATGTGTAGATGTAGGAACTGGGTTAACAATAAGTCATTTGACCTTCGATTTGTATAGTTAAATAAACATCAATGTTAATGTCGTTATATAACGTTATTATAAAGCGACCAAACCCTTTCCATATCCAAAAGAAATCTCTGCACAAAGCAGAGTCGATTGTACCATTCCCACTATATCATGAGCATGTGTTTATAAATTACTATCAAATCGTGATAGTACCAGGTGTTCGCGAAAAGGTGAGCGTATCCTGCCCCACCGACGGCACCCGTCACAAACACATGCAACGGCAAGTCAATTGTTCACCCGAAAACACACGGGAACATATATAGTACAAGTCAAAATAGGGAATAGCATTCTTTTTGACACTGATGCGTCAAATTTGGAAATGTCCTCCACATGTCTACCATAAAACTTTTTGAAAGCTTTCTGATGCCTTGAATGTTGTAACCTTGATCAAACAACTTCTGAGCAAGAGTCGTATTACACTCTTTGAAATCTTGGTAGAAAGTGCCTGCTTGATTGTATCTCAAAAGTGGCGAAATACACAAACCAAAGGCTTGAACGCTGCAAAAGTAATGTCAAATGCACCTCTCCAAATACAATCCTTAAAGTTTTCCGCCAGTTCTATGTGCAAACCTCTACATCAGTGTGATACCTTCAAAGGATGTGTAATCTCTGCATTCCAAGTTTGGGTTGCTATATCAGATATTCGTAAAGAAATGGCCTATTCATTGACATTAAGAAGACCTGCTTGTTGGCATTTTATACTTAATTTGGATATTTGGGACTCCCAAATAAGTTCGAAACATCCGGGAATTCACATCCAAGCTCGACACAACGTGATTCGACCGTATACATAACGGTTTGCTATATATTAACATGTAGTCGCATGTAGTGTATGTACTTACCTGGACACGGCGACACATTGCATATTGTTCGCTCTGTTTGAAAATTCTCTCCATAACACAATCTGCCGCCATTGCTAGAGGGAGGATTATTACATGCCCTTGACCTTGTCCTGATTCCTCTTACACCTAAGCCACATGTTGACAGGCAGGTTTCCTGCCATTCACTCCAACCGGACCAGTTACCATCAACTGCAAACATCAGACACAGCGCGATATTCAAACAAGTATTCTTGCTCCTCAAAAGACGCCAGTTTGGTTTAACGCCGCCGGAAACAGTGTTCCAGATATATGACGGCGTTCCAGCCAGTGGGATGAATGCCCTAAGCGATACAGGTCTGAGACTTTGGTGAAACCCACAATCACGAGTATGGTGCCGTGAAGTCTTGAAACCAGGGCGAATCAAGGATTGATCCAATGGTCATAGGTTTCTGGTGCGCAAAGGGTACGGGGCACTTATGCCCTGATGTACGGAAACCAGCCATCCAGCCCTCCACGGGGTTCTCAATAATTTGAGATTGAAAAGGTATCAGCTTCCTTGTGGGCTCCGAGTCAGTCTCGACTCATACATGTTTATTAATCAAACGTTTGTTTGTTGTTTAATACCACACTCAGCACACCGCCTCCGTGTCTAGTGGTAGAGCATCCGCCCGGAGAGCGGAAGGTCCGGGGTTCGATCCCCGGCCGCGTCATACCAAAAGACGTAAAAAGAGGGTACTTGTTGTTACCCTGTCTGACACTCGGCATTAAAGGGCTAAAACAAGGACTGGTCGGCTCGGAGTCAATATACTGTGTCTGAGTGGGGTATTCATGTTAAACTGCGGCATGGTATCTCAGTGAGCAAGCACTATAAATCGGCATTAGTCCGGACTAGTACAAGCAGCCACACAAACACACACACGTACATGCACGTCGCTATATAAGTGCAATAATCTTGGACGCGACGTTAAACCCCATTTCACCTCACCTCACCACACTTAGCACTGGAAAAACTTGAACAATGATCACCATAATTGTCAATCCATTGTGCCACTTTGCCAAATATCACTTCTGCGTTCTATTCAGTTTGTGCCTTATGTGTAAATATAAGACCTCAATTTCTGAAGATTCGCTTGATGACGTCGTATAGTGGACGACGTTATTTTTGAGAGGGGGGTGTTTAGTGAATTGTTTCCCATTGATGCAGTTTGACAACGCAAATAAACATAATTGCCGAACGATCGCATTCAAAAGCGGGGAGATATGAGAATCGGCATTGGGAGAAAAGGTACAGGTAATCGACATGAGGGTTGTGAGAATATGTGGGAAACACCACACTTAACCCACTTGTTCGTAAAATGGACTTGTCCGACATTGCCGAGGTCGGATTCTGTTGAGAGAGTCATCTTTATTTCTATACGGGTAAATATTTCAAAGCTTTTCATCCTCATCCTCAAGGAGGCTGTACATAATGTTGATATCTCATATAAGAAATAAACGACTTTTTATGGGACACCAGAAATGTGCTTTACACATTGTGCCCATGTGGAGAATCAAACCCGGTCATTTGGCGTGACCACTAGGCTACCCTACCGGCCCTGTTCATGTAAGAGACGCAGGCATATAGGATGAGGAGGGGGTTTGGTATCGAGAATGGATATTTTCCCAGTAACAGTTACAAACCAGATTCTTTTCTTAATGATAAACACAATGTAAATTATGTAGCATTTCTTTTCAACAGTCTGAAGCATAACTATTTTTTTCCAGAATTTCCGGACATAATTTATTTTTTTCGACAAAATCAGATGTGATTTACAAGCACTTCTGTACCTTGTGGTACACTCACTTGGCTACAGATACGAAGGTTGCGTGTTCGATCCTCGCGAACATAAAGAAAACTTGTTTCATTTGATTTTACATTGCACTACGGTGTGTTTAAATGCAAACTAAATTCCTAGCGAGAAACATCAATATTGTTACAATCTAAACGGAAGTTGTATTAATAGTATCCCCGGGATATTAAATCCCATGGGATGACGTCACTGGAAGTTTTTAAGTTACAAATGCAAGTCCGCTGTGATATTGCTGAGATATTTAAATATTTTTGCTAAAAGCGGAGTAAAACCATACTCACTCACTCACTCACTATAAATGCGGGGGAGGTCGGGTAGCCCAGTGGTTAAACGTTCGCTCGTCACGCTGAAGACCCGGGTTCGATTCCCGACATGGGTACAATGTGTGAAGCCCATTTCTGGTGTCCCCCGCCGTGATATTGCTGGAATATTGCTAAAAGCGGCGTAAAACCATACTCACTTTCTCACTATAAATGCAAGTATCGAATGAGTTGATTCTGATCATGACTTACTTGGGCAGTTGTTCTGTAACTGACAGCTGACTGCCTTGCTCTCCACCCTGGTGCCTTGGCAGTCCTGTCCGCCATTAGAGGGTGGGGGGTTGGAACATGTCCTGATGCGACTGATGGGTTTCGTTGCCTCTCGCCCGCAGGTCACAGGACAGACCACAGCAGCCGGATTCCAGGTTGCCCATTCCGAAAACCCACCATTCACAATACCACCTGTAATAAGATGTTGTTAGGACTTATCGGGGTGTCAATAGGAATCATCAGAATGTCATTAGGAATCATCAGAATGTCATTAGAAATCACGGCATTAAGAATAATTGTGATATCATTAGGAATCATGAGGAAGTCATTAGGAATAATAATAATGTCATCAAGAATCACGAGGAGGTCATTAGGAATGATAATTATGTCATCAGGAATCACGTGGAGGTCATTAGGAATAGTAATAATGTCATCAGGGATCACGAGGAAGTCATTAGGAATAGTAATAATGTCATCAGGAATCACGAGGAGGTCATTAGGAATAGTAATAATGTCATCAGGAATCACGAGGAGGTCATTAGGAATAGTAATAATGTCATCAGGAATCACGTGGAGATCATTAGGAATAGTAATAATGTCATCAGGAATCACGAGGAGGTCATTAGGAATAGTAATAATGTCATCAAGAATCACGAGGAAGTCATTAGGAATAGTAATAATGTCATCAGGAATCACGAGGAAGTCATTAGGAATAGTAATAATGTTATCAGGAATCATGAGGAAGTCATTAGGAATGATAATTATGTCATCAGGAATCACGTGGAGGTCATTAGGAATAGTAATAATGTCATCAGGAATCACGAGGAAGTCATTAGGAATAGTAATAATGTCATCAGGAATCACGTGGAGGTCATTAGGAATGATAATGTCACCAAGAATCACGAGGAAGACATTAGGAATAGTAATAATGTCATCAGGAATCACGAGGAGGTCATTAGGAATAGTAATAATGTCGTCAGGAATCACGAGGAAGTCATTAGGAATCATCATGCCATGACAGATTTATTCTAGATACATGAAAGAATTGGGTGGTCCTTACATTCTGTCGACTAGTATACTCAAACGTTAAACCCAACTGTTTAACTTCTTCAGACTCTTTCGTTGACATACTATTTCAAAATGACGATCTTGATGGACAAAGTGTAAAAGTTTCCACAGAGAGACATGAAACATGATATGCCTCTTTATGAAAAGCAAATGTAGGATACTGTTGGCAGTAAAATTATCTGGTACAGGATATTCATATTTAGGTCCCCTCCCTTTTGTGTATAGTGGTTCCGCACTTGACATGAAATAAACAAGGAATTGTGGTCCAGCCACTCGCCTACCTGATACTGTCAAGTACCCATTTGTAGGGAGGTTTTTGACGGTGTAAGTGTAACTTCCTTCGTCAGCCTCCTGTGCATTTCGGATGAGCAACTGCCGTATGTCACCGGCTTGTACTAAACTGTACTTTGATCCTGCAGTCAGCGGCACACCATTCCTGGACCAGACACCGGTGGGGGACCCTACAGGAGACACGCGGGTCTGGAAGACCGCATCAGTTCCCAATGTGGCTGTGATGCTGTTCAGAGGAGCTGGAACAAAATGACGAAGTGAGGGAGTGAAATTCTATAATCTTCATGTGTATTCAATCAATAACGGAATTATGCTCGATGTTATTTTCCATTGACCGACACTATAAGGAACCGACTATTTGAAATTCGGGGGAGGTGGGGTAGGGGGTGGAGGGGTGTGAGCCTGGTTTGGCTGAGATTTCGCCTGGAGATGAGATATTTATTCAGTTGCGGCTGCAAAACCATATATCTTTTTAATTAAAACCACGAGCCTTTTAAGAAGAATGTAATTTTTGTTTCAGTCAATTTCTTTTCTTCAACAGTCTGAACCATAATTTATTTTTTCTCAAGAATTTTCTTGGACAGTTTATTTTTTGCGAGAAAATCCCAGCCCCATCACCCCTCACCCCATCCCGAATATCAAATGGTCGGTCCCGGAAGTGACGTCAACATTCCAATCTCCTATCACGAAAAGAGTACATTATTTCACCGCTTGAATCAATCAAGTGTAATCTGAATAAACGGCTGTTTGGAGCGTCCTGTTATTCGATCGTACCCTAAAAGAAGCTGTAGTGGCGAATAGGTCCAGTATATCTTTCATAATAGAACAGCGATAAAGGCATATGTAGCGGGTCAGCGTATCAATCTACATACACACAACAGTGAGGGTGGCCTGGCGTACATCCCCGTCAACGACGACACTGTAGTCACCAGCGTCTGAATGCTGTACGTTGGGGATGGTCAACCTGCGATCAGCACCGTTGACGCTCTTCACATATCTGGTGTCACTTGACAGGTCCATGTCTCGGGTCCGCCACATGATGTTGGAAGCATCAGCGCGACTGAGGGTGGCCTGGAAGATGCCAGAGTTACCCACGAGTACGGTAAAATCCCCTGGAGGGCTGAGGATGATCACTGAAACACAGAGAAACTATGACATACTCACCCAGTACACAAAGCCTAGGGATAGAGTAAAGGGGTTTGTGATATGAACATTCAAAGTAATTTGCAATTTGATTTTCACCAACGTGTAACAGGAGATCTAATATTCCTTCACAGGGGATCTAGTATTCGTTCACAGAAGATCTAATATTCCTTCACACGAGATCTAATATTCCTTCACAGGAGATCTAATATTCCTTCACATGAGATCTAATATTCGTTCACACGAGATCTAATATTCCTTCACAGGAAATCTAGTATTCGTTCACACGAGATCTAATATACCTTCACAGGAGATCTGATATTCGTTCACAGGAGATCTAATATTTGTTCATAGGAGACTAAATATTCGTTTACATGAGATCTAATATTCGTTCACAAAAGATCTAATATTTGTTCCTAGGAGACTAAATATTCGTTCACGTGAGATCTAATATTCGTTCACAGGAGATCTAATATTTGTTCATAGGAGACTAAATATTCGTTCACCTGAGATATAATATTCCTTCCTAGGAGATCTAATATTCTTTCACGGGATATCTAATATTCGTTCACAGAAGATCTAGTATTCCTTCACATGAAAACTAATATTCGTTCACAGGAGATCTAATATTCCACAGGAAATCTAATATTCCTTCTTATGAGATCTAATATTCCTTCACAGGAGAACTCATATACCTTAACAGGAGATTTAGTATTCGTTCACAGAAGATATGCGTGCACAAATATTGGCTTACCGAAACACGCTAACGCTGTCGACATTAAAGCAATTTAATATTAAATATATGTGTGTTATCAGCCACTTCAGCTGTACATAAGTTAGCATAAATTATCAATGACAGAGAATAATCAGTCCAGATTGTCCGCCGAAACAGATTACAATTTAGCGTAAAGGGCAAATAGTTGTGAAAATTAAATGGACCACTGAATATCAGTGACGGCATGTACACCAGGTGGTCGCAAAAGAGTAGGCATGATGTGGCCTACCGGTAGCACCCGCCATTCACACAACTTGCATGCAATAAGTATGTATAGCCTGACGCCGCACAGCAGTACTCCTGTCATGCGACGGCGGCTTGTAAACAAACCAGACAATCAAGTGATCGATCAAGCAGAAAATCTTGCGACACGATAGTGTATTTTTTGTTGCAGCTTATGAACACGATATGTAAATTTTAAACTGTGGCTGTTGTGTAAAAGTGCAGGGACCCTGCAGCTTAACAGAAATGAAAACGTGTATGAAATATGGTCGTTTTGCAACCGGGAGAGGACGGTTTAAATAATTCCTTCGGAGTTGACTCAACATAGATAATGACATATTAAACGAAATAAAACTCGTCCTCAGCAGGTCTTCATTATATGACATTGGAAGTCCCAAAACAAGGCGTGGCGAAGTTATGTTTGATGAATAGTTTTCGGCTTCTAATAAATACACATTGGATCAGTAAGTGTCCTATCTTGAAATGCTTTCCAAAACATAATATAAATGTCGAACTTAATGCTTGCTTTACTATAACAAACTCATTGCACGTTTGCTAACATCATATCACTTGACAAAGTAGAAACAATTTATGAATAACAACTTCTTTATTTACTGTAAAGGCGATGTTTCGGTATAGATCCTTATACCGTTGTCAAGCAACGTACTTACTTAGTTTGGGTTTTAACGTATTCTTTCCGACATATAGGTATGTCGCGCCCATATGCAAGGCAAATACAGAATATATATACTAGTAGTAGTAGGTGGAGGATTAACAGTAAAAACAATTGCATAGATTACGTGAGTAGGTTAAACACCTCATCCAACCTGTGTATACTTAATCCTGTTTAATTGGCTTCCTGTCTTATTGGCTTCCTCCTCCTCCTCCTCCTCCTCCTCATCATCATCATCATCATCTTCATCATCATCATCATTATTCAGCCTTGCTTGATAGCGGTATAAGGATCTATACCGAAACTGAGTAATGCCCATCAAACAATTGACCACATGTACTTGGTTTAGGTACAAAAACACATTGATAACATATTTACGTTGCTAAAATTACACAACACTTTTATCGTGAATAATGTTCTTTTAAACATCGCAAACAAACATGTAACATGTGAGAAACTAAACAATACATCACTAATAGTATATATGGAGCACAGTAAAAAGGTGCTTACAAGTGTTAAACAAAGTCACACACAATTTCATTGCACATTAAAAAACGTTACGTATAAAACATTGAATTAAAAAAATAACACGTTCGTTCTTTTTCGCCATTGACATAAATACATTACCTGTCTCCTTAGTGAGGGCTGACCTGTGCAATGCCGTGACAATGTCCGAAGCATGTCCAGACAGTTCCTCAAAGTTCGCCATCTGAATCACTGACTCGTTCGAACTAGCAATACCTTGAAGTTCACTCCGGTATCTTCGATAAATTGACTTGAACTGTTTGACATATACATCTATCCCAACAGCCAGAATGAACACCCCAGCTGATTTCGAGCTTGACGCAGCCGCCAGGGTGTCTTGTGGGTAATTAGAGACACCGTCGGTGATGACCACCATGGCCTGAGAGTTTGATGATGGCTCTTCCAGCAGCAATGTCAGCGCTCTCTGTATCCCTACATCAGTAGACGACCCCCCGCCAGGATAGTCCACCCCGTCTATTTGTCTGAGTAGGGAGCTGGAGTTGGATGAAGCTTGAATAACATCAGTTACAACACTGCCGAATACCACAATACCGACCCGGGTGCCATTGTTCCTGGTAAAGGTTTCTTCTACAATTAGTTTCAGAGTCTCTTGGATCAGACGGAAATTGTCCGTTTTGACACTATGTGATCCATCAACGACATAATATACAGTATACGGTGAAGAGTCATCTACAAAGAAAATAAGAGTTTATCAGAATATTGCTATATTGATTGTAATTGTCGATACAGTATAAGTTGTAGAAGGATCATTTGGGGTACATGGGGTTTTATGCTAAACTTATAAGGTTTAAAATCACGAGCCTGACGAGCTGCAACCAATTTATCTTACTGACATGATTTAATATGACATTGTGAAATAATTCAAACAAATTCAAAATTAAGAGAAAACAGCTGTTCGATTAAGCCTAGGTGACCTTGCGCTATTTCAGGTGAATTCCATTGACTCGGAAAAAGAGTGCGGCTCTTTGCTGTGAGTGAGTGAGATGGGTTTAACGCCGCTTTTAACAGTATTCCAGGTATATCACGGCGTGTCAGCTTAATGTGGGAGGAAAGCCCAAAGTGATGCAGGTCTCAGACGTTTACCACTTCGGTGAAATCCACGAGCACGGTTATGGTGCTGACAAACCTAGAAACATAATCGGGGCGAACCGGGATTCGAACCCACAATCATAGGTTTCTGGCGTGCCCAAGGGACGCACTTCTGCACAGCGAATGGCGGCGCCTTAGATGACTGGGCCACCTGTGTCCCCTTCTTTGCTTTGAAGCGGGGTAAAAGGGATTTATTCTGCCATCAGAAAACCACGTGCAGCCTGATTTGCGCGGGGCGGGTATAAGGGATGTATTCCCCTGCTGAGAAATTTATTACCCTCCAAGGCGAGATACACAGTATTTAATCAAGTTCACGTGGACAAATCAGATCTCATCATTCCGACTTGGAGGTATGATGTTTGCTTTTATAATAAGAAGCTATTTTGTCATGACGGTTGATAATTGGACAAAAATCATGAATATGAATAATAAAATAGCTAGAGAATATGCTATCATTCATAACTACACTTTGTAGATTTCGCAAGGTAATGTGATGTAAAAATGATAGAAGAAAATGTGATTGTCACAAGTGTCGGATAACAAGGTAGACACAATTTGATGGACAACTTCTTTAATACTGTAAAAAGCGACGTTTCGGTATAGATCCTTATACCGTTGTCAAGCAAGACAACGGTAAAAGGATCTATACCGAAACGTCGCTTTTAACAGTATTAAAGAAGTTGTTATCCATAAGATTGTGTCTACCTTGTTTTCCGTCAACTTCTATGTAATGCCTATCAAACAATTCAAAGTGTCGGATAAGTGAGCGATCATCTCACAGTTGAAGGGGAGGTAATTCCGGAAACCATAGATGGCTCTTACAGACGACCTATATACCCACACAACAAAACCCAACTACCACTACCACTACCACTACCACTCCCACACCTCGTTGTCCATCGCTATCACCTGTCAGCACTAATTAACTGTTAAGTGTGGGCTTTCATTTGTCCGTTGCGAATCACCTTTTAGAGCCAATTAACTGTTGACTTCCCTTGTTAAGTTTCCACCTTTTTGATCTTGTTACCTTTGTTGTACTTACAGGTTCATATATATGCTATCTGCTTCACAGCATTTATTTACCCCATGAAAGAATAAGTATATACTCCGAAACGTTGTGCCTTGTGTTTCTCATGATAAATGTTTAGAAGTTGACATCCATAATTCTCTTCCTTAATGTATCAATTCTAAATGCCAATCAAAGACTTAACAGTAAAGTATGCTTACCTTGTATTGAAAGATGCAGTAGGACCAGTGTCATCACAACAAAACAGACAACAGGCTCTGTCCTCAATGTCATTGCTGGAAAATGAATGATCATGAATTCATTCAGAAAATGCAAACTGTACTTGCTTTCTCATTCTGGATTAAACAACAACCATATGTAAACAAAGTAGACGTTAAACGTTTTGTGCCATAAATTAAACCAAGTTCAAAGTAAACAATTTCATTATCTATTTAGTGATGAAATGTTACATATATCACTAAATATATAATTAATATTTTAATCGAGAGAAATAACATTTTAAGCCGAAACTACCTCCTTAACACTTTAGTTTTCAGTATTGGATCATTCATGAACTCCGTTAGAAATATTAGTTTTGTCTTTTCTTTGTCAAACAACAGGTAATCTCATGAACATATAAGCATTGAAGCTCACTCGATGAGCCAAACATGTTAATTGACATGAAAATAAACTATCCTCAATGAATAATAATCTGATTGAAACAACGACATTGGTGTGACTGAAGATGCTTACCGATATGTCGCTCCCGTCTCTTCTTCCCTGAGTACAAAATGACTCCATTCGCGCTATTTTTTCACTTGAGAAAATACACGATAATGTATACAGAGTGACCCCTTTAAATCGCTCCACGACATACTGATTGTGTCTCTGTAGTCGAGCCTTTGTTCATTTGCATCTGAAGAATAGCCTGGGTGTTAATAGTCAGTTTGTTCCCATCGCAATATAGGGTAGTCGATGTAATCTGGATGCGTAACATAGCAACACCTATATACACAAACCTACATACCTAAAGCCAACCTCCGTTATACGAACACCTCGGGATAATCAGTTCGTGATATGCGAACTTCGTAACTGAATAACAGTTTGAGTTACTCCTCGAGGTCAGGAATGCATTATGACGACTTTTCGAGATATCCGTATTCGTGTTGTAATGTGTATCACCATATTAAACTTAATCGAATGATCGAAATCATGCCGATCACTTGTGCAGTTGTATCCATATTTAAACCGGTAATATTCACACACACATACATATATATATATATATATATATATATACAGTCGAACCCCGTTGTCTCGAAATGCTAGGAACCAGATACATTGTTCGACTTAACCAGAGTTCGACACATCCGGTCGACATTACTACCTAGCCATCAGATGACAAATGCAAAAGTAACATCGTGGATGCTTGTAAATACCATTTATATATAACAAGAAATATAAGAAGAAGCATATTACATCTACGTTTATACATCTACATGCAATTTATACAAAGACGATAAATTGTCTCATCAAGGTAAGTTGTAACTTACTTTGAAGTCTTCGAGACAACCAGGAAATCGACACATCCGGGTAATTATAGTGGTAAATATAGTAAGATTTTCTCGGGACCAGACTATGAGTTCGACACAACCGAGGAATCGACACATCCGATTTTGAGACAAAGGGGCGCTTCTGTACATGCAACGCTTCTTAAAGTCATAAGGTATGGTGATTATAGACATTTTTCGATGTAAACATGTGCAATGAATCAGGTGTTTAAGGTTCTTTCAGACAATATAATATACATAGTGGTTTAAAAGAGCTTTAACATGCTAATACTAGTGAAGATATTTCCCGTACGTGTGTACCTGCACAAGTCCATGTTGAAACCCCATGCAGGTATATACAAAGTAGGTAATTTAACGAGGTATATATTATGGTGTCATCAGCGGGGTGATTTCTTACCTGGCTGAACAAAGGATACTACCTTTTGAAAAAAGTGCTCAGGTCAAGCCGGGCGTGGGAAGCCATTGATGAAATGAATTTGTCTGTATTTTAATGCGCTAATGCTTTCAATCTGTCAAACTGGCAAAGCGCGACGGTGTAAAAAGAACTGAACTCTCATTGATGGCAAGACCAGCTTGTGGACAAAAATAAACATTGAATTTATCGCAGAGCGTAACGCAGGTCTACATAGAGATCACCGCCCAGTATATGTCCTAAATAGGAGTGAATGTGTTTGAGTAGTTATTCAACAATTTATCACTGTACGTGTCAGGTAGGTTTGTTACAAGAGTACAAAGAGAGCTCCTTGGCTTGTAAATGGATAAAAGTACATTAAATGTTGACAAAACCAGTAGGTTTAGCATGGCAAACGAACAGTCTAAAAGCATTAGACAAACTTTTTGAAGTCTAATTTTCGGTTTTCTCGAACTGAATGCTCCGATCCAAGCATTTCGTTTTTCCTTGTGAGTGAGTGAGTGAGTGAGTGAGTGAGTGAGTGAGTGAGTGAGTGAGTGAGTGATGGAAGGTCACATAACCATTTCATTCTACCGGGTACCCATTCACTGCTGGGTGAACAGAGGCTTATTTAGAAGTCACTACCCTAAGGAGACACATACCACAGGAACTACACGTGAGTCATAAAGCTCACGCCTCGTCCAATATTTTTCTGCAAACCTAATATGACACCGTATACGGCAACTAAAGTCACCATTACTAATAATATATCGCCCTTCCATAAGTCGGGCCGTGCCTTGATACAGGTCCCACCACACGCAATTAGAAGGAGTGTGCAGTGAGGTATATAGCAGCTGTGATTGGATAATATTGTATAAGATTTTGATGGTTTTTATGTCTACATCTACCCAGTAACCATGATCTTCAAAATGCAGTCCTGTTGATTGGTAATCACTACGTAGACTGAATGTGCCCGCATATTTTTGAGTATCATTAGGTTGAGACCTGCTGTTTGTGTGTGTAACTCTCTTCATAGGAAATGGGCTGGGCAAGATTTATATTTTAGCTTTAAGGCCCTGGATGTGGAATGTATGCCTCGGAATGGCTGTTGAATGCTTAATACTTTATAAAAAAGATAACTGTGGTGTTGAAGTCACTTAGTTGTGTGTCCTTGAAAAGGAATATAAGTAGAGGGAGACATTACTTGTAGGCTTCAAATTAGTAATCGTTGTTTAGTTCTAAGAGAGACAACACGTTTACCTTTCGCAGGACATTCGTTAGTCAGTCCACAGGTGTCTTCCCTGGACTGCCTGCTGTCTCCCTGGCAAAACTGGCCATTGAACAGCGTGGAAGGACTGTCACAGTTCCTTAACCTGAACACCACCTTCGTGGCTGTAGTGCCACATGACACCGGACAGATCGTTGAAGCAGTGTTCCACCCTCCCCAGACACCCCATTGACCATCTCGATCTGAAATACAGACATAACCATTGACCATCTCGATCTGAAATACAGACTGAATCATTCACCATCTCGATCTGAAATACAGACAGAATCATTCACCATCTCAATCTGAAATACAGACAACACCACTGACCATCTCGATCTGAAATACAGACAAAACAACTGAACATCTCGATCTGAAATACAGACACAACCACTGAACATCTCGATCTGAAATACAGACAAAACCACTGAACATCTCGATCTGAAATACCGACAAAACCACTGAACATCTCGATCTGAAATACAGACAAAACCACTGAACATCTCGATCTGAAATACAGACAGAATCACTGACCATCTCGATCTGAAATACAGTCAGAATCACTGACCTTCTCGATCTAAAATACAGACTGAATCATTCACCACCTCGATCTGAAATACAGACAGAATCATTCACCATCTCAATCTGAAATACAGACAACACCACTGACCATCTCGATCTGAAATACAGACAAAACCACTGAACATCTCGATCTGAAATACAGACAAAACCACTGACCATCTCGATCTGAAATACAGACAAAACCACTGAACATCTCGATCTGAAATACAGACAGAATCACTGACCATCTCGATCTGAAATACAGACATAACCATTCACCATCTCGATCTGAAATACAGACAGAATCATTCACCATCTCGATCTGAAATACGGACAGAATCATTCACCATCTCGATCGGAAATATAGACAGAACCATTCACCATCTCGATCTGAAATATAGACACAATCACTGACCATCTCGATCTGAAATACAGACATAACGGTTGACGATCTCGATCTGAAATTCAGATATAAACATTGACCATCTCGAGCTGAAATACAGACACAATCACTGACCATCTCGATCTGAAATACAGACATAACCATTCACCATCTCGATCTGAAATACAGACAGAACCATTCACCATCTCGATCTGAAATACAGACATAACCATTCACCATCTCGATCTGAAATACAGACACAATCACTGACCATCTCGATCTGAAATACAGACACAATCACTGACCATCTCGATCTGAAATACAGACATAACCATTCACCATCTCGATCTGAAATACAGGCAGAATCACTGACCATCTCGATCTGAAATACAGTCAGAATCACTGACCTTCTCGATCTAAAATACAGACAGAATCATTCACCACCTCGATCTGAAATACAGACAGAATCATTCACCATCTCAATCTGAAATACAGACACAATCACTGACCATCTCGATCTGAAATACAGACAACACCACTGACCATCTCGATCTGAAATACAGACACAACCATTGACAAATCTCGATCTGAAATACAGACACAATCACTGACCATCTCGATCTGAAATACAGACACAATCACTGACCATCTCGATCTGAAATACAGACAACACCACTGACCATCTCGATCTGAAATACAGACACAACCATTGAACAATCTCGATCTGAAATACAGACATAACCATTCACCATCTCAATCTGAAATACAGACATAACCATTGACCATCTCGATCTGAAATATAGACAGAACCATTCACCATCTCGATCTGAAATACAGACATAACCATTGACCATCTCGATCTGAAATATAGACCATTGACCATCTCGGTCGGGAAAACACTCAGAACCACTGACCATCTCAATCTGAAATACGAACAGCGCCTCTGACCTTCAGGAACTGAAGTATAGACATATTCAGTAATCATCTCAATCTTATCCAATTACAACCAGGGCAACTACATCGTCTCAGTGACATACCCCAACACTTCAGTTGGGAGTACTGGTAAGAAATGGTCCTAAGCAACATTTGACAGTCGTACGAGACGACTTAGTTGATGGGGTGAACAGGCTTGGTGATTTGAGAGGCATCGTATCCTGACGGCGTGGGACATTACACATAACATCACTACTAGTCTGAGCTTGAGACCGCCTCCGTGGTCTAATGGTAGGACGTCCGCCCGGAGAGCGGAAGGTCCGGGGTTCGATCCCCGACCGCGTCATACCAAAAGACGTTAAAAGATGGAACTTGTTGTTGCCCTGTCTGGCGCTCGGCATTAAGGGGATAAGACAAGGACTGGTCGGCTCGGAGTCAGTATACTGTGTCTGAGTGGGGTATTCACCTTAAACTGCGGCATGGTATCTCAGTGTGCTAGCACTATAAATCGGCATCAGTCCTGACTAGTACAAGCAGCCACACACACACACGTGCATGCACGTCGCTATATAAGTGCAATAATCTTGGACGCGACGTTAAACCCCATTTCACCTCACCACCTCTGAACTTGAACAACGACATTATAGAACTTATGGGTTTCATAAGACTTTATCAATTCTAAGAAAATTTGAACATTTTTCTGTTTTACAATCAAACACCTTCTTTCTTGTAGGAAATCCAATGAAAGAAATTACTTTGAATTAGTCAATATGTCAGATGATTTTACACCTTTAAATGACCACTTTCATTAGTTGTCATTGGTAAATGTTAATAGGAAAATGCATATATCTACAACAAAAGAAGACACTTTCATTTAGAGTTTTTATTAACATTGATTGCTTTTGTGTGACAATTGGATAGTCAATAAAACGTGTCTTGTTCATAAAAAATAGTATATAATTGTTGTTCGAGAGTAATTCCAATTTAGATTTAGAAATTTGTTTTGTTTGTTTGTTTGTTTTTTTCTCTAACGTCACACGTAGCAATAATCCAGTTATATTCCAGCTAACTGAGTCTAGACCAGGCAGTCGATCTACTCAATTGGGATACGATGACTTGCATCAACCAAGTCAGCGAGCCTTACAACCCGTTCCCGTTAGTCGCCTCTTACGACAAACATATTCACCTTTTCGGCAAGCATGGATTCTACCCCGGATCTTCATGGGTTTTAGAAAGATGTGGAATGAAAGCTAGTGATGGACAGTGCAGTACCTTGACAAGTGTCTCCTCCATATCCTGCTGGACAGACACACTGGCAGGAGATAACGTTCAGACCGCCGCCATTTTGACAGTTCTTCGTACAAGCTATAACAAAACAATATATGATCAAATATTGATTACAAAACTGTATGAGTGAAACAAGGTGAGTTAAATACATATATAGATTAAGGATTCCTTGGGTTCTTAAAATGATTTAATGACATGAAATTTGAGCATTAGGTTTGGAAGACCAAAAGTGTTATAGACAAAGACACTCGCCACGTTGAGGCTTGTTGTGATATTTTTATATACACTACTCGTACGTCATAATAATAATAATAATAATAATAATAATAATAATAATAATAATAATAATAACAACAACAACAACAATAATAATAATGATAATAATAATGATGATGATTATGTAGATGATGATGATGATGATGATGATGGTGATGATGGTGATGATGATGGTGGTGGTGATGATGATGTAGATGATGATGATGATGATGATGATGACGACGACGACGACGATGATGATGATGATGATGATGATGATGATGATGATGATTACAAATTCTAACCTGGTGGACATTGGCTGAGTCCACAGTTGTCATTTCTGGATTCCCTTGACAAGCCCGGGCAAGACTGACCAGCGTTTTGAGGGAACGGATTATCACACTGCCTGTACCTGTACACGACCTTAGTCGCATCTACTCCACAGCTCACTGGGCAGATACTGGACGCTGTGTCCCAGCCTCCCCACATCCCCCAGTTTCCATTCCTGTCTAAAACAAGAAAATATTTAATTATTTTCACTGAGAGTGACTAGATGAACGTCGCTTTGCACATTATTTCAGTGGAGTTACGATGATGCAGCTTATAATGTCGGTAGAAATCCTGAAGTGAAGCAAACATTCACGGTTATGGTTTTGACAACCCAAACGGTCAGCGGATCTTGGCACGCCAAAGGGAAGCAACTTTGCACATATCATTATGATGACTTAATGCCACTTGGCAACCAGGTCCTCGTATTTATATAACAGTTAACAATGTTACAATGAGTTTCCAGTAAATCTGGTACTTAGAAGGATGCGTCCATGCATATAAAACAATGGTACCCCGTTTTTTGGACGAAATGGTTCATACTAGCAAGGAACACAGTAATGTATCAATGCTATCGACCGAGCGTATTGACTACCAGGGTCAGAGCTAGTTACCAAAGTCTCACTGTATTTGGCATGTTTCATGTCACAGTGATTAGTTGTGTCTTCCTTGATGGCCTGCCGTGGACCTTATTATACCGTAGACCTACTCTTTTCATATTTTGCGAAATGCGTTAATACTACAAGTCTTACCTTGACAAAAGTCGCCCCCGTAACCTGTCTGGCACACACACACGCAGGAGGGAGCGTTCAGAATGCCGCCATTTTGACAGAACTTTGTACACGCTAGAATTGAAATAAACCTTATGTTAATTATTCTGTTAGGGCATAACTATGAATGGCAACAGGTTTTGTGGAGTACGGTAACATGGCTGAAGACTGCATGCGTAAGCGTATTTTAAGAGATTCATTTTTGCTAACCGTAACTTCTTATATACAAGGAAACATCTTGTATGTATAAAATGTACGAGCGAACAGATAATGGTGAATATATCGGTTAAACATATTACGACTGCTTAGAATTTATATCTCCTTAGATGTAAACTCCGCGGACCGAGCGCCAGTACTCAGCACCCAGTACTCAGCATCCAGTACTAGCACCCAGCATCAAGTATCTAGCACCCATCACAAACATCAAACATTCAGCACCAAAACCCAGCACCCAGCACCAAGTACCAACAACCAGCGTCACGCACCAGGCACCAAGTACCGACACCCAGCGTCACGCACCAGGCACCAAGTACCAACACCCAGCGTCACGCACAAGACACCAAGTACCAACACCCAGCGTCACGCACCAGGCACCAAGTACCAACACCCAGCGTCACGCACCAGGCACCAAGTACCAACGCCCAGCGTCACGCACCAGGCACCAAGTACCGACACCCAGCGTCACGCACCAAGCACCAAGTACCAACACCCAGCGTCACGCACCAAGCACCAAGTAACAACACCAAGCGTCACGCACCAGGCACCAAGTACCAACGCCCAGCGTCACGCACCAGGCACCAAGTACCAACACCCAGCGTCACGCACCAGGCACCAAGTAACAACACCCAACTATCAGCGCCAAAACCCAGGACCCAGCACCCAGCGTCACGCACCAGGCACCAAGTACCAACACCCAGCGTCACGCACCAGGCACCAAGTACCAACACCCAGCGTCACGCACCAGGCACCAAGTACCAACACCCAGCGTCACGCACCAGGCACCAAGTACCAACACCCAGCGTCACGCACCAGGCACCAAGTACCAACACCCAGCGCCACGCACCAGGCACCAAGTACCAACACCCAGCGTCACGCACCAGGCACCAAGTACCAACGCCCAGCGTCACGCACCGGGCACCAAGTACCAACACCCAGCGTCACGCACCAGGCACCAAGTACCAACACCCAACTATCAGCGCCAAAACCCAGGACCCAGCACCCAGCAGCAAGTACCCAGCACCAAGAATCAAGCACTCAGCATCAACACCCAGCACACAGCATCAACACCCAGCACCCAGCACCTCGTTTCTCACAATGGAGCCGAGTTTTGCTGCTGTTGCATGTACAGCTAGTGTTTCATCACCAGGTAACCTTGTCCAAATTTTCAGCAGCATCCACATTTTCAGCAACGATGGATTGGAACGAAAGAGCTGACAGTAAGCAAAAGGAGTCCACATTTCCACCGCAAACTCAATACTCACTTTGTGGACATTGTTGTAGCTGACAGTTATAATTACGCGAATCCGTATCACTTCCCACACAGGTCCGGCCGTTGTTCAGAGGAATGGGACTGTTACAAGATCGGTAACGGTTGACGACCTTAGTGGCAGAGGTTCCGCACGTGACGGGACAGGCAGTGGATGCTGTGTTCCATCCTCCCCACTGTCCCCAGTTACCATCCACATCTGCAACAAACGTCAACCTCTCTTATACACTGAAACCCGTCAGTCCAGATCTGGCATCATTACTTTCAAGACACTGCAGGAACACCTACAGCTATACAAAAAACACAACTGCTCAACAACACTTTGGTATTCCAGAAATGTCCCTGGTCAAGTGAATATGAACTTCTTTTCCTTGTATTCTTCAATCAAAATATGTATTCATGTTGTTTTTTTCTGAAAAGGATATTTTATTAATATTAATCTCCGTATTGCTGATTTTGGCCAATGCATGTAGTTATCTGCCTTCATTGTTTGTCAAAGGTAAACTGTTTGAAAGGACATATTCAGCAATGTATTGATAAATCCAACGTAGATGTCATTTGGGAGATGACCTTTATGTATTGTCAGATTTGCGAGTTTTATTTCGTAATCGATGACCGGACATTTCATTTGGAACCGACGGCGTGTATTGACATTGTAACATGTAAAAGGTATCCGTCATTTTCTGAAGCACTGTGAACTCTCACAACTGTGAGACATGAAGTCACTCTGAAATGTCATTGTGGAATGCTTTGGCATCAATCTGTAATGCTATGACGTCACTCTGGAATGTTATGACGTCACTCTGTAATGTTATGACGTCACTCTGGAATGTTATGACATCACTCTGTAATGTTAAGACGTCACTCTAAAATGTTATGACATCACTCTAGAATGTTATGACGTCACTCTGTAATGTTATGACGTCACTCTGGAATGTTATGACATCACTCTGTGATGTAAAGACGTCACTCTGGAATGTTATGACATCACTCTAGAATGTTATGACGTCACTCTGTAATGTTATGACGTCACTCTGGAATGTTATGACATCACTCTGTAATGTTATGACGTCACTCTGGAATGTTATGACATCACTCTGTAATGGTATGACGTCACTCTGGAATGTTATGACATCACTCTAGAATGATATGACATCAATCTGGAATTTGATGGAGACATGAATGATGGTCCGAGATAACTGCCTGATTAGTAGAATGTGAAAAAAAAAACCAACTGTTTCACCACCACGGTCTGGTTCTATAAAGGGATCTTATCTCTAAGACGATCTTTGCTCCCACCATTTAGCATAGACTAAGGGCAGTTGTTGCTCTAAGGCCCAGGATACTCCCGGCATCGAATCCCATTTAATCCCTTTTTTGTCTTAAAATAGAAATAAACCGTCGTGAGAGACAAACCGTTCTTTGCAAAATTTTGATAACGACACGTGGTGCATTACCATATTCGACCAGGCTTACAATATTATCTTTTACTGCCTGACCATTCGTAAGGGTCCAGTCTCTGGATATTCTTGGTGTGCCTTGGGGTTTTTTGTAAAAAAAAGTAGTATTACTGTTATTCCGAAAATTGTGAAAAAAATGGTATCCCCAGGTCGTATTAATACAGATCCTGCACTGGGCATGGATGTTCAAGAAAGAATTCTTGTGACCCCACTCCCACCACCCCACCCCACCTCGTCCCCCAATTCTTTGGCTCCCCTTTTAGAGTAAAACATGCATGCTCTATACCTCTGACTGGAAAATAAACAAAACAACTCAAACATAAGTCCCAGCCACCCACAGAAGATCGCTCTCTAAGTTCCCGAATAATCTTACCCTGGCATCGGTCTCCCCCAGTTCCGATGGGGCAGCTACATCGACAGGAGCCAGCATTCAGGGCACCATTATTTAGGCATATCCTGTTACAGGCTGCAAACACATACATATAGATAAGTGGGCATGAACATATTCTTAACAGCAGGCAAGTAGGATATTGCATTATTATTATAAGGGTAACGCTATTTTTCAGGGCATTATCATTTGCAGAAGCCCGAGGTTTTCCATTGACTGCCCGACGAAGGACGGCGGTTGAAAAGGCCGAGGGCTTCTGCAAATGATAATGCCCTGAAAAATAGCGTTACCGGTATTATAGCTAAAATGGGTACAATTGGTTATCAAAAAAAACTATCGGCTTTGAAACATTAACTGCAATCAACACACAACGAATGTCACTGACCCACTTTTACAAATATGGCAACGTCATAGAACAAACCAGATGACGTCACTATTGAACATCAATATGACGTCGGCTAACAGCAGGCGTGATAATTGCCCGTCGTCAAGCAATATGAGGGTATTATCAAGTTACAGTGGCCCGCTCATTTTTCATAACATTCTGTTTAATGATAATTCTATCCATTTTAGCTATAATATATTTTTACATTACCACAGAGCAACACAGGAGTTAAATCTTGTAGATGACATTTTACATGTGAGTATAGCGTTTGCGAACAACCGTGTTAGAATAAGTCAGTATACTGTGTCTGTGTGGGGTCTTCATGTTAAACTGTCATGGTATCTCAGTGGGCTAGCATTATAACATCGGCATTAGTCCGGACTGCTACAAGCAGCCACACACACATGCACGTCGCTATGTAAGTGCAATAATCGTAGACGCGACGTTGAACCCCTTTTCACCTCACCACCTCAACGTTCTTAGGATTGTTTGCGTGAACACGTTTGGGATCTAAACCCATTAAAGGATTCATTTCACACCCATAACATATCAACACAGTTCTGAACAAATAATTTACGTCATAAACATGCTGTGGTCTCTGAAGCTTTTCCAATCTAAACAGTTATTTGCAGCGTAGTGTGCCTGTCTTCTTAGACCATTCGAGAACGTAAACATTGACTCACCAAGATACAGGAATTAAAGAAATCTTACTTTCACAGAAGTCGCCTCCAAAGCCTGATGGACAGGAACACGTGCAGGTAACTGAGTTCAGACCGCCGCCATTTTGACATGACTTTGTACAAGCTACGACAGAAATATTAATGATAAAAGTTCGGTATAAAAAAATAAAAGCTCATGTAACTGAAATATTGTTCAAAGTGGCGTTGAAACTCACTCACTCACTAAACCTATGAGTGAGTGAGTATGGTTTTACGCCGCTTTTAGCAATATTCCAGCAATATCACGGCGAGGGACACCGGAAATGGGCTTCACACATTGTACCCATGTCGGGAATCGTACCGGGTCGTCGGCGTGACGAGCGAACGCTTTAACCACTAGGCTACCCGACCGCCACACAATAAACCTATGAGTTTACAGATTATCAGGATCAAGTGAGTGGGCATGATGATTGTTGTTCAAGCAAACTGTTTCAATAGAAATTGACGCTGGATCACTGTGGAGGGGCGGTCGGGTAGCCGAGTGGTTAAAGCGTTCGCTCGTCACGCCGAAGACCCAGGTTCGATTTCCGACATGGGTACAATGTGTGAAGCCCATTTCTGGTGTCCCCCGCCGTGATATTGCTGGAATATTGCTAAAAGCGGCGTAAAACCATACTCATTCATTCACTAAATGGATCACTGTAGGTACATGGGGTTTTATATATATGCGTCCTGCGTTAGGTTTTATACGAGCCACAGGAAACGGTATAAATCCTAACGCGGGCCGCATAAAACCCGACGTACCCCGAGTGATCCTGCTACAACGAATATATCTTACCGACATGTTTTATTATGACATAGTAAAATAATTAAAACAAATTCTTCAAATTTGATAGAAAACAGCTGCTTGATTACAGCTGAGGTCAACTTGTGCTCTGTCGCGTGACTATCATTGACTCGAAAAAGCGTGCGGCTTTTTGCTCTAACGCGGGGTATAAGGGATTTATTCTCCCGCTTAGAAATCCACATGCATTCTGTTTTCTTCGTGGCGGGGTATAAGGGATTTACTCTCCCGCTGAGAAAAGTATTTCCCTCCAAGGCGGGATACATCGTATTTTATCAAGATCACGTGAACCAATCAGATCTCATCAATCTGACATGGAGGTATGATAATCAGTGTTATTAAAAGACAGTTTCCATAATGTATCATCCTTCAAGCATGTAAAGGTTTTCCACAAAGCCAAAGGAATAAGACGAAGCTTACTTTCACAGAGGTCGCCCCCATATCCTGCTGGACATGCGCACTGGCAGGTAGCAGTGTTCAGACCGCCGCCATTTTGACATGACTTTGTGCAAACTACAACCGAAATATTAATGATAAAAACTTGTTTAACAAAACTAAATGCAGAGGAAGTTAAAAACACAATGATCTTATCTTCTTTTCAAATTGTTGACAAGACATTTGATCAATTAATTTATCTGGCAAGGTAGATTGGCGGCAAAAAAGTCTTCACGGCATTACATTATCAGTGTCCTTCACGCTTTGGTATATTGGAAAGTATAATATCCTGGATTAGGTTTGATAACACTAAGGTAGACTGGTGATAACGGTAATTATTCATTTATTATTGGAGAATATTAATAATGTCTTACAACAACAAACAAACACAAAGCTTACTTTCACAGAGGTCGCCCCCATAGCCCGAAGGACATCCGCACTGGCAAGCATTAGAGTTGAGAGTGCCGCCATTTTGACACGATTTGGTGCAACCTAACACGGAAAAAAGGATGGACGTTATTCTTTGATTCATCGATGAAAAATAGCTGTAAAGACAAAAACTAGAAAAACATCATTTATACTACTTTCAGAGAGCAATATCGAGGGTTAGATTATAAATATATAAAACCTTTTATTTCCCCCCAAAAAATTGTATTTTTACAAGAGATTGTGTAAAGACATATCGTAATGTAACCATTTGTTAACAATATAGTTATTTTTATATAATTTTTAGGGCTTTTACGTCCGATATAGGGAACGGGTAGCCGTGTTGTGTTTGTTTCTACAATGTGCGTCCTGGCGTGAAGGACTGGATCCAGGATTCCCCCTGATTATTATTCTTTGTTTCCGAGCACCGACGTCCACACAACGTCGAGCTTTCCGCCCACATGTTCGAAGCGTCATTAAACCCAATTCCCGCCCACAACCGTCAACACCCTGTGTATACTTACCTCCCGGGGTGTCTGCAACAGAACAAAAAAGATTCAGGGTTTTATAATGTCATTATCAGTTTCTACAATAAAAAATAAATCAAATAGAAAGAAATATTCTTTTTGAACAGGTCATCAGGGCGAAATAATGTGGAGTATGAGCTTCCAACGGCAAACTGTTATGCTGGAGAGATATATTTGCCAGCCGTCTTCGTGCTTGATAAGTATCGTGACACTTTCAAGTCTAAGAATGATTTCTTTCCCAAAATACAAATATGTATAAACAGACAACACTTCATAACATAAAGTAATTGTGGTTATGCTCAGAAGTGTAAAATGTTACGGTAAAATGAACATTCTATAAAGAAATGCAAATGTAATGGTAAACTGCAGATGGTACCTACAAATACAATATGAAACTGAATAGAAATGTTTGTGCCTACACTTTATAAGAGAGACAAAACCCTGTCCATGGTTCCAGCGTTCCATAACCCTTTAATGCCTACACTTAAAACAAGTAAAGGTGTAGTGCTGCCTACAAATAGAACATGAAACTGTATACATCTACGTATGCCTACATTTAAACATGAAACAGTATAGTGCTGCTAATCCATACTTACTCTGGCAGAGGTCGCCACTGTAGCCAGTAGGACAATTGCACAGACACGGCAAGGAGTTGACGTTCCCACCATTTTGACACACCTTGGTGCAGGCTAAAATACAAATGAGAGTTTGAGTGAGTTGGGCGAAACGTCTCTTTGAATAACATTTCCATTATATCAAAGTGTGCAAGCTTTATGTGAGACGAACGCCTGAAGTGATGTCAGTCTTATACATTTATCACCTCGGGGACACCTACGAGCATGATGCTATGAAAGCTATAAACATAATTAGGTAAAATATGGGATTCGAACACACGATCATAAGTTTTTGGCACGTCAGGGACGCAACTATACACATCGAAATGCGACGCCTTACATAACAGGGCCACCCATGCCTTTCACATGGGAAGAGAGCTAAACATATTACAAACGACGATATTATCACATATCCAGCAATACACGTCACACGTGAAGTGTAAGACTCAAAGGCGGGTCTAGAGATAGTTCAGGGGGGTCGTCTACGACAATTATACACTCACTTGATGGGCAGCTGCCGCATGTGTAGGGGCAGCCGCTCTTATAGTTGTCGAATCGACAGTTTGTGGTACCGCTACAAAAGAATTCGTCACCTGCTGGACACTGGACTGAAAAATAGATGATACAACTTGTTTGAAGAGAATCTAAAAACAATTTTAGATTTAGTTATTTCTAAATATAACTTAACGACTTGTAATCATGCGATACACGACCAATGGCTTCTGACAAGACCTGTAATACTTCAACAATGGCTCATACTATGGGGAGACAATACTCACATGTTTCACAGTTTGGGCCGGAGAAACCACTAATACATTCGCATGTACATGTGGCAAGTTTCAATGTTCCGGAGTTGAGGCAGACTCTCCCCCCGCAATCTGAATGACAAGACAGACACTATCAGTAGTGTCCTCGACGTCTAATCAGCAGACAACTACTGGGATAATGTCAACAGACATCAGACAGTACAGGCAATATCAACTGTGTTCTACACGTCTTCATGTCAATACATACCAGAGAGTATCACTTGTGTTCTACTGGGATAATATAAACAGACACTTGACAATATTAATTGTGAATTACTTGGATAATATCAACAAACATCAGACAGTATTAATTGTGTTCTACCGGGATAATGGCAACATACACCAGACAACATCTATTGTGTTCTACTGGGATAATGTCAACAGACATCAGACAGTACAGGCAATATCAACTGTGTTCTACACGTCTTCATGTCAATACATACCAGACAGTATCACTTGTGTTCTACTGGCATAATATTAACAGACACTTGACAATATTAAATGTGAATTATTTGGATAATATCAACAAACACCAGACAATATTAATTGTGTTCTACCGGGATAATGTCAACAGATACCAGGCAACATCACTTGTGTTCTACTGGGATAATATCAACAAACACCAGGCAACATCACTTGTGTTCTACCGGGATAATATCAACAAACACCAGACAATATTAATTGTGTTCTACCGGGATAATATCAAAAGACACCAGACAACATCATTTGTGTTCTACTGGGATAATATCAACAAACATCAGAAAATAACACGTGTGTTCTACTGGGATCATATCAACAGACACCAGACAATATCACTTGTGTTCTACCGGGATAATATTAACAGAGACCAGGCAACATCACTTGTGTTCTACTGGGATCATATCAACAGACACCAGACAATATTACTTGTGCTACTGGTCTCCATGACAATACCAGACTATTGGTAATTATACCAGGCAACATCACTTGTCTTCTACCCTACTTCTTGTCAAAGCTATCAGACATCAGCAGTTTACTGTTTGGCCTCTTGACGATAGACAACATACACATTTTGTGGACGATTCAACTTTTTGTCAGACGATACTTGATACGATATATCCCTAATGTTCGACACAATCTTCCAAGAAAATACAAACAGTACATATGATATATAGTTCATAGAGCGATGGATATTTCCGTTTACCACATTGTGCGTTTTGCGCCTTTTGCATACAGTATTTAGGACATACATATCTATTCTTCAGCTGGCTAATGTAATAAAAAATCTCTATTTCTGCCGATTATAAAGCTGATTATTCCTAACTTTTTGACTAATAGTTTAATACTTTAGTCATGGGATAAAGAATGAATGTATGCAATCCAGTAGATATTGATTGTCTTCAGTGTTATGGCTGTTAGTATTATTGTTGTTATTATTATCATAACTATAACTAAACTCACCGCAGAGCCCCTCAGTTGATCGTTTTAAGCAGCCGATGCTACAGGTAGTTGTCGCATCACTAACTTTGCACCACGGCTTGCTTACCTCCGTACTTCTCTGTCTGAAATAATTATGTCAAATACGATGTGGGACACCGTAAGTCCATGGCCTTTCAATTTTTCTGAGGGAGGGGATGGTGTGGTACCTCTTTGTCCCCGAAAATGATTATGAAAAAGGTCTTTATTGATATTTTTGTCATATTTTCAAATTCACATATTGCAAAGTAGGAATATTACTGGATGACAGTCATCCAACTGCCACATTCTACATATCATATATATAGTAATTTCAATGTACATATAATTACTACCTAAGGCAAAAAAATATATTAATTATTCTGCATAGTGGTTATTCAATGGTTAAATGACAGTTTCTATTATACCAGTCTAAAGGTAAGAGGACATTAACAGTTTAAACATCTCTATTTTAAAATAAAAAAATGCAGCGTAGGCAAATCGTGAAACAAAACTTTCTTTAGCGCTCTGAATACATTTTGTAGTGTCATAATATCGAATAATTTCTCGTTTAATGCGTTCTATGCTTGGAATAAATTCTTCTCTTCAACATCAATAAATAATTTCTTTGACTAAAGAAATGATTACATTTACAGCATTATTGTTTTTGCCCAGTATAATCTAATATCACTCCTATCACACTCTAGGGACATAGTTGTAACAGTATGCAGGGACAAGATCTCTAGTTGAAATGAAGGGAGCAAAATATAACATTAAAGTTTATTTTATTGATGTCAGCATAACTATTAATTTGGAGGCATATTTGTAACCAATGGTTAAACAGTAACATCTATAACACGAGTTCAAATCCTAAGATGAATACTATGTTTTAAACCTTTGCCCTGTGTCCTCTTATTGGGTGGTTATTGCTAAAACAATATTCATTTGCTGCATAACCTTATACCCTAGATGACAAGGTTCTCGCGGTATATCACTAGTGCCGGTTCTCTAAGATTACAATCACGATATGTACAATATGAAATATTTTATTCTTATCTTTCATTATTTTGTAACTGGTCATTATTCACGATTTGAAAAAATTACTGATTGTTGTATTTAAATTTTCAAATTATTATGGAACTTACGATCTAACATAGTTGCAAACATAGTAATTTGCCCGATGTCCAGAGATTTCACACAATGCTTGACCGCACCCAATTCTAGCCAGGGCATCAATAGTCATCTGTAATACAATAACACATAAAGCTAATAATAATAATAATCATCATCATCATCAACATCATCATCATCATCATTGATTTGTAAAGCGCCTAATATCCAACAAGTGCTGCACACTTGCGCTGTTTGATAGTACGGCCCCGGTCAATGGATCAGTGTGCGCTCGCAATTTATTTCATCTCCCTGGGGAGTATACAACCCAAGCTGCCTGTGAGGTGCTAGAAGGTTAACAGTCACAGTACAATCTCATCCTACCGGGTACCAATTCACTGCTGGGTATAGAGAAGCATATTATGAACAAAGTCACTTGCCGAAGGAGACACCACATAGTCACATATTACCACAAGCGATGCACCTGCTAATTCAATACATCTAGTTGCTGGTCCTCTTACATTAGTCACCACAAGTGATGATTATCGGTGAAACACACTGACACTTTGATTAGTTTATCCTATTTGCATTCCATGAATAAGAATATAGACGCTATGCTTTCATTAGAACCCCCTGCATAGCAGATAAATTGAATACTGTAGAGTTGCGTATACAAACGGTCGAAGTCTTTGAATATGAGATCAACAAGTTATAAGGATTGGATGATTAACAACAAATACATCACTGTATCACTGTAGTGGTGTTCCACAAGTACCTGTGTGTCTTACCTGTGTATAGTGGCGAACTTCCTCGCCATTTACAGAACCGATGCCAAACTGGAAAAACTCGATTTCATCATACCAGGCTGCTATAGCCGTCAAGAAGCTGTCCTGTCCAAAGGCAATGTTCTGTCCAATTGGAATACCTGGAAGCCCTATGAACACAAACACATACGCAACCTATCATGGAAGTGTCATCGTATGCAGCGAGCTTACTGACATCATATTGGAATGCAACATACTATTCTAGTTTCATCATGAAACTTACTATTCTAGTTTCATTACCAAGCTTATAATTCTAGTTTTGTCAAGCAACTTAATATTCTAATTTCAATACGCAACTTTCTTTTCGAGTTTCATCATGCAACTTACTATTCTAGTTTCATTACACAACTTATCATTCTAGTTTCATCACGCAGCTTACTATTCTATTTTCATCTCGCAGCTTACTATTCTATTTTTATCACGCTACTTTCTATTCTAGTTCATCACGCAACTAACTATTCTATTTCATCATGCAACTTTCTATTCTAGTTCCATCATGCAACTTACTATTCTAGTTTCATCATGCAACTTACTATTCTAGTTTCATCATGCTACTTTCTGTGCATGACTCTCGAACATCTGTTTTGATTTCGTATCCACTCTTTCAGTACATAGACAATTGATGTTCGTGGCAACAGCACACAACCGATGGTCATTTGATAATCATTTGCCCTATTTACAAATTATATTAAAATACACCAAGGAAACTGATTTTTTCATTTTCCCTTTCATATTAATATAGTTAGTCTGTCATGCCTGGACAGATTAACTATAGAATTATGTAAGAATCAGCCATGACAGATTAACCTCAGTAATATGAAAGGATCGGCTGGTCATTAACGTATTTTGAGTGGTATATTAACTCTTGAGAGAAGGAGAGGAACCTACTTGGTACCCTTCTCAGTAGTTCTGTACTTTCGTGGCTGAGCGAGCATTGCCGTGCCCATTTAGCAGCAACTTCAGCAACATCGTCGTCCCATACCTGCAGATGAATACAGAGAACATAGTGTTACATTAAACTACGGTTATAACGAACACGCTTATAACGAACTGACGGCTATAACGAACTTACTTTTTTGGTCCCGACTATTTGCTGTAGTTATGCTTCATATATGCTTATAACGAACTACGGTTATAAGGAACTAAAATAAGTAGTCCCTTTGAGTTCGTTATAACCGTAGTTAACTGAAGTTTGAATTCACTTAATTCGATCGCCTTATGGGAGGGATTAATCAGTCGGGATTATCTGCGAAAGAGATACTGTTGGGCGTAACAGGCAAATTAGCGGTGAAAACTTTATGAATAGATCACTGGAAATCAGTGATGACACCAGGTGTTTGCAAATAGGGTGCGCATGCGCACGTAGCACCCTCCATTATCACTGTTGACATAGATAAGTAAATGTTTGTTTGTTGCCTAAACAAACAACGAATATACACATGTTCGCAGTGAAGATAAACATACAAATGGCATTGTGAGATTGTGATTCTACAAAGATGCTGATACATGATCCATTTTTATTAATAGGTGGACGATAGGTCACGTTATGGACAAAAACTTAATCCAGCGCTGGACAGCCCTTTGAAACGACACAAAAGTCGAGTCTTTTGATGACTCATTTAATTCGAACAGCACATAAGCAGACAGTAAACTAGCTAGAATATGTAACTATTTCATCAGATGTTTTGATTTTTGAACTGTAATATCTTAAGTTAGCGATATTATATCCAATAAACGAACTGTACTGACGCTTAGTCAGCATTCCAAAAAATACTTCTACAAATAATTTTAAAATATGATTTATTACTTTCAAAAATGAAAAAAAATACATTATTATCAATTGCTGATGGGAATCTTACGTGACATCTTATCTTTGAAAATCAATATATTTCCTTTTTTGAGGCACAAATGCACAACATTTACGACGTGGTAGAGCTATATGGTTGGAAAATCAGTTCTTACCCCAGTCTTCATTGAACCAATTAATTTTTCAGAAAATTACCCAGCCACAGATTACTTTTCACAAACTGTTGCAGACACGAGTAATGGCTTAAAAAACTATCATATTTAACAAGAGTTCTTCTAATTTAAAATACATAAAAAAATCGCGGTATACTTGTTTTGCCCCTTACCTCAGCTAAAACAATCACGACCAATACAGCTAAGTCTTGATTGAATATCAATTAAGACATCGCTGATTTATGGATTCCAACTTCCTCTTTTGCAGGTATTTATCGCTGGAATATTTGTTGTCTGTCATAGAGACAAAATATTAATGAGTGAGTTGGTACGGTTTTACGCCGCATTTAGCAATATGGCAAGCAATATCACGGCGGGGGACACCAGAAATGGGCTTCACACATTGTCTTCGGCGTGACTACCGAATGCTTTAATCACTAGGCAACCCGACCGCCCCGACAGAATATTAAGCGAGCTATTTGGTTTCGCCAATATTGCACAATCGCAACCATGTTATGGTGGCCGAGTATAATTGAAGAAGGTGTTAAGGTGTTATTCACTATGTGGTCAGGAAAATTCCAGCTATGTCAAGACGGATTATAAATAATGTCGTACAAATAATGTAAGACACAATCAACCAAGTCGCAGAGCCTCACCACCCCACCCCATTGTACGATGAGACACAGTCAACCCTGTCGCAGAGCCTCACCACACCACCCATTGTACGATGAAACACAGTCAACCCTGTCACAGAGCCTCACCACACCACCCATTGTACGATGAAACACAGTCAACCCTGTCACAGAGCCTCACCACACCACCCCAGTGTACGATGAAACACAGTCAACCCTGTCACAGAACCCAAACCACACCACACTATTGTACGATGAGACACAGTCAACCCTGTCACAGAACCTCACCACACCACCCCATTGTATGATGAGACTCAGTAAACCCTGTCACAGAACCAAACCACCACCCCATTGTACGATGAGACACAGTTACACCTGTCACGGAGCCTCCCTACACCACCCCATTGTACGATGAGACACAGTCAACTCTATCACAGAGCCTCACCACACCACACCATTGTACGATGAGACACAGTCAACCCTGTCACAGAACCTCACCACACCACCCCATTGTACGATGAGACACAGTCAACCCTGTCACAGAACCTCACCACACCACCCCATTATACGATGAGACACAGTCAACTTTATGACAGAGCCTCACCACACAACCCATTGTACGATGAGACACAGTCAACCCTGTCACAGAACCTCACCACGCCACACCATTGTACGATGAGACACAGTCAACCCTGTCACAGAGTCTCACCACACCACCCATTGTACGATGAGACACAGTCAACTCTGTCACCGAGCCTCACCACCCCATCACCATTGTATTCGTCTCTTACGACAAACATGAGGTATTGGCAACCAACTCCACCCAGAAAATCCCAACGGGTGTCTTGGTCATAGATGATTAAAAACAACCCTAACGGTCACCGAACTGAAAGGAACAACTATTCCTACAACAAGCACAGCGAGATCCGGGTCGTCTACAAAGAAGATCAGATGACAGGAGCTTCATATGTCCCACCATGAATAGACGACGCACAATGACCGTGTACAAGGACATAAAAATATCAATACCATGCGTTCACAATAATTGAGTGGGCGACGGTGGTGGGGGGGGGGGGGGGGGGGGGGGGGGGGCTGTTAGTCTTAAACTATTCAGTTACTGGGTCTACTTACAACATATTGCATGTTTGTCGCATCGGACGTGTCTCCTCGGTAAAAGTTATGTTTGTTGAGAATTTCCAGTTTGGCTTGCTCCGTCAACGTAACAGCAGTAACATCAGCGTTGTCGGTAAGACACATGGTGTGACCAGCGTCGATGGCAGTGAAAAGTGCACTACATGTCTAAAAGGATAAAATGATTAATTAGTCATTTATGAAACATCGTTCGCGAAGAATGCTTCGGAACATCAGAAATCACTAATTTCCAGGTAAAAGGTACCGATACAACAATTGCAATTAGAGTTTTTGAAATAAGACTGCCTATAGTCTGTTTGAGTTTTCAATAATATGATAACCACGAATCGTGAACATCACGAAAAATACACATTCATATTGATTAAAGTGAAAAAAGTAATTGTGATCAATCAAAAATACAGGTGAGAATGTTTGTTTGCTTATTATTTTTGCAATATTTCAGTCATGTGACGGCAGTCCTGTTGAGAATGACTAGATAGGCACAATGAGGTGGAGCTCATTTAAGATTTGATTTCCATATTTTTTGGCGTTTATAGACGTGAAAGCCGCTGTGCACAAAGCACAGATCCGGGTAACAGAGTGAGTGAGTGAGTGAGTTGGGTTTAACGCCGCTTTTAACATTATTCCAGTTATATCACGGCGTGTCAGCTTAATGTGGGAGGAAAGTGATGCAGGTCTCAGACGTTTACCACTTCGGTGAAACCCACGAGCACGGGTATGGTGCTGACAAACCTAGAAACATAATCGGGGCGAACTGGGACCGGGTAGCAGAGGAGGTAACTATTGTAACATAACAACCAAGCCAGACTTGTATACCTGTCTCTTCTGTCGCAGATGTCGGGTAACTGAAACCAAGATACGTATTTTTACAAACCTCGTCTCTATAAAGATCTATAAATATGTTGATGAAAAACATGTCAGTATGGGAATACGTTTAAGCACTAAATGACATACTGAATGCAGGAACGAAACAGGTAATTATTTAAGAAGTATAATTAAAAACGCACCTGGATGTACGTGACCTGGCTTGCCTCAATTATATAGGCAGACTGTTATTGTCTATTTGTTTGAAGATATTCGTACACGTTTAACGTGACGCATAATCATCAATTGAGAGATCGCTATGGTGTCTTGTACGAAAGTGTATGAACTGTACTGTGCTCTGATACATGCTGTCCCGATAAGGTTGAAATGAGGCCGGTGTGACGATAAATATTAATTCACTCAATCTTATACATGCAGAAAGGGAAATGTGAGATAGAGGTGTTGAGAAATGAGATTAAACGTCTCTTCCAAGGTTCAAGTACTTATTTAGCGACGTGTACGTGTGTGTGTATGTGTGTAAGTATGGGTGTGTGTACGTGTTAGTGGGTGTATGTGTTAGTGTGTGTGTGAGTGTGTATGAGTGTGTGTGTAAGTGTGTATGAATGTATATGAGTGTATGTGTGAGTGTGTGAGAGTGTGTATGTGTTAGTGCGTATGTTTATGTGTGTGTATTAGTGTGTGTATGTGTTAGTGTGTGTGCGTGTATGAGTGTGTGTGAGATGTGTGTGAGGGTGAGAGTGTGCATGAGTGTGTGTGTGAGTGTGTATGAATGTGTGTATGTGTTAGTGTGTGTGTGAGTGTGTGTGAGAGTGTGTGTGAGTGTGTATGAGTGTGTATATCTATGAGTGTGTGTGTGTGTGTGAGAGAGAGAGAGAGAGAGAGAGAGAGAGTGTGTGTGTGTGTGTGTGTGTGTGTGTGTGTGTGTGTGTGTGTGTGTGTGTGTGTGTGTGTGTGTGTGTGAGGGAAATACGTGAATTCTAACAAATGTTTGTCAAAAGCCTCAGCATACACATACGATTGCAGTAATTGCTTTATTAATCACAATTTGGGATCAGCTGTAGAGAAGATATATGTATTTTCTTCTCTGCTGACAATAGTTTCGAGTAACCTAAAATTATCAACAGGACAACACTTGGGACGTCATCAGCTACTATTACGTCATTCTGTCAACGACGTCTGTGTGACGTCAACAATGGAACAGGTTCTCATCAATACACATCTATGATTCGTATATCATTTTATAACTCTGTATCTTGAACCATATGAAAAACATGGCTGACTCCATTTTGTGAAATGTAGATAGACTTTAAATACTTTTTTTATTTTTTTATTATTCCATTTCATGTATACTGTTACAAGTGTAGGTATTAACATGTATATATATATGACAGTATTAACACAAGTTATAGTTTTCATAGGTGAGGACAGGCAGGTTGTGTAGGATATGTCGTCTTCTCAAACTGAGAGGGAGATTATAAATATTTGTTTACAAGAAATAGATGATTACTAATTAACAGGTAGTATGTTTCAACTGCTTCGTTAGTTTATGAGATGTATGTTTTGCCATTTCTGAGCATATTGGTTAAATTGGACTAATACTTCATACAATAATGTTTACTAGCCTTCCACGAGCACTTCAAGCGTGGCTACAAGTAAAGGTCGCAGTGGAGACCTGTCTATTATTGTCTGTCCTTTTGGAAAACGGGTAGAACGGGTTTCCCGTCAAAACTGCTCTTGACAACAAGATTATTCAGCAGTCATTAGAGTTCCCTAGAATAGATAAAGGCTGCATAACAATTAATTCAAACATTTGTAGAGACAAAAAATAAACCCCGACTGTTGCCCCATTATGACACATATCCCCAATATGACATATATTGTTTCTTAACATAGGAGGCAGCAGCACTAGCGTATACTGCATACCTTGTTTCTCCCCATAGGAGGCAGCAGCACTAGCGTATACCACATACTTTGTTTCTTCCGAAGGGGTTAATAGCACTAGCGTATACCACATACCTTGTTTCTTCTGTAGGAGGTAGCACCAATATCGTATACCACATACCTTGTTTCTCAACATAGGAGGCAGCAGCACTACCGTATACCACATACCTTGTTTCTCAACATAAGAGGCCGCAGCACTAGCATATACCACATACCTTGTTTCTAAATATAGGAGGCAGCAGCACTAGCGTATACCACATACCTTGTTTCTCCCCACAGGAGGCAGCAATCAAACACGGGAACACAATCCGAAATATAAATCCAGAGAGATCCATCTGTCTAGATTCCGGTATGTTTACGAACTATGTTCCAAGTACACAGCTATACCACACAGCTAAACCACACATGTCAAGTATAAGACACACGTACGGCGCCCTGTTCTCAGTTTAAGAGCAACTGGCAAACTTCATACATTGTGGTACGTAGCCCATTGACTTCCAGATCAAATTGAATACATATCGCACCCTTTCATCTTTGTATTCTGCGGACTAGAATGGGTTGAAAAGAATCGGGGCATGGTTTAAATATATATTGTATACAGCTCGGCAAGCACGAATTTGCCTTCCTGCACACGCGTAAAGGATACACAATGAACGCTTGACTGGCAAATGCGAATGGTGTTTGTCATAAAGCGGTTGACGAACAGTCTTGGTGGTTTTGTATAAGCACAAAATGATACCCGGATCACACGCTTCATGTATGCTTCATCCTGTTGCGTTGTCACCTCCACGACAGTTACGTATATAGATTCTCTATGTACGTATGTGAGTGAGGTGTGTTTTACGCCGCGTTCCAGTATATCATGACGTGTCAACTCCATGTGGGAGGAGTCCGAAGGCATATTGAAAAGCCTGGGTCCCGTTGCACAATGCGATCTTAGCACTAACACGATCGTAACTCACATACAGTAAACTACGGTTATAACGAACTCAAAGGGACCACTAATTTTAGTTCGTTATAACCGTAGTTCGTTATAAGCATATATGCAACATACATACAAGTGGCCGGGACTAAAAATAAGTTCGTTATATCGGTCATTTCGTTATAAGTGTGTTCGTCATAACCGTAGTTTACTATACTTTAACATAGACTTACGATAGGCGTAGCCCTAAGGTCGCTTTGTGCAACGGTGCCCTGGCAGTAAACGTTACCCAAATTGATGAAACTTGCGAGCTCGGGTACGCCACGGAACAACTTATTACCATTTCTGTATTTACAAACGGAAAGACATGTCTTTCCATCCCACTAATTCACGGAAACTAGACATTATTCAAACCAGTGAAAACCGCCTCATCTGTTTCACAATAATGTACGTGTAAAGATCCATAATGACTAAAATATGAAGTGGGGAGACCTCCCAATAGTCAACTTTTCCATCATGCCGAGCAATAGTCCTGCAGCTCAAGCCCTTGGTGTCTACAATTCACAACTTTTAAAATACAATCTAGCACGCTTGTTCTACCATGAATTGAAAGAGTGTCATATGACTCTTGCTCAAAGATATTTGATAAGGGTTACAACACTCAAAGCCTCAGTTTAGCTTGATAAATGTCAGATGCAATTCTGCATTTTGATTTGTTACATGTGTGATCGGGTTTTATGAGGTAAACAGTTGACTTGCCTTTGCATGTGTTTGTGACGGATACCCCCGGGGGTGGGGTGGGGGGTGGGGGGGTGGGGGGGGGGGGGGGTGGGGGGTGTAGATTTGTGTAGAATATAGGTCTGTGGATGTATAGTAATAAGGCTAAACATCTACCATCCAATTGATTGCCAATTTAAACAAACAAAAAACACAAACAAACAAATGGTTCCTGTTTATGCAAACTGTGACAGTGGCGGTGCTACCGGTAGAGCAGGACATCCCTACCCTTTAGCGAACTGGTGTCATCACTGATTTTCCGTAATCCTTTCATATAGTTTTTACCGCCATTTTCCTTAATATAATTAATCTAAAGCGTTGACTTTATATATTTACTTAAATATCAAATGTCAGCCGAAAACAAGATTATCTTCACATCTCCTCAAAACCTTTCTGGAGGGTTTACTTCATACGATTTCCTTCGACTGTGGTATGTGCATAAATTATACGAAAACCGACAGTCTGAATATTACATAGAATATGAATATTATGTACAATGTCCCACACATAAATAACAGTTTATGGGCAGGACTAGGCAAACATACGAGCCCTGAAGTGATTAACATGAATGGATTCACTGAGTCGGTAAACAAACTATATACCTAAGCACCAATGTCCATCTCCAAACACAGAAAGTGTCAATACTTTCGCTACCGTGAGTAATATTCTTTCTACAATGGAATCGTGATCGTAAGAGGAATATTTAGACTGTGAGAGATATGTTATGAAATGGTATCGATAAAGGCTGACATGGCCGTGGGGATCACTACTGATTTGACATGAATCATAATGAAACACGTCGACATACTCAGACCATTTCTGTGGATTTTTGCACTGGTTCGAAAGTTCACCAACACAATAGCGCCCCGTCTGCCCTAGAAGGTAATGGGTTTCTACGCAGATCTTAGCTTGCTGGGATTTCCCAATTTATGGCTATCGCCATAATGAACCCCTCATGCCAAGAACGCCATCTTCATAAAGCCTTGACCGGTTCTGACAAAGAAGGATCATATAGTTCAGCAAATGAATATGTACACTTGCGCCGGAGAGGGGAATATCCCTTTTACTACATAGCAAACACAATACCATGGGAATCTGTGTATGTAGTATATTGCTTACGCCGGCGTGTCGGCGACCGATGAATAGTCAGACTGTTAATCCTTGAGTCACGTCGTCGAGTGACACGTCAAACATGAACGTCGGGACAATCTGCTAAAGAAGACTGACCTTCTCTCTCTCTCTTTTACCGTGTTAACTACGGCAACGACTGACCTAATCTCTCTCTCTTTTACCGTGTTAACTACGGCAAAGACTGACCTTATCTCTCTCTCTTTTACCGTGTTAACTACGGCAACGACTGACCTTCTCTCTCTCTCTTTTACCGTGTTAACTACGGCAACGACTGACCTTCTCTCTCTCTCTTTTACCGTGTTAACTACGGCAACGACTGACCTTCTCTCTCTCTTTTACCGTGTTAACTACGGCAACGACTGACCTTCTCTCTCTCTCTTTTACCGTGTTAACTACGGCAAAGACTGACCTTCTCTCTCTCTCTTTTACCGTGTTAACTACGGCAACGACTGACCTCGCAACGGCTGACAACGAAAGACAGACCTCGCACTCATCCCACTCTCTATCCATAACTGTTGAAAGTGCTGCACGTTTATCGACTGTGCTGCCAGATTCGTACACATTGAATACGGTAACAATGAATTCCATAAAGAGTAGATTTTTTGTTGTTGATTTTTTATTTGTTGTTTAACGCCAAACTCAGCTATATTCCAGCTATATGACGGCGGTCTGTAAAATAATCGAGTCTGGACCAGACAATCCAGTGATTGACATTATGAGCATCGACCCACGCAATTGGGATGGATGCCATGCATCAACCAAGTCAGAGAGCCTGACCACCCGATCCCGTTAGTCGCCTTTTACGACAAGCATAGTCGCCTTTTACGGTATGTAAGGGTTGCTGAAGACCTATTCTACCCCGGAATCTTCACGGGTAACAGATTTCTGGTGATTATATTAAGTAAAGATACTCGTCTAGAGACGGTTTTGTCACCAACCGATCAAGCGTTAAGTGATGCAGAATAATAACAAAAACGTGGGTGTGTGGGTGTGACACTGTGCTGAAAGGAATTATGTATTCTTTATTACGCAAGAGGGGTGGCTGGTCTTCAGTTTCGTTAGCCGAGTAACGACAGCAGAAGAATAAGATAAGACGTAACAGGATCACTTTGTAAGCGTCCCACATCCGTGTCAAACGACGGTCAACTGAATGCTGACAAAAGTCACGATCTGACAAACACACAGTAAAAAAAGCCTTTATTAAATCTGTGATCTTATCTTAATTCTGGAAAGAAAAGGGGCGGTCGGGTATCCTAGTGGTTAAAACGTTCGCTTGCACGCCGAAGACCCGGATTCGATTCCCGACATGGGTACAATGTGTGAAGCTCATTTCTGGTGTCCCCCACCGTGATATTGCTGGAGTTTTGATAAAAGCGGCGTTAAACTATATTCAATCACTGTAAAGAAAACATAAAGGTGTGGAAGCATTTCCCGGGTTTTAAAATCTATTTACAGTAAACTACGGTTATAACGAACTCAAGGAGACTACTAATTTTAGTTCGTTAAAACCGTAGTTCGTTATAAGTACATATATAGCATGACTACAGCAAGTAGTCGGGGCCAAAAAGTAAGTTCGTTATATCCGTCAGTTTGTTATAAGCGTGTTCGTTATAACCGTAGTTTACTGTATATACAAAGACTTGCCAATAAAGAGATGAGGAGAACCAAAGTGGATCAACATATTGCCTTCTATCAATGCCCAAGGGATTAAAGATGATCATTAACGTACAACTTTCTCATCGTCACGGGAGCATTAACCGTGAGTGAGTGAGTTGGGTTTAACATCGCTTTTTACAGTATTTATCACGGCGTGTCAGCCTGCTGTGTGAGGAAATCCCGTAGTGAGGCAGGTCCCAGGTGTAACAAGCACGGGTAACGGGCATGGTGCTCACAAATCTGGAACAGGAATTCGAGCACTTGTTTCTGGTGTGTTCAAGGAACGCAACGCTGCACAGGGAAGTGCGGCGCTTTAGACAACTTGTTGGCCACCGTGCGCTCCTCCCAGCCCCACCCCTCAACTAACCGTGAGCACAGCCTACTTAATTGAGTCTTTCAATTGCCGTGTGTTTGAGTGGAGATGAACCCCGCTTTGAAACAGTAATATGAGAGGAGAGTTCATAGTGACGACTGGGTCGTAAGTTTGAACAGGTGAGGGTGGTTTAACCTCACTATGCCCTCACTCCAAATGCTGTTATGGTGGATAGTAGGGGATTAAGAGACACAAATCGCTTGATCGCTTGGTATAGTCTGTGTTATTAAAGTGAACCCCCTTCTGAGGGTGAACTCTGTTCAATTAGTGTCCAACTGTTATTTGATGATAATTGGTGAACAGTTTTCTCATGTACATGATTAAATGCATATGGAAGATTAAACTTATATATGAGTGATTGATGTCAATCTTGGCTGTACATAATGTTGATATCTCATATAAGAAATAAACAACTCGTGGTTGTTGTTTATCGTACAATAAAAGACTGCAGGGAGAATAAACCCCTCGCGGCTGTGCCCCTTATGGTTTATTTTCCCTGCAGTCTTTTATTGTACGATAAGCAACTCCCACTCGTCGTTTATTTCTCAAATCAAATAATGAAGACACACGGTGTTCGTGAAAAGGCGAGCGTGTCCTCTTCCACAACAGACACCCGTCACAAGCACAATGTCATGCAGTGGTCAGTCAATAGTGCATCTAAAAATGCCACGGTAACATATGGTACAAGTGGATAACATTTTCGTCCCTGGTGCGTCCCATTTGGACATTTTCTTCACATGTCGAAAATAAAGACAATTAAAAGCTTTGCTGATGCATTGAATGATCAAACAACTTTACAGCAAGAGCTGTATGACGCTCATTGAGCCCCAAGGAAGGGCATGCTTGATGGTACATGTACCTCAAAACGCTTTAACGTCTTTAACCATGTACTTACCGATATTGTTATATGGCAGTGCATTTTATTGTTTAACAGTGATTGTAACTGTGTTACATTGTTTTTGGTTGAGATTCGGTAGACGCTCATTGCATTGTATTTGGACAGTGACCAGTCGTCAGGAAATTACTATATTTAGATGCTTGTGTAAACTTCCGGTCCGGTATACCGCGGACGGTGATAGTATGTTATGGGAATGACTTTTATGTTCTAGTCCCGATGGATTGGGGAGGGCACTGTGTGGAACATTCCAGTGGCTGCGTAGGTTGTAAATAAGGGGACAATAGCGTGCTAACGGATCTCGCACTCATTTAATCGCTTCGGTACCAGCTTTCATGTGAGGATCGCTCATTATCCCTGATTCCCTGCCTAGCCCATCTGGGAAGCTTGACCACTGTCGCCGCCGGGTGAATATACATTAATATCACTGACTTTCGCTTTCACCACTATTTTTGTGTATTGATACTGACCACTGCTATCATATTATTTATTTCCATTGAATATTGTACTACGACTCTAATGTGCAACGCAGTAATTTGTATTGTGTAATACCGTGTATATGTGTAAACCTTGTTAATTTTTGTAATACATTTATTGATTGTAAACCGCTTGCTGGTTGTTTGTTGGTTTCACACTGGGTTCTTAACGCACAGATTTCTGGGTTAACATATTGTTTCAATTTGAGAATCGACACCTAATAATATCTAATTCGAAACAATCGAGTACCAGTCAAGAACAGTCGACAATTAAAATGGTTCCCTAAATGCCAGTCATCTGGCTAAAATATTGAAGTAGTTTGAAAAAATAAATCAACCCATATTTTCTCCAAGTTGAAAAGATAGTTGTCTCTCCCAGTTGAAACACTACCATCTTACAAGAGGTATGCATGTCAGAAGTCCTTGAAACAAGTAAAAGATGGAATCGACAAAGAACCTTAACTCACGAAGCGCTAAAAAATAACAGTAATGGTAACAGGTCTTTGCTAACTAGTATTTTGGGTGAGGCGGAGTTTGTTCTTGTTACAATAATACAGTGAACCTAAAATGACAAACGACGAATTCTTTGAATATTTTTTTAATGTTATCTCGACAAATACACTCAACATGTACACCAGATACATTTACAGTATGTACAAAATTGTAAATTAATTCCATATTACGCTCTCATTTACTGATTTATCAGTTGTGTTTTAATTAATGTTTTTTAGTAGTTCAGTCCAATTACATTGTGTCGTTTTAATACAGGAGGAAAGTCCTCAGGAGATCCAGTTCGGTGATATTTACCACTTCGGTAAACCCTCCGTTAAGAACTGATACAAAGAGGAAGATATCGGCTTGATTCAGCCATTTGAACTCCAGATGAGACACCTTGACACTGCCGTCTTACTACTTAGCTGTCCTTAAATTCCATATGTGTTGTGGACAAATCGAAAAAAGGTTGTATTGAAGGTAGTTATAGTCGATGGTAGCATCCTCTGCATCAATCTCATATGGTGGTTTCAGCTGCTTCAGATGAGGTTTCCAGGAACACATTTGTATATCGACACCTGCAATAAAGAATTAATATGTAATACGTGTGAAACATCCTTAAAAAAACGGATAGATAGTGTATGGTATAAAATTAAATCAGTGTGACAAAACACTCTCCGTATTATGAAGAAATTCTGAAAGAGTCCATTTAACAATTCCGACAATATCAAAACTACTACCAGCATCTCCCAGATGCTAATATCTATAGAAGAGTACCTCTTTTTCAGTCATTGTCTGTAGGCATTTTAAAATAATTTTTTTTATTTGTAGAGTTACAGGTTACAAAATGCAAAGTCATGGTTATTACAATATGCAAAGGATGTATGGCAATACATTTTGTGAAGAAACACGATAGTATTCTACAAAGAGCTAATAGCTGAAATGTATATACTAATGCATATAACAATGAATTTGGACCTATACATTGAGGCATTATTGTCTCCCCACTGGAACTAAAGGTTCCAAGCCAAAAATTCAATCTTTCTGATTTTGCGATTTTGTTTGCTGAGTGACAATTTAATGTCCCACGATATTCAATCAAATCCAATAATGCGGGAATTTTGGGAATTACTGATCATTCAAAGTGTCGATAAGATGTTTATTTCATGCTCTTTCCAAGCATCTATCTTTACATCTACAGCAGAGGTGGGCATGGTATATATATACATATATATATATATATATATATATATATATATATATATATATATATATATACCATCAATATACCTACAGTATCTATGAACCTACCATGCCAACATGTACAATGCCCATAAATATACCATCATTATATCGACAGTAAATATGAACGTCTTCAGTGTCTAAGAAGTTAGGAATAGCTTGTTTTAATCTAATACATTATCTATGAACGGGTCTATCTACCTACCATGTCTACGTCGCCAACAAAGGCTGTACTCGAGGTCCCATCAGATCCTATAGTGAGACCACACGCCATGATGCTCACGTCAGGGGCTGAAAAGTGGGAAATGAATAATTTTGAAATCCCAAATTATATCGGAGGAATGGGAATTTTAAAAGCCTACAACAAAGCATGCATACGTATATTTCAACAGAAATATAAATCCAAAACGCCAACCCCAGAGAATTTTAAGTCTCGATTATCTTCCGAAACGGATTCCATTACTAATGAAAGGCAAAATAGTGAGGAAAATTATATGAATGGATCACTGAAACTTAGTGTTTGTTTGTTTGTTTGTTTCTTGTTTAACGCCGCACTCAGCAATATTCCAGCTATATGACGGTGGTCTGTAAATAATCGAGTCTGGACCAAACAATCCAGTAATTGACATCATGAGCATCGATCCGCGCAATTGGGATCGATGACATGCATCAACCAAGTCAGCGAGCCTGACCACCCGATCCCTTAGTCGCCTTTTACGACAAGCATAGTCACCTTTTACGACAAGCATGGGTTGCTGAAGACCTATTCTACCCCGGAATCTTCACGGGTCTGATGACACCAGAGTCAGCATGTACTGCTCTACGGGTGGCCGTTCATAATATCTGAAATTGATATAAAACCAAGATATATCCAATGACTGGACTTCCCATGCAACTGTGAAATGTATTTGACGTTGTCGCTCTCAATCACACCGATCAGATAGTTGTCTTTATACAGCACACTCACTGTCTTCAGCTGGCTTCTAGGAATGCCCTAATCGGGAAAACACGTTTTGATATATTACTACAGTAGTGAGAGTGGTGTGACAATGGCCCTTTATGGCACATAGGATCTGCATAATCTAAAACAATAGCAACACTCAAAGAAAGTATGATCGTATGAATTAGAACTAGATGTTGCTGGTTAAGACACAGGCATGTTTTGGATTTATAACAACCAACACTAAATGCATTTGGTAACGTTAAAATGTATCGCAAAGGCTGATGTTTAAAGTTTGGAAGGAAGCAGGTTTGAAAACTTGAACAAAAGCAAATTCGATTATCCTAGGAGCTGTAGATAAGGAGAGTACAAACATAACGTAATGAAATCATCTTGGTCACGCTCATGCTCAAAATAGAATATCTCCTGAATTTGGAAACATAGGTCTTATCGCTCATTCAAGCCATTCGTGTGTACTTGGACCAGAAAGCGAAGACTAGCAAAGTGTAAGACACGAAAAGAGGCTACTTATCACTAATTGAACATGCGTCATAATATTCATTACAAGTTTTTTTGCAAATGTAAAATTTGACTTGCCAGTGGGACAAAGCTGCCCCTTACCTCCTGTGTCCTTCGGCTTCAAAGTGGTTTTGAACATTATTTTAAGTTATATCATGACGTTTCATCTTGAGAGGAAAGAGTCGTTATTGTGTATGGAGCTGGTAGACGATATGTAAGTGGATACGGGCGCGTTTACGGAATGGAAGCCAGTTATTATTCAGTTGTGCCTTACCTGTGTTGACATGAACATCCTGGAGACGTGTCCGTACCACGACACTGTTTCAAACTGTATGCCGGCATCATCAGCTACGACGAGTAAGGTGTTGCCTTCTTTACAATCACTGCTGCTTGCAAGAACTCGACGTCCAGTAACAGCTGCTGATTCCCGGAATGTCAGCTTCAGAACAGGACACTCGGTCGATTTTACCTTGACGTCGAGATTCATGAGACTGTTCTGGAGGAAGCGAGCCATGCTACCAGATACGACAACGTTGCTCACATTCAACCAAGAGGGTATTGCTGTTGAAGTGAAGCTTTCTTCATTACTTGCAACGCAGGTGTCTGAAATATGCGTGGTTGGACCAATCATACATGAAGACTAAATATTGCAATGGGAACAAACATGATCGAAAAGTCTCATTATGACAAAGACAAATACCTGATTCACGGCACAGAGCGTGCTATACATGGCCATACCTTTGAGATTGACAAAATGAAGAAAATGGGTGTATTTGATTTTATCACTGTTAATACACATTTCATGAATATCCTATTTTTTTTCACCCTCAGTGTACGTACATATCAGGCATAGGATTGCTCTTTCTGATATTTTTAATTCTCTTTACATACGAAGACATAAGCCAAAACCAAACAGCAGATTTTAGTGTTGAGACTATCACTATGACAGTATGGTACTGAGAACAGGGTGGAATTGTGTACCTTGAGCTGTCTCAACACAACCGCAATCCAGAAGGTCGAATGCTGTTCTCGATGCACACGTGGCCTGTTGCCATCCAAGGTTGCCGACGAAGAAGTTATATTCTGTCGCATTGTTCCAACTCTGCCGCTTATCACATACCTCTGTAAAAATCGTACTCAAATGTCAATGTTCCCGAAAACGTGCGCTAAAATAGTCAAGTATATATAAACCATTTGATCTTCCAAACGACCAATTGGGTAATGACTTACTGAATAACATAACATAATGAATGACGTTAAATGTTTTTGTAAATAAACAATGTCCGCTTCTAACGGACAATGCCAATATTTCTTCACATCGCGGCCTCACAAGTGAATTTTTTTTCTAAGATGCTAAAATGCAATATAATGAAAACTGGTGTTGGTAATGCTTCTACTGATGCCTCTGTGTACAGTGGGTGTTGTGACTGTATGAAAGAACATTTGCAGCCATACAAGCAAACACTACAACATGTCAATATTTTGTCCAATGTAGGACTAATTTATGGACCCCAACTTCGGAGTTTGGGAGTATATGCTTATTCCTTCATCAGGTGAATGATTAAGGAGTAGGCATATACTCCCAAACGTTGTGTTCCTCACAATAAAGAAGTTGACATCCATAAATTCTCTTCTTTATGTGTAACACTTCTAAATGCCTTTGGAAGACTTAACAGGACTACTTGACGAGGAAACCCTTGAAGATTCCGGGGTAGAATAGGTCTTCAGCACCCCATACTTGCCGTAAAAGGCGACTATGCTTGTCGTAAAAGGCGAATAACGGGATCGGGTGGTCAGGCTCGCTGACTTGGTTGATACATGTCATCCATCCCAATTACGTGGATCGATGCTCATGCTGTCAATCACTGGATTGTCTGGTCCAGACTCGATTATTTTACAGACCGCCGTCATATAGCTGTATAGCATATGCGGCGTTAAACAACAAAAAAACAAACAAACATGTTTATTCTATAAAGAAGAGTATTTTCTGTTCATATTGTCTAACAATGTATCCGTAGTCGTACATTGATAACTGTTCTTCCCCATTTGTACCACGCCTTACCTCGAGCAATGTAGGGAGTTGGACACACATCCTCACAGTAGAAGTTAGCACGACAGCCTTCATCTGCAGTGAAACTGAACCCCTTGGGACAACATCTGGCCTCAGTCCTGTTCTGGCCACACTTCCAGTATGACCTGCAACTTCCCTCCATCTTGTAATTTGCCTTACACGCACCTGTGCACTTCTCTGAAAATGAATCAGAGGTATGCTGATCAATTGTTATCCCTCTGGGTTTCTAATCCTTCTTCTGGGTGTGCATACATAAGGGACAAAACGTTTCCATGATTATATGAAACATGTGGTACAAGTCAAGAAAGGAGCTTGCATCAACATGTTGGTCACTGTTGCTTCAAATTTGGAAATGGCTGAAACCCTCGACATGAAACCATAAAACCGTTTAAAAGCTTTATAGTGGACTCTGCGTCTAGCAAAGATTTCTTATGACCATGGAAGGAGTTTTGTCACGTATATTAACCTACAGAAATGACAAATAAAACATAAACCCATTATTAAAGAGTAAGAGTTTTTTATGTCTCGGTTTCATATATATCTTTCGTGGATGAGCTTATGATGAAACTCAGTGACTTCAGTCCACCAACTGAAACATCAACACAGTTCAAGTAAAAATAAAACGTCAATGCAAGAGGATAACCAGCCTAGATTTTCTGTCGGATATCAGCAGAAACAGATTCCACCTGGCATAAAGGGCTAACTAGCTTAGAAAATGATATAAATGGACTACTAAAAATTAGTGATTACACATCATTTACCCCGATAATAACACATGTTAATAATCCATGAACTATACAGGATATACTTTACAACTACAGTGGTAACATTGGCCTATACATTACCCAGAGGACAGGAAACCTTCCAGGATACAACACATCTGAAGGTAACTTGGTTCCAGTAGTAGCCAAAGGGACAGCTTCTGTAGACACCGAGGACGTTACCACTGGGGTTGTAGAAGCACATAATGTACTTGTCACAGTCAGTGGGATGGTAACGGTAGCCGACTTCCGACCTCCTCACAACATCGTTGCAAATCCCCGAACCTGTCATCAAAGTTGCAATGGCTATAGGCATAGTTAAATCATACATACTGGTTTCGCAACAAATATTATCGGACAATGTGCCTTGGTCAAGAGTCCCCTTGGTCAAGTTGTCCATTCTACGTTTCCAACTCTACCATTAGCGTGTGCTTATGAATCACTACCAAATATTTATTATATCAGGTGTGAAGAATAAGTTATACATGTATGAAGTAAACTGCTGGGCAAAAGAAAAAGTTTGACAGTGGCTAAAATGAAACAAACAAGAAATGGTTTTTCGATGGAGATGTACATGTATTTGATACGGGTATCATAGTTGTGTTTTGGGACTTGCGTTTGAAGTGTTTTGGAGACCGTATTCAGTCTAGTCACATTTATATAACGCTTGTAAGCGTTTGGTCAAATCCAATTTGCAAGTTTATACCTTCCTTTTCCCAGCAGTTATTCAGACAGAGTCTGTAAGAGCAAACTAATTGACATGTTATTATTGGGTTCCACCCATCAATGTGAAGAGGCACTACATTACTACAAGCGCGAGCGCCCTCGGAAAGCTGACAGAACGAATCAGATTTGCGCTTCTGAGTGAATTGCGACCTTTAGAGTGACAGCCAGATTTAATAAGCATCATCGTTGAGGATTTCATTTTTGGGCAAACACTTATGGTTCTCTCCCAGAATTGAAGTTTGAATTCAGCTCAACGCCTGCATGTTTTGTATTCTTCACCACTGGCTACTCCTTTCTATGTAATTGTATGTGACATGGGACATCTCTTGATGCAAGGAATGGCATCACTCAGCTCTTGGATGGGGAAAAGGTGAACCGTAGAGTATTTATTTATAGTTGGCAAATTATCGAGGAGACCAAATGCAGTTTGGCAGAGAGCACATCGCTTTGTTTAACACCTCTCTCAAGGTTGAATCGATGAGACTGGGTGTTGTTGGCCAATCAGTGTTTCCATTCAGAGTAAGTGTTCCTACCCTCCATGTTGCGGTAGGTTGGTTGGTTGGTTGGTTTGTTGTTTAACGCCGCACTCAGCAATATTGCAGCTATATGACGGCGGTCTGTAAATCGTTCTGTGGGTTTCTAGAATGCAACTGGCACCAAATGATTTGCTGCTGTCTAGGAAAACCACCTTCTGTGTGTTTCCCCTCTTAGTAGTGTTGAACTGTTTCTTGGAGTATCAAGGAAGCATGGAGAGATGAAAGGCCTTTCTGAACTCCGCATTGGTGTGGATCCGGAAAGTATTTGCAGTTACTAAATGCTGGAACTCTTCTGCATAGTACCATTTCATAAGTAACATTACTTTATAATATATCCAGTGGTCAAGATTCGGTTGAACAACTCTGATTGGTACATGTAGAACCCGCCATACTTCAAATGTTCGTAATACAAGCCATGAAGTCCTGCAGCCTTGTCTCCCAGGGGTGTGAGGTGAGGTGAAATGGGGTTTAACGTCGCGTCCAAGATTGTTGCACTTATATAGCGACGTGCATGTACGTGTGTGTGTTTGTGTGGCTGCTTGTACTAGTCCGGACTGATCATGCCGATTTATAGTGCTAGCTCACTGAGATACCATGCCGCAGTTTAACATGAATACCCCACTCAGACACAGTATACTGACTCCGAGCCGACCAGTCCTTGTTTTAGCCCCTTAATGCCGAGCGCCAGACAGGGTACCAACAAGTACCATCTTTTAACGTCTTTTGGTATGACGCGGTCGGGGATCGAACCCCGGACCTTCCGCTCTCCGGGCGGACGCTCTACCTCTAGACCACGGAGGCGGTCTGTCTTTCAGGGAATTGCACAAGGCTTCGGACTCTTTGCTGGAGGTGAGTAGGTCGTGTACATCGTGATCATGGGATCGTTGATCGTCTTACCGCATATGGTCAGCCATAGCATTGCAGATCTCTTTAGGGTCCATTGTCAGTTTATCACCCATGAGGATTGATGTAATGTAACACTGACCAGAAACCTTCTGATAAAACATCATAGAGTTACTAGAGGTTACTGAAGTGAACGTTTTAAAAGTCTTTTGCAGACTTGACAAGGATTCACTGTGTTGTGGAAGGGACTTTGTTATGTTTGTACATTATTCCCATCGGGGGCATGGGGGGCCCAGTCGTCAAAGACACCGCATTTAGCTGTGCAGAGTTGTGTTCCTTGGGCACGCCAGAAACCTATGGCTGTGGGTTCGAATCCCGGTTCTCCCCAATTATTTTTCTTTGTCAGCACCATACCCGTGCTCGTGGGTTTCACCGAAGTGGTAAACGTCAAAGACCTGCATCACCTCGGGCTTTCCTCCCACATTAAGCTGACACGCCGCGATATGACTGGAATACTGTTAAAAGCGGCGTTAAACACAACTCACTCACTCACTCACATTATGCCCATATATCGCTAGTACTTCACGGGTATACACAGATTTCCTCCATCACACGCAAATACATACAATCATGTCACTGAAACATATTAGTACATATTATTGTTTGCACCTTATGCCCATCGTCAGTTCTTCAGGTAAACACGAAGTCCGTCCATCACCCGTGAATTCATACAATCATATCACTGCCTGTTTCCAACCTGAGAGAAGTACTCAGACAAAAGAACGCTCAGTGTACATCGCACAAACGGCACTATTCCTCATGCAGCACGTGCTACAGCCTCACACATTGCTTCAATGTCAGGCAATGGTAGAGTCACGCAAAACCCACGGAATAGGGCTTATTTGACTTCCGTTAGTCATACACGGCCCCTCTATTGCTTTACTATGTAATCATGTGTATTCACGGTTGATTGGGAGATGTTGTCTGTACAAACCCTTGAAGTACTGACGATGATAATGTAACAGTTTGTGTTTCAGTAGATTTTAGAGAATACCTGGACAAGGGTTTATTTCACACAGGGTCTGTTTCTCCTCCTGGGTGTCCCCGGTACAGGGGGCGCCATTATTCTGGGGGATGGGGCTGTCACAGGCCCGTGCCCTCGTGGCGGTTGTCATGATGTTAGAACCACATGTTTGACTGCACTGGGCTAGGTTCCACTGGCTCCACTCGCTGAACCCTCCGTTAACTGCGACACGAAAACATGCCTGTTTAACGCGACAATATTATAATCTTACCAGGAACCGGATTAAACAATACAGCGAAACCTCGTTAACTTTTAGGGGGCACGGGTGGCCCAGTCGTCTAAGGCGCCGCGATTCGCTGTGCAGAGTTGCGTCCCCTGGACACCCCAGAAACCTATGATTGTGGGTTCGAATCCCGGTTCGCCCCGATTATGTTTCTAGGTTTGTCAGCACCATACCTGTGCTCGTGGGTTTCACCGAAGTGGTAAACGTCCGAGACCTGCATCACTTCAGGCTTTCCTCCCACATTAAGCTGACACGCCGTGATATAACTGGAATACCGTTAAAAGCGGCGTTAAACCAAACTCACTCACTCACTCACCTTAACGTATACTGAACAACAAAAGTTAACTCTCACATAATCCTTCAAGACTATGTCACTTTAGCCTCATAAACGATGCTTTCAAGATTATTACACTTATATAGCGAAGTGCATGCACGAGTGTGAGGCTATTACTACTTGTCGAGACTAATACCGATATTATTGTTCTACCCTAGTGAGATGATAAATGTGTCTCCGAATCTCCTATCATCAGCTGACCTTTTACCGTGGTCTAGATAGATTGTTTGCCTGGGGAGCGGAAGGTCGGGGTTCAAAAACCAAATATTGTAACGAACTGATTCCGGTCGACTTCGTGGTATGGGGAGGAGGTTGTATATCTTACTTGGACAGGGACCCCGCACGCAGACCCGTGAAACTGTCTCGGTCAGTGGATCTTGGCAGATCTGTCCGCCGTATCGAGGCGCAGGGTTGTTGCAAAGGCGGGAACGTGTTAACGTTATCGTGCCGTCCCCGCAGGTGACGGAGCAGCTTGGATTGTTCCAGGAGTTCCATTCAGAGAGACCCCCATTAACTGCAACAAGAACGCTAGTTACTCAGGGGCATTCCTATTCGTATTCTATCACGGAAACATGGACGAGGTGAGGTGAAATTGGGTTTAACGTCGCGTCCAAGATTATTGCACTTATATAGCGACGTGCATGCACGTGTATGTGTGTGTGTGGCTGCTTGTACTAGTCCGGACTGATGCCGATTTATAGTGCTAGGTCACTGAGATACCATGCCGCAGTTTAACATGAATACCCCACTCAGAACCAGTATACTCCGAGCCGACCAGTCCTTGTTTTAGCCCCTTAATGCCGAGCGCCAGACAGGGTAACAACAAGTACAATCTGTTAACGTCTTTTTGTATGACGCGGCCCGGGATCGAACCCTGGGCCTTCCGCTCTCCGGGCGGACGCTCTACCACTAGACCACGGAGGCGGTCGAAACATGGACGAAACGATACTGATACACATTATCACAAGCCTTGTTCCTTATTGTAGACTGGGGCGGTCGGATAGCCTAGTTTTTTAAAGCGTTCGCTCCTTACGCCGAAGACCCGGGTTCGATTCCCGACATGGGTACAATGTGTGAAGTCCATTTCTGGTGTCCCCCGCCGTGATATTGCTGGAATATTGCTAAAAGCGGCGTAAAACCATACTCACTCACTCACTTATTTTGGACTGATTGAAAATAGTATTTAAACAAAAGACATTTTACAAACCGACAAGAAATATCCCTTATTAATAAGATACTTTGTGCTATCTATTACCTGGCGTCATGAAACCCTCTTCGGCACTGTAAACTGAGCTATTGTACAAGTCCTTTATAATATAATATAGCTAGTGTCCTGTATGCTACAATTATAATTCAGATATGCAGCCGAAACTGACAAAATTTTAGTTTAGAGGAATAATTATCAACAAGGGAACAAAAAACATAGACTATTCAATAGTTACCCTTCTTTTCTGCCAATGAATATTATGTTACCTATGTTTACAACACTAAACTAAAAGCTTGGCATTACAAGAATTTGTTGACTTACACTAACAAAGGAAGATTCATTTTACTGTTCATCATTCAGATAATACTGATTATTATGAAAACTTAATATTGCCTGGGATGATTTTAACTACAATAAACTACGTTTATAACGATCATGCTTATAACGAACTGACGGATATAACGAACTTACTTTTTTGTCCCGACTATTTGCTGAAGTAATGCTGTAAATATAACGACCGCCTCCGTGGTCTAATGGTAGAGCGTCTGCCCGGAGAGCGGAAGGTCCGGGGTTCTATCCCCGACCGCGTCATACCAAAAGACGTTAAAAGGTGGTACTTGTTGTTACCCTGTCTGGCGCTCGGCATTAAGGGGCTAAAACAAGGACTGGTCGGCTCGGAGTCAGTATACTGTGTCTGAGTGGGGTATTCATGTTAAACTGCGGCATGGCATGTCAGTGAGCTAGCCCTATAAATCGCCATCAGTCCGGACTAGTACAAGCAGTCACACAAACACACGCACGTACATGCACGTCGCTATATAAGTGCAATAATCTTGGACGCGACGTTAAACCCCATTTCACCTCACCTCACCTGTAAATATAACGTATTACGGCTATATCGAACTAAAATTAGTGGTCCCTTTGAGTTCGTTATAACCGTAGTATACTTGAATAGCAATTGACAAAATAAAAAATAATTTTTTATGTTCCCTTGGTGTTACAAAATATCGTACCTGGTTCATGTACCGTGAGGAAGCCCGATTTGACTATTGCAGGGTTTACAAATGTGTTAAAATAAATATAGGAAGCAGCATCGTCCGACACAGCGCCAGTGATGGTCAGTTGGTGCATGACGCCGGAAATGGACACCGAGTATCTTGCCATCCCTGTGACGGGAACTCCATTCTTGTACCAGAATCCTTGGGCGACGCCCGCGGCCATGGGCACTTGGAGCGTTACTGTGGCACCGACATACGTCTCCGGGCTGCCTTCCAGCGGTTGAATAGGGTCTGCAACATGTGACTTTGTTAATGTAGATAGATAATTTAAAGTTCGGTTATAGCAGTTTAAACAATATAATCGGGACGAATCTGAGATACGAACTCATGCCCAGCTAAATCCGACCTGTCTGACGGCAATCAAAGTTTAAAGATATCAACTCCTTGAACTATTTTTTAGAATGGGAGGTATCTATTTTACAAAACACAAACTGTCGGTGCTTTGATCATTCGCTGTCATTTCAGAAGATATCCGTGAAGATCCGGGGTAGAATAGATCTTCATCAACCATGCTTGCCGTGAAAGGCGACTATGTTTGTCGTAAGAGGCGACTAAGGGAATCGGGTGGTTTGGCTCGCTGACGTGATCGATGCATGTCATCGTATCCCAATTACGTGGATCGATGCTCATGGTGTCAATCACTGGATTGTCTTGTCCAGACTCGATTATTTACAGACCGCCGTCATATAGCTGTAATATTGCTCAGTGCGGCGTTAAACAACAAAAAACGAACACACAACATGTTAAGGAACCAACAATTATTGTTATTGTGTTTGAGTAATATATGTCCCGAGTCTTTACCTTGCTGGAGAGAAGTACCAAACAGCATCAGAAGCAGACCGCAAATAAATCCACAGCGTTCTGGAAACATGGTTTCTGGAATACAAATGTTATATAACACATCACCGGATTGACTGGTCCAGACTCGAAACTATACAGGCGGCAGCGTTAAACAGTAAACAAATAAATCTTCTATTCATTTTGACATGTGAGCAGCGTACCTAGACTTATCAATTTATGTTAGATATCAATAGAAATATCAAACGCACCAAATACTACCAGCACCATACACAGCAGCAAAAACAACCGCGATTATCTAAATTTATCGACATTAGTGTAATAATGACAAACGCCCCGTGAAGATCCCGGGGTAGAATAGGTCTTCAGCAACCCATGCTTGCTTTAAAAGGCGACTATGCTTGTCGTAAAAGGCGAATAACGGGATCGGGTGGTCAGGCTCGCTGACTTGGTTGATGCATGTCATCGATCCCAATTGCGCGGATCTATGCTCATGATGTCAATCTCTGGATTGTCTGGTCCAGACTCGATTATTTACAGACCGCCGTCATATAGCTGGAATATTGCTGTGTGCGGCGTTAAACAACAAACCAAACAAACAAAACAAAAATAATGACAAACAAATATAACAATTATCAAATGATTCTCATGATTCAACTGTTACAGATATGTGAACTGACAATAGAAACATAACACAAGACAACGAAGGAAATATGTGCTACTTACTTGTAGGTACAGTCAAGACAGGGAAAGCCTTCTCACCAATACAGCCTCGTGGACTGAATGTGGCCGTACACCGTCGTTCACTCGGGAGCGTTTTATGCAACCGCCAATACACGGCTAGTCAGTTGTACTTTACCTGGTCATTATATACATATCTACAAAAGCTCTAGGAAACCTCATGAATAACAAAAGAGAGGTTACCTCAATTGAGATTCAGTTTCGTCGATTCAAAATGATATTCTTGGCCACAAGGTCCTGGGATCTGGAAAAGGTTTAATAGATGTGTTATGAATAAGCAAAGCATTTGGCCTATCGCTTATATATACATACTTGCACATCGGGACACACTCAAATAAATAAAAGATCAGTGGTCCATTCATATAATTGTCACAGGTATGCCCTTTACGGAATATGTTTCGGCAGGTAAGCGAGACATATTATTCTGTGGCGGTTTTTTTCAGAGTTTATTGTCGGATATGTACTGCGGGTATTGATGCTTTCTACCTCGCGTTCTGATTAGGAGACAATCTCTGCACTTGTACACAGCAGACGTAATTCAAAATTAACATACCGTTTTTATTAGTTTCAACAAAATCAGTAATAGTACTCTCGTGTCACGTGATTCTCTGGTTCATCGCTGATTGTCTGGTTTGTTCATCTTCCCGAGGGTAAAGAGTTAACTGACTATAAAAATCCAGTTTCCACCCTTGCCGAACTAGGCTGGTATTATGGAGTTACATTTTGATTGGACAAACAAGTCTATGCATAGTCCAATCAAAATCGCGCACCGAATTCGAAATCCGGCTCGTAAACTGTTGTGCAGATTTCGGTCGATTGCAGGATTTTGCAAAGATGTGCACCTACCTATTCATGTTTTTAATCAAGGTGCTCGCGTGATTTGATGCATTTCGCGATGTTCGACTCGTTTTATCCCAAAATAGATCTTGATTATCGATCAGATCGTCCTGACCGGGTGCCGCCATTTTGTTTGAAGCAAAACGCGAGGGGTGGAATCTGATTGGTCCATATAGGAGATGCGTAGAGGGCTTTGGCTCGTCAGATACCAGGGTCCACTTGCACAAAGCGATCTTAGCGCTAAGATGATTGTAACTCCCATACTTTAACATAGGCTTACGGTAGTCTTAGCGCTAAGATCGCTTTGTGCAAGTGGACCCAGAACTTTTCACTCGTTTCATAAAATTCTGGTACCGATCATTTTGCGTTCAGAGTTGGATCTGCGTCGTACTTTTGTTCATAAAGGGCATATCGAGAGCATAGAATTCAAATCTATGGTTATTTTGCGTTCATCGCTATATATGTGAGATAATCTCGAACGCGACGAAAAACCAAATTGCACCTCACCTCAGACATTTACCGATTTATACATCCTTCAAGGATTTCACAAGTTAATATTCTGGCTTCCTTTCGACAAAATTGTGACGACCACCACTACCACCACGAATATTAAATACTCGGCCCAAAATTCAAACACATTTAACGAATGTTTTTTTCATACTTTGGGTAATGCTGGATTGTGTTGGCTTGTGCTGGGTTGGGTTGACTTGGGCCGGATTGTGTTGGCTTGTGCTGGATTGTGTTGGCTTGTGCCGGATTGTGTTTGCTTGTGATGGATTGTGTTTGCATGTGCTGGATTGTGTTGGCTTGTGCTGAATTGTGTTGGCTTGTGTCAGATTGTGTTGGCTTGTGCTCGATTGTGTTGGCTTGTGCCGGATTGTGTTTGCTTGTGCTGGATTGTGTTTGCATGTGCTGGATTGTGTTGCCTTGTGCTGAATTGTGTTGGCTTGTGTGAGATTGTGTTGGCATGTGTTGGATTGTGTTGGCTGGTTCCGGATTGTGTTGGCTTGTGCTGAATTGTGTTGGCTTGTGTCAGATTGTGTTGGCATGTGTTGGATTGTGTTTGCTTGTGCCGGATTGTGTTGCCTTGTGCGGAATTGTGTTGGCTTGTGTCAGATTGTGTTGGCATGTGTTGGATTGTGTTGGCTGGTGCCGGATTTTGTTGCCTTGTGCTGAATTGTGTTGGCTTGTGTCAGATTGTGTTGCCATGTGTTGGATTGTGTTGGCTGGTGCCGGATTTTGTTGCCTTGTGCTGAATTGTGTTGACTTGTGTCAGATTGTGTTGGCATGTGTTGGATTGTGTTGGCTGGTGCCGGATTGTGTTGGCTTGTGCTGAATTGTGTTGGCTTGTGTCAGATTGTGTTGGCATGTGTTGGATTGTGTTGGCATGTGCTGGATTGTGTTGAATTGTGCTGAATTGTGTTGGCTTGTGTCAGATTGTGTTGGCATGTGTTGGATTGTGTTGGCATGTGCTGGATTGTGTTGAATTGTGTTGGCTTGTGCTGGATTGTGTTGGCATGTGCTGGATTGTGTTGAATTGTGTTGGCTTGTGTCAGATTGTGTTGGCTTGTGTTGGCTTGTGCTGGAAAGTGTTGCCTTGTGCTGGATTGTGGAGGATTACGTAAAGGTGTTTCGGACACACCGATATAATATCTTTTGCATCTGTATTAATATCTAAGCATCATCTGGGTAGCTGTATTTTCTTGTTTTGAAACAATCTAATTATGTTATATCTATAATGTTAACTTTCTTTTGGTCAATATCAGAATGTAGATATTCTGTAAACAACGTTATACATATCTCGTCCTCACTCTTATGTATAAGTAAAAGCGACTATCAACCTAACTGACTTTAGATATTGCAAATCGTGAGAGGTGTCCCGATGGCCTCAATCCAGATTTGTCACGACGAGAAAAGGACAGGAATGAAAAGATTATTTACGCATTCGAGACACGATTTTCTTTGAATATTACTATTGGTATTCAGGAGCTTGACTTGTGACCCACTGTTGACGGATCGGCAGCTAATGTAATCTCCATATAATAAGATTGATGTTCATACACATAAACTCTTCAGTGTCTCAGTACTTAAGCGGGTTGCCATGCCCACCGTCCCAAACAGATCACTGTCAGGTTTGTAAACATGAATAAATCGACACGGATAATTTTAATTTGTTTGCCAAATATTCATTTTTGCTTTAAGACTTTTCTTAAATGCACATAACAATTGGGGTACGCGTGGCCCAGTCGTCTAAACGCCGCAATTCGCTGTGTAGAGTTGCGTCCCTTGGGCACACCAGAAACCTATGATCGTGGGTTCGAATTTCGGTTCGCTCCGATTATCTTTCTAGATTTGTCAGCACCATACCCGTGCTCGTGGTCAACGTCTTAGACATGCATCACTTCGGATTTTCCTCCCACATCAAGCTGACACGCCGTGATATAAGCGGAATATTGTTCAAAGCGGCTTTAAACCCAACTCACTCACATACGAATATATGACACTGAAACTTCTAATACAAGAACACATATATTACTATATAATTATGATAATATAAATAACGGGAAGTACACGTATGAATGGTTCAGAATATATTTTCATTTTAATTGGACGCTCAAATCATGAATAAAATGTCGTTCGCATATATACACGTATATATTATGGGTTTCACCGACGTGATGAGTCTTTATGACCGGCGCTAGTGATGTCCTGCTTTCTTCGTTTGAATGATATTCTCATGTGAACAGGCAGTAAAAGCAGGAACGGTTGGGTAGTCTGGTGGTTAAGGCGTTCGCCCGTCACACCGATAGGTCGCGTTCAATTCTTCATAAACCTTTACAAAATGTATTTATCTCCAAACTACAAACCTAAAGTTTATGATTGTTGTTAACAGCTAAAAGTGTTTAAGGTCTAAACATATTTAGAAATGTGTTTAACCGCTAAACGTGTTTAAGGTCTAAACATGTTTAGAATTGTGTTTTAGCATTTAATGGGGCTATAGAAGCATGGGGGTAACTTTAAAAAGTACGGAATCTGACTTAGTAATCAGATATTCTTTCATTTTCAGCTTCCATTCGTTGTATGATAAAAATACTATGAGACATACAGGGGCAACACAACACTTTCAAAACCTCGGCGAGATACGAACCTGAAACGCTAGCAACTGTGGTCCTGACATTCGTGACGTAACAGATGTCAATTGTTCATGTTATCATTATCTTAACATGGTTTATTTGTACATCGCAATTGGGATACGATGACATGCCTCAACCCAGTCAGCGAACCTGACCACCGGATCCCGTTCGTCGCCTCTTACGACAAGCATAGCCGCTTTTTACGACAAGCATAGTCGTCTTTTACGACAAGCATAGTCGCTTTTTACGGCAAGCATAGTCGCCTTTTACGACAAGCATCGTCGCCTTATACAACAAGCATAGTCGCCTTTTACGGCAAACATAGTCGCTTTTTAAGGCAAGCATGGTCGCCTTTTACGAAAGGCATAGTCGCCTTTTACGACAAGCATAGTCGCCTTTTACGAGGAAGGGAAGGGAAGGGAAAAACTCATGAAGAGGAAGGGAAGAACTCCTGAAGAGGAAGGGAAGAACTCCTGAAGAGGAAGGGAAGAACTCCTGAAGAGGAAGGGAAGAAACATTGAAGAGGAAGGGAAGAACTCTTGGAGAGGAAGGGAAGAACTCATGAAGAGGAAGGGAAGAAACATTGAAGAGGAAGGGAAGAACTCATGAAGAGGAAGGGAAGAACTCATGAAAAGGAAGGGAAGAACTCATGAAAAGGAAGGGAAAAACTCATGAAGAGGAAGGGAAGAACTCATGAAGAGGAAGGGAAGAACTCATGAAGAGGAAGGGAAGAACTCTTGAAGAGGAAGGGAAAAACTCATGAAAAGGAAGGGAAGAACTCATGAAAAGGAAGGGAAGAACTCATGAAGAGGAAGGGACGCAACTCCACTCAGTTGGCTGGGTCGCCCATACAGCAATCGTAACGTCAAATGCAGTGTAAAACCGAATTCTTTAGGACAATCGAAACATTATTTATTATTTCGAGAATGCGGTAAATATAAAACATCATAGCCAGAGATTAATCAGTTTCTATAACTCACCGAAACAGATTCCACTTGGCGTAAAAGGCAAGTAGTGGTTATAATTGTATGTCTAGACCTCAGACACCATATGAATGACAAACAAACATCGTCTTGAACGATAATCCTAGTTATTACAGTTAACGATGTTATAAAGTACACCTCTAAT